CCCCCCCCCCCCCCCCCTCCTCTCTTCCTCTCCTCTCCTCACTCCTCATTTGCCTTTGCAAATTTGACTGTTGAGCCCTCTGTATTTGACTTCACCACGTCGTGCTTTTTTATCCTCCCACCCACCGCCCGCTCCCATTGTCCATACAGCACCCTTCATCCCGCGTCCTCTTGCATCTGCAAATCCTCGATCGGCACCCCAAGTTGAACCCCGTCCTCCATCCTCGTGTCTCTGACTGGTCCCATGCACTCCGCCATGCGCGACGGGCCTCTCATTACCAGATTGATTTAGCCTGATCCTCCTTCGCCCATGTCGCCAGAGGGAAGCATAACTGCAACCTAGACCCAACCTCGCCCCTCCCCCAAGTGTTCCCGTACAGAAGAAAACAACGCTCATCAACCTATCTCGCCAGCCCCTTCGCTCGGTCCCGGCAGCATCAAACTTCTCCAGTCTCGCCACGGGGCCATGAGGAGCAGAAAAAGCAATCAGGCGTCTCCCCGTTTTCCACGAACCTTGACCTCCGAGATCACCTGAACAGAACTCATCCTGTGCGCCCCGGTACCTGCATTAAGGGAAAACCACTCTATCGCAAATTGCATCCCGCAACTATCTCGAATCCCCTCCCGCATCCCCCTCAAGTTATCCTAGTCGGCGCAAAAAGGCCGTCTCTCACTGTCTACTGAAGTGTCGGGTCCATACCGTTGACGCCAAAAGAGACCAACTTGAGCAGATCCAAAGCCACCATCCCTCGTAGAGACACACTGCTGCCACCGAGGAGAAAGCGTATTCGATCACATCAGCCGCGACACTGTCTTGGTTCTGTCACTCCTGTCGCGAACTTACCCTCCGCCCGCGCTTGTTATCGGCCGCCACGGTCATAGTGGCCTGGCTTCCCCAGGCTGTCTTCCCTCGTGTCCGAGTTCAACCGTGAAACTTGCAGTGCTGACCGTCGTCTTCCGATGATGGTTAAGGCCCCATGAGATTCTCTTCCTCAGCCTGCCGGCCCTTTCAGTGTCAAAGTTGCGAGGCTTAAGGCGGGAAATCGACGTTTGTCACAATGGCAGACGGGGATACCATCTACAAGACAGAACATGATATGTGCGCACCAAATGTTTCATCGGAGGAAGGTCCCGTCGGACCAAACGGCCCTGGAAACCCCCCGGGAGAGCCGCCAAAGAAGAAGAGGAGAGTTACAAAACCGAATCCAGACAAAAAATTCGAGTGTAAACATGAGGGATGCGGTAAAAGCTATTCCCGTGCAGAGCATCTCTACCGACACCAGCTGAATCGTGAGTGTTGACGACTACCCCTTTTTCCTTGCTGATCGATCAATCTGACTTGTACAAAAGACACCCCTAAAACTATCTACCGTTGTGACTACCCAGAATGCAGCAGATACTTCGTGCGGCAAGATCTTTGTATTCGACACCGAGAGCGACACACAACCCATGGATCTCAACTGCATAAACGAGATGCCTTTGCCCAGTCCACAAACCACCAGGCCGTGCCTCCGATCCCTCGTCAACAACACCTCGGTCAGGCCCCCAAATACCACATGTCGGCCCCGAACATGAAGAGCCCTCAACAAGAGGGACCACCCCTTGGTGTGCCGCCCGGATACCATCCTGATGCCGGCAATTTCAAACAGCATTCTCGTATTTCCAGCAGTACTGTCTCTCCCTCGACAGCATCGACCGAACCGCGATTTCATCCACCCACGCCGCAGACGGTAATGGCCAAGCCAGAGCCTCCCTTGCACCGGACCACCAGCAACGGGAGCAATCCTTTGAGTCCCGTGCAAAAACAAGAATCCGTATCATGGCCGACCATGGTCCGGAGAGAGAGTTTCAACACCGGGGATCTGAATCGGGCCCAGGTCCCCTACGCCCAAACGCAACCCAGAGACAGGATGTCGGGGCCCAATGTCCCGCAATCTCCCGTCCGACAATATTCATCCTCATCCGCTACCACCCTCCAGCCGGTAAAATCGAATTCTGAGGGTGCGATGGATAGAAATGCCTCGAATACCTACATGCAGCAAGTGGACATGGCGTCCGCCGCGGCCTATTCTTCAGCGGGATACCAATCTGCAGGCGCGTCCCGAGCTGCAGACGCCGCCTTTGCCGCCGCGGTCACTCACGGACTGACAAGGGGCGATCCTTATCCGTACCCGGTGATGAGCACGAGCATGTCCAATATTGATGTCAATGCTGGTTACGGATTCCCCGTCTTCGGCGGCGATGAATACAACCAGACACCCTTTGCCGTCGCGGATGACTTTACACAGTGGCTCTTCAACGATGCCCAGTCTGGCTCTACGGATTTCTCGCCTCCCAATTATGTACCTGGTTACAGCGGGCACGATACACAGACGATGCAAGGTCCTTACGTGTCTCAAAGCCCGATTTCCAGCAATACGTACCCAACAAATACATTACAGCATCCGATGAGTGTGACCAGCATCCTCGATTCAACTGCCACCAGCCAATATATAATGTCCGAGTCCAAACGCCAGGAACTTCTCGACCTAATGCAGACCCAATTCATCGAACGTCCGCACGACGCCGTCAAGAAGCGAAAAGATTCGGTTTTCGAGGGAGATATCGATAGCGACGGTCATATCCTAAGTCTGCGAATGATGCACACCTACATTGGCTCTTACTGGTATCATCAACATGCGCAGCTACCCATATTGCACAAACCAACCTTTTCGGCCGATCGGACCCCAAACTTGCTGCTCCTGGCGGTCATTGCAATTGGCGCTGCCACGTTGGACAAAGCATATGGCACGTCCTTGACCGATTCTGCCGCGGAATTTGCCAACTTTGTCGCGTGGCATATTCGCTGGGAGATTATACGAGACGCAGATTTCAGACCGCCTGCTAAATTGTGGGTATTCCAGACCCTACTACTCATCGAGGTCTACGAAAAGATGTACGCCACCAGGGCATTGCATGAGAGAGCGCACATTCACCACGACTCCACGTTGACCTTGATGCGACGAGGAAGCTCCCTGCTAGGTCGATCCGCGTCCGATTCACCCCCCAGTCTCCGAGGCGAACAAGATACTGGAAAGATATCGGTTCCCTTTTTAGGAAGTGAATCCACAAAATCGGAAGAGTCTTGGTACCGTTGGATCACCACGGAAGCAACACGCCGTGCCGCCTTTGGAGCATTCGTGATTGATTCTATCCATGCCACGATGTTTGGTCACGCGGCAAAAATGGTTGCGCATGAAATGCGGTTACCCTTACCGTGTGACGAGGGTCTTTGGTCCGCGGTTTCTCCTGCAGAAGCAGGTCGGGTCCAGTCATCGTTACAGACGAACGGGATCAAACCCACCATGTTCCTTGATGGTCTCAAGAAAACGTTGAATGGGCAGAGGGTGCGCACAAACTCTTTCGGACGGACTATCATCATGGCCGGTTTACTCTCAGTTTCTTGGCACATGACACAACGTGATCTGCAAATTTCTTCGCTCGGACCACGAACGGCAAATTCTTTTGGCGGTCCAGACAAGTGGAAAGGAACCCTGCTGCGCGCATTTGACAATTGGAAACGAGATTTCGATGAAGCTCTGGCCGAAGCCACTCCGGCCCCGTCGTCGCCATTGAGGACTCCGGCAGCGCCACTTCACAGCCTCCTTCGACCGGTGGACGATGAAAATATCTTCGAATCCCGAACCGTCTTGCATCACCTCGCCCACATCGCCGCACATGTCGATGTTGTCGATTGTCAAGTCTTCGCCGGCGCTAATCGACTTCTGGGGCGTTCCATCACCCCTAAGGACTACAGCGTGATTCGGGAAAAGATTGAACGCTGGGCAACTAAAGCGTCAGCACGAGATGCGGCATTCTACGCTCTAAAATTTATTACCCAAGTTCTGATACCACCGGATGACGGCATAGACGGCCTCAACAGTCGCTTATATGGCCATGCCAGCCCGATTCTCCCTCAGGCCTTTGAGCAGAATCAATATGTGGCTCGAGATGATTTTCTGTTGAATCGCCCCTGGGTACTCTACATCTCCGCCCTGGTCGTCTGGTGCTACGGATTTGCTCTGGAAGGACCGATCAAGCCGCCCCCACGGGAAGAAGATTTCGCCACATATCTTCAGAAAGAACAGGACATGCGCGAATACCTCAATCGAGTGGCGGGGGTAAGGGCTCCCGATGATCTAGAGAACGTCAAGGGAAAGAATCGATGCCTCGGTCTTCTGATGATTTTGAAGGAGTCGTTTGAAAGCACTAGGTGGGAGTTGACCCATGAAGCTGCCGGATTGCTGGGCAATGCATGCTTGAAACTCCAAGGTGTTGAAGAAGACAGAATTGTGGGCCCTGGAAGCAGTGGGTTGTCAAACTCAGACTTCTCCCTGGGCAATTCCAATGGCTATGGCCATGGGAATGGAAATGGACATTCCCGTCCAGTTATTTATCGTGAGGGCAGCCGGGGGCATCTCACCGTGGCCAATGCAGCAAGAGTATAGGTATCGAGGACAATATCTTTCGCACTAATCTCGATATGCACGCCTCTGGCGTGTGGCTTTTAATTGATGGAATGGGCAACCGGAAATCAAAAATTTGGGAAAACGGCACGGGACGAGTGGGAACGGGATTGGCAAATACTGCACTGTACAGCATACTGCACAGCCGGGATCCGGATGATTTGGGTATTTGCATGACGACGAGACGAAACTCTTCTCCCTGTGTGTTTGATGCATGTCCATATTGGTTTGTTTGTCTCTGCTGTGCATGACTTTGGAATGATTTATTGATTTTCATGTGCGTTCAAGCAGGCGGCTATCTGATACCCAATCTGTTGTGTTTTTGGTTATGTCATATTTATATCATATACTGGTCTTGTCACTACGGCTCAACATGTCAGCAAACTTACAGAACTTGGTACCGACATACTGCAACATATCACAAACACAATGCAACGAATGAGATACGTTACTTTTGGAACTACAGCTTTTTCTCTTTGTCTTGCCCTGGAACTCGATTTCTGAGGGTTTTTTTTTTTTTGAATCTTCCGACATTCCTTTCTGGCGGTGTGGCAAGAACCCTGGTCGAGTGAAGTTGCTTTTCACTTTGGCCGGTTTTGTCGGGGGCCAATGCAAAAGCCAAGGTAGAGGAGAAAGAGGGCTTTTCTCCCCAACGGGAAGTGGTAAGCCTTGTGGAGATCTATGATGCGGTCGGTGGTCAACAACATCATTTACACACTCGAAGCTGGGACTATCGTCCTCTATTGTCGATCTGTACGCAATTGTGGATGGTTGGCTGTCGGCCAGCGACGGTTGACCTTGAATACAAAGGGTTTCACCGGCGATGGCATGTGCTGGACTTGGCCCTAATGGTTCAACCGGACGTTTAATGCGGAAAGCATTGACATGTCAGATCTGACTGCTGTCTGCGTCTCGGGTTGTGGTATTTAACATACCACCCAGTTGGGCCTCGTCATGTTCTTGTAAGATATATCACCAGTGGACGTGCTATATTATTCACCCAATAGGATTTTGATTCCACATATAAAATATGTAAGGACCACCCAACGTATTTCAAACAGATCTCTAAGGCGACGTGAGATCGTATCGACGATATAACGACGAAACCGTGATAAAACGACAATTGAAACGGGAACACACTGTAATTATCAAAGCTGTATGCGCAGGTAAATTGGCACAGTCAAGAGCATCTGTTTCCATCATCGACGAAATCTCTCGTTAGTGAATCAGTGGGCCTCAGTCGCTCGTGATAGTTGTCGCATGAGATTCTCAAGGCCTTCTTTTTCCATTCTTCCAATATCCTCCTCGGTCACGAGCCACTCACTCGCCTGATATCGTTTTCCACCACGCCTTCATTGCGTTGAACCCCTCCAAATAAGTACATCCCATACATCTCTTCCAAGGAAGAGCTCGCCGCCGCCATGGCGAAGTCTGCGAGTGTGGGCACATCCTCGCCAACCAGACTGACTCCCTCTAGTTCTTCTCGGTCTACGGCTGCAGCGTTTTCAGGAGATTGGTAGCTTGCCTGTTTGCGTCTTCTGCGGCTTTAGGAGTCTGCTGATCCTTCGTTATACCATTCCACGCCAGACTTTGCTCGATGGAATGTCGAACGTGGACATTGTTCCAGATCCAAAGCTCGTCGATCAATTGTACAATATCCCGGGTCTTCGTTGTAAACATACCTGTCGACATCATTTCAAGGGCATTTTTCGCGTGATAAGGTAAGAGAGCCACACCAGGCCCAGTGACATATTGAGCTATTTTTGTAAAGTACATATCAGACCGAAACCCCTAAGAGACAACTTTTGGCATGGTAATCTACTTCGAACAAATGATGGGAGTAGGAGCGTAGAAAGAGAAAGAGGAGAGGTTAAAAGAAAGAAGAGGAAAAAGAAAAGGGAAAGGGGAAAAAAAAGGAGAGGAGAAAACCAACAACCGAGACTTTTCTGTTCGTGTTCCATTGTGTTCAAACCACAGCCCTACCCTCATCATGCCTCGCGACGAACCTCTCCGCCTGACCAATGAGTTCCTCGTACACAGTCCAGGCAAGCGCGGAACTCAGCGCCTTTCGACCCATCCTGAGCCCAAGTCCGTCGAAGAAGCTCTTCACCCCGTCCTCTTTGAGCATCAATCGCGTCGCTTTCAGCATATTGCCATACTTGGCTGGCATCAGCTGCAGACGTGTCTTCACTGCATCGAATGGGTTCGTGATACTCGTCGCTAATCCTGCGGCTATCACGCCGCTGGAGGCATTGATTGTGGCGGACGTTGCCGAGGAAGGACCCTTGCCACCGCCGCCCGCAGTGGCCTTTGAGGAAGAGGCCGTGGCTGAGAAGGCCCTGTTTAAACGGCTCTTACTCGCTTCATAGAAGACGACGTAGAGGCCCGCATAAGGCGCGTCGCGGACTGCCGTAGCGCCAAACCCTGAGAAGAATCCCCGGAGTCCTTCTTGTGCGTAGATAGATCGAGACGCCGACGCGAGCGACTTGTACGCGTACAGATCCGATTCGTACCGTACCTTTATAACGGTCACGGGCATGAGGATGAAGCCTGCGAAGACCCGTGCCGTGGCGCCGGTGATCAAGTTTTGCATATTGGACAGCTTAGGCAGGACAGAGCTGCTCTTATTTGCTATTGCCCCATGATCTGTAGAAGAGAATTTTGCAGTGTTATTGGCGACGATCTGTCTCAGCGAGCTCAGCGATGTGAAGTATAGCGCGGACCCGAAGCCGGTGCGCAGGGCCGAAGGGAGAGTGCCGCGCCAGAGACTAGTGATCGGGTGTGGGCCGGAGAGGAGGGAGCGGAGAACGGGGACGAGTGACGAGGCCCGGGATTGCTGCACACGGGTTTTCAGGAGGTCGGCAGGTTGAAGGAGCACGGCGCTCGAGACGCCTGAGAGCAGGCCAGCGAAGAAGTGGAAGGTCGGGTGCGCCTTTTTGGAACTCTTAACTGACGTGTTGGCGGAGGAGGCGCCATTGGACATGTTCTATCCCCTTTGTCCTCTTTTGCTCTTTCGTGTCCAGTAGCAGCCCAAGGGGTCTTCGGGGCCCGCGAAACGTATGGATTGACGGCAAAAGCTGCCTAACTAACTAGAGGTCGATAAAAGATGTGGATGTAGACGTCTGAGAAGGTCGTGTCCTTTGACTGCGCACGCATTGTCAATGTCGATACAAATACAAGTATTACCACATCCGCTTCCGGAGCCGAGGTCTAACAAAACATGGAAGACTTTGTCTGAAAACTATGAATCATCATCCTGAGTAGGTAGGCGACATGTTCCGGGTACGAGGAAGAGGTTGCAAAGAAGCTTAATCTTTTTTGTATGAAGTCATTCACCAAGAATACGAGCAAAATACGAGGTGCAACCGAGTTTCAGCCGGAGACCGCCAGCATATGGACCTTCACTACTTTCCCTTTGAGGTATTATTGCATTGGAACACCATCTAGAGTCATCTGCTAATTGGTGATTGCTTCCGCATTCTCATTCGAGACTCTCACGCGCTGATTGAGGTCAGGTAACCCTTCCAGGACATTCCTATGTATCCGCCCGCCCACAGCCATTGACACACTAGACCGCGAGTCGAGGTTTGGTGCAATATAGAACTTTCAAAACTTGGATGGGCTCCCAACACTAATTCCATCCGACTCCAAAGCCCGAGGAGACGATCGTCCACGAAATATCTCGGAGCGATCTGAACTGCATGTTTTGAAATTTGTTCCTCAGAAGATGATGATAATCGTGCCATTGAGTAGGTCATTTCGAAAGTGCCATCTTGTCAATCCCATGCAGACCAGGATGAATAATTTATGACTTGAGTCACATGGTCCTGAGACTTGTGACAATAGGCTTCGAGGCCCGAAATTTTGCAGCACTCCTTCCCAGCTGATCTCGCCCGAAGCTGAATCTTCTTTCGACTCTCCTAGATTCGTGGACCCGAAATCACGTTCAAACGTTTGTGGAGTCTTGTTCCTTCTGAGCATGGGTATCAATTACCTTCCGGCGATTTTTGCTAGAGATCTCGTGAACCCAGAGCCGCTCAGTCAATGGCTTGGTTCGGTGTCTTGACACAATACCAAGTATCCTTGGTGTTGAGACTGCAGGCAGATTGACCTACCACGAGAACTCGTCCATCCTTTTGGGTCGGACCATTCCAAGAAAATAAGTTTGAATACTTCTCCAACAGCCTTGTCGGGTCAATCTGAGGGCGAAATTGTTGTCGCAAGAAAGGAGAGACAGGATCCGATCTCCGTCCAGTTTTAGTTGTCCTTGGTGGAAGCTGGGCCTTAAGGGCTGGTGCCAATATTAATAATAGGTCATTTATCCTGTACTCCGGAGTCCTTCCGGAATAAGATTATACATGTGACGATGAACTTGGGATTGATGCTATCATAACGATGCCTTTCGTATTGTATGGTGCGTAATCCACTGGAAATTATTAGCACCAGGCGTAATACTTTGGGTCCCAAAAAGGGACGAAGGCATCTAGGCCATCATTTGATGTTCCGAACACCGAGCAAGTCATTATGTCACAACATGATGGCCAACGACAAGTCGATCCTTGTATCGAAGCGTCAAGCAGAGCCAAAGAGAAGAAAGGGGCTGTGTCAAGGGTATTCCCCCTCACCAAATGAAGTTAAATTTGCCGCGCCATTAGTTAGGATGTTTCTCTTCTCCAAGAATCGCCGCTTGGGGGTACGGGGATTTGAGAATACGACCTTCGGATGGCCAAGACTGTATGAACAAAGGTTGCATATTGAACTGTAGTGCCTGGTCTGAAGTAGCTTCAATTTTTGTAATATAAACTCGAAAAGAGCGAATGGTTGACAGCGCAGGATGTTGATCTCTCACTTCTGATGGACCACCAAACCATTAAAGGGCCTTCACAAAACCCTCTTCTGGCAATTTGTCAACAGGTCGGTCTGCTCTGATTGAGGCACACCGAATCAACAGACAGGGTCAGCTCGCAATTTCAAGCCGACACGGCTTGCTAGAATGTTGGTTGAAGAAGCAATCCAGAAAGATACTTGACCGGATTCTAGAACACATGGCGTCCCTGGAGAAAGCATTAATACATGTGGCCTCGTATGCAGATCTCCCGCAGAGCAAATGCGCCAATTTGCCCCAGAAGCTTCAGACCTCACATTTCCCAATCCGGACTCGTGGGTCGTCGAAGAAGGGTTGTTGACTGCTGCGGGGAGCTTGAGGAGGTGATCTGACGACGACTGCTAGCCAAAAATGCCATTTGGAATCCCTCCTTAGTATGTTGCCCTTTTCTGCCTGGAATCTTCTGGTAACTCTTTACCCAAGTTGGCTTCGTATGCGGCGTAGGGGGAATTCGATCCACAGACCTGGACGTGAGTCTGCCACTTTCATCTTGACAACAGTTTTCGCTCCAAAGGATCGTGATTGCATACCGGTCTCGCAAAGAAATGACCCAATGTCGGTGTCGGTTTCGACTCTCCCATCAGCTGAGCCGGTACATTGGACACTCTTTTTATTAGTGAGGACGAAATCCTTCAAAACGTGGTGGGTACCAATTTCAGTCATCATAATTTTGCAAGCCGTGGGCTACCGCAGATAAGGCGTAATGTCACATCATTGGGCGATCTGGAATTTTCTCACCCCCAAGCGTCCGATATTATCGACTTCAAGTTCCCCCCTTTCTCACCCAGGTGCACCCTCTCATTGCGACCATAGCTGTCATCAACAATACCCCTTCAGTCATGTCGACACAGCCTCTTGACTATTGACTTGGAATTCATTCTTTGGCAACAGGCCGGACCCAGAAAGAAGTAGGGTGGACACCGAATCTGAGTCGTGTTGTGCCCAGGCGGCTGTAGTGAAAAGCATTTCGAAATCGGCCCAGTGTGGGGTTTTGCAGATTGGTATACATCCGATTCGTTTCACGAGGTTTGGCGTTTCCCTGCCGGTCATTGAGTGGCTGGGACCTTTCCATCGCCGTTTTCATTTTCATATCCCTCGGTCTTCATATCCTTTAGACCGAGATCTTCCATCTCCTCCTCTGTCCGCTCATATTCTTCCGTCATGATTTGAGGATCCTCACCAGAGTCCACATTCTTCTGCACGAATGAATTGGCGAGTGGATCCTCTAGTGTAATCGAGTATGGGAATTCGGCTTTGATCGCTCGGTCCAACTTGCCGAAAAACTGGTCCCATCTTGATCTGGTCTCATCTGACATTGAATCACCTCCCACGAGATCTTCATTGCCGACGTCAAAAATTTGCCCGTGAAGTTGGTCGCGAACCTGAGTAAGCAGGCCCTCCACGGTAGTGAAGCGGCCGCCAAGCGTTCCAGGTTGCACTTCCAAGCCAAGGTCGAGACTTTTCAAGACACAAGTCTCCGACTTCAGAATATCACGGGACATGTCTTCTATTGTCTTGATCTCCAATGTGATTCGTTTTCCTTTTTCCGGAACTGCTCCGCCGGTTTTAACGTCGTTTGTTCTGTAACCGCAGTGCCCACACACAGTGGCGATGATGATGACCTCTTTGAAATGAGGAATGTTGGTCTTCTTCATGTTGACGGTACATGGTTTCGAGCAGGCGGGGCATTCAGCATGGAGTTCGTAGACTTCATTATCGACAATACTGACGCCCTCCATTCCACCACCATCGGTGTTTTCAGCGTCATCATCCGCTCCCAATCCCAGCTGTGCATTTTGTTCGTGGGTACGGAAGTAGTCGGTTCTGGTGTATTTGGAGTCTTTGTCTTCAGGCGAGGGTTCGATGAAGGAGTTACCGGAAATATCATCCACTGAAACTGTAAAGGGAAACCCGTTGCCATCCAGCATGGTTTGCAATTTCTGAATGATCATTTCGAGGGCATGGTAAAGTTCAAGGCTGGTCCCTTTTCTAGTCGGCTGGTCGTATTCCAAATCCGTTTTGATTTTCAAGATGATGCTCTCCAAATTGGTCAGCTGTCCAGGCGCAGGTGGCATTTCAAGATCGATATCCTCCAATCGAAAGATGCCCGTGTCACTCCGAACGATCTGTCTCTGAAAATCCTCCATTTTGTCCAGCCTGAAAGTGTATTTCGATCCTTTCTCTTGTATTTGGCCGGCGCTTTTAACGGTATTATTTTTCCAGCCACAATGGTCGCACGAAAAGGACTCGAGTAGAATTTCTTTGAAGAAAGGAATCTTGATAGGTAGAATACGAGTGATACCCTGGGACAGTCAGAAAAATTTTCATCGAATCCAGATCAAGAGACTTGCCTCGTCCCGACAATTCATACATAAACTTTCAATTTCATAAACTCCCGTCTCGTTGGGATCCGCATGGACCACCTCGGGGGCAGTAGATGCGGCCATGAGTATGGGTGTAGCTTCTATGTCTTCAGCAATTTGTTGTTCTGTTTATGTGTGTGGCGGGGCGAGGAGAGAAGAGGCCCTTCTCGAAACAAAATTTCGAATGACGCTGAACGATCAACGTCTGCCGAGCCTTTTTAAGGTTTGGGTTGGGCTGCGGGAGGACGGGTGCTAGTGTAGCCCCAAATCTCCGCGTGTCACAGCCCGGTCGGGGCATCATTCGGCCCTCTGTGTTGTGATTATCATTTCTTCATCAAGTCCATTAGGTTGAGGCTTGGAGTGCTCTTGCTCCGCTTGCTTTTGTCAAGAAGAGCCTGTAGCCCTTCGCAGTCTTTCCTGGCCTTGGCTCTTTTCTTGCTGTTGGATTTGTTGGACTTCTCTGGAATAGCGTTGGAGCATGGGGCTTCTTCACGCTGCTTGTTGGGGACCGTCGCTGTTGGTATCTTTTTGTTCCTAGGATTGAATTCTGGATCAACGGCCTCTTTCGTAACTCTGTGGCAGACTGAGCATCGATGATGTAGGTTTTCCTTTCGGAGTCCTGCCGGGGGGATGACTTTTGCGTTGTGCTTGGCCCTTCTCGTTGTAAACCTCGAAGAGGCCGTCCATCCTGACAACAGCAGATTTCCGCATGCTTCACACGCCTTTCTTGGGATAGTTCGAGAATTCAGAGTCCGCGAAATCGTGACTTCAACGCTTTGCGTCAACAGATGCCTCGACGTTGAGGGACTGGAAAGGAACACAGTCCGAGCAGCGTTTTGCAAAAATCTTCTTCTCACGTCTTGCGCTTCCGTCATCTTGTGCTGAATATTGCATTGATTTGATATCAATGTGCAAGAATTCGAGTTCCTCTCTTCAAAGTTGATATTCACGGATGTATTCGTTCCTTACCCGGTTCTGTCGATAGCCAGTGGTCTTCAACATCTTCTGACGTGGCCTCTGCTAGACTCTGATCTTGCCGGATATAGGATGAAAAAGGGGCCGCAAAAGGCGTGGACAGTTCATCAAGAAGACTCCATCCAAATGTTTGAGATGATGCAAACGCCCGTTCGAGACCGATGAGGATGTTTGTGAGACACTTACAAAGACATTTCAAGTTTAGCTCCCTGCTTGGACAAAGGAGAGTGTCCTTGGCAAGTCTCGTTGGGGAGCCCAGCCTCCCGCAGAGACACTCAGTCTTCGACACTTACGCTAGCCATGGCACGTTTCTCAACATCCTGGCCCGAGACGATCGAACTCTTGCAACCGTTCAAGCTTCATTCAGCTGTTGAAGAGTCAAGTGTTCTGATGATCCTACGTTCTTGATGAACCTCTCCCGCGGTCTCGCCACAAATTGACGATAGGCGAAGACCTTGCGTCCTCGGGCCCGAGTGGGATGGTAAAGTCTCGCTTGCGAGCAAACGTCCATGGGGGCACTTTTAATGCGTGATGTTTTCTATTTCTCTCAAGGCTCGACACGAAAAATAGATAGGCTTAAATATCTGGCCGAATGCAGTCTTTCTATTCGCAATGACCTCTAACGCTACACTTGAAAAGTCAAAACAAAATCAAGATGCCGGTGTAGAACCAGCTATAACACCGCGACACTATGCAGTCAGTCGGGGAATCCTGCTGAGCTTCGTTACCTGCACCGGCGGAGAATAATTTGAAAGACCTCTGGGCCGCAACTCAATTCCCTACATTTCAGGTTTGGGTAATGATCGAGCATCGGGAAACTGGAATACGGCTAACGAGACATTCCACAAACCCCTAGTTCATGGTTTTGCGTTCCCTCGGTTTCAGTGGTCTCATCGAGCCTATTCTCAAGATCGTGAAGAGTGTGGCTTTAAGGTTTAGCGGCGCCTCAACACAAGATGTTTGCTTCCCACCTGGGGCACTCTTCATCTATGGGTTCAACTCCTATATTCAAAATGGCCATATGAGCGACCTGTTCGCGGGGCAATTGAACACTTAGTCGGAGAGCGACACAAAATCTCTTTCATGCATGAGCCCTTCCTCCGTAAAATTTATCCAGAATAACATGAGACGTCCAATTAGCCCCATTTCAAGAAATCATTTTGCGAGTCTCTCCTGCAGAGGCCAAACATTCCGAAAGTTCTCTACCCGGACAGGCAGTGGATGTATTGGCTTCAGGATGCATCTCGCGCCACTTTGTTGGGAACACGGGATGGAGGGGAATGAATGCCATTGCGGGGCGCTTGGGGAATTTGGTCTGGGGCCCCTCGGGTTGAGGGATGATGCGTTGAGCCCATGCTGATGCCAATTTAATGGGTCCATCCCTTGGGTCTTCAATCCGGCTTGTTCCTTCTACTTCCAGAACGAAATCTGCCTCTCCAACCCCGCCTCTATGGTACCTTCATCTCCTCGCGCAGATTTGATCGCTGTGTCGTTTGCTATCTCCAACATGTCAACTCTTGTCCATACTCCAGCGACGTCCCTCAGACCGGTCACCAAACCTCGCCGCCGCCAGAATCATTGTTGTGATCCTTGCCGCCGTAGCAAACGGGCTTGCGATGCTACTGGGCGTGTCCGAGAAGAGGTCTGTTCTAATTGTGCGAGGACAGGGAAAGAATGCACTTTCGAAAAGGTCCGGCGAACTGTTGCGAAGAATTCGACAAAATTATCGGCGAAAAGCCTCCCATGGAGGAGTCCGGCGCGAGAGCATGTCGCCGTGGATGATAGATCTAGTCCAGGCCAAAACTCCGTTTTCACGACCAATGTTTTCCATGTCTCAGATCAATCCTCCCACGGTCGCACATTATCATCAGGCAGTGCCGATTTCCCAGAGACGACATCATCCCACGTAACTCGCGTTCTTCGGGGGGAATCCCAAGGCCTGTTCCCTGGGTCAGAGTTAATTGAGAGCTGGCCTGATGCGACCACGTTTGAGGGAGGATTAGGCCATACAGATAAAACAATGAGCCTCAATCCAGTCCCGGAAGTCCACGATGTCGATCCTGCACAATTGTCGTACTACGATCATGATCTCGAGGATGCACCAAGCACTGTCTTTTCCATGGGTCATTCAATGTACAGCGACGGCCGGCCAGCGAGAAAGGACACCATCGAGGGGGAGGACAATGAATCTGCCTTGCGACGGAAATCCTCGACTTTACCTGACCCATCTTCTGACACATTGGTCCATCTTTTAGCTGAGAAAACCAATAAATTTTTGATATCGGAGAGCTTGACTCGAATATATCAGGATACCATGGAGAACGCATTATCTTGTTGGTTGACAGAACGGACATGCCCGTATACTTATGAAGGCATCATCGAGCCCCAGTCGCCCCTCAAGGAATCCGTGGAGAGTCCCCGTCCGATATCCTGGGCGAACTGCATAGTTTCGCGAATCTGTCAGTTGGATCGGCCATCCTGTATCCTTCGTGATCGACCCTTGACTCCCCGGGAGAACCAGGCCGCTTCGCGGGCCCTCAAAGCTGCTATCATGGCATTCTCATCCCAGTGGTCACACACAGCAAACACCAGCACAGAATCCACGGCAAACGCCCGGAGTGGCGACATTCTGAGTGATTTGATAGACGGTCGTTCCACTGTTCCGGAGGAAAAGACGCCGACCAACTTTGATCGATCAATCCAAGAAATGTTATGGAACGATGTTCACCGACTACTGCAAGAGACAGCCGGCCTCGATTCTTTTCGAGTTCTTTTTGCGCAACTGATCTTTTCTTTCACACAAAAGCCACTGCAACGAGATTACCATGCAAAGATCAGAAGACTGCGGGCCCGAAGGGGAAACAGCCTTCAAACTAGTCCAAGTGGCGGTGGAATAGAGATGAATTACACCCCGGACTCGGAGAACTATGGCAGTTGGGGTCCTCCACCTCACGCCTTTGGCAGATACCCTGAAGATCCTGGAGACATTGAAGAGCTGAAGGATCTGCTGGAACTTCAGGGCCGGCCCATACATCTGGAGTCGGCGCTATTACAACTCTCCGAAAAACGTGTCAAGTTGGAGCGGAGAGACGCAAGTCTTGGTCCTCAAGCAGTCGACCCAATAAGCATCACGGATCGCAAATCCTTCAATCTCCTATTTTGGATGGTCATGATGTGCGATACACTTGTTGCTGCTTTGTATAGACGGCCATTCATTGTCTCGGATGAAGATTCGCTCATCCTGCGAGTGGAGAATCCAAATCAACCTCCCTTTAACCCACCATCAACAGTCTATGGTTCGGGATCAGCTAGCGATGGTCCTTCTTCTTCTCTTCCACATTTGGACACCGATGATTTGGATTCCACGCCTTGGGGTATGCTCTTCCTTCGAAGGGGAGAGACGACAAAGTCAACGAATGACTCACCTTGGCCGTTCTCCGAGGAATATGCCTCAGCACTTCTGTCAGATGCGGCCCCGGTCAAGGTGCTCTTATACCGTAAAGCAAGACGACTCCGAAATCTTCTCTTCAGGAGAGCTCCGGCTCGGAAAATCGAGACCGGAATAGTTGATGCCTTGACAGTTTATGAGCATTGGAACAAATCTTACGGTGAATTCATGATTACATGCATTCAACATCATGAAGAGCTTCCTCCCCGCATTCAGTCATGGTACTCCGTTTTACTTGGACATTGGCACCTGGCTGTTTTTTTGCTTTCCGATTGTATTGAGGAAATTGACAAACTTCAAAAAGGGGACAATCTTTATGGCGCTCTTCGACAATCATGCCGACTAGTTTTTGAGATGAGGAAGACAAGTGCGCTTCAAGTCGCCGATATCTGTCGAGTTGGGCGACCACGACAGGATTCTAGTTTCCAACATACGGGAAATTTCCATTTCACTGTCAGTCAGGGTGCACTTCTCACGGAGCCATGGACAGAGATCTTGATCCGATGTTTTGCAAGGGCTACCAATCAATTCCTAAGATGGCTTTCGGACTTTCAATCAACCAACTCCTCTTCAATAAAGTGGTGTGGAGCTGATGATTTCGACACACTCTACTATAATTGCGCTAATTGTATCAGGGCTCTTTTCGATCTTGGTCGCAAATCAGACATGGCATATCTCACGGCCTTGTCGTTTTCTGAACGCCTTCAGGAGATACGGAATCCCAGCCAAGGGGATAGCGCAACTTTTACCTAGATAGCAACTTGAGAATAAGGCAATGGTGGATATCTCAATGATGAAATCATATTCCTGCCATTCTATGTCAAATGTGAATTCCCGCTTGATGTTCATTTTGATCAAATTGGAGCATTTTCGTTGAGAGTGTGGCACGGCGTTCTTTGAGGCCGGGCGGCCAGTTTCTCGACCTTCAGAGCACTTTGGGGACGTGATCCGCCTCAAGGCAGACCGGACCCGTCCAGAGAGTTTATTCGGATCGGAAGATGAAGTCCAATAGCCCCCTCCTTTGCTCCTGTAACTCTGTGAGAACAAAAGTTGCGCAAATGGATCGCCGTAATGGGAACGCCAAGTCTACGGTATAGTATGTGTAGCTTGGGCGCAGTGTCCGGCCAACCTCGAATTTTACTTCTTGCATGGCCTAGTCTTCGGACATCCTTCGCTCATTCGGTATCTACAGTATACTGTAGAATGAATGTGCATGCTATACCATAAATGGGGCCGGCGGCCTCCGCTACGGTCTCTTCAGACCTTTTCTCTTTGATTCTTCCTACTGTCTCGAGTTTGATACGGAAACATCAATACTTCGCACCTGGAAGAGTGAACAAAGGAGCATTCACCGACTCACGATGTCTGAAACTGTCAATATCACTAGCGCAATGTCTTCCAATGAAAGTGACGCACAAGGGGGTGTCAGAATCGCGGTTGAGGGATGTGTGAGTTCCCGAACCATACCAGGACCAGCGGCTGGACTCGACTAACAATTCTTCATCTTCACAGGGTCATGGTGTTCTCCATGCCATCTATGCTTCGGTGAATGAAGCATGTCGGGTTAAAGGTTGGGACGGTGTCGATCTTTTGATAATTGGTGGTGATTTTCAGGTTTGTTCTGTGACGAGTTACTCCGCTGGGTGACTAAAGACTTTCAGGCAGTGAGAAACCAGCACGACCTCAATGTCACCTCAATGCCACCGAAATACAGACGTATGGCCGACTTCCACGAATACTACAGTGGCGCTAGGACTGCACCTTACCTGACAATCTTCATCGGCGGAAACCACGAAGCGAGCAACCACCTCTTCGAACTGTACTACGGTGGTTGGGTCGCACCAAACATCTACTACCTCGGAGCGGCCAATGTCATTCAATTTGGTCCTCTCAGAATTGCCGGACTAACCGGAATATGGAAGGGATACGATTACCGCAAACCTCACTTCGAACGACTGCCATACAACCGAGAAGAAACCGGTAGCATCTATCATGTCCGAGAATTAGATGTCAGAAAGCTGTTGTCTCTGTCTACCCAAGTCGACATAGGTCTTTCCCATGACTGGCCAAATGGGATTGAGATGCATGGAGACTATGGCTGGCTGTTCCGAAACAAACGCGGCTTCGAAAATGATTCAAGAACAGGCAAGCTGGGAAGTGTCGCCGCAAGACAGTGCTTGGATCGCCTAAGGCCTCTGTATTGGTTCTCCGCACATCTCCATACCAAGTTCAGCGCCATTCTTCATCATGACAAAGCCGATGAACCTGCAGTGTCAAAGCCGACACTCCCTCTCAACATCTCCGAATCTAGTGATGAGCAAGGCAAAAGCGGCGCCAACGAGGAGCGGGCAAATGTACCTTCGATGGCCTCTAGCACGAACACCCCGAAGGCCGAAGATCGAGTCCCAACTTCAGCATGGCAACTCTTCGGCGCAACTGTTCAGCAAGAAGACGCCAAAGAAAGAGAAAGGATTTTGCGTGAAAGAGAAAACGAGCGTCGGGAAGAAGAGAGAGTCGGTACCAAGTTTTCTCCCAAAATCGATTATCAAGAAACATTCAAGAAAGTTGAGACTAGAGATGGCTTTGATAGGACGGTTGTTGAGACGACTCATGCCCAAGCGAGTTCAACAGGAAGTGCGAATTCAGCACCAACCCCAAACCTCGATGGGGCATTCTTCTCCAGACCTACTAAGAGACAGCGACTGGGAAACCCTGGGGACAATGTCGGCCGCCAGAAGGATACATCTGCTGAGCACACCGTCCCTGAAACCTCGATGGATGGCAATAGTGCAAGTGTTGGGACAGGATCCCAAGTTGCGGTTAACAATCCGGACGCAATCGACATCGATATGAGTGATGATGACGACGCTACAGTTATTGCTGCAGAAAATTTAGCCACCCCTCAAGCAAAACCTCTCTCGGTCCATGGAGCCACCCCTTCAACGGTGCCTGTTGTCGGAAATACCGAGGAGGACGTTTCGACCAGTATGTCTGGTCAAAGTGAGGATGGTGGTGTCAAATTGAAGCCCCAAGCATCATCCTTCACACCAATGTCTGGCACGTCGTCTCCAATAGGACCAAAGCAAGGGTCGCTAGGCTCTCCGGCGTCTTCAAGAAACTCGTTGACTTTAGAGTCCAATCCTAGAGCAAAAGTCTTCCAACCCGAAACATCCCCAGCAACTGGAAATGACCTCGAACGCAGCGCCACGCAATCAACGACGACGGTCGATCCGGAGAACGAAGTGTCCGAAGAAATGCGCGCCCAACTGGCCGCTTTGTCCAGCAACTTCACACAGACCGAAAAGACCGAAATATCTCCACCACTACCATTCCCGGAAGCAATAACCAACAAGACCACTCATTTCCTTGCTCTAGGCAAATGCGAACCATTCCAAGAATTCCTCCAACTCCTCACCGTCAACTCAATCACCTCTCCTGCCAGACAAGTCAAACGTCCCCTCAAACTCTCCTACGACCCTGAATGGCTAGCTATCCTGCGCGTCTTCGCCCCGGAGTTGTCTCTCGGTGGTAATCCGACTGACAAAGTGGCCCCTCACCGTGGTGACACATGGTACCGTGAGCAAATCATCAAGGAGCAAGAATGGATCAAGGAACGTGTCGTGAAGCCAGGACAGCTGCAAGTTCCAGAGAACTTCAGCATCACGGCGCCCGTATATGATCCAGAGCTGAAAGTTGGTCCGAACGAGATGCCGCGTGAAATGACGAATCCTCAGACAAGTGCATTCTGCGAGTTGATCGGGATCGAGAATAAGTTTGACATTAGAGAAGATGAGCGGGATTTTAGAATGCGGCAAGGGCCGAGGCCGGAGAGTGCAGGGTCCTTACAACATCATCAAAACCAGTCTCGAAGAGAAGGAGGTGGTGGTGATCATGGACAGCACAGCGGCAGGGGACGTGGTGGTCGTGGCGGTTATGGTTGTCGGCGGGGAGGAGGCAGAGGTGGACGAGGAGGTGATAGGGGGAGAGGACGTGGGTATTGGTGACACATGAGAGGACAGCCAATGTGCTGTTCTTTTGTGCTGTATGCTGACAAGCGATGTCTGAATTCACAATCGAGGAAATATATTGACAGGAAAGTCACTTAGCAGACAGGAAGAATGTGTTAGTCAGTTGAAAGCTTCGCTTCACATCGGTGTGACTGTATGATATATACTCTGAAAATATGATACCCCCTAAAAAGGAATGAAAATGGAGTGAAAACGGGCGCGGTCGGGGTTTCGTATAGATTTGGGCTGACAATTTACCTGTCAAGGTGAGATAAGATCCTGGAGTGGAAGCGAAGGTAATATAGTTGGCACTTATGGCCAAAATGTCATATCGAAAAACATTCCGCTCATCCCCTTGACGTGATCCGATCTGACTTCTGAAGATTATGATAAAACATTGTTTGCTATTTAACAACCACGGTCCTTCCAAGCCTACCTGCGGGGGTTTTATCCAATTTATCCAATCGCTTGAGGAACTGTTTCTTCCACGCATTGTGGGCTTCCGTGTGCTCAGGAGTCAGAAAATCCACCGCGTCTTGCATCATTGTAGCCAAACCAGGAAGGAGGATGCCTTCGGGATCGTCGTCCTCTTCATCAACCCCGTTTCTTCGCGCCGGGCCCGTGACTTGCCGTTTTCTCGCGGCTGAGGGAAATGGCTCTTCATCGTCATCGTCCTCGCTGTCTTCATGGATCGTCCGAGCCCCTCCACTTGTACCGTGAGGATCGAATTTAAACACCGACTCAGGAACGCTTGCCCACCAGTCTTGCCTGCGGCAGTATCCCTCGCGGTTGATCCGGCGGATCCACAGTTCTACGCCCGCAGTGCCCGGCTTGTAGTCTAGCTCCTCAACAGACTTCGAACATGTGCTCTTGTACACGGACGTGGTCATTTTGGCCGTCTGCATGCGCGTGAGGGTCATGAGGTACAGCGCGATCAAGAGGCCTGTCACGGTCTCTTTCAACGACTCTGTGTCTCGTGGCTCTTCATCCTCATCTTGACTTTGTGGCCAAAGCTCTGCGAGCTTCAGGACAACGCAGGCGCCCGTGTACACGTGCGGTGCGAGGAGGGGGGTTTTGAACGTCTTGCACAACCTGCGTATCGATGGCATAGTGAAACTTGGTGCCTCGGTCCCAGCTCCATCGACATCAGTGTTCTTCGTTGTACTATTGGCGCTCGCTTTCAACTTTCCCAGGAATCCATTTCGAGCTGGATTCTTTGATGGAGTTCCAGTTTGACTTGTCTCAGCGCCCTTGAACACTCCATCGGCGGTCCTCTTTAAGTTTCGCCCGGATTGTGGCGTTGTCGTAAGGGGGTCTTCATCTAATACCCTCTCCAAGAACATCACCAGCTTCTCATACAGAGTCGGTTTGCAGGGTGCACCGCCGGGCTGGGTGGCGGGTAAGCGGCATTGTGCGCGGAGTCGTTTGCAGGCAATCTCGCAGCATGCATAGGCGCGGGCGATTTCTTCTTCTGGTTTTAAGTGGCATGCCCGTTGGCGGGATTGGGCGAGGAGGGATTCACAGAGGTGCGTAAGTTGGGCGGGGAGTTTTTGTGCATGCGTTGGGAGAAGAGAACTGAGAGATTGTTGGATCGCAGAGGACGCGGGCATGATTGGTGATATGAGTGGTACTCATGGAGAATTTGATTTTCGAGAACGTGTTCGAGCGCGTAAAGTGGATGCGCTTACATGACTTTGATCCACAGAAGCGAACGGGTACGGCGGAGTGTAGGACCCTTTATCGATCTCTCACAAATTTGTTAACATTTGGCTCCTCGGGTTCGTAAGTGCATTAGACATCACAAAATGAGAAACGTATATGATCTTGCACAGGCGGCTTCAAGCCGAACCTTGCAACAAAGATCCCGCAATACAGACACCCGGCCAGCGGCTTTAACATCTCTCCCATTAGCAACAAGGCTCAGCAACCAGCCGCTTAAACCCGCTCACAAGAACGATCGCGCGAATCATGACTTTCATTCCGCCGGATATTCCGTCATGTTGACTCCGTGGCTGCAGTTAAAATGTGTCGAAGGGTCCAAATGAATCTCCTTGTTCCAGAAGTGGCATTTGAGGAGGCCACGGCCACCAAATATCTTCAGCCGTGATCGAAGGACTCATACTGTCGACATCGAAATAGGTCAGATTTTGATCACCGACTGTGCTACCTTGTGCAACTGTCAAGCTATCCGTGGGCGGAGTCAGCATATGAGGACCAGGTTGGTGTGGCGGTTTTCCGCGCGGGAGCCTGTAGTTGGGTGAGCCCACCGCGGCAAGAAACGATGCCATGTTATCTTTGAGGGCCTTTAGCACTGTCATGCTCCGAATCTGGCCTGATGACACGGTTGACGGTCCGAAAACATGATCGATCATGGTCATGATCCTGTCGCCCTCCGGCAGCTCTGGTGTTTGGTAGATTGAGACCAGAAGAAAGAGTATGCTGTGGTATTGTTGATATGCTGGGGCATACCAGGCCCAATTAGCAAGATCTGGGTCGGTCTCCAGTAAGACCGCAGTTTCACACACATCAAGGCCGGATTGAATTGCTCTGGAAAACGTGAGTATTTTTTTCACTACATCCCGAATATGTTCAAGGACTAACCTTTCTCTCAAATTGAGACCCTCATTAGGAAGTTGCCATCTCACACGCTGCGAATGAATGGTCATTCCATCGCTTCTGGCCAAAAGCAGCTTTCCTACCAAACCTGCATATTTGTGTAATGGGATTCTCTCATCAAGATGGTCGAGATATTTTGTTTGAACATGCAGCTTTAGCTGCTCCAGCGTTCCCAAAAATGAAACAAACGTCGATCTTCCTCTTTTGAAATTTTCTCTTTCTCGAAATATAATTCGATGTATTCGATAACATTCATATCGGATGAGAGCCAAGATGCAATCGGAATTGAATGATTCAGAGGCTGTTTCATATCGATATTCATCGAGCTCGGGCATTAACGAGTACGGATCATCAATGACGGTGCGTTCAGGACCCACAGCCTCGATTGCTCGAATATTGAGAAATAATAAATGCTGCCAAAGATGTCGTTTGGTCTGACGAACAGCATCGGTATCCTGTTCGGCGTCCTGGTCGAACCCTGCGATTTGAAAATGACGGATAACTGCTGCAATATATACTGAATGGGAGCGGGATACCTCCGACAGAAACTGTGGAGTAAGATAGATCACAAGGGCCTGGAACAATCTCAAATCCAAATGGGTGACAATATCGGCTTTGCTGAGAGCATCTTCCGCGGATTTTTTGAGCTTCTTGACCAGCGAGTCTTTCGACATGCCGAATAATTTTTGACTTTCAAGCAGTGGCATGCTGACCGCAGCTGCGTAGAACATCGCCCAACGGAGGGCGTCTGCCACAGGGTCGTCTGCGAGAAGATCATTTCTCGAGGCCACGGAGCAGACAGGGTGTACCGAGACAAAGTACCGGTCAAGAAGGGCCTGCCTTTGCTCTTCCGAGACGTCAATCTCAATTGTCTGATTCTTATTGGCGGAATACAGCTGGCCTAGAGGGAGAGAAGAATGCGGTTTGAACCAAGCGACCACTGGAGCGGAGAACTGATCGCTGGCCTCAAGGAGGTGTACTTTCTCCTGCAACAAATCTTCGAGGGATTCCACATAATTTGCTCTGAGCATACCGCCGATGCGATCAGTGATGCTCAGCTTTCCAATTCGAAGACATATGTCTGGCGGTTTTCGATTTGCTGCATGGATGGTCGCTTCCGAGGCCTTGGGGTTGTCGCATTCTTCTCGGTATGATCCCACAGAGTCTTGTTGCTCAGGAACGCTGCTTGGATCAGCGGTCGGTGTGGAGGTATAGTTTGTTGAAGGGACATGGAAGACGCAAGTTCTTGAAGTCTTTTGGCAATGAACACATGGCTGGGTCCTTGAGCATCTTCTTTTCAATCTTCGACACTCCAGGCAAGTATTGATTTTACGATTTCGGAGACGGGGAGGAGTACTGCGAGATTGAGACCACCTGCGGCTTCCTCGATTTGAGTTTTCCATGATCCAGACTCCAGTTTCCCATAACCGAAGATAACTTTCGTGAGAGAACTTGCCATTGCGAAGGCTGTCGACCTGAATCCCGTCGATGAATATAGCGGGAGCTTCTCCGCTGGGCCCATTATTTTGGCAGCTTCTGCGAGCCACCTGAAGGATTTTGCAGCCTCATTTGCCGTTTTCTGAATTAAAGGGACCCGCCGTTTCATGGCGGAACGCCTGATGTCCACTTCTGGTTAGTTGGCGGCAAGGATGTTCCAATGCCGAAGGATTCGAGAGGATTTATCTTTGGGGCCAATGCCAGATAGCGGTGGGGTTTTGTGATTAGGGCCGTTGTGGCGCAGGTAATTGTTTGTCCAGCCGAGATGGACTTATCAAACAGTACCAATTCTGCAAAATCCGGGGAGCAGAGCCTTGTGGTCGACGCCAGAGAGTACAACCTCCTGGTGACTCCTGGCAGCCGGTACGTCACCGTCCATCCAAAATCCATACTTCTTCATTTCCCAGTTGAGGTTGATGATCTTCGGTATTACGGCGATATTGATCTGGTACGGCAGAGCCCAAACGCGTACAGAAGAAAAGGTGTTCATTCACTCGAGGTTGACTACCACACCGATCTGCTGCCTTTATGCTGCTCTTCTATCGCAAAAGCACACATCGACTGTCAAGTGATTATGACATGACCGTCATGATGCTGGGTGTGTCGACGGTTCTCTAGGTTCTGCTATCGGCTGTCGCCATCTACGCGTTTGCGCCAAACACATCTCCTGGGTGGATTCAATGCATGCCTTTGAAGAACATCTGACGAATCTCCACGCCCTTAGGATAAAATCTAGCACTAAAATACATGTCCGGCTTCCCACGAAGAATGATTTGAAATATCCTAGGTAAGCTATCGCCGCGGCAAAGATGGCGACAAGGAGAAAGTGATCTTCATGATCACAAAGATAAATGTCAGTATAAAGCGTGGTGAAGAATGCAGACAAAGTCGCTGGCGGCAAAACGACCGCCTTGTTGTGGCCTCATGACATCCTCAATGTGCAAGAGGAGAAAAAGGGTCCTCAGCGCTTGTTATCAAAGACAAAAGGAGAGGCTTCGCCAATCAAACATTTGGGGCCCTGACAAAGCTCCGAGGCAATCCCTGAGATCGAACCGGTTGAGGCGATCAGCTTGAAAAAAAAAAGGCGAAAACAGCAGTTCACTGAAAGGGTTTCGACATGCTTACTTGAGAAGGCTGGTCAATGGCAGCCCTCGATGTCACAGGGCAAAACCTACCCGTCATTTATTATTCCACTGCATTTTCTTTCAACACACAACCCAGAGCCGACACAGTGAAGCCGGCTCAACGGGAACGCGGCCATGTTCGACCCATTATTGATAGGGTTTTGGATGGATGATATAGCAAGATCCTCGATCTCTTCCGAAAAAGAGACTGGCAGCAGGCTTTCACTTCCTGCAAAGTAACGAGGATGCCTTGGAAGAGAAAGGGATTCCGGCAGTTCGAATCTGGCTGTTGGATTTTGTCATACTCTCATCACCATGACAGCAGGACGGCCATTTGAACCGAATCTTCAATATCCTAATACGTCTTGGCTGAACCCAAAAATAGCAGAGACAATATGGGTAACAGGTGGTCGAATTTACTATGTTAAGGAGTAGTGTCTTGCTTGATGATAACAAGTATCAAGATGCAATCACGGCGAGAGGCTGTCGCGAGCTCTATGCACGACATTTGTCTGCCTTGGCCTTGGAGCGTCGGTCCTTAGGCTTTGAGCATCGTCCGATACAGGTATTTATATATGCTCTAAGGAGCACGCGTGATGGTAGCTGACAGTTGTGGCCGAATGTAGTAAATGATGCAAAGAAGTCCGTCCTCACATGATAGCGCGTCCACATTACGCGTTAGCCGGGCAAATTTCTTGATTGGCTGCACTCCTCGAGTCTACTGGAGTGCTGCCAAATCCAAACAGTCATCTCTTCAAAGGCGTATTAGGCCTCGATTAGGTCAATCGCCGTCTTTGAATCTGCAAGCCATGCCCCATGGCCAAGTTGCAGGGAGCAGCTGTCTCCCGCCAGGCGATTAGTCACAAACGAAAACGCCAGCCTCAAGAGACTGACTCACCGTCGACGGAGGCTGAATCCATTACCGGTGCTTCAACCACCACCACCACCACAGTTCCTACCAAAACCCATGATGGAGGAGGTAAGGTCCGGAGGACCAAATCCCCTTCACAACCTGGCCCGCGTCGCCGAAACTCCTCCACAAACCTTGTCGAGTCTGATATACCTTGGCCAGATCACTTCAAAGGCCTTTCTCAGCTGCACCGGGCTTTGAATCTCGTATACACATTTTGTTGTACGAGGAAACACTTTGCTACCACGTGGGAGAACATAAAATCGGCGGTGGAAGGCCACATCAAGAAAGCATTGGTTGAGGAAGATGTGGCACAGGTCAAAGCCTTGGTTCCTCGTGCCATCAATTTTGCCTATGTCGACGATGAACATTTGAAGGTCACACTCATGGGAGAAGACGACGGCGTTAGAGATGGAAGAGCGGATCACTTTCGATCGCTAGAAGAAGATGAAAGCGGTCCCAAAGACACGTCGGGGGACACCAAAGAAGTTCTTCTGTTCGAGTTCATCGATGGTGACTTGAAAAGACAAGCCGTTGATCCGAAAACTTTGCAGCCCACCAAAACTGCACAGAAATCACGGAAGGAAAGTCTCAAGATACCAGTCTTTAGTCAGAAGTCCATGTTGAAGCTGATCGAAAAGCGGAATGCCAAGTTCACATCGGCGATAAATGCCTTTCTTAATCGGTGCGCTGAAGAGCAAAAGGATCCGGTCCAAGAAATTTTGGAATTGAAGCAGCAATATATTCCTTGTCCTTCCTCAAGCCGTCCAACCACTCCTGGCCCGCAGCTGGCGAGCCCACCAAAATCCATACCAAAAGAACGCAAATCCATTTCGGCCATTATCAAAGAGATCAGCGAAATGGACTGGTATAGCCATCAAATTGTCCCTGACGGTCATCGAGTTTTTGATCCACAACCGCCCATATATGGTGAGCTCCGTTTCCAACTTTCGCAAAATTTAGTCAATGCGCTCTACAATAGTAGAGGCATCAGCCAACTTTATTCACATCAAGCAGAAGCCATCAACAATTTACATGAGGGGCACCACGTCATCGTGTCGACTTCCACCAGCTCTGGAAAATCGCTAATCTACCAGATTCCGATGCTACACGAGCTGGAAAGAGATCCTGAGAGTCGAGGCTTGTATATCTTTCCAACAAAAGCTCTTGCACAGGATCAACGGCGAAGCATGAAGGATTTGTTGAAGTACATCCCAAGCTTTGAGAACACTATGGTCGAGACTTTCGATGGCGATACGCCCATGAAGGAGAGAAAGTTTATCCGAGACGAGGGCCGAATTATTTTCACGAATCCGGATATGCTTCATGTCACCATTCTACCTCAGGAAAGCGGGTGGAGAACTTTCCTTCAAAATCTCAAATTTGTGGTGGTGGATGAGCTGCATGTGTACAATGGTCTCTTTGGAGCCCATGTGGCATTCATAATGCGTCGATTACGACGAATATGTGCTGCGGTGGGAAACCGCAAAGTCAAGTTTATCTCTTGCTCTGCCACCGTAGCAAATCCCGAGGAACACATGAAAACGATATTCGGAGTCGACAAGGTCAAGCTGACGGACTTTGATGGCTCGCCATCCGGCCGGAAAGAGTTCATCTGCTGGAATACACCATACAAAGATCCCGGCGATCCCTCTTCCGGGCGCGGTGACACATTTGCTGAGACCGCTCGATTGATCTGTCAGTTGATTCTGCGAGGCGTTCGGACCATCGCCTTTTGCCGTGTGCGCAAGCAGTGCGAATTATTGTTGGCCGCGGTCAAGGCCGAGTTCGTAAATCTCGAAAGGCCAGAATGCGCGGCCCTGGTGATGGGATATCGTGGTGGGTATTCAGCACCAGACCGGCGCCAGATCGAATCCGAAATGTTTGGTGGTAAGCTCATGGGCATCGTCGCCACCACTGCGCTCGAACTGGGTGTGGATATCGGCTCGCTCGATGCAGTCGTCACTATGGGATTTCCCTACACGATCGCCAATTTGAGACAGCAAAGCGGTCGTGCCGGACGTCGAAATAGGGATTCGCTCTCCGTTCTTGTTGGAGATTGTTTTGCTGTGGATCAATATTACATGCAGAACCCCGATGAAATCTTCACGAAGCCAAATTGTGAATTACAAGTGGACTTGCGGAACGAGCTTGTGGTGGAGGGTCATATTCAATGTGCGGCCTTTGAAATGCCGATCCAGCCGGATGAAGATATCAAGTTCTTGGGAAAACTGCTGCCCGAGATTTGTGCGGAGCGCCTCGCCGGAGATCCAATGGGTTTCTATCACTGCAACGAGAGATTCCGGCCACTGCCGTCAAAATGTGTCTGTATTCGGGACACCGAAGACGACCATTTCGCCGTCGTCGACATCACCCATGGGCGCAATGTGGTCCTGGAAGAAGTTGAGCAATCTCGCGCTTTCTTCACTCTCTACGATGGTGGAATTTTCTTGCATCAAGGCCGGACGTACATCGTGAGAGAATTCTCTCCAGAGCGAAAAATAGCCCGCGTCCAGTTGGTCAAGGTGGACTGGACAACGCAGCAACGGGATTATACCGACGTCGATCCGATCGAGACTGAGCAGGTGCGCCGTGTGTGTTCGAATTCGCCGACCAAGGCGTACTTTGGCCGCATTAGAGTTCATGCGCTTGTCTTTGGCTTCTTCAAAGTCGACCAGAAAGGCCGAATTCTCGATGCCGTCGCTGTCGACAACCCGCCCGTCATATTCTTCTCGAAAGGACTCTGGCTTGATGTACCCATGTTCGCCCTCGAGATTCTCAAGGAGAAGCGCCTGAATCTGGCTGCTGCGATTCACGCCGCAGAACACGCGGTCATGAGCCTGATGCCGCAATTCGTGGTCAGCATGCCCGGCGACGTGCGGACAGAATGCAAGAACGCTCTCAAGGAGTTCGCCAAGAGGGAAACCCAGCGTAAGCGACCGGCCCGCCTGACGTTCTACGACGCCAAAGGCGGCGCCGCGGGCTCTGGGATCGCGGCCAAGGCATTCGAGTTCATCGATGTGCTCCTGGAACGCGCCGTCCAGCGCGTCTCAGCATGCCATTGTCTCGAGGGTTGTACGGAATGCATCTGCGACGAGCGGTGCAAGGAGAAGAACATGATTATGAGTAAGGCGGGCGCGGAGGTGATTTTGAAGAGTCTCCTTGGCATGGAGATCGATGTGGACGCGTTGCCGGAGGGAGAGGAAGAAAGAGTACCCGCCGGAGTTGAGACGGTAGTCTTCGCCCCGGAAGTTATGGGTCGGAACGGCCAGCGGGTAGTTGCGAAAGATTTTGTCAAGCGTGAGAAGAGTGATGATGATTGTATCGTCATCAAAGACGAGCCTGTTGATTGACGAGTGGGGGTTATGACAAGTGGAACAAGAATGCATTGGTGATTGATATCCCTTCTCTCTATATATATCCTTCTATCTCGCGGACTCTGTTGCTTCTAACCCTCTTGTCACATTCTTCACAAAGACCTCTGCTTCCTTCTTCATTCCCGCCACATCCATCGTCCCGGACCCGTACGCCCTCGCAACTGCTGCCTGGACCTCCTCGTCCTCGAAAAGGGCCTCGTCCCTCTCCGGCCCTTCCATCGCTACCACCGCCCGCCAGTACTCATCGTCCACACCCTTGAGGCCGGGATTCCGCACCACGGCATTCCGCGCTATCGCGTATGCGCGGAGATTCGTCTGGGCGACCTGCAACGACAGGTTTGCTTGCTTTAAGAGTTCTTCGGTCCGCCGGCGGACGAGTTCCGAGTCCGTAGCGGACCCTGCGGTGAAGAGGAGGAATCGGCCCGTGGCGGAGGCGTAGATGAGAAATGCAATGATCGCATCGAACAGGCAAAGAACCAGGCATCGCAGGGTAGATGCAGTCCAGAAGATGCCGGCAGGGGCAGGGGTTTTCGAATCGACGATTGGCGCGAACATGCTTGTCATGGCGACGTCGATGCTTGCGAGTGCGAAGACGCCTAGCAGTGTACGTCTGCGCCAGCGGCTTGCTTCGAACCCGGAGACGGTTTCGGAAGTTGCGAGACCGATACACAGAATATGGAAGAGATGGGGCAACAGCACATTGTTGGGGAGATGATACAGAAGATAGGAGAACTGGTCATCTGATTGGCAGAACGAGCAATTCAGAAGCGTCGAGGGGCCGAAACGGAGATATATTTGGCGAAGGCTTCATCAATTATCTTAGTTGAATTTTAGTTTTGCCTTGGAAGTGCAGATACATACGCTTGGGAGCCGAGTTTGAAGCGCAGAGCCTCGTCAATCGGCGTCAAAACTCTACCTTCTCGGAACAAGGCTAATCGTGTGAACAGCGTATCGGTTTCTAGTGATATTCGTGACTGAGTGACGACAAAGATGTTGTGGTCTTCGAGGTTACCCCTAAATGGCAATGAGGCGTAGAGAAAGACACATATTGCTGCGAAAAGGACGTTGAGTCCTCGACCCGTCTTCTTGGGTAATGGTCTTGGTGGGGGCCTGGTGCGGATAGCTGTCTTGACTACTCGATAGTAGTTGATGGCGCGTGGCAGGACGAATGTGAATAATAACGGCCAGAAGGGCTTGATGCTGTGGTTGACACAGTCAATTAGCCTTTCATTGTTTGGCAGAGAAGGGTGAGAGCGCAGTACTTTTCCAGCAATGTCATTTCGGGGGGCAGCTAGTCAGATTTCACATCAGATTTCAGTACCCCAGGCAAAAGCATGGACGTCACCTGTTGGAGGAGAGTGAATTTTCTTGGAGTCTTTTGATATCAATGGGATTTAAATGAGGTAGAGATTGTATGTAAAGGGGGTTGAAAGGCCAAGTGTTACGAAGGCGACGCCATCTTCGAACCGGAAAAAAAATTTCCCGAGGAGAAGCATCCTCATCTCCCCCCGGATCGCAGTACCATCTTGGGAGACTTACTTCCAAGAGACGAGCTCCGAGCAGGCTGTCTCATCAAACTTCCTGCAACCGTCTATGATCTTCAGCTATGACCGCACGAAATTCCTGTCGTCCCCTAGGCTCGCGCACATTCTTGGTAGCTGAGAACTTCGGTGCCTAGGACCTACGAGCTGAAAATGGGTGAATCGAAGCCCGAAGGAGAATCGCATCAACGCAGCCTCATGCCCCAAAGGGCCCATTGACTCTGCTCTAGATTCGACCTTCCGCCGTTATTCTCATTCAAGCGAGAACTTCTCTTGAACACAAACGGGCTACAGCGAATACTTTTTGACGAGAGACATTTCAACGCCTGGGTGTCTACCACCGCGCTTTTGGCGAGAACTTCCATCCCCATGCAAAATCTCCCAGGTCAATCGGCTACCTTCACCCCCCAATGACAGCGATATCGCAACCATTGAGAGGCTCGATGTTCGAAATTATCTTGCCAGCAAAGTGTGCTTGAAGTTTGTCCTTTTTCTGCTCGAATACGTTCTTACCAATTCATCCCAGGAGAAGTTCGAGATCTTTATTCTGCCGACTGGTCCCGGGTTTGAAGGCCGGCTACGGCTAGTGTTCGTTGTTCCATCTTGATTTGACCCGGAGCCCTCCTAATGGCTGTCGGCATCTAGTTTCTATGAACGGAGACCTGACCATGGTCCTTTACTTTCCATGGGCTCGAACGAGTTCAAGGCCATCGAAGAGGATTTCAAGCTGCACCCTTCCACACTGCAGTATATTCCAAGGACGATGAAGGCATCGACGTTTGGGAATAAGGAAAAGCGGTATTCTCAGTATTACTTCCAACTCGCGAATGTGTCGCTCGACGAATGACATGCTCACTATTGCCTTTGTTTGAATAGGTGTGATTCTTTCATCCCCCCCGACGCCGCTCATATGCTTTTCCAATATCTCCTTGAGCTATAATATCCAGTCAAAAGTCACAAGTGCTCTAATCGGAGAGCTTCCTGATGCTCGACATACTGATGTTCACGCTCGAAACTCATATCCTCCTCGACATTCGCGATGTCGAAAGAATTGAAAAGATTGTCGCTGACTTACCACCCTTGGATATGGACAAGCACCCAGGAGCAGACCGCGAAAATATCACTCAATTGGTGACTGATCTGCAAAACACCCTCAAAGGTGCCATCAAACTTCTTGATGCCGCCCATTGGATGCAGAGAACGGCGGCCATGTTACTTGAATTCGGTCAACAGCTGGATGAAATAACTCCCGATGGCGCGCCCGGGATCAAACGAGAATGGGCTGAGATCAAGGATTTTCTGCAAGATTTGGAGAGGGTGACAGCATATCTTGAACCCCGACCCCGTTATGACGCAGCAACGATGCCAATCCCAAATTCATATTGTGGGTGAACAAGATACCTTTCCCGAGCAATGATTATTGACTCCTTTCACCAGCTCAACAGCAAAATGGCACAAGAAGACAACGTGTCAGCGTCACGCATGGCAGTTTCTGCCACCAGAGACAGCTCTTCGATGAAGGTCCTCGCTGTTATCACAGCCCTTTTCCTTCCAGGCTCGTACATCGCCACTCTCTCCGGCATGTCGATGTTTGATTGGCAAAGAGGTGGCGACTCATCGAACACGACCGGCTCCAATGGAACGTCCACCGATGCCAGGCCCGGGGATGATATTGTCATGCCATACATCTGGATATACTGGGTCATCACAATTATCCTTACATTCATCGTCATGATCAGTTGGCGCATCTGGTTTACGACTCAGGACCGCAAATTTAAGAAAGAACTACCGAGACTTGTCGAACCTGGATCGGCAGGCAAGAAGAATCAGCCCCGGAGATTCTGGAAAGAGTTCCTGGGTATCAAATGATTTGAAAGGGAGAAATGCGATGTGCAAGCTTTTCGCCGCGACAGAAACGAGTCTGCACTTTTTTTTTTTTAAGGTCAATATCCGCGCGGTTAGCAGTAACCAAACAACAAAGACATGCTGTACGAGACGGATGCTCGAAGACCCGGAACAGGGAACGCAGAACGATTGCCATCGGTTAAGTGATCTCATGATACTTGACAGAACTTGACATGGATCTTGGAGAACGTAACCAATCCCCAACCAGAAGTGTTTGTTATGTGGAAAAATGCGCCCTCTATAAACTCCTCGCTAACCCTGTTCACTAGTTGTCTTGAGCATCAGGAAGAGTCCAGTGCAGATTCGCAGTAGCCATGTTGATGGATTCCAACCCGGTAGCTCGAATTCGTGTTATTTCTTCTTTGGCTGGGCTGCTGCGGCGGCCTTTGCGGCCTCGGCTGTTGTCGTAGTTCGTCAGACTGTCGCTCGCTTCCAACTGGATACCTCCATGTGATACCAACCTTTAGCCTGTTTTTCTCGCATAATAGCCGCCTGCGCTTCTTTCGTTCGTTGAAACTCCGTGCCAGACTGTGTGTTCTTCTTTTTCTACAGGCGCAACAGGTGTCAGCCCCCAGTTGACCGTCATGTCGAGGCATGGGAAATACGGGGTCCGGATGCTCGCAATATCGACGGATAGTAAACGAAGAAGTCGGAGGTTTGAAGGGTCGTAGTCGTGCTGAGCTGATACCTACTTGTGCGGCTTGCTCCTTGAGATTCTTCTCACGAGCCTTTTCCCTCTGGTTACCACGAGTCATGTTTGCAATGGTGGAGGGTGACTAAGAAATTAGCGGATTCGAATATCAGAATGAGAGTGATCACGATGAAGTCGAGAAGTCGTTACGGCACACAAAGATCGGTGAAGGGCGCAGGCAGAGTATCAGCAAAAAGGATTTCTATTTCGAGACCGCCGTTCCAGTCTGCATGGGTCTCGGCAAAGTTGCGTCGTCTGATATTTCCCGAGCCCCAATGTGGACTGCGACATACTCCCCGATATTCTGCTCTCTCTTTTCTTGTTCTCGAGCTCACTGCTTCCCCCCCCCCACAGTGCTCTAATGTCACGATGTATTCTTAACTGGAGCCATACTTCTCTTCCTCCCCCTCGCAAGGCTGCCACAATTGTGAAAATGGGCTCGGCGTCAAGGGGCCAACAAGTGAACGGCCTGAAGCGTGTTTCAGGTATTGGCCGGATTCAGAACGTCGTTCAACCACAACCACTCGTTTGCCTAGCCTCTCAAAAGCCTGAGGAAGTCATGCCATTTGCAGCACAAACCTGACAGTCACTGAATCGTCCGTCTGCGGGCTCGATCAGTCTCAATGTGGCGGAAGGTGAAGGTGTCCTCTGCTTTGAAACCAAATTCGATGTCTTCTCAGACAGAACGTACATCTTACCAATGAACACGTCTTTCTCGTGGAATACCCAGCGCATATACTACAGCTTCATCTCGCGCTTTCGCGGTTACCACAATCGTGACTCTGAGAGCTCCATCGAGATCAGTTCCAGCTCAAAAGATCATTGAAGACTTGTCCACTCTGCCGCTCCCTCCATTCCAGTCTACCACCGTTACTCTCTCACTTTTCAATGGTGTTCCCTTCACTTCTCTTCATCCTCTGCCTGTTCAATAGCCCTTGGCTCTCCTATTGTTCCCATTCGACATATGTTTTCTCAGATTGAACTACCAGTTCCCTCTCTCAGCCATTTACTCAACTATTTTGATCAAATCTACCCATCATATCATTTCAGCAATAATCCTCCAGATCTCCTCCACCCCGAAATAAGTTCATTCCAAAAATTCACACTCATTCTAATCCAACATCAACCACCATGCTCTTTTTCGGAAAATCGCTAGCCGGCGCTGGTTACGTCGTGCTCAACGTCATCCGAGTCATGAACATAATATCTCTCCTCACTGTGATTGCTGGAAGCTCAGTCATGCTGGTCAAGACTTTTGTCGTATCCCACTTCTTCTTCTTCTTCGATGCCTGCGAACATGTCATCCGAGTCATCCTAAGCGGTATGTCGTGATGACGAGGACGGGGGCATATCATACTAACGCGCCCCAGGCTTCCTCGTTCTCACCGAACTTCCACTTTTCAAATCTTACATCGCTCGAAACTGGCCCCTGTTCAGTGCGCGAGCCAGCTTTGTCATGCTAGGAGTGGCCATGATATGCCTCGGAAATAGCATGCTGGGGAATCTCAACAAACAAGCAACGAGTCAAAAGAATCTAGGCTTACCATTTTGGCGTCTGGTCATTGCTTCAGGGATTATCGTCTTGGTTATGGGCCCAATCAACATCTTAGCAGTAGGTGGCCAGGAAAGACAGGTTGAGTGAAATGGGCTGACATTCTTTGACAGAGCTATGTTTTCAGAGACACCAAGGCCCATCTCACAGCTCGACAAGTCCGATCTCATGGTGCTGTCGCATCGCACAAAGCAGACGTCGAAGCTTCAACACCCAAACCGCCAAGCCGTCGCAGTCACTACCGATCATTCTTCCTCGGCAGCAAACGTGATTCCCTCCCTTCATACTACTCTCGTAAGAACACCGACCGCAGTGACATGACACAGACACCCAAGGTGCATATGGCCATCTCTAGGCCATTCCCACAAGACCAATCTTTGGCACGAACCGCACAAAGTCCAGGGGCATCAAGCTCCAAGTACAGCCAAAGCCCTAAGAGCGAACGATACGCCATGAGTCCTGAACTCAGCAGGCCAGATTTGGCACATCATCCTGCCATGACACAGGGACATGCTCTTTGAGAAGGAGTTGAAGCTGGAGATGTGTTCAAAAAAAGGGGGCCAATATCGGACGGTTAATTACGAAGTGGAGCCGATGATGATGGACATAACCACGAGTGATCTACATGGCGTTAAGGACTCAAATTACATGACAAAGGTGGACTAGAGAACCTGGTCAAAAAGGCCATGAATTTAACAGCCAGAGCCTTGCGCCCCTGCCTGGCCTTGTGTGTTCCCATAACAGTCGACCAGAGAGCGATGCTGGTAGGATTCCTCATCCAAGACATAGTAATTCCTGACGAGATACGAACAGAATACGACCGAAATACTCTCAATCCCACTCTTCTCTCCGTGATGAGCTGAATGGCCTCAGCCAGCTCAGCCCCGCAGTGATGCATCGCAAGACATGACCCGGGCAACGTCACAGGACCTGATCTCTGTCTGCCCTGAAGTTCGAAAGAAATGGTGACGAGGGTTAATTACTAACACTGTTCGGTCCATCAAAGCACCATTGTCCTAGAGCCCCAGACCCCGTTTCGCCGTTTCAGACCCAAAGTCCGCAGTCTGGCCCCCCTCTTTTCTTAATTCGCCACTTCTCGTGCATTTTGCCGCCTATGCTTTTTTTTTTACCTTTTGCCTTACCCATGGTTTTCTTTGGTCCTCCCTATCCCACTTTCCCTCGATCCAGTTCCCCTCCAGCGCCCAGGCTACCTGCGGTCTACCTCCCTGCCGACTCCTCCGCCCGTCCCTAAAGTAATGGTACCTTAGTACGCGACCTAGCTGACCTCTCATGGACTCCATCACGCCGCACCACCATGTATGTCACCCTATCTGGGTAAACTGCTTGCCCAACATGGCAGAAAGAGCTGAAGTTCATGATCCAGCGGTGCAAGAATCGCCACTTGAGTGGGACCTTGGTCGTTTCCTTCGGGCTTGACCTGGTGCTTCTGATACCTTAGTGACCTTGGAGGGGGTAGGAGGTTGTGTGGCAAATGAGATAGGGATGAAGAAGGGAGAGGGAGCCTTTACAAAAGCGACATGTTTGTTCAATTCAGCTTCTTACACTGTTTGCTTCGACTTAATACGACCATTCTTCAAAGACTTGACGAGCTTCAACAGAAAATACCTCTGGACAAGGAGAGCAGTCCATGAGAGAGGGACAATGGTCGGAAGGGGAAACGCTCTCCCTGTCCATCTACGAGCTATCGGAGCTCCTTCAGCTACAACGATGGCTTCGGTATATGAGTGTTGGGACGAGGGACAGCTCACCTTCCAAGAGCCGTGAAGTACATGTACCCCCGTACCCATGTACCATTGTACCTCTCCACCTTTTCATCCTGACTCCACAGCTGCGGACAAACTTTGGGCAGCTCTCTTTCTTCAGCTCCTGCACGGCTTTCATGTAGCTGTCCCGCTCAAGCCAACCGCAGTCAACACATCTTTCCATGCTCATCCCCACCTTGGACGGAAAATGACCCATCATCACCCGCTACTGAAGGGGGTTTTTCGCTGTTCTCCCGATTGTTAGTGCCTATCTCCCACTCTCGGACCAACTCCCTCCGTGTCGGGATCACAGTCTTGACTGGATTTAGGTACCCTCGATCAGGCTGATCGTAAGAAAAAGCAAAGATTGTCTCTCGTCTTGCTCAATCTGACGCAAGCGAAATCTCAATCTCATCGTACCCCCGTGAAATTTTACAGATGCACGGTCAGACAACTCTTCTTCATTTTTCATCTCCGTGAGGAGTCAAGCATTATTGCCTCCCTACACAAAATTGGTTTCGCCTCGCCATTCCTTCGGCCCATCTCAGATCTACTCCGTGGCAATCTCGATAAAACAATCTCGCTTTCCTGAACCTCGTCTTCTAGATGTCCATTCAAAAGGGGGAGGTACTTCACCTCGGGCTATCGCCTGGTTCGGCTTTTCAATGTTCGGACATTTTCGTTCCATGCGTTTTCACTAGCCATTTTCGCGTGCCTCGCTCTCTGTATCTGTGACCAAAAACCTCATCGGGAGAGTTCTTGGCCGCTGAGTAAGTACATACCGCATTCTGGCAGTTAACAAAATAGTCGCGGACCGTCTCTGGAGCTTGGGAAATAAAATACCCATACAAGAACACTTGGGGGCCAATTGTGATACCATTTCCCATATAAAAACGGTTGATCGCCGGCGGGCCAAATTGTGCTACGAATCCCATCTCATTCTAGAGAAACCGTGTATGCAGGATTATGAGGTTCCATTTCTGAAGAACATGGATCTTCTTTGCGAGTGTAGCAGCGATTTGCTAGATATTCTAGCTCTGTTTCTTCCCGAGTGCTGACCCTGATCCTGATCCTGATCCAAACATAAATTCGACAAGCCAACAAAACAGAAACCCAAACGCCATCGCTCCAAGTCTGCCGGGATTTGAGATATTGAGTGGCTCATTATTTCGTTTGACTGTGTTTCGTTCTTTCCGCTTTCGTGAGAGGAGAAAATTGCGATGTACTACAGTGCAAACGAGTCGCATCTCTTTGCATCGCATTTCCATCTCCATCCCCATCCATTCCATATTCGGCCGGACATCTCCATAGCAGAAGAGACTAGACACTATCAATAACCAACACGAACTGATGGAAGTATCTGGTCTAGGGAGACATCATTTCGTCGTGATTCCTTCCAACTCAGTCCCTTGTCGGCTTCTACGTTGATCTTTTCATCCTCCCATCCCGTCCGATGTCTTTCACGTAAACATCCAACTACTCCTCCGACTCCTCGCTGGACTCTTACTCTTTTCACGGACAAGATACATCCGATCCCCCTTCTTCACGACATCATTCGGCGTTAGCGTCGTAATCGTCTTGGTCTCCTTGATGTAAGGCCCCGTAATGAGTTTGCGTTCTTTAAGCCGTCTCGTATGCTCGAACAGCTCATCCTGTAAATTGTGGTCGATGTACTTCTTGATGATGATGAATTCTTCGTCTCGCTATAGGTACCACCGCAACACCGTCCAAAAGTTAGTATGCGTACCTCATTTATTCTCTTTTCAGGGCTGAAAGGAGATAACACGGGAGGAATTCAGTGGGGAAAAAAAAGAAGAAATTGGTGTACTGACCCCATCCCATTCCCACGGCAAACCGTACGCATCCAGTGTGTCGGGATGCAGATATTTGCGATTGACTTTGATATACGTTGGTCGATGCAGGTCGATGGCAAGCGTGGCTTGCTCTTCTTTCTTCTTGTGCAGGACTTCTTCAATGTATTCGGCGCTGTAGCCTGTAATTTCACCCAAAAAGCAAAGCCAAAAACGATTAGCAAGAGAAATCGAAATCCCCGAAAGAACCCTCCTCTTGCTGCTACTGCCGCCAAAGAAACTTGGTTGCTAGTAGTAATAACGATGGGTGTAGGACCTGGGGGGCATCATACCAGCTTTCATGAATTTCTCTTTGACTTTGCGCTCGAATTCCTCTTCTTCCTTTTTCTTCTTTTCTTTCTCTCTCTGAATTCTCTCTTCTTCATCTTTGAGGATTTTTTTCCTCAGTGCTTCCTGTTCTTCCTTCTTCTTCTCCTCTTCAAGTTTAGCCTCGAGTAAAATGACTTCTTTCTCTTTTCGCTTGCGGATCTTCTCTTCTTCCTCTTCGAGTTGCCAGCGTCGCCTATCTTCTTCACGTGCCCGTTTGATTTCGTCTTTTATCTTGCGCTCTTCTTCCTCCTTGCGCGACATGCGGCCGTAGTCGATTTCCCGGCGCAGGTGGTAGGGCAGCTCATGTTCGGATATGCGCTCGCTTCGGCGGCGACTGTGGCGGGACCGTGAGCGGGAGGACTCGCAGCTCGAGCTCGAGGAGGAGCGGTATCGGGAGCCGTGACGTCGGTGACGGCTGTGACTGTGGCCGCGATCAGAGGGGAGGCCGCCGATGTTGACGATGGTAGGGGCCGGTCCGCCGCCTGCGCTCGAGGCACGGGGACGAGGTTGCGGCACCCCTAGATAGTTGTTGACCACGGCTTCGGCGGGCGAGCGACGACCATTGCCTCCACGACGTGATCGCCCATACTCGCTGCCCGCATGGCTGTGTACTGGCATCAACACATATTCGGCCTCGGAGCCAGAGGAGCGACGAGAATAGGGCATGGTTTCTGGCTGTTTGTTACCCCTCCGGATTTAGCGCACTTTCAGCCCTAAGGCTTTGTCGGGGCCAGTATCGGTGCAGTGGCGGTGGGGTAACAAATGCCCGAATTCTGCGGTGAAGGCTTGCCGGGACGCAGGGGAAGATTCAACGGGATCTTCGAAATTTCGGTCGTCGGGTCTTTCGTAGCCCGAATAGAGGGTGAGGGAAGAAATAGAAATGAAGAAAGTGTCGACAGTAATCTCAGCTCGTGGTGGGGATGTCGTTGGGTTTTATCAACGGACGACTGAGAGCGGTCTGGTCAAAAGGTGTGATGCTGCCGCCGGACGTATGCAGAAGCCTGGAGGGCAGCCACAAGTTTTAAATTGGGGGCCAACCGAAAGCCGCACCAAATGATAGTGGTGAACCAAATTAATAACCAGAAGTCACTCTGTCAGGTATTGTATAACCTAGAATGGCCGCAAGCCATCCCTCTATTCAACTTGGCTCCAGGCCAGTTTCCGGTGCTACTGAACTTCAAATCACGCAGGTGTTTTGGTCGCTTCTTGTTCTCTTCATGGCACAACTGGCATAATGAGTCAGAGAAGCGTTTGGACAAGCGCCAGAACTCAGTCTGTTTCTTTTAGCGATCTCCCGGGGGGATGAAACGACTTCTGTATAAATTGATCACTGCGTTTCAGCACACAGCCGAAACCAAACTATCTTCGGCAACATAACTACGCTACGGGTGGTACTTTGGGCGCCTACGTTACGCCTCCATCATCATGGAGCGTCATCCACTCTCTTTCGGTTTGGATCTTTCGTTCGTTTTTTTTTTGGGGGGGTGGCAGCCTAACATGCCCCTCGTGACACACCATCGTAATACCAACTTTCCCTGCGTCAATCTCCTCCAATGGCTGCGAGTGCTGCAACAGAAATCCTCCCAGCTGAATTTGGCGGGGAACTTCCGATTGTTTAAAGGTGATGTCCTCCTGTGTCCCGCCTTGAGGCTCAAATATGAGGCAATGGTGCATATTCCAAAGCAACCACATGACTGCGCTATGATTCAGCATCGGCGGTCCGCATGCAACCATCCTGGCGATCGCTCAGTTCGCCGAAATACGGGAGACTCGCACATATCAGTCCCAAGTCTGGGTGACCACGGAGTTTGAAAGATCGTTCATCCCCATTTGTTTTGAAAAAGTGGTGTCGTGTGACAATTGACTCAGGTTCCCGCAGGGCAGTAGACGGCAACTGAGCAACCCTAAGGACGAGAACCGGTCTGCAGGATCTTCTCAATATGTTGTCGGCTGTTCTTGAAGGTAGTTTCTTGATAGTGCAATTTCTTTTCCCACTCCGCGATTTCTTTGTTCAAGGTATTGGACTCGGATTCTAATCGCTTGTTCAAAGTTGAAACGGGCACGGCGACAAACCTGGGAAATGAAAGCGTTAGCATCGCAGCTTGGTCAAAAGCCCACAGAAAATTGCCTACATTTTCCCCACTCCCTCGTACACGTTTGTGTCTTTGGACAGAGATTTGAGCTCATTGGATGTCAGGTGGTTCAATCGTGCATCGCGTCGTTTAGCGTTGAGTTCGGCCTGGGTTTGAGTGATTTTCTGCTGGGAAATCACTGCCTGCGTCTCGACTTCTTCGAGCAACTGTCGGACTCGATGTGAGCAGATGGTGACCTCGAGAGGAGACGAGGCAAACCTTTTGCAGAGCAGCGTTTGGAATGGCCATTTTTGGACGTGGCGGATTGCAATACGTGATGTGAGGGAAGTTGAGATTTGGAGCCTCAGATCGATCAACCTTGTCTAACTATGGCACGCCCAAGAGAGTCAGGATTTCCGAGATGGTTGCTGAACAGTGGTTGATGGCGCGGGCTCCGGCAATTGAAAATAGGAATGGACGGCACTGGCGCCAACAGCTTTTACCTAAATACTAAGTAAGCCTCTCCGGCTGCTCGAGTTAGGTACCCTGGTACATATTGCAATCGTTGATAGGCCACTTCCTCCTTGGTACCGGGTATTCTGAACGGAGGAGTGATACGTCATCTGTCTGGGTGAAGGAATAAGCAGCAAACCAAACAAAACTGCGCCCAAGGTACCATAAACAGGTTCAACTCTGTTCCACCAACTTCTGTCTGAACTCCGGAATCAATTCATTTATGCAGATCCCTCCGCATCCGAGAACGTGGATTGCCTTAAAATCCAGCAAAAATACCTGCATCTTTTGGTCGACATGAGATCTCTTTGACCTTCGAAAACCCCAGGCTATTCATTCATCATCCTTTGGCAAGGATGCCCGCATGGCTCCCCTCAATTCCATATCCCTCCCCAAATCAGCGAGGGTTTTGGGATCCTGTTACATCAACTCTCCAGTGGTGTGAAGAGGTACAAGATCAAAGATTCAATATCCCTCGGAGTTCTTGACTGATGGAGGTACCCAGGACTACTATGCCACATATTATTCCGCCGAGATCATCAATACCCTTACCAATTTGATGTTCATCTACCTTGCATATAAAGGGGTCAAAAATTGCCGAAAACATGGGCACGACACCGTCTTTGAGGTTGCATATTTTGGGTATTTCCTCGTTGGATTTGGGAGCTTCATGTTCCATTCAACATTAAAATGTATGTCGTCGTGCACGGATAAATTCCTTTTGACCAACTCGTCAACTTGCTGACGTTCCCAGACCCCTGGCAGTTGGTGGACGAACTGAACATGATCTACACCACTTGTCTGATGGCATATGCCAGTCTTTCATATGCTCGTCCGGCCTCCGTGCAGATATCCCTCGGCGTCTTCTTCGTGTTGTTCTGCGCCTTTATTACCTTGTATTACCACTATCTCCAAGATCCAGCATTTCACCAAATTGTGTACGCTGCATTGACTCTCTTCATCGTTTGTCGAAGCATATACAGCATGGAGTTTACTCTGCGACCATCGCTGAGACAAAGTGAAGAGAGACACCGCATAGAGAGAGAACGCCGGCGCCTCCCAGCTTTGACGAAAGAACAACAAGACTATGAAAATAGACGAGATATGGAAATCCTCAAGAACATGTGGTACCTGGTGGGTTTTGGTGTATCCGTATTTCTTGGTGGTTTTGCCATTTGGTCACTCGACAACAAATATTGCTCCACGTTAAGACGATGGCGGCGGAGCATTGGAATGCCCTGGGGATTTTTCCTAGAAGGTCATGGCTGGTGGCATTTGATGACGGGCATCGGAGCTTACTGCTACATTGTTTGGGGCATTCATCTACGGCACATCTTAAACGGCCATCAAGAACACTTCCAAATGGTCTGGCCTAGGATATATCGATTGCCTGAGATCGTAAAGGTGTCGGAGCCTTCAAGCAAACTGAAAGAAAAAGTCGCGAACGGGAGTGCCAATGGAAGTGCCCACGGTGCCGCAAATGGGAGTGTGAAGAAATTAAATGAATAGCCATAGAGCGTTGGGATGAATTCTTGGATCAGAATTGAGAATTGAGGAATAACCCAGATGGCTTTCTGAGCCTTCTGTTTCCCATTTATTCCCTGGCCCTATCCATTATAGCCGATACGAGTATCTTTGAACACGGAGGTATATGATGATCACCAATCTAGACCCCATTTCAGGAAAGGTTCCCCCGTAGATCCGAGACGGTCAACTTGAACACGGCACTCTTTGTGTTGGGAATATGAATGATTGGTGAGGCTGTTTGTAGCACAGAGAAAGCAAAAAGGATCTCGACTTCCGAGGATCTCGGCTTAACGGGACTATGGCCAGGACAAGAACTTTCGTGGCAGTGATCTCTATCGAGCACTCATTTTCATCCGCTCCAGATTCATGTTGCCGGATTTCATCTCGGGGGACATTCTGAAGAACGCCACGTTCGAATTCCTTGGGAGTTTAAGCTGCATTATTGAGAAGAAAATGGATGATACTAAAGTCAGGCACCATAGTACCAACCTTTGCAGGCGAGCCATTGTGATGCACAAGCATTCAGAAATGTCGTAAAGGAACGAACAAAAGACAAAATGACACAGATGAAGACAACAGGAAACAGGCAAAGGTCGCGGCCGAAGGGGCGCCCGACAATGCTAGAAGACATCATACCGTCCAAAGATTCGTCGAGGGAGGTGAGACTGAGATCCATACCTTAGGCAATGAGAAGATGTGAGATGCCATCAACACCGTCATGAAATAGCTCCACCATGATGTCTTAAGACTGGAATGCTCGTGTCACGTTGGGAGATGCAACTTTGGGTATCAATGCGGCACACGCTTTGGACCAAACAGCATTTGGCCAGCTGGATCTGTGGAGCATAGATTCCTCAACCTTCATCCCAAAGACCTAAGCACTGAAATGCTCCCAAAATTTCATAGCGATTTAGTGAAGGGGAATCTGACCGAGAGGAGAAGGAAAGGAGGGACGGGAGGGAAAGGAATGGGAGCCTGATTTGACTAGGAGCGGAAAGATTCTTGGCGCAGTCTCATTGGCTGCTTCCCAAGATTTCCCTCGGTCCTTCACGGGCATTATGCTCTACTCGTCCGTATCTGCTTTCCATTTCTCCATGCTTGTGCTAGAGACAGCCGTTCGATATTAGCTGAGATGATGGAAGGCTTTAAATCTCGTTCACGCGTCAAAGGAAATCGACGCTTCTAAGTAATGAAGCATCACCAATACCACACACTCCACCAGCCACCCAGATGCGAAGACTTCGAGCCTTTCACAACCGCCCTGACAACCTTTCTATACTCTAAATCATGCCATTATCTCCCTAAAATCAAGATCCTTCAGTCTCTCCTTCGCCCCTTCAGACTCATCATGGCCGGTCCCCCACCCAGCTCAACCACCGCCTCAAATATCCTCTCTACCCATCGCGCCCTTCTCGATACCCTCACATCCTTCCTTACTGTCACGACCCATCACATTCTCTATCTCCGTCGTCTCTATCCTCCCATCTCTTTCCTTTCTGTCCGAGCGTATAACTATCCTGTACGGCAAAACCGTCACCCGGCAGTCTGCACTTGGATCAATGACGCCATCACAGCAATCCGTGACCAACTCGAGAAAAACACCGTCGAGCAAGTCTCGCTATGCATTTACGAATGCAAACGAAACAGGGTGCTTGAACGCTGGACGTTTGACCTCCGCTCCGTCCCCGCCGTTGTCAAGCAGGATCGTGATATCCCCTTCGAGCCTGGCCCTCAAACCTCTTCTGAAGACGGAGACATATTGAATCGCGAATTGAACGTCGCTGACTTGGAGGCAACCTTTCGGGCCACATTATCTCGGATCAGTACGTCCGCTGCGAGGCTAAGGCCACTCCCGGAAGGCCCCAGTGCACCAGAATGCAGTTTTACTTTATCCGTTGAGATCAAAGACCATGCCGACAGACCAGTCGGCCGCATTGAAAAGGAAGAGCGAAAATGGATGGCTGCCGAGCCAGAACCTTTCCCTGTTGCTTCTCAATCAAATTCTCCCGCCAACCTTGAGGAAGGTAAAGAAAAGACCGTCTCCGGATCAATATCGCCCAAGACCCACGCGGTCCGACGTTTGGAGGCTGGTGAACTTCGCATGGAAGTCTGGGTCGAAGAATCCCCCGCCAAATTCGAGTTCGACGTCCCCGAGTCCCAGTCTTTGTCCCCGTCCGCAACCATGGCCGCGAAAAGAGCAGCAAACATGTCCTACGGCGCCGGAAAGGAAAAATTCGACCTAGAGAACGGCTACGATCTTGAGCCTGCGGATGTGAATCGGAAACCCCATGGTGGGGCCATGTCGGATTACCAACGGGGTTGAACATATGGGAATTTCTACATTGTTAATGCATACTTAACGTCAAGGAGATGCTGGATACTTCATTCGTCGGTCTTGTTTGGTTCCATTCCGTCTTCTCCTTGTGCCATCGAAGTCCTTCATTCTAATGGTGTCATCACTCTAGGAACTATATTCCTTCAGGGGGCCGTGAAAGGACTGACATTCTCACATCTCATGCAAGGAAGTATAACCACTGCTCTCACCATAAGCCTCCTCCGGAGCAGGGAACGTGAGACAAAGACAAAGAATCGCTCCGGATGTTTTTTTCATTTCATGAATCTCAACACTATCGGGGCGTTTATTCATGCAGCAGCTGTCACACTAATACCATACGTTTGAGTTATCCGCAGCGCCTCCTCTGAGCTAGGTCAACAATAATTGATGTCCGCAGCACCCACCTTGTGGCAGCCAACGACAATATTATCAGTCGTCCGTAAAACCTTCTTCACGCCAATAATAATACCCGATATCCGCGGCGACCACCTCGTGACCGCAAAACAATTCATAATAGGCGAAGTGTTCTTTCAGCGTCCTTCCTCGCTCATTCGGTGTCACAATGGCGATCATGAAAAGGAAGTAGAATGTGTATGTCTTCGTTGATGATTTAACGGTGTCCATGACGATGTCCATATCGTGGAGTATTGCCATCACGTTCGAGAATATCTGCAGCTCTTCGAACGCCACTTGCAGCGGCTGCAAGACGTGCGAGGTCATCGTCAGGATCCTGAGGCGTCATCGCTCCCACTGCTGGAGGTTGGATCATCGGAGGTGCCATTCGTGGAGTCATTGCAAGTGGACGATTGTCGTTTGTCTGGGCACCAACATGTTCGCCTCCCGGACTCGCCATCATTGGTAGCAGTGGCATGAGACCGGACAAGTCGAAATCGAGTTGCCGATTTGGATTGTGCAGCCGCGGACGGAAACCTGGTGGAAAATCAAGTCGAGCCCCATCAACAACAGCTTGTCGATGGATTTCATTGAGGCGACGGAGATCTTCTACCCCCTTTCGCAGGTCACCGAAATGGTTTTCTCTTTGTTCCCCCACTCGATGTATTTGGTCAAAAGCAGCCTCTAAAGCGGGATTTGGTCGGAGCTCTTGCGCAGCACGGTAGCGGGTCATCATATTCTGTAGCTCTCTTTGGCGATTATTCAATCGTGCAGCACGATTATTCATGTCTCGATAGAAGACATCAGCAGCAGGGTGATCTGCCAAAGTAGGTTTCTTCTCTTGGCCAGTGTCGATCCGCAGTTTGTCTTCATCCAGGTTGGCGTCGGCGGCTTTGGCTTTATCGATGGCTTCCTTCTCTGCCTGATTGGCTTCCTGGTCGTGCCGAACGATGCCCTCTTGGTCATACAAGGAACATTTCGCTCCTGGCCGGTTGAAATGGTGGTAAGGATTTCCTCCTAATGATGAGATGTCCTCTTTGCATTCGTAACACATGATGCATGCACATTGCGAGCACATCATTTTGTTGCAGCCGAATTCTTTGATAATCTTGACTTTGCATTTCGGGCATGTGCGCATGACCGCATCGGATCGGGCTTCTTCAACAAGGTGACGGGCAGACAGAACGTTGTCTTTCGCATTCTCTTCGCAGGTCTTGGGGAGATGATTGTCCTTGTGACATTTTCTGCACGTGGCACGAGAACAATCAGGATTTTGACAATAGAAGAGAGGCTCCTCCCTGACGTCTTCGCAGACGGCTTTGTATTCACAGAACGGACAACCTTCCAGACCCTCGATGCCGGCCGCGACGATTTCAGCTTGCTGCTTGTTGAGTTCGAGACGATCAAAGGTCAACGTTGGAACAGCTCGGGCGATGCCTTCGTTAGAAAGCTCGGAAGTACATCCACTAGCGTCCATACACATCATTTCATACCTCATCAACCCCACCTGATTGTCAGCAAGGCCTTCAACGCAGGTAAAGCAGAAGAAGTGTGGTCGATCGGCCGTGCAAGAAACCACGCGGTTCAGAGGCACCTCACCGTCAAAGCAGCACTGGCACTCAATGATGGCTCCGGTTTCTCGGTGTTTGGCAAGGTTCGAGGCTTCAGCTTCGTCCTTGGCCTTCCTGGCCATTATTTGGATGGTCTCTCTCACAACGTGTTGTTTTGCCGCTTGGAGTTCATTGATTCGATGTGCATATTCGTTTGGAATGCGACGATCCTGAGGACCGAGCACATATTTCTTCTCCAGTAGAAGTCTTGGCTGGCGAAGTCGATTGTAAGGCCGAGGACTCGGGAGAGAGTAAAATTGGTCTTCCATGGCGTGGATATGGACGTATGCGTCAAAGATGGAATTCTTTTCTTCCACGACCTTGAAAATGTAGCAAGTTGGAACGTGAGCAAATGTGTTGGACAACAAAATCACCGCATCCTTCTTGTACACATCCCCTTTGGGTAGATTCTTGTCCCACGTGACCGTGGCGCCTGTACCATCATCGGCGGCTGCCCTTCCCACCATAGCTGAATCAACGAGGCGTTGTTTGGGGTAGGACTCCATTTCCACGATCTCTGCGATAATGTTTTCAGCAAGAGGCGGTGCCCCAAGTGGAATGAGCTCGTCGTCATCATCGTCATCGAAATGAGTGGGCTGTGCCGGATGGGCTTGGATCTTCTTCATGACGAAAGAATGCTCGATGTCAGGAAAGACTTCAAGCACGCTGCGCAAGCATTCCTTCTCGAGTGTGAGGATGTCATCGTTGCTGTGAGCGTCGTCATGGGATTCGGAATCGCTATCACGAATCACGTAAGAGGGGGGCACTCCTTGGCCCATCTCCTGAAGTTTCCTCCGCATCTTGAAGGTCTGCTGTATATCCCAGCGATCACAATATTCTTTATGACCTCGTACGGTACCAAGGACAACGGGAAAACGTTCATATCCAGGGCCACGATACATTTTAACCCCAAACCGGCCATCGACGTAGTAAGGTGGCTGGTGAGCCGCTTTCTTCTTTTCAGGTCGCGCTGCAGTCTTTGTGGGAGGATTGGGAATAGTGCGGCCGTTTGGCTGTCCGGATTCGGTCGGTCTTTTTCCGACTTGGTTTTGCGGGGGTCTTGATCTGTAAGTTTCATGGTATAATGGTCCAGCCCCCGGAGTGATACTTGAGGGAGCCGATGCAGCTTGCCAACTTCCTGAGTGGTGCGTAGCAATCTGACCGGGTGAGCAGACGAGGTCGGGACCAGTTCTTACGCGTTTGTGGACCTGGAAGGTGTGAGAGTGACGAGCTTCCTCGCTGAAGGGGGGCTCATCATCGACCGAATCTGAGTAACGTGAAACAGAGTCAACGCTGGAAATATTTCGACGTCGATGTCGGGTAGGGAGATAAGCTGGCACGCGAGGTCGTGGGTGTCGGAGGTCGAATTCGTCGTCGTCGTCGTCGTCGGAAATTTCTATGACAGGACCTGGACAACAAGGAGATCGGTAAGTGAGAGCTGCGTCCCTCTCGCGAGGAAGGCGACGATCGTCAGCCATCCTGAAAGATACCGACACGGTTAGTTATGAAGAGATGCGCCGGAGGGGTCGTGCTGAGAGAGTGTGTGGATCATGCTGGCAGAACCAAAGCAAGATGAAAGTATTCACACTTGGCCCCCGGTTCGATGAGTCGCACCAGTAAGGGGGGAAAGGGGGGAGGCTCGGAGATGAAACGATATGAGAGACAGAGAAAGAATTGAGGTATTTGCTCACCGAAGATGAGATTGTGCCATGTCGCAGGCTCATTGATCGAGCTGCGGTTGGTCAAGTCAAGGCTGGCAACGAATAGGGATGAGGCTGAAACAAGGCGGTTTGGTCTCAACACGTTTGCTTTGAATGTCACAGCGGGATCCGGTATATTTTACCGCCGGATTCGATGAGAACTAAAGCCTCAGGAAAGTTTCTCCGGGAGAATTGGTCTTGGACAGGAGAAGAAGAGTCGGAGCTGGTGGGACGATTTAAATTGCTGAAGTAGTAATCAGGTGCAAGCGACGGCAAGCCGGCAGGACGGAAGAAGGGAGTGGAGGTTGGTTTGAAGGCAGAGTTTGGCATGTAATGGTACAAGGCAACAAAAACGAGGCTGAAGGAAATGATAAGAAGTGAAGCCGTATGTTCTGATGGTAAGTTGGCGGTTCGTTCATGTTTAGAGTGTGAATTGGCGCGGAAAGAGGGGTGCTGGCAGAATTCTACTGGGTCTCCTAATCCGTACCCGTACATGATAAAGGAGAGAACGAGATACGTGCCGAAACAGACCTTCTTACATTCATGACGTACAGAAACAAGGATAATTGAGATGTGAGAGACAGAAGAATAACGATGATGATGAGAAGGAAAAGTGACACCACAACTGCAACGTGGGTGGCCGACTGCAGGATGGAGGGGTACGGCTTAGTAGCCTGCGGTCGAGAGGTGGAAGGCAGCCGGCGTCGCACTGTGATCGTATCTTGGACTTGGCTCAATCCGTTTGATCCTCGGCGCCGAAGGAAGGCAATATCAGGTTGATTGATCGCCTTGCCTTGGACGCCCTCTCGTCATCGCGAGGCTCTATTCGGCTATGCGCGGAATAAATTTTCTCCTTCTCTGCCTCAAAGAATTTCATCTATTCTGTTACGGCATCTGGCTCTGGAAGCAAAAAGACAGCTTCTACCTATTCGCGGCACAACTCCCTGTGACGACGGATCTTCCCATTCTTGTGAATTTCTTTTTCTCCTCTCCGTTCGACTTTCTAACATTTCGGCTTTTTATGATCTGCTTACCAGCCTAGAAAATCGAGACCAACCGTCCAACAACATGACTTTACCCGCTGCGCAGTCGGATGGTATCCCCCAAACCTCCAAACCCCCTGCTGTTGATCCTCAGAGTCAACCACCGGCACAATCCTCCGAATTGATATTGGTCCCTGCCACACCTGTCGAGTATGTTCAGACAGCACATCTTAATGCCGATGAGTGGAAAGGGCCGTTGACTTTGGAGCAATACTTGGAGCGAGAAGCGGTCTTACAATCGGTCGATCTGACAAAGGATGGTCGCATCACCGGCTGGATTCTGACCTCGGAGTCCCTTCCCATGAATCCTGACGGTACTCGACCCATTTTCGCTTCTTGCGAGAGCATCCTAGTTCATGCCTACGTCGCCCGCGCTGGAAACGTTGAGAAAGCCCAAGCCCACGGCATAGCCTCTGTCTACGTACGGCCTGAATATCGCGGGAGAGGCTATGCTGGCAGAATGATGGCAGAACTGGGCCAGAAACTGGAATTCTGGCAACAATCTAATGATCTCCCCAATCCCTTCTCTGTCCTTTACTCCGACATTGGGCCGAAATTCTACTCGAGATTTGGCTGGAGAGTCTTTCCAAGCAATCACATTCGTTTGACCCCACGGCAACAGGAAGACCATGGTTCCGCCCGGATCCCCTTTCCCGCTGTGCACGACTTGTCTGTATCCGATTTGCAGGACATTCCAACCGTCACGTATATTGAGCAGCACCTGCAGCAAATGTCCACAGCAAATCCTCGCATTCCCCACGTGGCAATCCGCCCTGATCTCGAACACTTTGCTTGGCACTTTGCTCGAGACGAGTTCCAAAGCCAGGTTCTCGGCCGAGATCAGCCCACAGTCAAAGGCGCCATCCATCAAGCCACTGGCCTTGCTTTGATCTGGTGTCGCGTCTACGCGGCTGAAAGGAAAGATTGGCAGCTGCATATTCTTCATACGGTTATTCCTCCTACCATTGAGAATTCAAAGACGGCCCAAGATGCGATGGCGGCCCTGCTATTAAGAGCGCAGCATGAGGCACATAAATGGGGCATGGCGGCCGGGGTGGAAGTCTGGGATCCCTCGGATCTGATCGTCGCTTCAGCTCAAAGGTTGAGAGCAGAAGTACAGGACAAGGTTGAAATCATTGCCCGAGACAAGGACCACTTATGCAGTCTTCGATGGGCTGCTGCTTCAGATGATGACTTGGTGTGGGTAGCCAGTCAAAAATACGCCTGGTGTTGACAAGCTGGATCCGGAGATATCTAATTATCCCGAATTTGGCTGGGGTCTTGTTCTATCCACACTTCCCTGTCCGTGTGAGGCAATCGTCAGTTCCATTGACCGGGCAACGTTTCCCTGCCTTCAGGCCATCCGTCGGACAGTATACTGTACCACCAAGCCTAAACCACTGCCGGTCCTGGACATGACCAGGTACTGAAACGACTTCTCGGAATGACAGCCTCGGAATTGATCAATCCGATTCGACTCCTGATTTTCCTCCACGACCGTGAAAGTTGGAACTTCGCGTATATCGCTCTTCGTATTCCCCGTAGTTCGTTTGTCTCGACAAGCAAATGCTCTTCAACCATTGAGCAGTTCCGAACGCGGGGGCTTTATGTACAGGAGGTAAGTACTGTAAACATGTGTGGTAGGTTTGTTGGGCAATGCCAAATAGCCTCAGCATATATTGTATTGCCGGGGTGTTCTCACGATATGGTGAAGGGAAGTGGCATACTAAAGTCTGTTCATTCAGCTCTTTGACATACACAATCAGACCCTCATATATCGCAGCTACCTCAATCATATCGCGCTTATTCTCCGTCAGATGACGCTCAAAGGCCTTCTATGGGGATGTGTGAAGCTTGGAGATGAAATGCATCTGTAAATTCCCTTCCTCCTTCGTCCACATATGCGATAGTACAACCAGGACTCATCATCTTTTGCGCATGGATGTTAGCCGCTCCACGACATATAGCGAAATATCTGTATCCAAACCTCCAGTTGTGACATGGGCTCCAGACTGGTTGTAACTGCAAACTTTATGATCCGCAGTGGAAGCTATCGAGTCTGCTGGGTGATCCAAGCATTGTCCACATCTTCTCCAATGGCGGCTCACACAGCTGTCCAAGCATACCTCGACGCCTTGCCTTCCAGTCTCGCCCATTTCCGCCTGAACTACCTTCAGCAATAATCCTCGACTCTTGTCCCGGTAAACTGGAATTCCAACTCGCCCTCAATGTCATCATCATGTCTATCCCGCTAGAACATACCCTGACCCGTGCCCTTCTCAAACCGTTCAGGTATGCATTCGTTGGTGGATGCATTGGTCAGCTCTGATCCAGCTCAAAGTATCCGACTGGAGGAGTTTGTCGGGAGCATGCACGCCAACCACGTCTCAGTTGATGCAGAGAGACATTGGAGTATCGTAATTGAGACCATGCAACAAAGTGCTGAGGTTTGATCAGGTACAGCTCTGGATTGACTGACACATGGAATAAGCTTGCAATCGTGAAGCAGAGTTGCAAGGCGAGGGAGCTTCCGTGAAAGAAGCTTTTTTTTCCCCTTTCTCGTTTGGACACACGTGATGATTACCTTGATGAGGTCTGATTGCTTTGCTTAAAAGAGGATAAATATGGCGATGAGTCTTCGAAAGAGATTCTCCACTTACCAAATAGAGCAGTTGACGATTCCAGTTTTTCCTACACCCAACGACAACTGCAGTTAGCCGCTCAGGCTTATTGTGCATGAGCCATTTCCCAGTTTGTTCGGCCCAAGGTAAAAGTCCCAGTCCGGTCACCGTGAGATCTGGACAGTTGGTGGGATTGACTTTCTGGTCGACCAATCTGAGAGACCCTCTTTCCCAGAGCCCACTATCAGTCAGTTCCTGGGATGACTCTGCTGCCGGGTTCCGACACGTTTGCTTTCTGTTCAACATCAAGGCCTCATCCCCGCACGAGATTGATCTTCAGCAGATTTTGGACCGAGGTCTACCCCAGACATGCTTCAAACATCGCAGCCGCTGACTGCTGAGTGGAGCACCGGTCGAGTTGGCGTGAGCTGTCGGAGACTTCTCCAGCCTCAATCTCGAAAACATATATCTTTTGTCCTCTTATCTAATACCAACGCTATCTAGAGAAAAGAGAATCCTGAATACGGAGACATGGCACCTTCAAGGGACGGTGAAGGATTTCCTACGTCCACCGGAGAACTTTTCAATGAGAAAGGATGGATGATACAGAATGCTCGGGGCTACAAGATTCATGAAGAACCATATTGCACGGCACGGACATTGCGAGTGATTCATATTGGCGCCGGGGCCTCAGGAATCACATTCTCCAAGTTCGTCGAGGAGCGACTGCAGAATGTTGAATTACAGATATATGAGAAGAACGATGATGTGGGAGGAACCTGGCTCGAAAACAGGTATGATACACGTGTAGATTCTTGTCCCTTCTAGGTGGGTTAACAGAAAACCCTCCCAAGGTATCCGGGCTGTGCTTGTGACATCCCCTCGGCGTCATATCAGTTCACCTGGGAGCGAAATCCTTCCTGGTCGCAGTATTATTCAGAGTCGCCGGAAATCTGGCAATATTTCAAGAACGTTGTCGACAAGCATGGTTTGATCAAGTACATCAAGCTACAGCATACAGTCACCGGTGCCTCTTGGAACTCGGAAGAAGGCCTCTGGGAAGTCCACGTGCGTCGTCCGGATGGGACAGAGTTCCAAGATACCTGCAATGTTCTTGTCAATGGCGGAGGCATCTTAAAGTATGGGGATGCACTACCTTTGTCCTGCCAATGACACTGATTGCCCCTTGTAGTAATTGGAAATGGCCGGATATCAAGGGACTACACTCATTCCAAGGAATCCTTCAGCACAGTGCCCATTATGATCCCGCGATCGATTTGAAAGGTAAAAGAGTCGCTGTCATCGGCATCGGGAGCAGTGGCATCCAGATCATCTCCAAGATATCCTCTCAAGTGTCGCAACTGTACGCGTGGGTAAGATCACCCACGTGGATCACGGCAGGATTCGCGCAGAAATTTGCGGGTCCCAATGGAGGAAATTTTCACTGTGATTGACGTCCCCGTGTCAATGTCCGCATGGAATAGGATGACTGACACTCGACCAGACACGCCCGAGCAACAGAAGCGATTCGCCGAGAACCCGAAATTGTTCCTCAAATATTCCAAAATGATAGAGTCAGAGCTGAACGTGAGATTCAAGTTCATTCTCAATGGAACCCCTGAGGCCGAAAGTGCCAAAGTGGTGAGAAATATGATGTCGTCCAACATGGCACGAATGGTGCTGACATTGCTCTCCAGTTTGCCAGAAATGAAATGACTCAAAAGCTCGGATCCACTAAACAGGAGCTCCTGGATGCCATTATCCCAAAGGACTTTGGAGTGGGCTGTAGAAGGCCAACAGTGAGTTTCTTGACCCCACTGCCTGAGCACAAGCTGACAGAGGAGGAATTGACAGCCCGGTAACGGGTTTCTCGAGGCTCTAAATCACGATACTGTGCATGTCTTCACACAGCCGATGAGAGAGATCATTCCAAATGGTTTTGTTGACAGCGATGGCAAGGAACATGAAGTCGACGCCATCATCTGTGCTACGGGGTAGGTTCCCCCCCCCCCCTGTCGACTTTGCGAATGACATTCGGTCAAGTCATTAACGGACATAATTTGGGCAGCTTCGACACCAGTTGGATCCCCAGGTTTCCCGTCGAGGCAAATGGGTACAGCATAGCAAAGATGTGGGCCGGAGAAGCCACCTCGTACATCTCTCTCGGGGTTCCTCACAGTACGAAATCCAGTGGAATATCTGCCAGAAAATAAACTGACGCGGAGGTAGTGCCTAATTACTTCATGATGGGTGGACCTTATGGACCTCTTGGACATGGTTCATTCCTCCCAATCATCGAAACGTTGGCGGGAAACATTATTCAATGTATCCAGAAAATGCAGAAAGACCGAATCAGGAGTCTGACTCCCAAGGCAGAAATCGCTGAACAGCTCAAGGAACATGCGGCGCTCTTCTTGAAGCGCACGGCTTGGTCTTCCGGATGTAGCTCTTGGTTCAAGCAAGGAAGAGTTGACGGTCCTCTGCCCATGTTTCCCGGTTCCCGACTTGTGTACATGGATCTCCTCGCGACGCCTCGTTTCGAGGATTACGAGATCGAGTATTGCAACCCGTTGAACATGTTCGAGTTTCTTGGGAATGGTTTCGCCACCCGGGAGTTTGATGGACGCGACTTGTCGTACTACCTAGGTCTTCTGGATGAAGGCGATCATCAGATAGACCTTGAGGCGGATCTTCATGATGAACTAGCGGATTTGGTACACTAGAAGAGTTGAGGTTGGCAAGATTTCTCTCGAAGGGCTCAGGGTCAACTTTGTCGCGTGATATCCGGCACATCTGGCACCAGATGTTATAGCCAAGGGGATCCACAGTAATTCATCGCCCTGGTCCGATTCTTGCCAAAATTAGACACAGCCTAGAAGAGTGGACCCGCGTTCATGTGCACCAATTCGCCGCCATGCGATGGACTCGAGCTTGAAACGGAACCCCAATCAACCTTACGATCATGCTCCCTCTTCCTCCTCGTCGGGCAACATCACGGCACAAATTCCACGCCTTATTTGCCTCTATTGCTTGCCGAATTATCCTTGCCCGTTCGGTTTGTCGCTTCTGCTTGGTCGTACTGTTCCCTGATCACCCTCAGCCAATAAGATCCTGAAGGACGTAATTCCAAGCCCGAGGGCTTACCAATGTTGATCCGCCCGGTTATAGGATCAATAATCCTCTATTACGCACTAGAATTATCAGCATTGGTTCTTTGGGCCGCGATACACCAAGCGAGTTAGAATTGATTGGGAGTTGTGGATCCTTGCGCCTGGCTGGCTCAAGAGCTCCAAAGCCTATCTACAGACTGCGCCTTGCGGACATATTCACAACCGCTGGGCTGATTTATCATAGGACCGAAATTCCTTTTTTTTAACCCAAGGACTCCGTAGTTGAGCGTGCCTACTTTGCCCGATAAATACAGAACTTTGGCGAGGGGGGTCGCTATCTACCTCATCCCTCCCTCAGCAGGTTTTCACAGCCAAAGACACTTTGCACAAACATGTCTACGGCAATTTTGAATCGAGTTGCGTTGGGCGATGTGGTGGGATTGGAGACTTTGTATGATACACGCACGGACTTCTTTCTACCATCCTCTCTGCTCAGAGAATTGCCTCCGGCGTCTGCGATCACCAGGACTGGTCGACCATCGCTTTTGGTGAGGCTCATTCAAAACCATACGTTCAAGGACAAGTTCAGCTTCCTCAATGTTAACGCCGAACTGGGAGCGAGTATTTGCCGGCCTGGTCGTTCCTCGAGGCTCCGGCGGCTTTCTTCCGGATACTCGGGAGAGTGACTTCACAATTCAAATGTCTTTCCAACACCTCTCCACCACTGTACGGGAGAAATTGGACTTTGTAAGCGATGAGGTACGGGCCCTCCCGGCACCCGAAAGCGTTCAATTTAACCATGCAACGCATGTGATTGCAGAGATTACCTGGGGCGCTCAGAGCCTCATCACCGCACAGTACCTACGATCTGCCACGGAAGATGAATCCCAGATCAGACAAAAATTACAGGAAGAGCTGGTTGAAGTCGAGAGCTTTTGCCACGAGAACTTGGGGCATAGGCGGAATGCCGTTGCACAACCCAGTCACGACTTTGTCGACGACTATGCAGGCTTGTTTGATGAGTTTGGAAGTGCTCGCAGAAGGCTAAAGGATTATTGGTCTTAACTTGCACTTTACCGCTCATTGGTGTCAGAAGATCACGTTCGTACTGTCGTCGAGCAATTCCATTATGCCAAGAAAGCAGAGGAGACGTTGAAAACAAAATATGCGAGCGTTCTTCGAGATGTAAGAGCTGGTCGCATGGGATCAAAGCAGCTCCTGCTTCTTCTCGACGAGTTACGTCGAGGACAACCTTCTCCTCAAAGCCTCATCTCCGAGACAGATATCTATGCCAGAAAGCTGCACTTCATTGTCGTGGCTGCTGCCAAGGGCGCCGAATATATCACAAATGAGCGCTCCGTGACAATCCCCACGGGGGACGTTTACACTTTCTGTTTTAATAGAGAGGCAATGGATGACCGCTCTACCCGGAATGACAACTCAAACCTTATTATTCAACTGCTCGATGACCGTTCTAGCCGGAAGGTTGTTCGAATTGTTGATTGTGATCAAAACGGGAGAACGATCCAGAGTTCGAATATAGGGTACCACCGAGATGGTCGTCTCGTCATAGAGGACTCGAGGAATTTCGGGACTTCGTTGGTGACAAGAACCTGATGCGATATGACGATTGTCACCTCGACACGTGGGGAACAAAAGACCAATTGATCGAAAGCTAGTGAAACTTCCTTGTCCCGGACCCCACTGCCCCCCCCCCAAGCACAATGTCTATGGATCTGTTCCCGATGCTATTCTCCCATAGATTATGGCATCGTGACTGCTATCTCTACTGTGACTGTGGACGTACGGGCTTCCGTCACTGGAGCTTTCGATGCGCGGAGCGCGACCATGGAGTTGAATTCGATCGCTATGATGCCCGCGAGCTGCTACAATTGCTTGATGCTCTTGAGCCTTTCGAGGAGACCAATATTTTGATTCTTGGCGAAACTGGTGTCGGAAAATCGACATTCATCAACGTATTTGTGAACTACTTGAGCCACGGCTCTCTTGAAGACGCCATCAAAACACCTTCAGTCGAACACGTCATTCCATGTTCTTTTACCACGCAAACCGTGGACCAGAATGAAGCATTACGGCTCGGACCTTCGCAAGCTACAGGATGCCGTTGCATTTGCGCATACGGCCACGTATCGCGAAAGGCCTTATCGAGTGAGGGCGGCCCCAGGATATCTCCGGTCCCACATGGGTCGGGGGGGGGGTCCAGGATTTTTCCCAACAACCGCTCAGTCACGGCCGTCTCTGAGCATTAAGAATCCATCCTAGATGTTGCGCAGAGGACGATCATCGCCACTGCCAGTCGTCGATGAGATAGAAATCAACGAGAAAGACGTCAATGAGAAGTCTGAAGGCAGCAAAGAGGAGGTAGACTGGCTCAACGACAATCCCGTGACCAATCCTGCTCCCCCTCTTATTTCGAAGCCCAGGCTGCTTCGGGGAGATCCCTTGGCAGACAGCAAGGGAGACAAAGTAGTGTTCGATCTTTCAGCGCGGACAAGGTCTGGTCCATTTTCGGGTGACAGCGAAGTATGCCATGGTCTCAGTGACAGGCAGAGGGAGGCTTTTGGGATACCGACAATAAATTGCGGGGGTTGGGTTGTTTTGTTTGGTGTAGTTATATCAGATCTGTTCACAGAGTAAGATGTCAATGCCACTCCGCTTTTTTCTAGCTAGTTTCAAGAGGAGTTGTCTTGGTGGGTTGGGTGGCAAAAAGGGCCGCAAGGCTTCCAAAAAGGGGATGCGCCAGATTGCCGCCTGCCAAGCGGCACGGCATCATCGGCCGGCGATGTTCCGACTTTTGCGATTTTCGGGATGTGGGTCTTTGATATTTCAGTAAAACCATCCACCACAAATTTACAATCTTTGCCACTACCTCAACCATGGGTTTTCCCTGACGTTCAAGCTTAAGATAACCATGGTCTTACCGAATCCCCTCACCAGGGCTAATTCGAGAAGCACACGGATTTGCTTCTCTTGCCTGCGCCAGCAGCTCTTGAATCTGTCTCGCCAGACGCCCATCTCCCTGCTGCGGAACAGTTCTAGAAGTCGTGATGCAGTATCTCTAAATGCGCTAGCTAGATCAAGTGGTCACAGGTCCTTCTACACTTCCCACCTCAGTCCTCAAGAGTCAACCGACCATCATCGGCAGGCTACGCCACTGGGTGACTTTTACACCGAGCTCCTCTCGACTCCAATTCCCAAAGGGTCCCATGCCGACACGTCCTTGCCGACCTTCGTTCAGTCAGGAGACGAATCCAAAGAAGAAAGAGCCAGGAAATTGTTTGGCACCATCGAAGGGTCTGGTTACCAACGAACTACATCGGATACTCCTGACGCGACCTGGAGAACAATCAATGGCGTTCCCGTCCCTCCGAGACCGGCGGAGCCAGACAATTGTTGTATGAGCGGCTGTGTGCATTGTGTATGGGACGATTATCGAGATGACGTTGAGGCATGGGCCGCTAGAGTCCGCGAAGCACAGTCAAAATCACCAAACTGGACCACCGATGATCCGAAGATACAAATTGCACAATCCGAAGTCCATGAGGCTTCTGGTAGCGTGGACGATGACGGTGGAGGGAGTGAATCGCTTTGGACCACGCCCTCGTCGACCGTCAACGATGAGGATTCACTATTCCAAGGAATCCCGATTGGAATTCGGGAGTTCATGGCTACGGAAAAAAGAATTCGAGATCGAAAACGAGCGAGGAAGGAGAAATACCGGTGATCCTTGAATGCCACTTTCTTCCAGGTACAGTTCACTCGGGGACTATACAACAAGGCTTGATCGGCACATGGAAAGTTTAATTCGTCGGGTCGGTGAACATGAGGCTGCTCTTCGAGGCCAAAGATATCGACGCCACTTTCCCCAAATTGAGATGATCGGGTTGAAGAGTCTTTCCAAACAGGAAAAATGCTCCTGTCCACCCCAAGACCAGGCCCTTGTCGATACATACCCCACCGTCGACCAAATAAACGCCGTCATCGCGGGTCTCTTTGCTGGGACGCTGATAAATCAATTCGGTCGGAGGGTGGGGGAATCTTGTTTATATTGGTGGGCTGTGGTGAGCTGCCTCAAGCCTGATTTGAGTCACTTCCTGAATAATTTAAATATCTGAACGATGAAAAGTAAAATCGGAAAAGCAAAAATATGGAAAAGGAGCAGGAAGATTAGATTTCCGATTTCGGGGACCTTTATGGACTGGTCATACTTGGGCCGCTCATTGTCTTTGACTTTGATGTCGACTTCGATTTTGGATTGTTTCCCGAAATGGGCACCGGTCGCCGACTGGTATTTGTCCGTTTGGCAGGGAAAAGGAGTGAGTCTTCCATGGTTTTAGCAGCGGGATGGCTCTATTCTACCGCTGGTTCGCCGCTCCGCTCCGGCCCGCCCCCCACCCCCTCCAACCCCCCGGACAGACCTTTCTTTTGGTGGCCTTTCCAATACGCAGAAGCGGCAGCTGCAACGTCTCCGATGACAGGATTTAATCAATTCGATCCATGACTTTGAAAGACAGAGCTTGAATGGAATATCTGAAGTGCCACGGCATTTTCTTTTCGGATCAGGACACGAATTGGTAGGTGGAATAAATATGGAATATACAGGTTGGTTTCCTTCGTTCCTATTGTACACAAGGGTTCATCCTCCCCCTTTCTGGCCTTCTTTCCACCAATGAATGTCTCATAGTTTGTTGGGATTTGATTCTGATTCTGCAGTCTCTGTTTTGGTGGAAATGCTCGGCCTCATCCTGCTTTGCTATGCCATGCCCTTTCCTGCGCTTTTCATTCCTTTTATTCTGCCCTCAGTGTTTAGGTACCTGGGTACGATATGATCTGATAAATTTCCTAGTCCCCTCAATCAAGGCGATACGATGCAATGCAATGCATCTATTCGAGCCTGCTGATTGCGTCGTCGTCTCCTCACACCCTCAGCCGTTCACAGGCCCGCAAGTCCAAAACCACGCGGTTGACCAATCCAAAGGAAATCCAATTCGACCTGCTCAAGCACCACCAACGCCACCGCCCAAATCGTGATATGCAAAAGAGGGCGAGAGAGAGAGAGAGAGAGAGAAAAGGTAAAAAGGCCTGATGTGATGTGCCAATCTCGGAAGGAATGTTGAGGTCCGCAGACATGTTTGTATGCAGGTATGGTGAATGGAATGGGAAAAAAAGGAACGTAAGTATCATATCTCCGTTCGGTTCCTTCCCTTTTTTAGTCGTTATCGTCCGTATCTCGTCATTGTCACTATCTCACCGCGACCGCCATAATGAGAGGAAATATTCTGCTGAGCTGGGATAATGAGGACTGGCGAATGCAAGCATGCATACGTCTGTCACGCAGCCGAGGACGAAGATACGCAAGAGGATATTCGGGATGAACAGGCCCAGCATGTGGCCGGAGACCATGATGGAAGCGAATTTGAAAATTGAAGCCAGTTTTGGCGGGGCTGGCGGTGGGACCACGACCACGTTGTTCTCGCTATATACGGAGAATGTTGGCGATGGCATGCCGGGGGAGGGTAGTCCTGGTGATGGGGGTGCAGAGGTCGGGTGGAGGCCTGGAGACAACAGCTTCGGGGAGGTGGGGATCGCCGCCATGTTAATATGGTGGTGGCTTTTCTCCTTCAAAGGAGAGGACGGGGCGGCCGGGTCGTTTTTCTCGACAATCCACGATGGCCGGATTTCATTGACGAGAGGGCTGCGCGGAGTGCTTTGCGTGGACCATGTCTCCTGGATGCCCATGGACAACGACCGGTTGCGGAGGGTGAGCGTTTCCTTGCGAAGCACCGAGTTCACGGTCGTTTTGATCCCAGACAACTCGCTCCGAAAGGACATATTCGATCCATTGACGTCGTTCCTCAGGACTTGTATCTGTCGTTGCAGGTCCCTGATCTCGTCCATGGCGTGGTTGAATCGTTTCTGCCACACAAGTTCAGGATTTTGCGCGTACGCCGGCGGAGGTGTGGGGTGCTGACCTAGCTGTGTGAGGTACTGCCGTCTTGCCACGGCCGAAGTAGGGGTGCCGCCCGCTTGACGTGGTGGGACTGCGGGATAGCTCATGTTCGAGAAGGTCAGGTCGTTCACCATCGGGCTCCCCCAGCTAGCAGTGCTAGAGCTCACGGGGGTGAATTCGTCGTCTTCAAATCGCCAGGGAATATTTTCAAACGTCGTCTTGAGGGACTTGATGAGAGCCTCGTTGGGACAACTGCCCGTGTCCAGCGTCAGTCTACCGGCACGGGGAGTCGGCGGGGGCGTGTCTTCTTTGGAACGTATCCGTTCCAAGGCAGTCTTGACCAATGGCAGGAGATGTGCTAGTGCCCATTTTCCGATCGATTCGATCCAGATGAGAAAGGTACTGAAGTGACCGTCGTTGCTCAGGTCGAACTTGCACAATGGGGACATGCAGTAAGCCTGGCCGTGGTCAATCCAATGGATGTTGAGAACGGCAAACGAATTGTCGATCGTGCAAGAAAAGGCCACGGGTAATTCAGGCATCATTTGTCCTTTCCAGGCCCGGGCGTAAAGCATTTGGAGCGCCCGGACACACCATGCACCGCCAATGGCACATTGGTTGTTGGAGGCCTCGAGTCGGTTCTCCTTTTCGCCATGGGCCCTTTCGAAGACCAAAAAGGGACAATAGAGCGGTGCCCCGGGCGAGATGTAGCCCGTGTCGAAATGAACGATGGTGCCAGTGGTCACGAGCCAGGAAGGAAGAGCACGCACTTCTTCGACGTCGAACACGGATGAAGAAAAGCCGCAGCCGAGGCCCGATCGAGGAACCGAGAGCTCATAGAGAGGACCCATTTGGTTGATGGCCCGTTCTGGAAGGGCTTCCCGACTGAAACAGGGGACCATACAGCGAGCCAGTCGAGGTTCATCGTCAATGGGAGGGAGGAGATTGGGGGGAAAGAGAGGTGACGGTCCAAATCCTCGACCATGCTCCACCTGATCTCTGAATGCCTCCTTCAAAATGGCATACTTTCCCGCGTTGGGGGTTTCCTTCTCGATCATTGAAAGAAGGGTTGTCGGCAATTTCTCTTTTGGCGGGGAGTCCAATATCCGGATGCGATGTGGCGCGAGGACATGTTGACGAAAGGTCTTCCAATGTAGATGACTTCCGTCGTATGATGACGGCGGCAGATCCCCTTCCGATGCCATGATGGTACCAGCCTAGTGTAGTTAACTAACTGTGATCGTGGCGGCAGTATCGTCAATGCAGTGGCCTATTTTTACCTGGCATTGTTGTTCGATCTTCACGATATCTCGCGTGTACTTCTCACAAATAGAACAAACTTTCTTCATTCCCTCGCCCCGACATCCTGCAGGCTAGAAAGGTGATCAGGTCCATCTTGCGGCATGAAGGATTGGGGTGGCAGTTTTGCTGGCGTCCACTGGAACCGCTAAGCGCCAGGGGCAATTCCAACCTCCCTGCTAGTGGCTCACACTTTCATGTCCATCCTTTGGGACCTCAAGAATACGCGCCCAAGTTGTTTCAGATGTTGCCACCTTACGTTCCCCAGCTCACCGGCTCACGCGATACCTGATACGTCCAATCGGAGTCTGTATAGGTGATGATGTCGATAGATCGGCCAGCTTAATGTCTGACCATCCTCCTGTCAACAATCTACACCGCATAGAGTACTGGGCTTGATTGAACAGTACCCTGTGAGGAATTCGTCCATCAGCGCCGATCTTCCGCTTTTGCTCATGGAACTTCAGTGGCCTGGCTTCTGAAATGGCAGTCCAGGAAGCTGGCCGCAATTCAGGTCAGCGCTTGGTGGTCTTCAAGAGAATCAGAAAAAGGTTAGTCTCCCTTGTTCTATTACTTTGACCCCTCTTCTTGAAGACGGCCAGGGTCAGTGAGTGTCAACATTTCTTCTGCCAAATGCTTTCATGGGTGGGCGCTTAAAGCTGGCACGCCATGTTCCGGTATCCCCCCGTGTGAGCGTATAGGAACGAAACCTATAAGTCTGTCCATCTCTTCTCGATGGGCGTTAACTCTTTTCTCCTGAGTCACCTTTCACGTTCTGGTTTCCATCTCTCCATATTCTCTTCATCATCATTTCCATTATCCTTTGCCACCAAACTCTCATCCCGTTCATGTCCTGTTAGCAACCACTTCCCGCCGTACACTCTGTTTCAGGTGAGGTGCATAGTGGTTCCCTTTGAAGACCAGAGCTTGAGTTGTGGGTGTCCTCAGATATCCTCTCCCCCGTCCAACCCATTACCGTCATGTCTGCCAACAGCGGCATCATCAGCAGCGAAGTGGCATCGGAAGGGGATCTGCCGCCGTCATCATACGACGGAAGTCATCTACATTGGAAGACCTTTCGTCAACATGTCCTCGCGCCACATCGCATCCGGATATTGGACTCCCCGCCAAAAGAGAAATTGCCGACAACCCTTCTTTCAATGATCGAGAAGGAAACCCCCAACGCGGGAAAGTATGCCATTTTGAAGGAGGCCATGGGAAGCAAATGAGATGTAAGTGCGCTACAGCATATTTAGACATTCACACCTGATGGCCTCTTGGTGGTGATCTTTACATGTACGTCTCGAAACTGCCCACGGAGCAAGAGAGACAACATGGTGGTCCACCGCTCCACCGACCCCCATTCATGTCACGCATACCTCGATCGCCATTGCTTTGCCCCCGTCATCCCTCATAATTCCTCCAGTCTCTGTTTGGCGGGGGCTATGCTTGTCGCCTCCTGAAAGCCGCCTAAACGCCGGGGAAGATGCTATCTGGCCTCCCGCCCTTCGTGCGGCAATCACATCACGAGCCAACCAACCAACATGCCGCTTGGGCTATTTCCATGAATACCTAAACCGATGCTTCGCTATGCAGCTACACGCCCCGACTCCAGGTCATGCAGAACGCTACGCTCAGCCCTCCAGGCATGGTTATACCCGCGCCCATCTGGGTAAGCTCTCGGCCAAAACGCTTTTGATGATGGTCATCCTTGTCTTGGGGGTCACACCAAAGTTCGCCAGCTCAGACGGCGCATATGAGTCTCTCCCTTGGGTCAAGGAATCCTTTGCAAGCTGGACGCGCTTATCAAAAGTATTCAATAGGTCACCGATGGAGGGAAGCCTGCAATTTTCAGCCCACACCAGGATACTGCTGATGCGGGAAGCCATGGCCTCCACCTCTTTCTCATCATCGAGTCGGTATGTCCTGATGGCTGCTACCGCATGAGGTAAACAGCCTTCTGAATTGTGCGTGTTGAGGCATGCCGTTTTGCCGTTGATAGCCAGCGAGAATGACTGCGCGGCCTTGCTCAACCCCCATAGGAAATTTACGTCGTGGTAATTCTTCTCTGGCTCCTGCGCCGCACCGGCGAAGACCATGAGTGCGTTATTGCAGGTGGCTGCGGATCCCGCAGCGGCATTCCGTGCGGCGAGCATCGACTCATCTTGGATCTCAATTACCAAAAATGGCCAGTAGACATCCGGAACTGGCTGGGACAGCTTGCTGAGGTCGCATGGCTCGTTTTGGTTGTTTGCAATGATACCTTGTTGGAGTTCGATCTGATGGGACGTGAATGCGCGGGACGAGTAACCGATGGTGACGGAAGGCTTTGGCGTAGGCAACTGCATCTTCCAGCCTTCCTCGACTTCAAAGTCCGGAACTTCATCGGGGACGCCATCTCGATGGAAAAGAGTGTTTGTTCGACACTTGATCATCTTATGATTCTTGGCTATCGAGACCAGCAAAGGCACCAGAAGCTCGGTCATCTCTCTGCTGCTCACGGACCTCCGGCTTTTGACCTTTTGGGCCAATTTTCTGGCCTCCGTGCTGGAGCGTGAGCTCTCTCCATACGGCATACCCAGGGCAAAAGCCAGTCGACTCCATCTTTCATCGTCCATCTGCTCGTCCTCGACAATAATGTGGTTGGGCTCGAGAGTGGTAGAACGATAGTCGGAGGAGCCGAATGATGTTCTCCTCCCCGAGACGGTGCTCTTGGTTGACGATGACACCTGTCGACTGTGTCGGCTGAGGCTGGTGGTGGGTTTCTTTGGAATAGGCATTATTAAATGATTTCCAACAAAGACAACGAATTATTCTGGCTGACGCTGGAGATGAATTTTGAAACGATGCTAAGGACTTTCCTATGTAGCTTACCTCAAGGCTGACCGCAGGACGGACCAACGACTTCGTAGACCTCTTATACCGTGGTGGCTGAGGATATTGTCGTCCATTGCCGCTCAGAGGGGAAGGGAGAGCGCGTATAGGCTGACCAGTCCGATCGAGAGACTATTCTGAGGACCTAATATTAGAAAGACAATATTGAGCTTTAGGCGCTGGCATTCCAAGGCCGCAGATTGGCCGCGTGGGCAATACGGGCTCCTTTGGGTTACCTGGGCGTCTAGCTAGGTACATTGACCCGGGCCGGGAGCGGCGGCTCTTTGTCAGGTGTCAGAGATCTCTAGCCAAAAAGCCTGAATATCTGTGCTTGTGTTTGATGAATTAGCAAGTTGGTCTTGCCTCTCATAGAGAGCTACATTGTTTCCGAAAGGCAAAGTCATTCCGAAGCACGAAAGGCCGACGAGTCACAGCCAGAGTGCCAGCCTTGCCGATTATGTAAGCCCCACAGTCTGGAGCTCGGGCTCTCCTCCTTTCTCCGCATGGTATTATCTATTGCATTGCATCAAGGCCATGCCCGTGTATCGATGACCTAGAATGCGGGATCACAGAGAGGTATATAATCATCCCCCATCTCCAAAATGCCATGCGGAGAAGTGTGGTAGCATAAGACGACCCTTGTCGCATCCTCGCATACACCCTTCAACGACACCACCGTCTTTGGCCGCCAGACCCTTTTTAAATACCTCGTGTTTTGTCCTCCGCGGCCTCGCCTTTCGAAGCCAACAATACCAATGGTACACAACACAGCAGTTCAAGTGACATCCCCTCCGCCTATCACGCATATCCTCGAAACATGCCTCATGGTCAAGGACCTGGATGCCTCGGTGGAGTTTTACAAGGATGTATTCAATGTGGAGCCATTTTTGAAATCTGTCAGTTCCTTCCATCCCATCTCATTCCCACTGACACCTCAATCTAGCCCCGTCTAGCCGGCTTCTCCTTCTCACAAACAACACTCCTTCTCTTTCAACTCGGGCTTACAGCTTCCGATACACCCATGCCCGACAACCGCGGCACGATCCCTGGCCACGGACCGACCAGTGATATCCTCGACATCCTCGTCCCGGACAAGAATCCCGATGTATCTTCGTCTTCGGGCACGACACAGACAAAGACAGTGTCAAATTCAGGTCTAAACCAGCATTTCTGCTTCGCGGTGCCAAGTCCCAACGACGTAGGGTTGTGGGAGAATTGGTTTGAGGAGAAAAACGTCAAGATTCTAGGGAAAGTCGATTGGGAAAGGGGAGGCAGGAGTGTATATTTTGCTGATTTGGATGGGAACGTAGGTGAGGTCGGGAGTCGGGGGATTTGGGCGCATTATTGATGGATGGATGCACGAATGGACACGGCGAGATCCCTTTTTGGCTTTGGGAATCAACGAAAAGCACCTTTTTTGGGGTCCTATATCGGCAAGGACAGTCTAGCACGTACTGCACCATATGATACACTCTTTTTTTTCTTTGCGGGCCTTGGACTCGCCTCCTATACGCGACACTTGGTTTCAATCCCAGCCAACCTCCTCCGACCGCATTCATCACACCGTCATCCCACTTGACTACCTCACCATTGACATAGTCGCCCTTTGCCGGAAAGATGACTCCCATGGCCATCTCCTCATCACTCCCTGCCCTGCCTGTAATTGAAGTGCACTTGTAAATCCCACATCAAGCCAGACAAGCTGGCGATAACAATGACGCTACTATTGAGATGCTTGAGCGCACTCTGGAGTAAGGGCCAAAAAGAGACGGTGGAGAAAAACACACTCGTCAGTTTCGTATTGACTGGCATTTCAATCCCTCCACTTCGTCTATCCATAGGTTCGTCTTCATTTGGCTTGTTTCACTAGTATCTGGATAGCTCTTTGGACCATCGATAGGGACTTTTCTGTGGACTCGAGGTCGACACACAGGCTTTCCATGCGTCTCTAGGTCACATTGCTAGGACCAATGGGGATGATTCGGCCGTTGGGATCCGTATTGGGTGACTTAGGGTTGTGTGCGTGTGTGTGTGCGGAGCATTTTCGACAGATATTCTCACCTCCTCCCGTAACCAGACAGAAATGATCCTTGAATGGGAAGAGATTCGAGAGATGTAATTTCTCAGTTGAGGTCATGAATGAGAGAATCCATAGGATATGTAGCAGTGAAATCAAATGCTGAGCAGCAAATTCTAGGCAGACCTCGACGGTTTGGGAAATGAGAGTCAATATGGTTTTGTCTGAGGAAATCGACATATTTCTGGGTATGAGAATGGCAAATGAGAGGAATTGTTGTGATGTCACGGGATAGATTTCCAGAAGTGATCTGGGACTGTAAAAAAGGGATCGGACCACATTTCCGCAAACTTAGATCCGTTTATTATTCCCCACAGAATCATATTACTCCTCCAAGGGCGGGTGTTGCAAATCTCCGACTTTCCCGCCGCTTGTATCTCCAGTTTACCTATTTCCTCGCGCCGCAGTGGCACCAATTTCTTCCGACAGGTGCTCATTAGATAGTGGCAGTGTCTCGCAGACTCTTGATGATGCCATGTGGTCCCCAATTATGGTCATGACAATTGCGGCCACAATCAACTCGATGCGGAGGGAGTGTCGTACGTGTTTTTGATCCCGGAAGACCGTAGTGGCATTCTTCAAGGATAGAAGGCGGCTTTCCCCCTGCCTCCGAAAGTGCTGATCAGTCAAAGTGAATCGCCCGCTCTCTTCAGCATACACATCAGCCTTTTGAATGTTTAAAGGCTGTGTCGCTTACCCATTTGATCAGAATCTGATGTTCAGTTCCAAGTCGGGATCGAACTGAAATTCCACGAAGTCTCACACTCTGCCTCTCCCCCAACCGAATGCCAAAATGTCGCACAATCACTGACAATTCTCACGCTGCCAAAGCCAAAGCAGCCATAGCACGAACTCCAGCTTCCGTCTTATGACCGCCTATGAAGCCGCTTGCATGAACAAAGATAGCACCATCTTGAACATCATCCCCCAATAAAGCATCAAGGTCTTGATCTCTCACACCGCGCCATGGTTCTGGAAGACTTTTTCGATTTTCGAAACTCGACAGGTCTTTGCTGACGGCTTGAATTCTCCATTTGGAACCGGGCTCTTCATTTTCGGGGTAGATCACATAAAGAATTTTCTGGTTGTCAGGCAGATCTACTTCATCCTCCATGTTGTAAAGATGTTCCTTCCAGGGGATACCAGCACGGGGCAAGACCAAAAGCTGACCTGAAGGATGGGCATTGGCACGTGAATGAAATGCATCCTTGACGATACTTCGAGCAGGAAGCCAAGCTGTAGCAGCACCGTGAAGCTTGCGGAGGAAAGCATTGCCCATCAAGGCAGAGGCCTGGGTGAAGCGATAGTCTTCTTCTGCTTGTGGTTGATCCTCATTACTTCTTGAAGGAGCTCCCAGAGTTAAGGGATCCTCATGATTCATGTCATTGACCAAGCTTGCAAGTGTGACTCCACCGTCTTTGAACTTCTTTTCGATGCCAGCCTGTTTCAGTTGGGAATCATCGTATTTTGAAATGCCATTGTCATGGGCGTCCACTGCCTCCACAAAGTCGTCGTAGAGCTTGCGGTAAATTAAGTCCACATCGGGGTGATCGACGGGGAGTTTGGTATGTTGTGCAATAATGGCCTTGCCAAAGTGCATATAGACCAGCCCTGCCGAGGACAGTTTCGTCTTATGGTCAGGAAACACGACGTCAAAGGTGCGTTGATGATGATCATAGCGATGTTTGGAAGGGTCATATTCTCCTCCAACATCAACGACTGTGTGACAAACGTCTAGAAGAGAGGAGTCCCGAGTCCTGACCAAGGAAGCAGACGCATATTCGGGGAGGAGGCGAAGCATGTAAACAGCAAGGGCTTCATCCGCATGGAAATGACCATTGTGAGTACCAATGATCAGAGGATCTGGTTTCACTCTCTTTGCAGCTGTTTCGGCAGCCATTTTGAGAAAATTGCGGAACATCCACGGTTGAAGGAGAAGCAGCAACGTCGGAACCGTGAAGAACGCTTTGTTGAGTTCTACAAATCATCGTTGGAAGAGCCTGAAAGTACTCCGTACTGGCCAGACAACATCGCCCCTTCTCTCAACAGTCGAATCGCAGTCCCGTGACGGCACGTGATGCTCTTCGGGACACTTTCCTAGTTGTTCTTTCATCACCGCAGGTGTCAACCCTTGGATCTTGCCATGGAAATGATATTTCCGAATCATCGTCGCTTCAAATTCCCGCTGGCCCTTGATTTTCTCCTTCTTTCGCTCCTCATTCTCGGCGCTCTGCGTTTCAGCCTTATCCTTGAAGCGCTCAGCTCTCCTATAGAGCTCGGAGTACGAATGTCAGGGTGAATGGCAATACACTTCCAGCATACGTCGCGGCGACGTAGTACTAACCTTTCAAGTTTGGGATTTCGGCCGGCGATGTCTATGCAGCGTAGAGAAACACCAGGAGCACTGAAGATATAGACACTCGGGTCGATGAGGTGGCCTGTCGCATAGGTTGGTTTCCCCCCCGACATAGAATGAGGTCCATGGACGATTCCGGCTGTTTCTTTTCTGCCTCTGGCTTAGGGTCGGGCAGTGATGGCCATATATAACACGGAAGTGCGATATGATTGCGGATGATGATCATCACGAAGATGATGGTGCCGGTGGTGACTCCTGCAGCACCGGCGAGGAGTAAATGGCTTGGAGACATATCCCTTATGGTCGTCCTCGAATGAGTATGAAGATCCATTGTGATTGCAGAGGTTCTTATTTCGTGCCAAATGGAGGGCAAAGGAAGAAAACACGTACACGAAAGTCGAGCGTACCATTCCGTCAGGAGGACCGATTCATGACAGATAGGCTCTCACGCGGCCCCCATACAAATGCGAACGGAAACTTTTTTTCGTGGACCGCTATCGTAGGACGGCCTCTCTATATCGCAGCTGCGCTCATTTCTCTCAAGAGGCCATTTTCGATTATACTTTTTGGACAACCGCCGCCGTGTTAGGGACCAGTCCTAATGACTCTGGACGGAATCTACGCACAGAGAAGTCATGTTTGGATCACATTGCTTACGCCCATAGCGAAAGGTTGTCTTTATCGGCCGGAACACATGTCTTGCTATCCTCACATGGGACGATAAGATCCAATTATCCGTTTGGTTGCCAGATCTCTCTAGATAGTCATAGATAGGACTGAGATCAAGAACTCCAGTCTCTCATCAACTTTCCCAAGCTTAGTTTCTAAGACTCGTGGCGCCGAGTATGCCGTACCCAGTTGCGTCTGGGTCGGTAAAAATTAATCTTCTCCAGGCTTGAGCTAATGAAAATGGAGCTTATGCAGCGCGGAGGTCCAAAGAATGCCCCCATAGGACTATTTGACAGGCGATGCGTTTCTGTGATCGAGGATTGATGTCTCTCCTTTGGGTCAACTCGATCTGTATTGCGCAAAATAATGAAGAGTCAAAAGCCTGCGAAATCGCTTCTATGACATCGATATATGCGCGAATACATGACAACACGCAGACATCACGAATTCTGGGATCGCAATCGAGCAGCCAAATGCCTTCCAGCTTGGGATCAAGGAATGGGACGAAACATGACAACCAAGTCGTTTGTTGGGAAGGGACTGGACCCCTCCAAGACCTGGTATTCTCACAACGTGCCATTTTCTTCTTTGAGAATGACTTTACGTGGGAATACCATTGCTGTATGTGGTATGCCAGTTGTTCGTGGTGATACCGTAGTTCAGTGCCTCAACCGATTCTCCAATTTTGCCCAAGGTCTGCAACATCCACCATAACCGGATCGGGAAGAATATGCTCAGATGGTGCTTGCCTGTAGCCGCCGCAAACTTACCTTTGGACGTGGTGGGTTAGGTTTGGCCCTCGCTTTAGCGAGAGCGTTCTGCGGTGGATTCGTCTTCGGGCTTCCGCAGATGTTCATAGGCGCTGAATTACTCTGGCAGCCAGATTTGAGTATGGACATGTTTCCATGAACGGAATGACTGTTTTATCAGCTGGTCTTGGACGGGGCAGTGTACGACTATATTCAATTCTGGATACTTATAGCCTTGTGGTGTAGTCTGCCACAAGGCTATCGGCAGCCGCAGTGGGTCCATGGCAGGCACCAATAGTCATCGAGCAGGCACCCGGCAGGCTTCGATCGGCCTGCCTGGTTGTGCCGTAACAATTTCTCAATACGCACTCCCGCATTTACCTCGACCAGAAAACCAACTGGCCGATAGAAGTACCAAGCAATTTCGACCCCCTATGTCTTCACTACTCAGCCAGAGCTTGCCTCAAGCCTGAACGTCTCCGTTTTCAAGGACAAAATTGTTGACAAATACGATCGATTCATGGGTCATTCACTACGGGCCTGTGCGTACAACTTCAGCAACCTCCCATGTCCATGACGACGCGTTCGAACTCATCATGATCTCCGAAGACTCCTAAAAGATATTCCCAGCCAAGTACAAGACTGAATTTCATGAAAAGGACCCCTCAATCTACAGGAAGAAAAGAGAAATATATAGGTTTTTGAAAGGGTAGTGCCATGTTGTTTAAAGGCGCTTGGAATGCGGAGCTGGGAAGTGAAAGGATCAGGCTTTTTCTGATGTATGTACCACCATTTTCAGCAGCCAATTCCAGCAGCCATTTCACCCGATGCCGCATACTGGGCATTCTTTGCAAATTCGGCTCCAACTGCCGACCTTCCTCCACATATCCGACAAGCATCCCTCAACCGCCCTTGGAAAATAGAGTCGATCGAAGTCTTTTTGGCGGAGCCGTCTCGAAATAATCTGGGAAACGGTGACCATGGTACCGCGGAAGCCTCATGGTCCACAAGTTGGATTACTTCTCAATACCGGATTGACCGATATCTTTCCGCCCTCTTCGTAAGTTGTATCATCTCGAATACCTTCTTCCCCTTTTCTATTCAACTTCCTGATATAACGTTGGTCCATACCAGAACACACTCATGTTCATCATACCTCCTACTGTCTCTCAAGGAAAATCCCCATCTTCCCATGTCTTGCTGATGCCCCGTTCCTCCACTCCTCACTTATCGAGCAGTTGCGGTCCGGCTGTAACAGTAGAACTCGAGTTCCGTGGAAAACGTCTTCGCGTCGCTTATTTCTCTAAGCTTCTCGCAGGATAGCACTTATTTGTCCATTATTCGGGATGGAGAAAGATCGTCCGTGGCTAATGCTGCAACATGCATCGGAAGATTGGAAGAAACGGAGGAGAGCATTACCCAGAACACCGTCCTTCCAGTCAACAAGAGTCAATGAGTTTGTTCAGCCCTGGAAGTCCCCAACACCTATTACCAGTCGACAATTTCCTTTTCCCTCTCCTTCACACTACTGATCTGTAAAAATTTCCTTTCTCGTTTTAAACATTCATTTATTCGTCCGATCAGTCAACGAATAATCCCCCCGTCACAAAAACATGGGCGCCATTAACCCACCTCGCCCTTTCCTCTGCAAGACACCCGACCACATACGCAATCTCCTCTGCCTCGCCCATCCTCTTCCCCACTGGCGTCTGGTCTATCACGGGCTGCAAAATCTTCATCGCCTCCTCTCCGGCATCGGCAAAGCCCTCTGTCCTCGTTGGCCCCGGACTCACCGCGTTCACTGTACACCCGTACTTCCCCGGCAGCTCCTTTGCCCAGCACCGCGTGAAACTGTCCACCATGCCCTTCGTGCCCGCGTAGATCGTCTGCCCTGGCGGCGGGCCCCTCGATGAAACACTGATGATATTAATGATCCGTCCGCCGCTGGGTTTAGGCAGGTGAGGCAGTACGGCTTGCGTGAGCAAAAATGTGCCGCGCCCGTTCAGGTTGACGAGCTTATCCCAGTGCTCGAGGGTCTTATGTTCGAGCGGGAGGTTGATGGCGAGCGCAGCATTGTTGACAAGGATGTCGATTTTGCCGTACTTTTCAACGGCGCAAGAGACGAGGTGTCTGGGGCCAGTGGTCGTGGAGATGTCGGCTTCAACGGCGATTCCGTCGCCTGGTCGGGGGAGGTTAGCCAGGACGGCTTCGGCTTGAGGTTGAAGGTGAGGGAAGGGGTAGTTGAGGACGACGGTGGCGCCACGGAGGGAGAGTTCATGGGCAATAGCAGCGCCAATGCCAGAGCTGGAGCCGGAGATCACGGCGATGCGGCGCCTCATGGTTTCTATTGGTGTGGGTGTCGAGGCTGAAGCCGAGGTTTGCAGTGGTTGGATTGAGGAAGACATTTTGGTTTGCGGCGCTGACTGGGTGGATTGGACCGGACACCTTTTTGATATTGGAGAGCTGAACGCGATTGAGCTGTCGTGTTGGAGGTTGAATATCAATGGTGTATAAGAAGTGCTTCAGTAGATGTTGCAAATTAGGTCACCCAGGATAGGATTGTTAAAATTCTAGCATTGATAACCAACCCGAAAGAGATGGTATGACCTGCGAAGAGAGAGTGCCCGTGCTTGTATCTCTTTAAATATTGTCAAGGTGTCGCAATGTGCAGGCGCTACTTTCAAGTCTTGACCGAAATTGATTTGTAAAGTCGTTTCCAGCGAATAGCATTGTGGTCTTTATCGAAGACGAAACAATGTTTCAACGTGGAGGACGATAATGTCAAGATATTCTATCCGGGACCACATCGGCCAGCCTTGTTGGCCTCGGATAAGGCCTGAATTGAGCTACCGTTTTATAATAGTCGAGCAGAAACAGAAACAAATTGCAGCGTGAACAAAAGAACCGAAAATGATGGTACGAGCTCGAGAGAATGCAGCACCATCAAGAGAAGACATTAGCACAGACTTAGGCTTGATTATATCTCAGTTTCGAGACTTGAAAGCTTTTCCTTCGGCTGTACTGATACAGCTGCGTTCAAGTCCCGGTTTGGAATTCAAATGGGCCGTCGCCGATATTTATTTGGGTGATGATTTCGCCATGGTTCAACATGTTCCATTTATTCACCCACCTCACGGTCCAGGTCCCATTGTGCACTCTTCATGATCCTCCATTTGACGCTGGCGTGGCGAATTCGTTTGCCAAACACAAAAAAGAAAATCCAACCCAGGAGCACTGCGGCGCTGATGCCGGCCATGGCGCCGAAAGCGTCGAGGTAGCCTGACTTTTGGATCCAAGGGTTTGTGTAGAAGGAAAGAAGAAATCCGAAGGCGGCTTTGAATGCAAGCTGGGTTGTGACGACTTCACCTGCAACTGGGCGGTAGGCATCCACGGTGTACACCAATGAAACGTTGGTGGCTTGTGTGATTGCGAAGTTTACTACTCGAATGTCAGCCAGGACGATGAGAGCTGAGCGTATTGGGGGATTCGGAACTTACAGAGACCGAGGCCAAGTGTGGGAACCATCCAATGCAGTCGGTTTTGAATACCAACGCCATACAGGATGAGGGCTAAGGGAGAAGCGATCAAGCCCAAAGTCATGGAAGGAAGTCTCATCTCCGGCTCTCGAATGCCATTATTGCGTGCAGTGAGCACGTTGGCGGTCCAGTCGGAGAACCATCCTCCAAAGAAGATGCCAATCAAGGCTCCAATAACACCGGCAATGAAACATAGTCCAGATTGCCAGGCGGTGAAGTTGTAGGTGGTTGAGAAAGCTGAGGCGAAGTTGGAGGAAATGGCCACCAGGAATCCGATGGTCACAGCCATACACAGTGTGGCCCATAAAACTGGCGGTAAGATGAGAAGGGCGATGGGCCGTAAAAAGATCTTGAACAGGGACTCTGAGGTCAGGACTTCGCTGAAGAGTTTCAAGTTCTGAAGATAAGTTCGCTTCTTGTATTGGGTGGCGGAACTGGGCGGTACGGCCTCGATATTAACGTGTTGACTGCCGGTTGCGTCCTTCTCTTCTGCGGAATGAAGGGATGATTCATGCGGTGTGGTCGGTGCACCTACGGGGCTTCGATTGTACGATGTCTCGGGCATGGTCAAGAAGACAAGGACAGTCAAGGCACCGATCAAGGCGGTGGCGACGTAGTAGATGTAGCGCCAATCGTGGTTGATTGTGATCAGACCGGATATAATGATGCCGAGGGAGACTCCACAAGACAGAGCTGCTGTATAGCAGGCCATAACGAGACCACGCTCGTGCAGGAAGAAAATATCCGCAATGGTTAGAGGAGCGACACATTCTCCAGATCCGGCAGCGAAACCCATGACTATTCGACCAGCCAACTCGGCGCCGTATGATTTGGCGCAGCCACACCAGATGGCGCATGCCGTGTATAGGGTGAAAGAGGAGAGATATATCGGTCGACGGCCATATTTGACAATCAAAGGCATCCAGATTAAGTTACCGATGCCCTGAAGCAAAGACGTCGTGGTGAAGAAGTAGGAAATTTTGGCAATCGCCGGGGCATATGCTGGAACTGTGGGAGGAGTGTGGAAATAGTCGATGGTGATGTCGACGATGGCCACGGAAGGACCCGCTGCCAGAAAGTTGCACATCACCATGGCCAGACACACAAGTAGAGCCATGTAGGAGCGATATGCCTTGGAGCTATGGCCGAATCAGTTTGCTACTCTTCTCTCTCTCTCTCCCCTCGGACTTCGACAGACCAGTTCAAAGGGTCATTAGGATCATCCGAAGGAGTAGGAATTAAGATGATTTGGTTGGTGCCTTGCTTCTGAAGTCGAACACTGCCTAACGTCTGAACGCGTTGCACGTCGACTTCATCTCGCTGGTCGATAACTTGAACCATGGTGAACGGTTTTCCAGTAGTGGACAGAATGTATCTTTGGAAAAGATATCGCTTTTGATGAAGACCTGATAACACGGAGGTGCCACCAGGTTTCCTCATCCTTATGACAAGCATCCCAGTCTATCCAAATGTGGTGGTCCCGAAAGGTTTCGGCTCCATATTTACAGCACTAGAACGACTTAGGCAAGGTGCAGATTCAACCTCCAGAGTAAATCAAAATTCAATTCTATTACCGTTGTGGGGTCCCCAGTTGCGTTCTAGACATGCGCGGATTGGAATCTGGGGTGTGTCAGAACTTAGATGGTCTCGGAGTCAAAATCACCGCTGACGGCGACGTGGAGCCGGGAGTTTGTCAGAAGTCTACCTATACATCCAAGTCGGTTGGGTTGTTTCGCGGCAATAGTAGCGGCAGATGTGGCCCTTTTCCAGTGTCTTCCGAACGTGTTTAAAGGGCCGGAAGACTCGCCTCGGTCCGACGCAAGTGACGTTCGAACCATATCATTCCCCGTAGTCAAAAAGGGGTACACCAGCAACCATGGGATCTACCCAGGAACTTCCAATCATTTGGCGTACTGAGAGCCTTGAGTCCGAGTACGAGCGAGCACGTGTAGGACGAGTTTTCAATCAACGCCGACCTCGACGACATCCACGTGCAGTGGTAGAAGCCACAGAGGAATCACATATTGTTGAGGCCGTTCGGCTTGCCATCCAACAGCAATGTCGTGTCTCAGTCCGCTCAGGAGGTCACAGTTGGGCTTCCTGGAGTGTCCGTGATGACGCCATCCTGATTGACCTGGGGAATTACCACCTCCTGGAGCTCGACGAAACCAAGGGGACCGTCACTGTGTCACCCAGCACCACAGGCCGAGTCCTCAATGGGTATTTGGCTCAGAAAGGTCTCATGTTCGCGGGCGGCCACTGCCCTGACGTCGGCGTTGGGGGTTTCCTTCTGCAAGGAGGTATGGGGTGGAATTGCAAGAATTGGGGCTGGGCATGTGAGCAAGTTCTGGCCATCGACGCCGTCAATGCCCAAGGAGACCTGGTCCATTGCAATGCCACCGAAAATCCCGAGCTGTTTTGGTGTGCTCGAGGGGCTGGCCCTGGATTTCCTGCTGTGGTCACCAAGTTTCATCTTCGTGTGAAGCCATCATACTCAAACATACTGTCTACCACCTTGGTCTACCCCATGTCACACTATCGAGTCGTCATGGACTGGATAGTCAAAATCTCGCCGGAATTCGATGCCGATACAGAGATCGTGGCGGTGGGAGCAACAGCTCCTCCGGAGGTGGGCACACGCAAACCGTGCATCATACCCCTATTTGTGACCTTCAAGAACTCAGACGAAGAGGCACGCGCAGCTCTGGAACAAGCAAACCGGAGCCGACCAGAAGGCGCTCTCCTCGAGTTGATCAATCAACCGACCAGTCTGGCGAACGAGTACAAGAAGCAAACAGCGGCCAACCCGGAGAATCACCGTTACTGTGCAGAGAATGCGTATATTAGCAACGATGAGAATGTGGCAGCCGTGTTAGAGGAAGCCTTCACCACGTTACCGCATCCCAAAGCGTTTTCCCTCTGGTACTCGATGAATCCATGTAGCAGGAGGGATCTGCCAGACATGGCTCTGAGCATGCAAAGCGATCATTATTTTGCTCTGTATACCGTCTGGGAACACGAGTCCGATGATGACCGATGTCAGGCATGGGTGAAAGACATCATGCGAAAAGTCGAGAGGCACAGTGATGGGGCGTATTTGGGCGACTCGGATTTCCAAGTTCGTCGCACTAAGTTTTGGGCCGATGAAAATGCGACGAGGTTGATGGAACTGCGACGCAAACTGGATCCTGATGGCGTAATCTGTGGATATTTGGATGTTGATGATGCCTCGGGCGTCGGGGGATTGGCCAACGAACATGAATGGAAAGGAAAGTTGTAGAGGTGGACATCTATTATGGCCGGGACTTCCAATCAGCGCCGCTAACAAGGCCATCTAGAGATATGAGTGCTCGTAGAGGGCCAGAGGAAACTGGAGGCAGTTTTTCCACTGACTTTCCGCCAAACAACCCCATATCAGAGCGGCGGCGGCAAAAGCTGAACAGCAGTGCGTTTTGTCTGGAGAACGCAGTGAATGGTGTGTTTTCTTTTTTTTCCTTTGGAGGCTTCTAGAGGTGCTAAACCTGTGCCATTTATAGACGTGACAAACATTCGGCATCTTGGGATATCTCACAGTTATCAGTGACAATCAGTGAGCCATAAGATACAGAATTGTAACCTCACATCAAAGAGGTCCAAAGATGCCAACCCGTTTCAGGCAGCTCCAGGGTAGACAAGATATCATCGTCCGGGTACAAGCAGTCACTTCGAATAGTACCATTTCCTTGGCTGCGGCTCCTCTTGTGCAACTAAGGCAGGAGAAGGACATCCCGCGGCTTCCGCCAGGTTTTCTCGAAGGATGAGTGTTGTGGTCGTACGGGAGTAGATTGGGGCAGAAGCCAGAATGAACGATTGGACAAATTAGCAATGGCCAAGCAGAATGACAGTAAATACCAAGGAAACCAAGGCTAAGGCCTACCCTAGCTTGCCCATGGTAGTCCACAATCACCTTGCAATCAAATCGCCCAAGAGTGTAACATGGGTTCCAAAGAACGAAGGTTATCTAGATAACGAATTCCCATCCCTAAGTATTGACGATGGTGATAAGCTTCCTCTCGATTCGAACAGCGCGGAAGTCTATCGGAGAGGATGCGTTCTGGCATGTATCATCAGTGAGTCCGGGTATGCTTCGCGACATCGCGAGGGATTGACAAATGGTGCCATCGCGAATGTCTCGCTCAAGGCTGCGCCGCGGCTTCAATCGACACGCCAATGCATAGAGCAACGCGCCATTCAAACTGAATGTCTGTGTTAAAAAATGTGGTCGTCTCTCATGATTAAACTCTCCTTGTTACCGTTTACTGCGCATGAAGGAAACTCCCTCCACTATACCTAAGGATTAATGTTGCTCCATTCCGACCGTTGCTTCGGGCCGGGTCCGGAAGCACCAACGGTTACAGATGGTGGTGGCGTCACCAGTTGGCCAGAAGTACTAAGCTACACCCAGCATTTGCACTCTAGAGAAGACAACCTGGGGGCTGGGATTAGGCTGCACTCTTCCCCGCCCCGAAATGATACTATGCAGTACAAGCCTGCTCTCCGTTCCCCGCAATTTTCTCCTCCTCCTCCTCTCCTCGTCGCTCCTTCTCTGAATTCGCCCACCACGGCATCAAGCAATATTTGAACTGCTTGGGATTAGGAATGGATGCAACACAGCAAGCTCTGATCGCCTTTGGTAACAACAATACTATAGAACTTTCGGGTTCCTCTACCTCTCCACATCATGATGGCACTGACACCAATCCCTTCTCCTGCAATATCTGCAAGCGAAGTTATATGCGAGTTGACCACCTGGCCCGCCATTACCGATCACACACACATGAAAAGCCCTTCGGATGCGACATCTGTGGAAAGAGCTTTGCCAGATCGTAAGTGGTCTTAAACGACTCTTATATTGTTCGTTACTGTTGTAGTGCCGCTCACCAAGTTTTAGGGACTTGCTGAAGCGTCATGCCAACGGCCACAATCAAGATGAATCTGGCCGAGGTCTCAAAAATCCCACCAAGCCAGCTCATCCCAGAGTCTTTCAAGCTTGCGTAGCTTGTGCCGAAGCCAAACTCCGCTGTGAAGGCACCTCTCCATGTGGCCGATGTAAGAAAAAAGGGATGTCGTGCGCATATGCACAATCCCGCTCTCGAAGATCCATGGATTCTACACGCCATCGCTATGCCAGTCGATCCAGCGTCTCCTCCGACACAATCGCTCCTTCAACCTTTCAGATGCCCGTTCCATCTCAGCAGGGCCAATGTCAGCCATCCCATACACATGTCTCACCCCTTGCACAGCAGCCGCATTCGGACATGATGATGGTTCCGGTGACCGCCAACCCAATGCCTACCGCGGCCTCAGCAACAGATCATTCAATACTGGATCCCACTCAGCTGCCTGATGTCCCCAGCTTCGAACAAGGGGACCGAGCCGCAAACTTAGGGGAGCTGAGTGACGGGATGGTCGAGTCGGCCATGATGCGCATGGGTTCACCATTCCACCAGGCCGATCCTTCTCCAATGAGCTTTGATGATGTCCCTTTTCTGGATTTTCTTAGACATGTTATGACTCCTGCTCCAAATAATGATGTCCGGCCTTTGAGTTCAGACGCCATCCAGCCATACTCTCGTAATCTTTTGGATTTCAACGGGGATCATGCCTTTGACATAGACTTGAACGGTTTTGCGCCAAATTTATTCATCCCCAACCAAGTCTCACAATTCTCCACGGTCCGATTCGATGGAGACGAGCCTCTTCCTTCGAAAGGCGGCTATAGTACTCCAGGAAACGTATTGCGGGGCAGCATCACCCTTGGCGAGCAAGCCTTCAGAGATTCCATCTGGCTGTGGACGCCTACTCTGGGAGATATCGGCAATGCCGAACAGGCCAATTTGTCCCTTCCGTTTGACCATAGCATATTGGAGACGGAAGGAATTGACCCTGCACCTATTCCAGAGCAGTTGAGCTTAGCCTCTCGGGATAGCATCCTAGCCCTGATCTTGAGCACGTGCAATGCGACCATCTACCCTCGCGTCGTATCGTGTTTTCCTTCACAAGCAATGCTGACGAGATTGTTGAACATCTCTCTGATTCATCATTTGCGTGGGGACGATTCTTGGATTCATCCGGGCACCCTGAGTATCAACGAGGAGATACCCGAATTTTTGGCGGCAATGATTGCCTCTGGAGCTACCACCTGCCGCGTTCCAGAAATCAGAAAGCTTGGCTTTGCGATCCAGGAGGCTGTCCGAATGGCGATGCCGGAGAGAGTACGTGGGAACGAATGCTGCATCAGGATCCTATGCTAAATGAATCCTAGTTCGAGAGTGACAACAGAAACACACGCAAGTTGAGAATGCTGCAATCGTACGCTTTGCATTTGAACGTCTCGCTGTGGAGTGGGGACCGACGCAAGATGGAGATCGCAGAGAGTTTTGCTCTGCCCCTGGTCACCGTAAGTGGTTTTCAGTGCGGCCAGCTTCCCGACGTGCTGACCATAGCAAACTCAGATGATGCGGAGGGCCGGTCAATTTCGACGACATCGACACCCTGAGACCGTGCCTCAGGAAAGCGATGATGAGAGGACGACAGATTCCAAGTGGCGGGCCTGGGCAGAAGCGGAGTCCTTCAAACGGTGAGCTACACTCTTGATCCGGTATGTGCGAGGTGCTGCTGACAGGCCATGGATAGCCTTGGCCTTCATTTGTTCTTTAGAGACGCTCAGTCCTCCACCTCCCTTCTCACCCAGCCACTTATCTCATACTCCGAACTTTCCGCCGATCTACCTTATTCGAGAGATTTGTGGCTGGCAAAAACCGCCGGTGATTGGAAAAGCCTGTATCTTGCCAAACGAGACCAGATAGATGATCGTCTTCCATCTATTCGGCACTGCATTGACGACACCAGTGTGATCTTCAGGTTTGGGCATGTCGTCGACGTCCAAATGACTCTCGCCCTTGTCCTTTCTTCCATCTGGGCATTGATTTGGCAATATCGACAGATGAAGGAAACACTGAATGTCAACAATAAAGGTGATTCTCGGATCAATGGGATGACGGCGAATTCCCTGTACCAGGAAACTACACGATTGATTCAGCATCTGCGTCTGAATGCCACCGAGTGGGAAGGGAGCATGACTCCTCCTTCAACGCTGCTGCGCGAACTTTGCCTCATGCATCTGCATGTGTCGCTGGAAGATGTCCAACTTTTAGCCGGTAAGGAGGGAGAAGAGGAAGCGAGAAAGGTGTTTCCTTTACTGAAAGTTTGGGCCGAGTCGGCCGAGTCACGACAAGCCCTTTTCCATGCCGGACAAATCTTACGTGCGGCGAAGCAGTACCCGAATGGGATGTTACGCGAAGCGTCGGCTGTGGCGGTCTACCATGCCAGTCTGGCTTTTTGGGCCTACGCTGTCCTCGGCAAAGCTGTGACGGCCACTGAATCTCCTCTGTCAAACTTTGCGTCTCAACCCACACCTTCACCCGATGATAAAATTGCAGGGCATGTCAGACTGGACGGAGAAGATGGACCCGAGCTCCAACGATTTCTGGTATTAGGCAGAGGAGTGCCTTCAATCCGCCGATATTTAGAAGGGGAAAAGTCAAACGGGAAGCCCGATGTGCCATTGACGGATCCCGTGGCGACGATGGCCGCCATCACCGATCTGTTGCGCAAGAAGAACTGGGGTGATGAACGCAGCTGTCCGCCTTTAGTTACGAACTTGAATAAGCTGATGAAGTCTTTGGGAGGCGCGGCGGCAGCTGTGCGAAAGAGGTGAGTGTTGCTCACAAGGGTATAACTGGTGTGCATCAAGTAATGGTTTTGGATTTTGCATGGAGCCATGAGGTGAAAACGGAACTCCTGGAAAAGTTCATGTATTTTGCGGAGTTTGGAGGCAGAATTTTGTTCGGCATCTAAAATTGCGATTTCACAAGAAATTTGTTCGTGGCAGAACGGCCTGTGGGATAGGCCAAAAAGATGTATGAGACAGATAATTTGCTCAAATAGGCGGTTTTCGAGATGCACAGCAAGTAGACTTACTCTGAACTCTGCTTTTAGACTTGTTACCGAGCTGATTTATCACCAAAACTCCTTATGGACGAGGCTTTATTGCAGCCTTGCTCGCCACATCACGGGCAAAGCCTTTCCCTTGAAACTTGAAGTCAAATTCTCTATCACTGTCTTTGTGCAATGTGCTTAAACCTGATTCGTCACGGTGTCAACTTATGGGCACCATTTCGGAACGATCTACACCCACCTAAATGGTCAGAGGAGAGGTGGGCGCCTGCCGAGCCGAGGGACCACCTCCACATCGGCTTATATAGAGCGTCTCAAGGCTGATGATACTCACGGCCCGGAGAGACGATCTTTGACGACCCTTCTTCCGGCCGACGTCTCGCTGTTTCATTGGAACACCCGTCGAATGAATCAGTAACAAACTAAATAGACTTCAGTCGATTTCGAGTTAGACAACCACCAAACTTTTGCTCTTGTACCTTTCAACTGTAGACTCCTTAAAACACTTTTCCCGTCTGCAAGTCCGGAACGTGGACACAAATATCAACTTTGATGCTTGTTCCTGAACATAGACAATGGCGTCCAAGAGTGCATCCACAACATTGCTCCCGTTAAAATGCCTGACTGACGAAACGCACAGGAAACTTGACACCAGTCTACTTCTTCTCTCACGGTTCAACTATGATGCTAGGTGAAGAATCAGAGTCAGCCAAGTACTGGAAACAGTGTGGCGATGAGGCTCTGGCTCACAATATCAAAGGTGTGGTTATCATGGTATGCATTCTGTTCCGTTACTCTACCCTTTCATCTCTCAAGCTTCTCGGTCATCTTATACCACGCCTTAACCAAGTCTCTGTCCCCCTCCTTCATTTTCTTCAAGTTTTCATGCTACCAGCGCCATCTAACTACTTTCTATCCCATGATATAGGGCGCACACTGGGCCGCACTCAACAACGCCGTGCAAGTCGCGACGAACCCATCCCCCAACAAATCCCCCGTCGCCTACGTCCATCCATCCAAATACGTCGACTACAAGCTCAACCCTGACATCCCGACTGCCAACCGGTGTATCTCCATGCTTCGCGCCGCTGGCTTCGAAGCCGAGGGGAACCCATCCTTTAACTGGATCCACGACACCTACCTCATTCTCATCCGGATGTTCCCATCCGGCTGTCCACCCACGACCATTATCAGCATGAACTCACGGTACGATCCACACTTCCATGTTGCGATGGGGGAAGCCCTCCGCCCCCTCCGCCGCGAAGGATACTTACTCATCGGTTCTGGCGGCGCCGTGCACAATCTGTACCGCAACAAATGGGAGCCCATGCTCGACTATCGCGATAATTTCGCGCAACAGACGCCGCCCGAGCCATGGGCATTGGAGTTCCGGCAGAGTTTCCAGGATGTTGTGGGCGCGAATTCGGGCCCGAGACTAAAGAGGGCGGTGACGAGGCTTATGAAGCATCCGCAGTACCGTGATGCACATGCGACGGATGATCATTTTATGAGTGCCATGTTCGTGGCGGGCGCCGTGGGCGATGAGGAGGATCAGGGGACCTATGGCGAGCTGAAGGCTGAGACTTGGGAGTTGGTAAGTGATCTCAAATCGCATATTCTTAAACATTTCCCCTTGCGGCAGAGGGGGAAAGAAACGCCATGTTTTAAAACTAACTTGGTTATTTGAACAGACGAACATGTGCAATTCGCAATATGCGTTTGGTTCGTGGGTAGGTGTTGCTGCATGAGTATCTAGCTTATAGAAATGACGACGAATAACGAGTATTTCCAAAGGGTGATCTTTTTTTCTAGGAGTCAAGGGGATAGTATCTCTATTCTTTAGTAGCCCCTATCGAATCTCAGTCACTCCATATCCAGAGAGAATCCTAGCCAATCAAGTGAAATCCACACCTATTTCGGGGAAAGACAAGGCTGGGAATTCCGTTTATCAATACGCTTTTTTCCTCATGTGTGCCAATCAAACTAAATTCGCATATTTGCGTCCATCTTTCGCTCTGTCATCATACGCAGCCAAAAATCTGCAATAAGGTCTCTTTCCCCTCTTACTAATACCGGCTAGCACCTCCCTATCTCTTCGCAAGCTTTCCTCTTATAACCGGGCCTGCAACATACCTCCCAAAAGCACCGAGCACGCTCATCAAGCTCAACAAACCCACAACACCGCCAAGGATAAGGCCTTGCTCGAAGAATCCTATCGCCTTACCCGAACCCTCATTCATCGGGGTCAAAGGTTTGACAAGAACGTCGTGCATCTGTTTCCGAGATTCTTTGGTAGTCGTAGACGAATTTAAGAGATTGCATAGAAACTGTTGATCTGTCCGAGTGGAGATGTATTCTGGTGAAGGGTAGGAGAAGAGATCGCGTGGGTGACGCGGGTGAATAGTTGTCGGTTGGGAAGACGAGACGGGGGCAGCAGGGCCAACTTTTTGCCAATATGGTCAGTTTCCGAGAACTCAGCCAAATATTTATCCATCAGTAGCATGTACTTACCAAGTAATTCAACCGGGATTGAGTTGGCAAATGAGATATGTGATGGGATGAATTGGCCAAGATATTTGGCCGTTGCGGCGTTGGAGAAAAAGTACGTTGCAAGATGCGGCTTGTTGTTGTTACTACGTCCAAATATTAGCTATCCGTTTCACGAGCTTCAGAAGATTTGGTGGGAATATAAGGCATACAGGGAATTGGCCAAGTCGATGCCGTCGTCAAGGCTACGCATAGAGTGGACCACGAGGACTGGCTCCGAGATCTTTCGATTCAAAAGTGCCGGAACTCTGTATCATGGACGAAAAATTCAGTGACTCTCAACATGTGTGGAACAAGGGTTGTGAGGGTTTGCTTTCTCTCACCTCTTCTGAACATGCAAGACCTTCCCCCCCACACCTGATACAAGAGTAGACACGCAATCAGCTTGCAACAATTCTTTGGTTAATGGGCTCTCGCCGACGGATCTCGCCAGCACAGGCCGAGATGTGGCGGTATTATCATCGTAATCATCCCCGGGGCTCGTCTGGACGTTTTCTGCCAACAAAATTGTAGCGTACTGTACTGCTTCGCGGCAGAATTGAGGTAACATAAACTCGTTGACCAGCACCAGATCCGGTGCATAGGGAGACTCGCCACCAAAACTGAATCGTGCGCGCACAATCTCTCGCGCTACTTGGGCGATGCTGCTGGCGCTGTCGGCGGGAAAAGGAGAAGGAGATGATGAAGCGGCAATCGCAGTCCGATCGACCACGGCAACAGATCTGGGTGAAGCAGGTGCCAGTAATGTGCGAGCCGATCCCCGTTTCTCAGGGTCACTCGGAGCGTCCACCACGACGCAGTGCTGAGTGAAGAAGTCTTGGTCGTTGGGTTTGCCGGTCACAACGGCAAAGGTGGCCTTGTCCACAGATTCAGAGAGAACCTTTGCCAATAGAGAGTCGAACTCTGAAGCAGACTTGTCTAGCTGAGTTGAGTCACTGTCGTTAGCGCTGGAATTCTCCTATTTGACATTCTGGCCAGGGGGAGAGAGACCTGAATTTACCCACCTCGATCATGACACAATTTCCAGCGGCAATAGCAGCAGCGACGGGCTGCACGACCGAGTAAAACCGAGTATGCCGCGAAGGGATGATATAGACACATCCAATGGCGACGCGGCGAGAAGGATGGTCCTTTCGATGGGCCAGGCTGTATTCGTCTTCCAGAAACTTGGAGAGATCCAGTGACTCATACTCCCGCTTGAGCATTTTGAAAGTCAAGTAGATTTCGACATCAATCTCAGCGGGAGTGTAATTGGTCTCTCGTCTGATGGCCGTCCGGATGGCTGGGAGTGATTTTTGTAAAGTGTTGTGCAAGAGGAGGAGTTGTCGTTGGATGTAACGAGGTGTTCGCGCTCGACCCTCGATGACCGAGGCACGGATTCGATGAAATGAGTCGGCCATGATGTGATGATTAATGTCTATCACAGATTTCTGGCTGAAGATGGGTGAGAGAAAAAGCTACTATGCGAATGTCGTCAAATTATCTTTGATCGGTCGACGTTTCCACAGATTGGGACCGACATGCGCCCTTCTCGACCGAATATGAAACAAAAGGCTCCGTACCCAATTCAAAGGGATTCTGAATATGTTTCAAGGACCGCATCAGCGGAACTGCACTGTTCTTTCGGTGTGGGCGAAGTTCGAGAACGTCCATCACCGGATCCCTATGTCAAAGGATATCGTGATATTACTGACTTCGGAAGTGTGGGCAGCTTGGCCTCCTCCACCATCGGGAATCTACGACTCTGAGACTTTGCAAGTCCAGGAATCGAGGAATCAGACAATCCGAGGAATCACTCGAGTCTTCAGCTTTTGTTTCTCCCCTTGGGCTTCGACGCCGTCGGCGGTCGAGTGTAGAACAGGATCCGGAATTTGGATCTCGGATTTCATCTGATCAGCCATATCTTTACCTCGATTCCCCTTTCTTATTTTCTTTTTTTTTTTTTTTTTTTTTTGCTCATCATCCAGAATGTCCATCACGACAACCACCAATCCAACCTCGCGCGCTGTGCTCGAAGTCCTCACGGACTACGACTTACACCATTCTGGCGATCCTCAACGATCAGGACCCCCTGAGCACCCCAAACCTCAGGCAAGAGCTCCTGAGCCATATAACAATCCGCACTGGTGGCCAAACGATCATCGACGGATTCCACCATACCGACCAGTCAATCGGAACCTGGATCGAAGCCAGCGGCCGGCCGGCGTCAACAGAATCGAGAGGGCTTTTATTTTTACCATGTTGAGAGGTGTTCAGTTGGAGGCTGTAAGTTATGTTCGAGTTCCCGAAATAGAGTGTCGCAGCTAACTGGATTGAGAATATTTCTACGCTCTGGAGACATACAGGAGGCAAGTTGAATGACAAGATCTTCAGATATGACATTGGTGGTGAGCGGTAGGAAGGACAACCGAAGAGTCAAGGCACGGCAATGCTCGAATTCGGGTGGTACCGCTCGCTCTCATAGAAGCTTTTACCATTCTGAGAATTCTTTTTGGTGCTGGAAGTGAATGCCATAGGTTCTGCATCTTTTTATGTCGTCTCGGCCTTGACTTGATCTAATGCTCCGCCGACCCAGAAGGTCTCACATCCGGAATACCGCCATAATCCTCACCTAAATCCTTGCCTCCAATCCTGAGAGCCTCAGATTCCTGCAAAACATACATCATTCTAGCCCACTTGGTCCTGCTCGCATTTCTCCATGCATGATTCGTACCTCTCTGAATAGCCACGTCCCCACGCCTCATCAGCCTAACTTCCCCTGAATCCAGCACCAATTCCACCTCGCCTTCCAGAACCACTCCGTAATCCAGGCTCACGGTGCGATGCATGGGCGATAAGACCCCGGGCCTCATGTCGACAAATCTCAACACCGTACCTCCAGGAATGGTGATGCCGGGCTTGTTTTCGAGGTAACGTTCGTAGACCTGAATATCTTCTTCGTCGCTCATTTGAACGGGAAATTTGTCGGTGGTGTAGCCCAGACTGAATCGTGCCCCGTCAGCGAGTGTCTGCCATGGCAGAGTTTCTCCAAGCCGGTGGGAGAAAATGGCTTGGGCATCAGAATTGTGGCCTGTGATGAAGCGTTTAATGACAGGTAGACCGTTGTCGAGAAGTTCTCTGTCCGTGGAAGTCATTTTCACAGTTTCTCCAGCTGGTTTTTATCGATATTGTTTGAATGTTTGAGAATTTCTGGTTTGGCCGGAAGGACCTACAGAATGCGAGAAACCCTTCTACTCCTAGGGGGACCAGGACTGGTATCAGATAGTACGAATAATGAGTTTGTAGTTGATGTCAATGTGATAAGACTTGAGGTGACTGACACCGTTTCTCTTTTTCCTAGTGGACTCTACATTAGTAATTTTCTGCAGAATTGACTAGTTTTACTAGCACTCCGGACGGAGAAGCTGGTACGATAATGAGGCTGACGTTCGCCCGTGTGTGGACATCGGCTCCACTGGATCCCGAGCCTTGTCCAACGCAAACATCTCGACTTCCAAAATCCAACGTCCAATAGCCACTGGCTAATCCTTTACAGAACCTGAGACAAGATTAAACAAGACTTTCCCCTAAGATCTGTGATTTCATTTCGACCGCCTCTGAACTCTTGCACTCAAGTCCTGTTGAACCTATTTGCCAAAATGCCCAATCAAATCCGCGACATCTCCTCCATCGACCGAGACTCCTTCACGTACATCTTTGAACAAAATGTGACCATCCCACTCAAAAGCTCTCAGGGGCTTGTGAGATGTAATGTCTACCGTCCCAAAGACGAGACGCAGAAATATCCCGCCCTCGTCACATATGGACCGTATGGAAAAGATATCCCATACAGCGACTTCCACGCCCAATCATTCTCCGAAGTCAACCCAGAACACAAATCCGAACACTCGGCCTGGGAAACGCCCGACCCGAAATACTGGACATCACATGGCTACGCAGTCGTGCGTGTCGACGAACGCGGCCTCGGCCAATCCCCCGGCATCCTCGACACCATGTCCAAGGGGACCAGCGAAGCATTTTTTGACGCAGTGGAATGGTCCGCGGAGCAGTCCTGGTCCAACGGCAAAGTCGGCCTCCTAGGAATCTCTTACTACGCCGGCAGTCAATGGCGGGTCGCGGCGTTACAACCCAAAGGCCTCGCGGCCATGATTCCCTGGGAAGGAATGAGCGACTACTATCGGGATCGCTGCCGGCACGGCGGCATCTTATCCAACGAATTCATTCGGTTCTGGTGGAACCGGCAGGTCCTCAGCAATCAGTACGGCCTGAGTGGTCGAAAGTCGAGAAATTGGGGCCCCGACACCATCGAAGGAGACCTATCGGCCGAGGAGCTCGAGCACAACCGCAATGACCAGAACATCGATAATGTGAACAACGAGTTTCGAGACCAACCATACTATGCGTCCAAGGAGTACAATTTGGACGATATCAAGGTTCCGCTCCTCAGTGTGGGCAACTGGGGGGGAATCTTGCTGCACTTGCGAGGCAACGTCGAGGGATTCACACAAGCGGGCTCCAAGCTCAAGTACCTCCGCTTCTGCGTTGGAAGGCACGATTTACCTTTCTACTACCATGAACAAGTGGAGATGCAGCGAACTTTTCTCGACGCTTTTCTTCGAAACGATGATCGTGTTGGCTGGTCCGTCGCGGGAAAAGTGCCGAAAATCGGCCTCGTCCTTCGCCAGGGGGATGCAGGATATAATAATCCAGAGGCCGAGATGAAGTTTCCCACCAGAGACGAAGAAGATTGGCCGATCCCTCGGACCCAGTACACTAGGTACTATTTGACCGATGACCTGAGATTGACGACGGAAGAACCAAAGTATACTCATACGCGCAAATTAACCTACCGAGCCCTAGGAACCCTACAAGCGCCACAACTCGTCCAATTCACCACGGCGCCCATGCCAAGCGAAACCGAAATCACAGGGCACATTGTCGCTCACCTCAACGTCTCGATGAACCCCTACATCGGCGGGACTGTGCCCAGCGATATCGATCTGTTCCTTACACTCCGCCATATCGGCACTTCGGGCAAAGAAGTCTTCTACACCGGCACAGCAGGCGATCCGGTCCCGCTCTGCAAAGGCTGGCTCCGGGTGAGTCTGCGCAAAGTCAACACTGAACACCACCGGCACAGACCCTATCTGCCGTATCGAGATTACTTCTCGACTTCGGTCCAGCCCGTATTGCCCGGTGAGGTATATTCCGTGGACGTGGAGGTGTGGCCGACAAACGTGGTGGTCGAGCCTGGGGCGAGGATTGTATTGGAAGTGTCGTCAGGAGATACGCAAGGGTCCGGCGTCTTTCAGCATACGAGTCCTGTGGATCGGTAGGTCATCCATCTTGCTCTTTTGTTATCCTATTTCTCATTCCTCATTCTGTTGCTGCATGTTTCGATGAGTTCGAGGCTGATGAAACTATCTCGCGAACAGATCAGAAGCCAAATTTGCCGGAAAGAATAATATTCATTTCGGTCCAAAGTTTATCAATTATTTGACTTTGCCTATCATTCCGCCAAAAGAAGGCCATATATATACAGGTAGGTGAAGCATACAGAAGTTCAGTGTGCGGCAAATCACACTTGATTCAAAACAATGGCCGTGTTATGAAAAGGGGTTAGAGTTAGATATCCCGTAGAGAATGTGAATGTTTGGTGTTCATTACATATAGTAAGACCCGAATGTTCTTAAAGACGCTATGCTGCCATAGACGCACCGGCTTTTCTCGGTGCCGGCCAGTCGGTCAAAATCTAATTCGCTATGGCAGGAGATTGAAAGTGGGGATTAGACATCCCGTCTGCTGAACGCTAGAACGATTCCTAAATGATGTGGAGCCGATAGATGGCGACCAGAACGGGAATGTTCTGCTGCTCGACATGCTAGTAGCCATAAAAGTTCGTCGAGATCCGTAGCCGGTAGGGCACGAATATTCCACTGAATCAGAAATGGGATATAACATCGCATGCCTGACAAGGCTGTATCTGGGCTTCAAGGAAATAGACCTACCATCTTGAGAACAACCAAAAGTTGTTTGTCATAAACAAGAATAAGGAGGCATGGCACCCACCTATCTCAAGACCGGCGCCACCACCACCGCTACACCACGAACATCGCCTGATGTCCAAGACATAGTAAAAAATGTCATCGACACAGTCCGCCTCCAAGGCGACGTGGCTGTGCGTGAATTCTCCCAACGTTTCGACAAATGGAACCCCGCCTCGTTCAGGCTCTCCAGGGCTCAAATTGAAGAAGCCATGAGCCGAATACCTGAGCAAACCATCAAGGATATCAAAGCCGTACAATACAACGTGCGAACATTTGCCCAGGCTCAACGCGACTCGCTCAAGGACTTTGAACTCGAGATCCAGCCCGGTGTCTTCTTGGGTCAGCGAAACAATCCTATCAACGCCGTCGGCGCATATATCCCTGGAGGGCGTTACCCTTTGCTTGCATCCGCGCACATGACGATCCTAACAGCCAAAGTCGCAGGCGTCAAACATGTCATCGGCTGCACGCCGCCGATCGCGGGCCAACTTCCCAACGCAACCATTGCGGCCATGCATCTCGCGGGCGCTGACGAGATTTTCATCCTAGGCGGTGTCCAGGCCATCGCGGCCATGGCCGTGGGGACTGAAACGATCCGTAAAGTCGACTTCATCGCTGGACCGGGCAACGCCTTTGTCGCCGAGGGCAAACGCCAGCTCTATGGCGATGTGGGAATAGATCTCTTTGCGGGACCAACGGAGGTTCTGATCGTAGCTGACGAACACGCCGATCCCTATACAGTGGCAACGGACTTGCTTTCGCAGGCTGAGCATGGGCCTGACACGCCTGCGATTCTCATCACAAATAGCGAAGACCTGGGTCGCAAAACTATCGATCACGTGGATAAGTTGTTGCTGAATCTACCAACCGCAGGACTGGCGGGAACATCGTGGAAGACGTACGGCGAGGTCGCGGTTGTAGAGAACTTGGATGAAGCCTATGCTCTGGCCGATGCATATGCCTCGGAACACGTGCAGATCTTGACAAAGAATCCACGAGAGGCACTGGAGAAGATGCAACATTATGGAGCGATCTTTTTGGGCGATAGGACATGCGTGTCATACGGTGATAAGGTGGGTTATTTTTCGTTTCCCTTCTTTTAGTTCTTCGATTCGGTTGCGCTTACACACCATCTTTCATTTATAGTGCATCGGTACCAATCATGTCCTTCCTACGCGAAAAGCAGCTCGCTATACGGGCGGTCTCTGGGTTGGAAAATTCTTGCGCACTGTCACTTACCAGGAAGTCAAATCGAATAATGCTAGCGGCGAGTTGGGTCGTCTCTGCGGACGGGCGGCGAGGGCGGAGAATTTCGAGGGACATGCTCGATCGGGAGATTTGCGTGCACATAAATTCTTGAGGGACGACTTTGAGTGGATTAGTGGGCGGGACGTACAGCATGATTATCGACCAAGGCTGTAAAGCATGAAGGGGAGATCTTGTGGTGGCATGGTGATCTGTAGCCTAGTCAGTAGTGAAATTCGCTCTGGCTGGATGAAATTCCAGAGCTTCTGCGGTTTCTACCATTGCCAATGCCCATTTCACATACCGAACGATATCCCGCAGAGCCCACTCCATTCTTCTCCTCATTTGTCGTGGAGCCGAAGTGAGAATATACTCCTCCACATCCCGATGGCTCAAGTTCGATTCGCGTTTCTTCTCTTTGCTTTCAATCTATGCCTGGCTTGAGAGGTCCCGGGTTTAGAGGTCAGGTTACCACCTCTCTCCTGCGAGTGGTTCACCTTGGTCCCATTTCAGGCGCGGTATTGACGATGCTTCGGCACCGTGTGGAGAGTCTCTTTGACCTTGGGCTGAATCGATATTTTCTGGTCCCTTAACCATCTCAGACGGAATCATTCGTTTTGAAACGAAAATTCGACCTAGACGTCCTCGTCCAGAAACGCTTCGTCCTACATGATTGGAGATTGTAAATCCCAACGCTGTCGAGCTTGGTTGCTTCTTTACGTTTGATATTGCCCAATTGTCCTGGGCTTTGGGCGTCTTGGCCCTTGAATATTCTAGGTGTTCACTTCCCGACAGAGAGTCGCTCCGATGGCAGAAACAATTCCAACGTCTACGATGGCCAACGGGTACCTCCATGATGACAAGAAGTCAGGACTGAAGGTTTTGGTTGTTGGTGCTGGTATTGCCGGTCTCTCAGCAGCAATTGGTCTGCAACAGCAAGGCCATGAAGTTCATGTACGCCAACTGATCGAAGAGCATGCCATTTGATTGATGAGTTTCCTAACGAAAAGATCCATACAGATCTACGAACAAAGCCAGTTCGCCACAGAGACCGGCGCGGCCATCCACGTTGCCCCCAATGCGCATGGTGTTCTCAAACGGTTAGGTGTTGATGTGAGGGCGGGTGGTGCGAATTTGATGGAGAGGGTAGGTGCACCGTCGCGTTGCTGTTCAGTGGTCCAAGACTGACTCTTTGCGTGCATAGTTGACCGAATACACATCGACCGGAGTGGTGAAGCGAGAAATAGACCTGCAAACCTCAAACCAGATATGGCAGCATGTAAGAACAGACCTCTTCGCACGCCTCGAGATCAGTGCAAGCTCAACTTTGTTGTTTTGTAGGAATGGGTCCTCGCCCACCGAGTTCATCTCCACGAAACACTCAAAAAGCTCGCCACCAGCACGGCTCTCCGTGGGATCCCGGTTGAACTAAATCTCTCAACATCGGTGGTCGATGTTGACCCTTCCTCAGCCAGCATCACCTTGAAGGACGGCTCCGTGGTGCGGGGTGATGTGGTTGTCGGCGCTGATGGCGTGCATTCTCAAACTCGTGCCGCGGTTGCGGGTGGTAAAGAAGCCAAGGTCTTCGGCTCTGGCAAATCGGCGTTTCGATTTATGATTGAACGCTCCGCTGCGCTTGAAGATCCGGTTACCAAGAGGTTCGCCGAAAAGGACGGTCACTTGATGATCTGGTATGCCACCGACCGACGGGTAGTCATGTACCCTACCAGCCACAATACGCTCCTGAACTTTGTCTGTATTCACCCCGAAGAGGAATCCGAGGCTTCCGATGACTGGAACACGCACGCAACTCACGATATGCTCCTCAACGTGTATCGGGACTTCGATCCTGCAGTCCAAGCACTGATCGCGAAAGCCAAACCAGACTCTCTGAAGTTGTGGAAACTCCTGGACATGTCCACCTTGCCCACGTGGGTCAACGACCGCCTTGTCCTCATCGGCGATGCTGCCCATCCTTTCCTCCCGCACCAAGGCCAGGGTGCAGGCTGTGCGATTGAAGACGCCGCTGCTTTGACCGTCGTTCTCGAACGCGGCCTGTCGGCCAAAGACGTGCCGGCGCGTCTCAAATTGTGGGAATCCATCCGCTATGAGCGCGCCAGCCGAATTCAGGGATACTCGCGCTCGGCCGGGCGGGATCTCAAGGACGGAGTCAAATTGGACATGATCGAGTTCACCAATTACAACTTCGGACATGACGAGTTCGACAATTCGACACAACGCCTTCGGGAGTTCAAATGGTCGCAGACCCCCAAGATCTACTGGCGAATGCCGATCCAGTTTGGGCCAATGCCCGGTCCGCGCCAGACACACGAAGGCGTAGTACGCAACGCCCTCGAGTCCACATTCACGACGGCGTCGATCAAATTTAAGACTTCGCGGACGGTGCTGCAGAATCTATTTCCGCCCGGAAATAAGAAATATCGCTTCAAGTCGCCCGGGACAGTGGCGTACGCATCCTTCTCGCAGACAACACTTGACAAAATGGAATGGCTTGGTGGTTCCGGATACCACCACCTCGGGCTGTACATCCACGGGGTAGAGTATGTCAAAGACGACGGCGAAATTGTCAGCGGCACATACATGCCCATCTTATTCGAATCACTGACCGACCCCATCGTCTCGGGTCGTGAAGAGTTGGGTATGCCAAAACTCTACTCGGCCATCGACGTGTATCGGGGCACGCAGTCGTATCGGATCAACACCAGCTGGCAGGGATCGCATTGGGGAAATTTCCGACTGGAAGGGTTGACACCGGTCACGGATATGAAGAACGTCACGGGCAAGATCAGCGGAGAAGACGACGACGGCATCTTGGTCTATCGTTATGTCCCCAAAGTCGGCAGAGCGAATAAAGGCACATCAGCCGAAGAACACGCCGTATTTGTACCGTACAAGGAAGACATGCCGCAGCCGGTGACGCAGAGGGTGTGGCAGGCCTGTAGGGCGACATTCAAGATCGATGCGCTGGATTGGGATTGTTTACCAACGTTGCATCATGTTATCGAGAGATTGGAGGAGATCCCGATTTATGAGGTGGTGGGTGGAAAGGTAGTTGAGGGAGTGGGCGTGCCGGATGTGGGTGCCGCGATGAGGGTAGATTAACATACCTATAACACTAGTCCACAGAGCCTCTGTTCGACAAAATATCTCTCGTCGCAGATGGAAAGACAATCAAGTTGAGGTTGGTTTGTAAACTTCAAAGTTTCGAGGTCGCAGATGATGCCAAGACACGATCACGTGTCACACCAGCGAGGTTCGAACTCAGGCTCTGATTGGTCAGACGGATGTCCCTCTCTTCTGAGTCTCATCTTCTGTCTTTTCTCATTGATTTGCTGTCCCTTTGTGATCTTTTATTTCTTCAGTGCCATGGCGTGTGGAAGGGTATTCTCTCCCCGTAGCAAGAAAAAAACGAGCGAAGGAGATGTCCACTTGAGGGAGATGTCCCGTCCGCCGATTGGACTAGTCAATGCCATCGCCACCTCCTGCAACCTAGAGTTTCCCTTGTTCTTGCGGTGAAGAGCCCTGCATACCCCCTGAAGAAGTAATGGATGGAATTAGTTAAATAGAACAAAGAACCTACGGGGCACACAAGATTCTTTAATTTTCGGGTTTTGTTGTGCCAGTTCGGAACCAGGCCAGCAGAGGAAATTGGCGCTGCCTTGTTGTATCCCAGCGCTCCCTGCTTTTTTTGCCCTGCAGCCTACGTCCTTGGCTTTCCAACTGCTCAATTCCATTCGCGCAGTGCACGCGACAGCTTGTCCGTCTTCCCGTCCTTGTCCTCACCATCGACAAAAACGCCGTCGCCATTTCGACCTCGACTCTGCCTCTCTCTACCCTCTCACCCAGCACAACCTCCATCTGAATACTCAGCCCGCCCTCCTTCTGTCAAATTCGGAATGACATGTGAAAATCCAGACCTCGACAACACCGCGACTCCCACCCAACCTGTCCAGCATTCAACAGGCTCCTGCGCGAAACACGTCAAAGCCCTCCATTCCTTGCGCGCCCTATGAAATCTACCTGCGCCGACTGATCGAGTTGTCAACCCTCTCTCTTTTGACCTGAAACATCCATCGCTCATTCCGCTCATTCCACCTGACCGACCGAATGTTCACCCGCGCTCTATCCGCTTTTCTCTTTCTGACACTCATTATTCTCTTAATACCCCTCACTTTCGATATCGGTGGACGCGATGCCGGCCTCGCCTACTCTCTGTCCATCGCCTCGTTTTACTTTGTCCTCTCTGTGTTGCGAATTTCCACGCCAGATCGATCAGGATTCAGAAGGGTCCTTATCAACATTCTGCGGGGTTTACAATGGATCATCTTGCCCGGTCTCTGCATCTGGGCGTTGGGAAGATTCTCGGTGGACGCAGACAACAGTGGAGGCTGGGTGGAGAGAACCTTCAGACCCAAGAAGGGTTTGTGGGACTCCCATTCTAACCTCTGGGATTCTCTCTTTGGACCAGAAGGTCTCCTTGAAAATACGGCTATTGGCGGATGGGATGTCCTTCTGCGATGGTCCTCACCAATATTTCAACTTCTCGAGGGCTTTTGCAGCCTCCTGGTCATACAGGCCGTCGGTCAATTCTCTCGATGGTTAGTGAACAGGAGCGAATGGAGCGACGCCTGGCTCCTCACTCTCTTGGTCACTTCTGCCGCGGTGGTGTCAAGTTCGGTCTACTTTCTCTGGCGAGTCTTGCAATTCCCCGATGTCTCTAGTCTCGACTCGACTCTCATCGGCATTGCCATCGCCTCCGCCATATTTCTCGGTGGATATGGCACCGTCTCCGGAAGAGGCACGGCCATGGAATCATCCCTCCTCTTCGCCTACATTGTTCTGTGCATCTACCAAATCTTCACAGACTACAAACCGAACATCCCTACCGCGCCCGGAACAGCTTCTTCAGCGCCCGATTTTCCGCCCTTCCCGCCCATAATCATGTCCTCTTATACGGCCATCATGCACGCGTTGTCCTCGCTTCCAGGCGCCCTAGTCAACGCTTTGGATTTCATAGCAGCAGCATTTAAGGCCGTCACGCCTTCGGTATTGATCTCCCTGGGATATCGCCTGTTCGTCTTCTACGCGTCGACTCGCATCATTCCGGCAATCAACGAAAGTGGTGCACGAGGGCTGAGCATGGAACCGTCTCTCGATGATTCCAATGCGGGCAATCAATATCTCGCCTTCTTATCCTGGTTTTCCCCCAGCATTCTCATCGCCGTTTACACGAGTCTTCTCATGCAACATTTTGCAACCACGATGGGAGGCTACTCGCCAGGGCTAACTGAAACCATCGGCGCATGGTGGAGCGGTAATGGTCAACCAGGGATGAACGGAAACCTGTGGAAATGGGTGAATTTGGTCGGCACGATGGGATTGTATGCGATCGAGTTGTGGCTGGGCAAAGAAGATGACATCGACGGCGGGCACTGGAAGGTTGATTGAAAATCGGTGCGATGACCAAAGACACTTTACCAAGGAAAATAATCCAAGATTTTGCCCCGATTCTTTTCATCTCAAATTACCCCACTGCAGCGGCTTGCCGAAGCAGGTGAAAAAACGGAATATCCATGAAACATGCCCCAATGAGACCGACCCAAGGTTGAAATACTGCTACCAGGATGGCATTCCCTGGCATATGCGACATGAGCACCAACCCCCCTAAAAAAGATCGGAACTCAGTTGCGGAGGTGGACGATTGAAGGTTCGCAGGGGGATGAGATTAAGGTTGACCCAGCTCGTGAGCTCTGCAACCTGCGGTTACCTTCTGGAATGGCTCCAGATAATTGAACATTTTGGGGCCTGCAAGTGATCAGAAAGCCGGGGCTTATCGAGAATTGAAGTGAAGAAGTGTCATAGGAACACAACCATGTCCTCATGGACATAGAATTAAAGGGCACAAGGATCTGATACCGTCATTAGGAAGGAGCAATTGAAGAAAACCAGGGTGAACAGAACACATCTCATCGAGTTCAAGCAGAATGAGAATGAAAATGACACGGAAACAGGGAAGGAATTGGCCGATCGAACCAAGATTATTCTGGACGATGGAAACTTCAATGGAACTGAATTAAAACTGAATTAACATGAATTTCTGCTCTGCCTAGCTCGACTTTGGGTGCATACATCAGACCACCCAGTCAGCCTGAACTAAGCTTCACATACCGAGTACAGAATACCGTTCGAAGAAAACCTTCAGGCATTCCCCCCATGAAATCAAAGTCACGCAGATAGAGAGTGTTCGTCCTTGGGACGACAGTATCATCATTTGAGAATAGCATAGCACTGCATAGCACGGCGTCCTTGGAAGCGTACATCGTGTAAAAATCGCCTTTTCCCAGGCAGTAAAACTCCATAATTCCCCTCCCTGAACATTCCCCCTCCATATGCCCATAGCACAACATAGCATAGCCTTTCAAGATTGCTTGTCATAAAACCACAACGTAACATTGAATGTTCAGTTCCACACATAGGTAAGGACTGATTTGTTGGTCGATTGTTTTTGATTTTCCCAGTTGCTTTTCCGAGATTGCACTTTCGGATCGTCGAGGATCAACAGTCCAGCCGTCCAGCATCTTTGAGGTGATGGGTACAGGTATTGTAGTACGGGTCAGCAAATCATACATCTTCGCCTCCCCAGTCATTTGTGTGCTTTCATATCGAGCATTCATTGTGTGTACACCTTGAATCATCGTCGAATTGGGATGCCCTCCTTTCTAGCCGGTGGACTGATACTTCCTGCCATAACATCAGGGCCGTCAGCTTCCCCTTCTTGAACCACGGTAGCATCTTGCTCGTCAGCACTGGCGCTCCTGGCCAAGAAGCTGCTCTCCTTGACTGGACTACGGCTTGTAGCTCCCGGGAGTCCACCGCGAGGGATTCCATTGATACCTCCACGATGCATTCCCGCGCCAGGTAGCATGGTTTGCCCATCGGGACTGGTCGCAATACCGACACCTACTCCTGGTCCAACCGCACCGGAGACTGAATCCGTGCGCGAGAGAGTGTGTTTGAGGGGACTCATGTGAGGGATCTCATCGGCTTTGGGATGTTCGGTGCCAATGGTAGTAACGCCCGTGTCGGAAGCTTTGCCGGCTTTGGACAGGGCATAGTCACCAGAGTCGAAATATTTACGTTCCTAATCCAGACCATCAGAGAATGAAAAATTTCAGGTGATCGGGGATGGAGGAGTTTATACCTTCAATTTGTTCTGCAACAGATCACTCTTATTTGGCAGTTTTCCATAAAGTCGAAACAGACGCTGCTCGTCCGCAGACAATTTCTAGGATGTGTTAGCATGAGCCTCGCTCTGCGAGATACAGTGATAGCGTACGGAGATGTCGATCTTGTTCTTCTGGTGTGGATTCATTTTTGCCTGCCTTTCTGCTTGTAGCTTTGTGGCTTTTTCCACTCAAAGATACGAAGCGACGCCGACGATTTTCAGTAATGGTGGTTATGGTAGGGTGTGTGAGACTCCCGACCGATCAATGACTACCAGTACTTAGCGGTCCGAGCGCTTGCTGTTCTCTCAGTGCTGCAAAATCCGCTTGAGCCAGAGGAAATCAATGGTATCGAGGTGCGAGAGAGGAGGCAGGTCGCGAGTGAGATATCGGTTGTGGACTTGATTTCGGGTGACAGGATTGTGAATAGGGAGGTGGAGGGATCAGCCAAAATTCGGTCTGAGCGCGTTTTGGGCCGGCCAGACTGATAAAACTGATCGAAGCAGTTCGACGAAAGTTTCAGTGGTGAGGATTGAGAATTTGGCACGAGCCACAGGTTCTGGAGTCTTCGAAGAAAGCCACCAATACGGAAATGAGACGCAGTTGTTTGGGTTGGTAAGAAAAGGGTGTGTAGAGGTGGGGTGTCGTGCTCTGAAAGAGACGCACAATGCAGTACGTACTTTGTTTTGAACCTTTGGCTGCAGTCTGGGGAAGGGCGGCGTTTTTTGGCTGACAAGTCACAACAAGCGCAGGGAGACTAACCAAAACGGGACCGCGGGCGGACTGACGACAGTCCCCGACCAATCAGATCCCTTTTGGCTGATTCTAGCTTTGGCATGGCTAAACTTACCCCGGCGTTTTCCGGCAGGCCGCTATCAATTTTCCGATGTGCTAGGTTTGCACTCGCCTCTTCTCCAATTTTTCGTCATATTTACCCTGGCTTTCGCGACGGGTTTGGGCCGGTGAGATATCGAACAGACTGATCCATCCCATTTCGCCCCCTAGCCAATCAGCATGTCGGGCCCCAAATACACCTTTGTGGTTGAGCACCTGGACCCTGAACTTGGCCCATGGTCCACGTTGGAGTACAAGACAATCGCAAAAGAATCTCGTGAATCGGGCTGTCACTTCATCCTGTCTTCCGTCCCTGAATCGCTACTCACGACTCCAGATCTGGCAGACTTGCAAAGCATGGGAGCAGAGGCTAGGAATGACAACGTTGAAGCGTATTTTTCCGACAGAAAGGAAAAGATATGTCTTCTAGATCCTAGTGCGGCGCAGGAATTAGATCCTTCAGATGGCAGCGTCTTTGAAATCTTTCTGTTTGGAGGTATCCTAGGTATGAAGAGACCAATTTGAATGGCACCATTATATTGTTCTGACGGGTTTTTGTAGGAGACGATCCTCCGCGAGGTAAAGTTCCCATTTTCTTGACCTGTGTTGGCTGGTCCTGACCGCAGCAGACCGTACCAAGGAATTGAGAAAGAAAGGCTTCTCTGGTCGTCGTTTAGGTCCCAAACAAATGACCACAGATACAGCTGCACGAGTGACACGAACGGTCGTCCTTGATCAAGGTATGGAAGTATATCCTGGGATTACCAAGTCTCATGTTCAGCTGAGCTGGATGCCAGTACCTCTCGAGAAGATTCCATACACCGACTTCCCAGAGTTGAAGCTGGATGAGCACGAAACCACCGAAATGCCTTTTCGCTATGTGATAGACAAATTTGGAAATCCAATAATGCCGGAGGTAAGAATTCCATTCAGCTTTAGTCCCCTTAGTCTAAATCGGAATAGGGTATGATCGAATTGATTAAAGCAGATGCTGACAAGGCATTTGAAAACCTTGAGCTTGCTGACGAAATTGCTGGTGTCGAGCAATTAAATGTTGCTCGACCTTGACCTCCTCCGCGAGCCATGATGTCGATTGCTGAGTGGCGAAAATCCAATGGGCTGTTTCCATTTCAGAGAGCTCCACTATTGTGCCCCCGTCCTCAGTTGACTGCATACCGCCATTATTCACACCAAGTCGGTGAATGAGGCTCCAGGGAAACGTCCGACTTCGCTAGGGCGGGTAGGTGGTTCACCAGAAATACATTAAGCCGAATACCCTCACTACGCGAGGCGGTTGGGAAATCCACCGCCGATCATGCGATAAGGTCATGAACAAGGCCGCATATTTGGGTCGCAACACCATATGTGTTGGATGTTACGGACCACTCCTGTCGTTCAAGAAAGACGAGAAGGCAGGTAGCCAGGCATCCCTCGCATGTTCTCGACAAAAAACCAGCAAGGTGTTGAGATTCAATTTGTCATCTGGAAGGGCTGGCGTACTCCTCTGTTTCACATTAATGACCGGAAGAATGTTCAGACTTTGAGAGCACGCTGTTAACATTATTGTATGGTGAAAATGGACATGAAGAGGCACCCATACTCAACGCGAACACGGTTGCGAATGTTCAAGTTTCTACTCCTTTTTGTCAGCTTTTGCAGCACGTCGAGGGCGAGTCCCGGGATGCCGACCAACTCAACATTTTGTGCTTCCTCCATGTCGTCACCCTCTCGAAAAGACTACTCGTCGCTTCTTCTTGAATAGAAGGAATATATACATAGCGGCGCTGAAAAGGTGTTACGACATTGTCAAATTCCTCATATCCAAGTCTTCTGGCGAGACGACCGAAATGTGTCGAGAGTCATTGAATGTCCACTTCTTTGGCATTGTAAAGTATCCAAAATGGAGGATTGTGTATGAGTGAGCCCAAGCCATATATTCCTCTTCCACAAATGCCCCTATGCCAAAGACCCACAAGTGGTCACGTGCAACCGCAGAATTAGCATCAATGTTTTCAAGAGCGAAATCAAGCTTACGAAGGCATTTCAGATGCATGACATCCTAGATGTGTATGGTCGGAGTCCCGTTTTGGTGCATGAGGGGAGTTTCCAGCCCGAAGACTATGAAAATTTGTGTCGTGAGACAGAGACACATCTCGATTGAAGCATGATGCACTCTAGTCGGTACAGGCATCCCTCCAGGGATAGGATGAGCCTTGCGCTGGCCAAATTGATTTGACCATGATCCGGGATCCCAGCTTAAGGGGTCAAGCACGGGGCGCGTACGAGTATTTGCTGCAATTTTGATGATTAAGTAGAGAACCATATCTTTATTTGACTGATCAAGCTCACCCAAGGCCTCCCCACAAAAATAATCTAATGATCATCGTGGGAGCGTTTTGATGCTGAAACAGAGCCTCACGATTTCCTCAGAATAAGGCTGCCGAACAGAGAGCCTTGATGGCTTTGAATGCCTGTGGGAATCTGGCATTCTCGTTGTGTAGTGACGCAAGGAGAGATCTTAGAGCTCAAACGCCCCTAACTTCATGTTCAAGGCATTACGGAGGTCCAGGTCGTTGTTTCGTGAATGCATGGTGGCCTCGTGCTCGAAATAATACTTGTAAAATTCTTGACGATTTGAAGGCAAGTTCTTGGAACCACTTCGTGATGCTATTTCGACCGCGAAAAGGTCTTCACGGTCCAAGGTTGCACAATCGTAACGACATTGCAATTCATAGGTGAAAGAGGAACAGGAGTCAAGCAAAACGGATCGGAACTCCCTCCCAGGAAAAGCATGGCCAAGCTGGAATCACTTGCTGTAGCACACCTAGATGGCTTCTTTGGAAGTGCTGGTTTGCGTGATGGGCACGTAGGTTTGATAGGCTTGCATTAAGCAAGTCTTCAGGGCTTTTGCTGGCCAAAGGAGGGTTTACATGCAACTTCAGCATCCCGTTTCGTTTGATGCGCCACTGTCTGGAAAAATTTTAGATCAACTCTGCTGAGTAACGGCCACGCTGGAAAGGCTAGATGGACCCGCCGATTCAAAATTTCTCAGCCAGTCCAGATCTGAAAGGTACGGTAGTAGATCTATTGTCCGGCATGTCTTGCTCTAATCTTTGCGGAATATGAGCAGCTTACATATTTAGCCACCAATCGTTTGCCTTCACAATCAAGGATTGTGTCTGCTGGCTGAGTCATCGACAATGGCAAACACCAGAACCAGTATCGGTATCAGGTTGGGTAGGATGATCAGTATGGGGAAGTGAAGGTTCTCAGGCCCGTTTCTGCGCATATTCGTGTCCAGGAAGAATCGATAATTCTGCCACCTACGGGAATGGAAGATCGGTGTCAGGGTCATCTTATTTCTCTCCAACTTCCGGCAGGATTAGTTACTCGTTGACGCGTTTGAGCATTCTTTGACAAACTTCTTTCAGAGCATGTCCGACGATCTAAGCATGCCATTGAACGATCCAGCGTCAGTAGAGATTATCCGATGCCAATTATCACCATGCTTGTCCACGTTTATACACTGGCTCATTCGTAACGGTGGTTGACCTGTGTTATAAAGCTCTCTTCATTCTATTCCTTTTTTTTTTTTTTTTTTTTTTCAACGAAGCTGCCACCGAGCAAAAGGAGTCGAGGTACGAGGATGTCTTCATGCCACTGATTTAGACCTAGGTCAAAGGGAGTAGGTGCTAGCGAGATGGACAGTGTTTCAGATTTTCGATCAAAGAAATTTTAGTCTGTACCAAAGAACAATGAATGCAAAAGTGGAAAAGATGTGCACTTCTTACGGTGAACTATTTACGCAATGGTGCTGCCAAGACCTCGTGGGGGTGTCCGCCGAACCCAGACCAATGCTAGTAGTGAGAGTCACCGCGGACTTTTCTGGTACAGTCCCGCTACCATTTCTCTGCCTGAGTGGATTTTAAAAGATGTGACCTTGACTTTGCCAATTTCTTCCTTTGGCCTTTCAGGTTGATTGGGTCCTTGAAACTTCAAGTCATTGTCCGTCACGACTACTGGTCAAAATGGTGGAAAAAGTCTACGTCACCTACAATGAGGTCGGTCTCACAATTCTACAAGCCGTCGCATGCAAGTCTCTCGAGGCAAGGCTTCAGATGATATTAACGGGAATTCGTTGATAGATCCACAAGCTATGCCAAACTTCGGCATCCAAGATCCTCAATGATTACCAACCCAACCTCATGATCGCTATTGGAGGAGGTGGATTTGTCCCTGCTCGCATTTTGAGGTATAGAGACAATCTCCAAAAGATACAAATGTAGTGAGAGAGAAAGGCTGAAACAATCACGTACAGGTCATTCCTGAAACGCCCTGGTGCTCCCAACATCCCAATCCAAGCCATTGGACTGTCTCTGTATGAGCAACTCACCGGTTCGGATCCTGTCGAAGCGCCTGGGACAAAAGTCACGCGTACACAATGGCTCGATTTGTCTTCACTTGAGATGTCAAATCTCATCGGAAAGAACGTCTTGATCGTTGATGAAGTCGACGACACTCGTACCACTCTCGAGTATGCCGTCAGGGAGTTGGAAAAGGATGTGGAAGCCGCCAGACAACAGCAAGGGAGAGCCGAAAAGACAAAATTCTCCATTTTCGTGCTGCACAACAAACACAAAGACAAGAAGGGTCATCTTCCAGAGGACATGGTCAATGAGAATCGATATTTTGCGGCAATCACTGTGCCTGATGTTTGGATTTGCTATCCCTGGGAAGCAACCGACATTGATGAACATGACAAGCTCGCCGCCGAGCATGGCGTCAAGGAGAGTCACTAACCCGACTCTTCTTCATGATTGACATAGAGTAGAGAAGAGACCACCCAGCTGAAAGAAATTGCCTTCCCGAGATATTGGTCATACAACCAGAATTGACTTTTCGACATCTTGAATGAAACACGCTCAATCCCAGCGGACTTTTCTTTGGTCCAAACTCTTCCTTGCCGCGTCTAATTGTCCCATGAGCTCCTTGTAAGCATCTTCTGTGTCGTTGAAACGTAAAACACCCAGACCCAGCCGCCCCAGGAGGTATGCGCCGAGAGTAACGAGGGCCCAGAAGGGTAGTACCGGGATAATTTCAACCTGGATTCTGGTCGGTAATATTGAAGGCACCGGAGAATCTTCAGCTAGGAGAGGGAGCGCAAGGAGGAGATATGCCTGTTTACATGTTAGTTCCGCACAATATAAGGCTTCCTGCTTGAGTTGTTAAGGAATGATGCGAACATACGGAAGAAACCAGCAAGGCAAATGAGATAGTTTGCGCGGCACGACCCATGGTTGCCGAATCGAGGAGATTTGTTGAAAGTTACTCGACTGCCGTTGACGACAAAACATTTTCGGTTGTCTCAGTTGCCGTGGGATTCGCCGTAGATACTTGGCGCTCAGCCTTGCACATCACACCGCCTCGAAGCGCATTTTGTGTTATGCTTCAGCCTTACCCACCCGTTGCTCAAAGCCGTCTCCAATCTACGGCCTCAATGCTCTCGAGTAATCTTGCAATCATAGTGGATATCTGGCTCACAAAGTACTCAGTGCCTGGAGACTTCTCTAGCCATCTTGTGAGCCCTAACTTTTAGCATTCTGGAAAGGTGTCCCTCTCAAGAGTACGAGTCCAGGCATCCGTGTATCTGCTTTTTCATAAAGCTAGTCTCCATCTCTGGACTCGTTCCGTGTGTCCAGTCTATCTCTTTGCCGAGAATTTGGTAAAGCCACTCGTCGAGACTTTGATGTGAACCATGGCATTTTCAAACTCAAGAGACATCTTAAGGCTCGCTAGAGATCTATCCGAACGCGATCCGCTTGACGCAGAACTCAAAACCCATAATGAACGAGTGATATCGAGTTTGAAGTATCTAGGCAACTATCCCGACAATGGAGTCATGACAATTTCCAAAATCATGCCTGAACTCGCCATGTACTTCCATCAAGTCGCCCTACGAGGACGACACCATGATCCACGTCTCAGTGTTCTCCTGGCCGACACTACTCGCGAAGTACCACTTTGGCGACCACAGTTCGGTCTACCGTCCAAACCAAGCTCCGAAGAGAATTCTCAACAAGTGAAGGGCGAAGTTGCTCCAGATTGCGTTCTCGAAGTGGCGAGACGAATCATCATTGGCCCCTGGCACGAGACGTACAGGGAACAGATCCGATCTGCTCTCCGAATCATTGCGAACTGCTGTGCGGACAACAACGTCAACCGGAGCATCATCATCCATCGGGGCGGCATCGAAGCAATGATGCATCTGGCCCTATACAGACGGGAATGTGACCTGTTGCTGCCAACATTGTACAATGTCTGCGTCGACTTTGATGAGCCAGCGCTCGACAACGAACGCAAGCCATGGCCTCCTCTCCAACTGGCTTTTCGAGGAAGCGAGCAGAATTCCGGACCGGCCGTCAACCTCGCGGAGCAAAAGCTCGGTATGTCTTGGGATACTCGACACGAACTCAGCTCGGTCGAGATCCTACTCGAAACCAAAACTTCCGCAGACAATTGTCTCGGGATTCTAGCTGATGTAGTCGAAATGGCAAGCCGCGTCGCCTTGTACGGCATTCATCAATTGGTTCGCAATCTCGACGACGACGACTCGGTTGAAAAAGCCGAGGTCTACACCATCCAGCTAGTGCATACGCTTCTCAACCAAGGGACCGAACTCGCCAAAGAAGACTTTGAATGCTGTGCCTCCGTCTGCCAAGCCGTTCTGAACGTCTTGTCCCAACAAGCCTGTTACGGAGCTGTCCTCAGCGCCGACGGCGCTCTCTGGCAATTAATTCATCTGCCATACGCCTGCGTCAATGACGACGAAGACGAAGAATCCCACGAATCCCTTGTACCCTACAGAAAAGCAATCCTCAAGACAACCTACGAGATCTCTACACTGGAGAAATATGGAGCCAAATTCAACGGTGAGCGCAACTTGATACACAACTGTATAGACCTGTTGAAGAATTACGGCGAGGGGAAACGTGATCTTCTATCCGTCGGTCCACGACCCTGGGCCAGCGTGTGTGTTCTGTTAGCAAACAAGATCACTTCAGCGGACCGCGCGATCTCCTTCGTGAAATCGACGCACATCGCCTCCGTCATAAGCCGCCTCATTTCCCAGTGCACTGATTCTGACATTCTGCTCCCAGCCATTGACCTTGCGACGCGCCTAGCCCTGTGTACCGAGGGACAGGATGCACTGCACGTCGCCGGTATGATGTCCAGTCTGTGCAAGCTTTTGACTCCAACAAGCGAAGCGAATGCAATGGGAATCAACATTCAGCGCGAGACCGTGACACTGATGAGGCTGCTTATCAAGGGGCGGGCGGAGCATATCTCTGATCTGAAAAACGTGAATGGCGAAGGAGCTGATAATCAACGCGACAGTATCGTGGCTGCAATGATGTACCTGTTCCAGAACACCAATGACTCGCGTACCAAGACAGAGATCGGAAGATTCTCAATCGAGGTCCTCCGAACGCTGTTCGCATCTGCACCCTCACAGCCAGCTGGTTTGGGGAGTAGCACAAACGGACAACCATCCAGCGATCTCCCTGCTGACAAGGAACAACAGCCAGAAAGCGAAAGCCAGGCGATCGAAGCGCAGTTCCTATCAATATTCAACCAGTCTCCCGCCACGAGCAAGGACGGTGACTCTTCAACAGTCGCCGACACAATAGCCTATATAGTCACGCAACCTGCACCACGACCACACTCACCATCACCAGACCAGGCCCCCGCGCAATCAATCCAAACCGAAGCAGAAGCCTGGTTCGGCCTCGGCCTGCTTTCAACACTCTCTGTCGCGCGTCCATGGATACTCGCAGCCTTGAGTCGAGATGACAATCGACTCTTGTCTCGTTTACGAGAAATTATATCTCAATCTCAATCATCCTCATCATTAGCATTGTCATCAACCTCGGCTTCAGGGGCCGGCTCAGTAAACCAGGACCAGGTTCCAAATGTCCCGGCAGATACCAAAACGTTTCTGCCAGCGAGTAAAGATCCCCGATACGAGAACGTCAAAGTCTTCGTGGTGAAGATGATGCACGCACCGCCTATCAACGACACAAGCACAAACTCGAGCTCGAGAGACAAGACGTTACAAGAAAGCCTCGAAGCCGTGGCGGCGGAGATGGGAGTTGATTGGGTTCTGGTGTGATCGATACTAGTATGATCCGTTGAAAGGACTGCATCTTCTGTGTGATCGGCGTCTGATTCCAAAATATTGTAGGCAAGTCAGGATTTAAGGGTAACTGCTACAGCCTTGTCCTCTACCTAGGATCATGTGTAGTTGGGCTACACTGAAGACATCCCCCGACCCTGTCCTTTTTCAAACACTTCAAGGAACATTTCACATGTTGATCAGGTCCTTGGTCGTCAGCATTGGTGGCCGTGTCGGGCAGGATATATTAGGGATGATGGGCCTTCGAGGACACTTGGGGGTTTAGATGGGGTCGTGGATAATCTTTCAGATGTCTGGAATTAGACATTGGCGTTTTCAAAGGTATCTCATTAGGGCTTTGTGCAGAATTACCGCTCCCTCGAAAGGAAAAGCAGCCTGACTCGTTGACTAAGTGGCCGAAGGAAAGCCTTGACCGGGTTTAGGACGAGGCTTCGAGCCCCGATTCACAGAGTTTGATTTTCAATTTTGAGTAACTAGCCACTCTATGGATCAGCATTTATCTGATATTGAACGGGAACGAAGTCATTCCTCCGCTGGAGCTTACTCGTTATCGTACAGGAATTACTAGCAAGTAAGATGTGATTGAAAATTCTCCGTCCGACGCCCACGTTCATTCGCACTGCTTTAACGAGCGTCCTCAGCAAGACATATGAATAGACCCAAGAGTACAATCAGTTTTGAATCAAGGAGTAGTCGACTTAAATCTCAAATTGTGGCATTGTTCATTGCTGCTGTGAATGAGAGCAGATCCATGGGCGAGTCCGAGACCGCATTCGTGCCGCCATTCGTGGTGCGTGTCGTGAACATCGGAATGTCGTAGCAGACAATGGGAGCTGATTCCGGGCCATGGATGAATGTGAGGCCCATATCATCATGTTCATGCATGGACATCCCCATCACGTTCAAACTAGTTTGAAAGGTGTCCATATCCATTGCTTGGCTCCAAGTCATAGTCATATCCATATTCTTGGAGGTCATGGCCGGGTCAGCCATGGAAAAGTCCATGCTGCCCGCCATCTCGACTCCTGAGATAGCCAGAGCGTCTGGAATAGGGAAATCAAGTGACATGTTATGAGAAATGTCGGCTGGCATTTGCATCGACCTCGCAGACTCAAGAGGTGCTTGCTGATCATGGACGCCTTCTCCCTTTCCCGTAGCCACCGGTGAAGCTCCCGCCGTCTGCACAAGTTCTGGCGAGGTGGAAGTGGATGGTACGTCTTGTTTTCGACCCTCGTCGTGGGTTCTCTCATGGCTATATGACAGAACAATACATCAGCATTCCGACATGTCAAATATAAACAATTTGTCGCGACGCAAATCCAGTCCAAGCATCTGGTCGAGATGAGAACTTACCGATCTCTCAAATCTGATCGAGTGAAAATCTTGCCGCAAAACGTACAGCTGTATTCTTCTTTATCGTGGGCCTGCCATTCTATCGTTAGTATCGGAATGGCGCAGAACAGTTTCTATTTCAAACATGAACCCACACTTTTCACATGGCGATTTAGACATCCTGTCCGTAAGTACTTCGACTGACACCCGTCCCTCCGACATTTCACCATTCTCCGATTAGGGTCATGATTCTGCATGTGTTGCCTGAGGCTAGCCCGTTTCCGGAACGTTTTGGAACATATGGCGCACGAGAAGGGCCCTGCGTGGACCTTCTCATGATTGCTCAGACTGTATCTCTCGCGGAATGTCACCCCACATTGTAAGCATTCATATCGGCCTCCATGTTCATGCGTATGCTCTCCTAGGATGCATGGCTTGTTGAATCTCTGATTCCGTATCGGACGTGAGGCCGGTCCTCTCTTCTGCTTTGGTTTTGGGTTTCGAGGAGACGGTCCCAGAGTTTCTGCGTCTAGGTTTGACTGGCTTTCCACGGCGGGGGTCGAAAGAGAAGCAGGGGATCCGTTCACCTCGCTAGTAGTTGTTTGCCTCTCTTGGTCTGGGGGTTGCAAGGTTGTAGTGTCCGGCATCGAGTCAATTGGTGGTAGGGTGGACAACAGATTGGGAGACGCCATGATCAACACAGATTCCTGAATCGTCGGACTTGTTGCCTGTATGGATGATGAGTCCATATCCTTGACCCTAGGGTTGTGTGAGTTCATATTTGCACATCTTGATGTTGGAAAGTCAGACTTTCGTTGCCTTCCGTCAACAAATGACGCCAAGTCAGTTACGGTAGCTTGAGCAGTTGAGAACGAGGAAGGATTGCAATGTATCCGGCTGCTCAACTGATCCAACGAGCAGGGAGGACTTTCATCAATTGAGATAAGCATAGGAGAACAATCAGTGAAGCAATTGTCTGTAGACATTGGTGTTGTTGAAGAAAGTGATGCGACACCGGGGGTTGGGCATGATCCTTCATGGTTGCATAAAACCCATGTTTGAGCCATATCTTCTTCATTAAACCAAGCTGGTGAATACATTCCTCTGACTCCGTCACAATTCTTCTCGTTGTTTGGTATCATGGTAGACTCCGGAGCGGTTTCTGATTTCTTAATCCCTAAAGAAGGCAGTCGAGGAAGAGAGTGGGCATGCAGAGGCTGGGAGAGATGTTCGAAGGATGGTTCAGAAGGCTGTAGACTCTCAGTTGAGGGTCCAGGCGATGGACGGACGCGGCCATTTTCGAGGAACGCTTGTTTAGGCGCAGGTGCCTTTTTGAAGTCCATGGCGTCAAAAATCAACCTTGCCCGTAGTAAATCTTGCAGCTTAGGAATGTTTGCAATGCAGGCGGAGATCTCTGAGATTTAAGAAAGTAAGCGCAGTATTCCTCCAAGAGAGTTTGAGCGAACGTCCTCCAGCTGTCGACTAGAATTCATCTCGAAATAGAGGAAACGTGGCTCCGCCTCCGGCGGTGTTCCTAACATTCTGCTTCCAGATTCAACAGCCGCTCAGGCTGTCCCTCAAATCGACAGGCATCCCCGCTGTAGGCTGAATTGCATTCTCTATCTAGTGCGAGAAGATAGTTGCTAAAGGAGGGCCGTTCCAGTAGTTTAACTAGCCCAAGTGAACTCTCATAGCTCCACTCAGGTCCGAACCCAATAGTACGCCGACAAATCTGACCAAGTGTAGGCTTGTGGGCCCCTCTCGGAGGACAAAGATTCGTGGTTGAGAGATCCTCCAGGCCGGACAGTGCCATGAATCCCGTCTAACATCGTGGTGATCGGTGGTTAGCCATTCAGCAACGGCAAGGTTTGCACCCTTATCCCAGAAAGACTCTTGTGATTCGTAGTTTCCTATGGAAAAGTGGGGAGGGGATTCGCAAGGTGACCTGTCTCTCATGCGGTTCATAGTGATGGGATGAATTCAAGAAAACAGGGATCTTTGCATTCGGTCACGTCAACTTGGGGTTAATCTTTTTGCTGGCCAGCGACCATTGCGGTCAAACCATCCACCTGAGTGCTCAACTTCTGGACAAGAGCAAGCAACTCTGCATTGTCGGCACTGCCCAAGGCAGACTTCACTGTAGAGGCGCCCATGTCAGGGGTGGCAGTTGGGGAGGTTTCGTGAAGCGCTCGTCTAGCCGTTGATGACTTGACAAAATCTCGCGCACCGTCGAAACTAAGTCGGCCTGCACTAAGTGGACGACTGGTCAAGTGGGGAGCTTTGGACATTGTCGGATGAGCACGAGAGACCATCCGTCTCGAATTCTCGTAAGCCCAGATCAGGGCCACGAAAGGAATGTGGGTAGCTTTGAGAACAAATATCCGAATGCGACGAACATCCTCGGAAGGGAAGAAAAGCCGAAGAGGTCGCAACAAGGCCAGAGGGAATAGATTGAGTGGAGGCATGAAATAGGTCAACCGACGGGAAGTACTGCTTTCGAGAACGTAGATGGAGTATTGGAAAAGATATTCCTCGCGAGCATGGGCCATGACCTGGTGTGTCAATTAGAATTGCGACCATCTTAGCCAGCGCCTGCTAAGTTAGGGGCCGCGGGTATGCGGCCACCCACGCCATCTTAAAGTCATCCCGAGGGGATTAGGTGGCCGACTTACTTCTGTCAGTGAGTTCGACACTAGCGAGACAAGAGATGTGATGAGGAGAATGTTGGTCAAGCAGACGAAAATCAGCCTGTGAAACCATGAGACGTTAGCCTCACACTCGTAAGCGCCCAGGTTGACTTCTTCCTCCGCAACTGTGTCGACAATCGAAATTTGGCGATTAAGCGCCAGTATAAGAGGGCTGGTAGTGAGTAATTACGATGACGTGGCTGACAACGGAAACGGGGCGGTGTATAGACCTACATCAACGTGTATCCAAACAATGGAGAAATCTGCCACAGATCCATGTTAGAATTGACTAGAAAGCCCGCTTGACCATTCACATACTTTAACTGCAACATCGAATCCAAGATAGCTCGACCTAGGAAGACGCTTCAGTCAATTTGCATGATGGGAGGGGTTATCTTCATACCCGAAGAAGACTTTGATCAAAAGCCACGACATCTCATTGAGACTCATACGATCTCTGGCTAGCATGGTGAAAGTAGTCAAGAAACCAAGATAGAGTACAACAATGACAGGCAAGAACATGCAAAATGCTTTGGTCTTTTCCGGAATCAGCCCTGCGTCGTTGCTGACGGGGTAAGAATACTCACCATTTCCTTCAACACTGGAATCTTCACCGGCAACATTAGCCAAGTCGCGGCAAGGCACTTTTGTAACCTACCAAACTTCCAAAATATGGATTCAGGCTCATAACCGAGAAGATTCTACGAGTATCAGTCTTGACTGGGAACCGGGATCTCACGGACCAACTCACCTTGGAACCAGAAACAACGCCACCATGGACAAAATATCAAACGCCACATCGATGATATAATGACTATCTTTGATGAGGCCGATAATTCCTGCTGGACAGTAAGTCGCGAGGCACTTCACAAGGAGGAAGGGCCGGAAAAACGGACGCGTGACAACAAAAGCGGCGCTGACGCCAATGATGGCAATATCCCAAAGAGACCAAAAGTCCGTCTGGTAAAACATCAAGCCTGCATCTTTGATCTCGCCCAACTCGTCATATGCAAAAGCCGCAATCCAAACATACAACAGGGCTTCAGTGGCAGTGATATGTTGAGGGTTCCGCTCAACGAGGACAGCGTAGTATAGGATGAGGAAGGAAACGAAGAAGGCGATTTGAAAAGCTTTCTGGTATTTGGGAACCCTCAGCCGGGTAAAGGGGTCAGCGACACGTTTGTTATAGACGCGAGGTTTCTTGACGGCGTGGACGGACAGGGACTCCCAGAAAATGACGTCCCCGTTCCAGATGTCCTCGACAATCTTCTGTACGGGGTTTTGGGAGAGAAACTTCTTCGCATCTCCAATCGCCGCGATCTCGAGGGCGTTCATTCCTGCCATCGACTCGTCCAAGTTGATGCGGGCCTTGCTGGATGGTGACTCGTCTGGAACAATGCTGGATGTGCCTCCCAGATTGCCAACGCACGCTCGTTTGGGAGGTCGAAGGCCGCCGTACTCGCTCGCGCGAGAACGAATGAGGGGCGAATGCTCACCCGAGATATCAGGGCCGAGAGTGTCATCGTTGCCATTTGCAGTAGACTCGTGGGGTGGAGAACGTATGCCATCAGGATATTGAGGGAGTTCACATAGAAGATAGTCGATGAGTTCCTTCTCCGACAAGAACGTCAAGAACTGCCAGGCGACAAGTTCACAGGCAAGGGCCCTGCTTTCATTCAGAACGCTGTCGGAATCATCCCCAGCATTGGTGAAGAGGTATCTCGCAGCCAACAACGCAGCAACGACAGCTGGATGGTGACATTCTTCACTCAGATTGGAGATCAATGGCTTAAGAGTGTGCCCGGCCACGGTGGTGCGAAGTTGTTCGTACGTGTACGCGGCATCAATAGCTTTGGAGATGTAAGCAGACAGCTTGAAAACGACATCGGAAAAACTCTCTTGGGAGTCGATAATGGGCACGTCGTCTTCCATCCACTGAATGAGCTTGCTGGAGCGTGGGGTCTGGGGATTTGTCGTGGTAGCCATGGCGGACTCGACGTAACATTTGAGATTGAAACGAAGGCCTCGGCTGCGCATGGAGACAGGTCCGGGTCGACTGGAGGCACGTAAAAGCTACCGGACGCTGTTGACATCGTATTCAAAAAAGCGCGAAGTTTGGTGATGGCCCTGCATTTTCGGATAGCCAGCCAGCCCTTCAGAGCATTAAAGCCGGCTGTGCAGGATATTCGGCGGAGTAATTTACGCTTTGTGCCACTATCAATTGACTTCAATGGACTTTCGCCATTACACAGTATAAATCCACAATCCCAACTAGACGGCCAGCAATGAAATGGATCAGACTCCGCGCGAAACTCTACTACACATCTCACGCCAACCTGATTAAGCCACGCATCTAGGTCAAGCACCTCGCGTCAAAGCGGAGATCAACGACGTCCCATATAAGAAGGTGAGATGACAAGTTCCAACCGGAACTGAAAGGTATTCTGTACACTTCTCTCTCCTTTGGCTCTGACGAATACCCAAACCCCCCTACCCAACAATCATTTTCCTATTTCTTCTTTTCCCATCATATCATTCCCAAAATGCCACCGCCCACATACTCTCTATTTACGCAATACACGATTCCCGCCCGTTCCTCCGCGGCCGTCCCAGTCTCACGTTCTCAGAAGCTCTCCGTGATAAACACGCATGGCACACAAGTGATCGACTTCTGGGCCTTTACTCTTCCCTCTACAACTCCCAGTGATAGGAACGACACGTCTTCCTCTCCTTCCACGCTCACAACCTACCTCTCCATGTCACACACACGGGCATCAACACTGCATCTATCTCCACTCGTCGACGACACACTCGTCACGGACCGTCGAGAACCAATGCTGAAACTGATCGGCGACACGACGCCGGGCCTTCACGACACGTTAATCCCGGCATGCGACATCACGCGGTACCGCCAGCTCGGAGTGCCCGAAGGCGAATACCACGCCAACTGCACGGACAACCTCTTCGCGGCTCTGTCACGGGACACGACGTACACGTTCCCGCGTGACACGGCGCCAGACCCGTTGAACCTGTTCATGAATATACCTGTAGTGCCGCTTACGCCAGGTACAGCGCGGGCGGCGAACAATTTGACGGCGGGCGCGGAGATACAGTTTCAAAACCCGATATGCGAAAAGGGTGCGAAAGTCGTCTTTGAGGCCCTGGTAGACTGTGTGGTGGTGATGAGTGCGTGTCCGCAGGATTTGGTGCGTGTGAATAATATGATGCCGACGGAGGCGCATTTTGTTGTCGAGGCATGATGCGGTGGTGGAGAAGAAGTGTTACCCGAAGAAGGGGCCAAAAGGAATGTCATTTTGTCATGAACAATGCGCGTGCTAGACCAGAGCAGCCGGATGAGTGTCTGGGAGCTATGTTCACGAGTATATCATCGAGCACAATGGAGTAGGATACGCCCGACACTATGTCATGATCGGGAACTGCTATTGAGCATCCATTACATTCCATTATTACTGGCATACCAAGACTGCTTGAGCAGACTAGCACTAGTAATTGTAGGTCATCAATGTTTTTCTCGGTGTTTACCATCGGATTCCCACCAACGCCGCCCCTGTCTCCAGCAAGTCTCTCTTGCTATTACTTGTATCGTTGGCCGAAGAGCTATGCAGTTGCAAGTTCCCAATGTCGCACCAATTATTAATGGGCAAGCAACTAAGATACTTGCACCATGAACAGGTATTGTGATATTTGTAGAAGTTGTTCAGGAGGATGACAAATGCCACCAGAACCCCAATCAATGCGCCCACCCTCAAAAGCCACCATGCCCACCAGAGTGGCTTGCGATTTTTGAAGAATCCAAGAGGTTGTTTGGCAAAAGCGGCCACATCGGCCGGTGTAGCGGCCGGGGCTGACGTGCCTAATATCGGTTTTTGGGGATGGGCAATGTCCGGCTCTGAGCTGACGTTTCGATAGGGCAAGTGGGACTCTCCAATACGTTGGCGGAGGATATTAGGAGAGTGAAGAAGGCAGATTCCAGCGGCCAGGCCCATCAGGAATCCGCCAATGTGCGAGAAGTTGTCCAGACCGGGTAAGAGGCCGAGAACGAATGAGATGACAATATCAACCAAGATCCACATCAAATCTTTGACTGGACTGCGTCGTTCATTCCAGCTGTATATCAAATCCAGGAGAACCAGGGCGAGAATGCCGAACAAACAACCCGACGCTCCCGTGGATGCAATTGCTGAGGCAGCAAAATTACCACCCAGAACAAAACCAAAAATGCCTGAACTAAAATAAACAATGGCAAATCGGATGCTGCCAATAGCCTTCTCCATTTCTCGTCCCATAGTAAGTTGCAAGAGGAGGTTGAATGCGATATGAATGAGGCCAGCGTGTAGAAACATGGGAATTATGAAGCGAAACCACTGATTGGGATGGTCGTAGTCGAATCCGGAAAAGCCACAGAGCTCCCCGAGAGAACAGTGATTACTCTGAGCATCGGGATCGGAAGTGGTGGTGTTGGGGCATGGCCATGTCGGCGGATCCGAACTGTCTTGAACTCCGGGAGTGACTCGCATGCAAGGGACAAAGCGAGCTCCCATATTAATCAGAACGTAGGTGGAGGGCCCAATCATGGGATTAAATTGTGGATGGATCATGATGGGGGATCCGGTTATGATCGCTGCTTCTCATTAGCATCGCGTTCAAGGACATCTTTTTGGGGCACCCACAATTCTTGATAATTTCAACAATGAAGACTGTTATTTGCACCAAGCTCAAGGTATATACGACCCAAGGGATTTTTCCAGAAAAGAAGCCCTTCTTCTTTTTCCCATTTGATCTTGGTAACGACGGTGGCAGTGTCTGTGAATCTGGAGAGGGAGGGTATTGTGTATGCTGATTCCCGAGGTGTTCCTGGTCTATATTAACATTTGTGTTTTGTTTGAGAGGTATTGAATCTGAGTATTGGGAGTCGCGTGAGGGGTCATGAGGCTCGTAATAGTCGGACATTGGTCTTTGAGGATATCCCTGAGAAAGACTTGATTGGTCAAGGCTGGATGTGGTGTGTGCCAGATTATAAGTGAGCGCAATACGTGACAACGGCCTGTTGTTGTTGACTGGTGCTCTGTAAGGTTGAGAGGACTGTTCCATGTAGGAATCGTGGTAATATTCGTTGGCCGCCATAATTTCGAGAATACAAAAAGCGAAGGGAACTGCTCATGAGCAAAGTGCTGGATCGGAACAGACGAGAAGTCGGTTTCTTCACCACATCTGAGTGAATTGCAAAGGTGGAAGTCAAGGGATGAAAGGTCTGCTCAATTTTGAGTGACCATCCTCATCAGGCAGGGGATCTGGCAGGCGAAGTGAGGGAGTGAAAATCCCCCGGCGAAGTGACAGGTGCCAAAGGACCCAGTGATAAGATTGCGAAGGAAGTTTGTACAGAATGTCGAGTTGGACAAGAATCCCCGGTCGGGAAGCGGCTGTTTGAAAGAGAGGAGAAGGTCTGGGAGTTAAACTAGCGAGGTCTTGAAAGGAGTTGATGGGAAATAAAACGGAAGCGAAAAGGTGAACAGAAGGTTTTGGATGATGCGGCTGCATATGCTCAAGCGTGGCTAAAGAGCCCCGGGATGGTGTTTAGCTCGTGTCGGGCGTGTCTCAAAAAACAGGAACAAGCAAGGCGCAAGAAGCTAACTGCCCCCAAATTCCGGTGTCTGTGGCTCTTACTGGTCAACTCGACTGACTTTCCTCGCCTCCTGGTCACCGGAAAGGTCCTGTCTCCCAATAAAAGTAACCCCAAGCCCCTGCTTCGTTTACGTAGCCTGCGACTGCGCCTGCGCGTTCGTCGAGCAGAAATGGGGCACTGTTGACTACATCACGGGGGTGCTGTGGCTCAGTAGAAACAATGATGCACAACAATCCAATGCTTCAGGAGGGGGAGGACAAAGAAAGAATACACTTACTTTCTTGCAATCTCTATTACATTATTGTCTTCTCTACTTGGCTATCATGAGACTCGTGATGCCTGCGAAGGCTGGACTGATTTGTTGCCGGAATGTTGGCCAGATAGTTATACCCAGACAGCGAATGACATGCTCAAAACGGTAGGCTCACCAATAACCCAACCTGATGCACTCTGTATTCGTACAAAGGTATTATTTGTTGCACAACGCCCAAAAATGCTTTGCTTCATTCACTCATAGAATCGTCAGAGTCAACGTGGAGGCGATCGAAGTGGTGGAGGGAGGGTTGAAAATCGAGGTAGCGAGCGTAAGGTTCCTGCTGCAGCTGAAATCGACAATAAAGACTCTCGAGGCGCATAAATCTGTCTGTCGTCTGGGTTTGTAGTCTCATATTCGGTTCTTCTTGTCGAGAATCATGCTGCTTTGCTTCAACGGCAACGAGCGCTATACTTGTCGGATTCGAGCAATAGCGGCAGTGATCGTGCCGGACATTCCGTGATACACTATGTCACAATTTTCCAGCTCTTTCCTGTGAGCACACAACTCTCTTTTCCTTCGTACAGGTGTAGAAGTTGTTGGCGCATGGCTTTGTCATTGTGTGCACAATTCGGGAGCACTTGAAAAGGAGCCGGTAATGTAGTATATCATCCGACATAGAGTGTTGATAATGAATGGCTGAAACCCCCAAAAGAGAGCATAGAGCAAGGCGGCGAATATGGTGAGAATGATGGTGTTGAAGACGAACTTTTCGGCCCGTGTCATAACATAGAGACCAAAGGTAACCTCATATTGGTAGTAGCGTAATCGAAGGTAATTGGAAACTTTTACCGGCATTGAGACGCGTGGTTTGCGGATATGGGAGGAACTGGATGAGGCAAGTAACTGAATAGCTGCCATGGCCATAGGCGAGGAGAAATAGTTGGCCGAATTGGGCGGCGCAGAATCGACGAAGAGAGGAAAGGGCTCGAGAGAGTGATGATGGAAGTCGAAATCGGTAACGCTGGTAGTGGTGGTACTGGTCATGGTGGGCAGAGAGGGAGAGAGTAGCAGGCGGGAGGTGGTGGATGCTTTGTACTAAAGACCGATGCAGAGGTTGACGGATGCCAGATGAGGCAAAGTACTGGCACGCGGTGATTTGCCGGGAAATCTGGCGAAATTGTGTGTTGATAAGAAATGGGTAATAGGTAATGGGACCAAAGTACGGAGTATTGAACGCGGATGCGGATTTAAGTCAAAAAAAAAAAGACGGGAGTGCGTATATTAGGGAGGTTTTGGGTTGGACGAGGCTGGAGGCTTGGAGGGCTGGAGACTAGTGCCTGGATGGGGTGGGACTTTTATTGCTGACGGATCGGCCGATACGGACGACGAGGTATATTGTTGTTGAGGGGGAGAGAAGTAGAGGAGAGGAGAAAGATGGAGCCGTAGTATATTGGGATCGTCAGAGGAAAATCCGGCACGCTGCGGATTTGCTGTGACAGGAATGACCTTTTCGCATGGGCCGCGGTCTCAGCCAGTAAGCAGGCCTGCGCCTAGTCAGTGCCAGTGCGATGTGGAGTCACGAGTCTTGCTCGTCTGATTCAAATCCTCTCCAGTCTGCTTCCACACCGGGAACTGCGGCTCAAACATTTCCTCCCACCTGACCTGGCCTACTACCCTAGGCCACGGGAGGTGAGTTGTAGCAGTATGATTTACCCTTCCTAGCCAAACTTCTGTCTGCTGAAATCCACTTCCTATCATCGCGAATGACCTTTGGGACTTTGGGACCTGAATAGCAACCCGAGGAACATCGATTTTGACTTTCCGCCACATCCGCCCGGGATCGCCAAAGGTTGCCCCCCTATCATCAATACCTCACGAGTCACCCACCACCTTTGCGGCCGATGAGTTTGTCCTCGGCGCAAATCACGCTCTCAACTGTTCACCAAAGAGTGAATAGGAGAAAGAGTCAAAGAGGACGATAAAATAATCATATTCCAAGTTGTCCTTCCATCTAGGAATTTCTTCACGGCTGCAAGAAGATACGCAATCGAGCCCATTATCTATCCTCCCATTGTGTCATCATAAAAGCTTCCAATATAACAGTTTTCCATGTATATCGCTGAAACCTTCGGCTCACTATTCCCATCCTCCTACCTTTTCATCGGAGGCAGATTCAAATCAAAATCTTCGCTGTCGTGCGCCACTCGGCCCACAATACAATTCATTTCATTTGCCACGATCAACCCTGGAGTTCGGCTTGGTATCCGATGCGTATCCAGATGAGCCATGAAGGCTTGCAACCCATGAAATGTCGGCGTTTCAATCGCGGTCGGTTTCTTGTCGCCAAACGTCCCCAGTGTCGCCAACTGGGTGCTCATGTTGTCGTCAACCCATCCCTTCGCTGCTCCCTCGGCGCAGCAGAAGTAACATGCGAACACGTCGTTACCGTTGTTCAAGTCACTGTGGTTTGCCTTGTTTAACACGTGCGATTTGGCCAGGAACACCCATCGATACTTGATGCCCCCTTCCGATACCCTGACACGCGAGTCGAATGTCTTCTCTCGCTTGGCTGCCCCTCGTCCTCCACTCGGAAGTGCTGTCGACACCGCTGCTGGCCCTTCGAAGTTGCATTTGGTGCATCGGAAGAAATAATCCGCGCCCTTCGCCCCCTTTTTATGCTCCAGTGAAAACCCCTTCTTTCGAGTCCCCAGTTGTTGACGCACCGCTCCTTTGCAAAATCCTGCGAGATTCGATTCGCTCGGTAAGTTGAGCTCTGATCCGGCGACCTGCAGATGCGGCGACGCTGGAGCCCGCATGGTGGAATCTAATGAAGGCGTGTTCGAGGCTGATGTGTCCGGTACCTCGTCCGAGGCCCTGTCCACGTGCTGCGCAATAGGTGATGTCAGGCTTGCGACTTGAACGGTTTGGCCATTGTTGAGGTCTAGTGGCGGAGGTTTCACATATCGAGGCTGGCTGTTCAACCGTGCTTCTAACGGCGACGGGGCAGGTCTGTGGATCGCCTTGGCGATACCCGGGGGAAGCGCCTTCCGAAGGGCAAAAGAACCGATTTTTGATCCGGTTGAGCTAGAAGATCGGATGGACAACGGTTTGGACTCGGCCGGCACAGTGGGAGGCTAAAGACGAAGTTGGCTCAATTCCAATTTATCGATGTTCAAATATCAACTTACTTTGATGAGGACCGGATCAACAGGAGCAGACTCCGAAGACGTTCCTGTGGCGCTAGTATGCGGTCGAGACACGGCCTGATTTTGGGGTGGGAAATTTTGCACCATTGTTTGAGGTGGAGATTGGGGCTGGGGATGCGATAGTGATTGCGGTTGATGTTGGTATCGGTGTTGCTGCTGATGCTGATACTGATATCCATATTGCATTGGCGATTGCTCCTGCGGATGGATTTGCTGCGTGTATTGTTGATATAGTGGGGACGATGCGAGAGCCGCCGGGGGACGACTTCGAGCATCCAGAGCCGCAACATATTCCAAAGTGCTGTAATCGGGATTCAAGGGAACGGTCTGGTGCTGACCGATTTGTGGTGACCGGGTCGATGTTCCTTGGTCGCGAGGCTGCTGCTCCTCAGGCCGGGAGCCGTTGTCGAGCTCGTGCACCTGGCTAAGCGGGACAGGACGGGAGAAGCCGGTCTCGCCTGGGAACCCAGGACTTCGTTGGGGTGGCGGACTCGGTTGCGGAATATTGCGGACATCTGCAGTGGGAGGTTGATAGAAGCTTGACTCTGGAGGAAAATTTTGTCCTTTCTCGTCGATAACATGCGTCGGTGCGGGTGAGCTTGACTTATATGGTGGAGGAGCACCGGCATGGGGCGATGCCGCGCGATCCACTCTCTGTTGAAAACTTCCAGTGCTAGGGCCGGTAGAGTCGACGGCATTCTGACTGGGTTGTCTCTGCATGGGAGGGGGGAGCGCTGGAACACTGTCTTCACCAGGAGTTCGGCCTTTGGACTGGTCTCTTTCACTTGAGTTGGAGAAAGATGAATTCATCGATATCCTTCGTTGCGGCGTAAGACCACCAGAGGGTTTGCGATCATGACCAACGGCTGTCCTGGAGCTGTATGTTGAGTAAGATGTTGCAGACTGGTTGTCCAAAGGCCTTGTTCCGAAAGAGGAATGCGTACTCCTGCTACTGGAGTAGGCCAAAGAACCCGGGAGTTGGGTTTTGTCAGGCTCGTCAAGGTACGGTCTGGAAATTTGCTTCATCGCCGCCGTAGCCGTTGACATGCGTTGATAGAGTTGGCCCAAGCATACCGTCGCATTCACGCGACTGTCATCCGATGTCTCCCTTAACGTGTGAAGATCCAACGCCGCTTCATCCATATACACTTCCCGCAAATGCGTAATGACCACCTGCTGCAGAGTGATCAAAATATCTTTCATCTGCTCCCGAGCGGTGGAGTCGCCACGGGCATATGTCTCCCCGAAACGACGAACATCGTGGTCGTACTGGCTTTGAACTGCCACACATCCCAGTGACAGAGAGTCCTCAAAGTCTTTGGTCAGATGCTCTGGTAGGATGAATTCCTCGGACTTCTTTTGCTTATCCTTGAGCCGTAGCACCAGCTTTGATGCATCTCGGTATGCGCCGATTACTACATTGATTGACACGTTAGTCACGAGTTCCCAAACCTGGTGAGCATTGCATCAACGAGAGCGCGGCTCGGGTAGGTGGCCGATCTGCAACATTGCACAACCCGAATTTCTGTGTTCTACCAGTCCATCAACGGGCGTCATACAGAACCATCCCAGAAATAGCCCTTCAGAACGACGAGCCCCCGGTTTGACAAGTGCGGGGCATAACTCATTCGGGCAAGATCTCCGTTGACATTGTTTGGATTCACGGACACTTAGATGGGAAGTTGAAATTCGTTGAGCTTACCTGCTTGAACGCATGACTCGACCGACATGACATCCATGATTTCAATTCCAGCGTTATGCTTGAAAAGAACAACCTTGACGTCGTTTGGCAGAGGTCTCAACGGTAGAAAAAGACGATCGGTCTGGTGTCAGCTCATCGAGGCGATTTCAGGTGCTTTCAATATCGGATGAAAGCCAAAGCAAGGGATAAAAACAGAACTTAACGCAGAGGGGGCGGAGGAACAAAAATATACCGACGAAAATATCGTATTTTTGAGCGCTGCGGCTGAGTCAGGCTATTGGAGGACGGAAAACCTCCTTACGAGAGTCGCAAAGGCATCCATACCCATGTTGCAGGCAGCCTACCCGCAATTCCTCACATTCAATTGTCCGCTATCCCATGCAAGGGAGCCCAAAAAGGCGCGGCGAATAAAGCGAACTGGGGAAAGAGTTGGCCAGACTCCCTGGGCTGTGCTGAGTCTGGCTGGCCCAAGTCAAGCCTTCAACACGAACCTGAGATACACCATCTGGCCGGCCCAATGATGCATCCCCTGTCGACCCGGGGGGCCATATGGCCCAGTGGCCAGGTCAACAAACTCTCCCTGTTGAAGCTCGTCTTTCTCTAACGGTCAGCCGCGTCCGCGGCCCTGTTGCTGAATTCGCTGCAGCACTTGGCTTGCAGGCGATAGAGCCTTCGAAAAGGCGAGATCTGTTTTCCCATTGGTTTTGAATCTCTTAGCAGTGTTGGAGCTGAATGTAGGGGAGCCAGAAATGTAGTGGAGCCAGAAAAAGGTGGAGGAGAATCTACCAGTGATGGCTGGCGAGGCGGGCATCTAGAACTTCCCCCCCTTACATGATCTCCTTGGTCAGCGATCTAGCGATCGGGTAGTTGAAGTGATCATGAAACCATGAAGCAACGAGCCTGCCACGATAAGCTTGAAGTCCTTGCCCAAAATGCTCGCGATCCACGTAGCGTGGTGGTTTTATCCGAGAGATTGGATTTTCGCCAGATTCCTGCGTCCTCTCTGTCCTTCGGCCAGTTGGCAGCCGCGTGAAACTCCCCTGATTGTTTTTTTTTTTTTTTTTGACACCAGACTGGAAGCCCTAAAGCAGACTAAGCCACCAGCTAGTCGACGCCCATTGGATCCACGTCTGGCCATACTCTCGAAGGGGAACTACAGTACTCAAGCTTTGGGGTCTTCTGCACAAGCCACGTGCGGCTCAGACACCGTGGAAGGTTTACCACGTCGTCGCCTTGCGGACTTTTGAGTCAAATACCTGGAGTGAACTGACGTCTCGCAGATGAAACACCATGTAAGTTACACTCGGAATCATCTGCCCAGGCAGTCCAGCTTCCACTAGCACAGGGGTTATCCGAAAAATCACCTATCTAAACCCTCCTCTAATTTATTGGCTCAGACCTCGTTTTATTCAAATCTCCTACAATCATAGCTGGGCCTTGCCGGAAACAAGCATTTGAATGGCGGAGGCAGTCAACGGCACAAAACCTGAACCCTCCCTCTCGATCCAATACATCTTGTCCTTGTTGCCTGCAGGGATCCGAAAGCCTGTGGTCGTCAGTCCTGGGAAAATGAAAGACGGGAGAAGGATAAAGATACAGATACGCGAGTGACGAGGTGGCATACTCACCATCCTTTCGGAGTCCTGTCTTCAGTTTTTTCATGATGACTGAAACCCGTTCGCTACCACTATCGCCAGTCATCCCTCCTTGGTCTGGAACTGCATCCTCGTTGACCAGGACCCTGACGAATCGGGGTACGGCGTACGCCGGAAGAGCGCTCTCTGAAGTCCGAAGCCAGCGTTCCAGTTGTGACATCGTTTCATTTTGCACGCGTTCAAATTGACCGGGAGCAACATCATGCAAGGTGATTGCTGCACAACCCAGTTGTCCATCGTATCCATAGTGATTCATGGCAATTGCATATACGTTCACCGATGCAATGCGAGGGTGCCGACTGAGCCAGTTCTCGACCTCGGTGGTGGAAATATTGTGTCCTTTTGCACGGTAGGTGTCGCCTAACCGATCATGAAATGAAATGAAGCCGTCTTTATCCTACACGATAATCTGTCATTCAGCAAAAAAGCGCTTCGCCCACGGAGACGTCGGCATGTAGATGGCTACCCATTGAAGGGATCATGGAAATGTCGGAACTTACTATCATCAAAGCATCTCCGATCCGGAAGAACTCATCGCCCTTCTCAAAGACATTCGTCAAGGTTTTCTTCCGAGTGGCATCTGCACCACCCTCGCCAACATAATCATGTTTTCTCTGGATCGGTGGAGCAATCCTACATATGGACTCCCCTATCTCCCCGGGCTTTGTCGGGATACAGAACCCCGTCTTGGGATCTCTCACCAACTCTCCGCTTTCGATGTCGGTTTTGACAATGTAGAAGGTGTTCTGCCCGAACCACCGACTGCGCATGATTGGCCCCCATCGAGCGACTTTGCCAACACCGAGATCATTCTTGTTTGAATTAATCAGGGAGACGGTAGCCTCACTCGCTGAATAATATTCCACAATCCAGGGAATGCCGAATCTTTCCCTTACTGCTCGCCAAACGTTGGGGGCAAGACCAAGCCCAAAGGCTAGATCGACTCCATGATTCTTCTCATCCGGAAATCGAGGATCTAGAGATGCCTGAACCAGGTATCGGAACATCTCACCAATGTAGAGGATCGCATTCGCATGGGATCGACGGCAATCGGCCCAGAACTCCCGACGTGAAAATCGCCTGGCAAGAATGACGGTTCCGGATGAGGCAAAAGTGGCCGGCAACGCTGCAAATGACGCCGTGCCGTGAAACATGGGCAAACAGATGTAGAACCGTCGGTATTTTTCTTGCATCCCCGGCCATCTCTTGGAGCACCCGGTCAAGTGGTTGTATCCCAACGGCCAATTGAGTGCTTTGGGCATTCCCGTCGTTCCGGATGTGAACAGGTACTGCGCAGCATCGGTGGGGCCAACCTTGGGTCTCGTTGATTTGGGGAAGTCTCCCATCTCCGGAGTGACAGGGGGCAGGCCGTCATGCTTTACCAGATATACCTCTGGGAGTTCCGAGGTAGTGGGCGGGTACGAATTGTAGTCGTACAGGACAGTCGCCCGCAGATGAGGTAGCTGTGAAGATTCGTTTCCCGTGCCCGCAGACAGTGCTTTTACGGCAATGTCCCACAGCTCATATGTGGTGATGAAAACCTCGGACTGACTGATCTTGAGACAGTGCCTGATGTGACGACCCGTGATGGCTGTATTGATTGGGGCGGGAATGCCGCCGATTTTATATAGCGCCCACCACGCGATGAGAAACTCTGGCGAGTTGTTGATAAACATTCCCACCACGGTCCTGTTCTTGATCCCCAGCCGCTGGAAAGCTTCGGCCAATCGACCAATCTCCTCGCGAAGCTGGCGATAGGTCCAAGTCCGACCCTCAAATACGAATGCTTCCTTGTTCGTATGGTGATTGTCGGCATATGTAGAATGGAGGACATGGTAGAATGACCAGTCATCCTCGCCATGTTCTTTGAACATATCCTCGGCGTACTGTTGAAGTCGCTTGGCTCCTCGAACCTGTGCGATATCACTCCTGACGGAGTATTTGGCATCGAGATACATACCAGTGGCAGCTAGAGCAGCCGCCGCGACGCTGGAGATCAAAGCCATCTTAGCAATTGACTGGGTAATGCGTCTCTTCACACGAACATTGTGAGTACCAGAGGGACATCCTCCGTCGCCAGACCGGTCTGATAGCGAGCCTCGGAATAAGATTCGTGTGGAGGTCCAGCATTGGATCAATAGCCGAATTAGCGTGAGAATTGTATCGAGGCCTTCTCCCGTAATCGTGGAGTAGATGCGGGGAGAACAAACACACACTTCAATTTAGCCATTCCGAATCGACGAGGCTGTGCCAAGAACATTACTCAGCCTGATCACAATTGTCGACCAATATCATGAGGCCTCCAAGAGGACGTAAATGGGCAGCTCTCCAGCAGCAATTTGGGGAACTGTAACCTTCGATATGTATGCCACGTGATCATTGAAGCATTACGACTTGTACTTCTGGTAGATTTAGGAGAACAAGGAGGGCATCCACATCCTCTTCAACATTTTACCGGACTTTGTTCTCAGACCCGAAGGGCAGTATCGATATTTTCAGGTATCTTACACTAGGGCCGAAACTGGCTTAGTGAGCCTCGGATCTTTCTATCAAAGCCAACCGATAAGCAGTTTCTTATCAACCCCTGGAAATCTATGTGAAATATTTCATTATACACAATGGATTCTTCGGTTAAGATCGCCCCGACTTTTACAACACCGTTCATGGACAGGAGAATTGACTTATCGAATTTTCTGTCAGTAGATTCTTCGCTCCCCAGCCTCTGATTAGACTGTTTTGGGTTGCATGTGGCTCTCTGTGCGTGCACCTGACTAAACCCTTGACAGCTAGCATTGGCTCCTCCTGAAAGAGCAAACTGCAATTTCTGACCCCTGAGCAAAAATTCCCCTGCGCATGGCTTGGTGGCTTTTCGCTAGCCCCACAGCAGATTGAGTTTTCTTCAGGGGGGAGGGGGGTTCATGGTTCAGCACAAAGCACACGCGTTCTTCCAAGGCTCTATCTGCTCCCACACGGCGGTTTACGCAAGCCTTCGAATCGTCCCACGTCCTTTCGTTCCCTTTCCCACGACGGCAACTGCCTTGTACCAACCTGTTCAAATGACTTGTTTCTTCCCTTGTGACGATCGCAGCTCTGATTTCTGCCTTTCTGTCGGTTTCTATTCTGTGTTTTTGTGCGTTTGTTGCCACTTCTAGCTCCGTTTTTGTCTTTGGTCTGCTTGTTGCTCTGTCGATTCGCTGATCATCGCGTCAACTCCTGTCGTTCCATCCCCCTATTTCGTTTTTCTGGGCACCACAACTTCATAACCGCTTCCGCCTGTTCATTCCTTCCGGCTTCGAACTTCAGCCTAATAACGGGCCGTCCTTGATATCTCGGTCTTGACAGTGAAGGACTATTCACTCCTTCAGCTTTTGATTCAAATGGGTTTTGCCTGACACCCTTCAGTCACCTGACTCTTTCTTTTTTTTTTTTTTTTTTTTCCCCCCGCGATGGACTCTTCTAAACCCGTCTTCCTTGCTCTTGTTGGTATTCTGAGTGCGCTTTGGAGACAATACCAAATCCGTACTTTCCCGACAACATTTCAACAGGACGCCTGGACTGGATGGCTCAGTTGGACACTGTTATACTTCGGATTTCGGGTCTATACCTCCAATCGGCAAGCCCTTGTCGAGGCATCCGAGTCAACCAGCAAAGCACATGATGGGTTCTGGTCAGAACATCTTAAAGTATTCGCCTTGACTGTGGCTGGCGTTGTTGCTCTGATTGTTCAAAGTCAAGGCGTGTCTCCCTTTGTGGCCGTAAGTACTCAAGGTTTCTCCAAGAGAATACAAACTTATTCATCCATCAGCCTCTGGTCACTCTAGCTACTCTTTCTTTAAATGCGATAGCACCACCGGACCAAGATGCAACATATTTTCTCGGAGTGGCTGAACTAAAGAACGAGCAAACTGCCCAGAACACCGCTTTAGTCGACCAAACCTGTTCCCGACTACACATTCGCTTATGGCTTCCTATAAATCTCATCCTATTTCTGACCCTGGCTGGCTCAGTATCTTACGAGAGTGCCTTGATTTCTGTTGCGGTAACAAACAGCATCCTGTTCTTGCTGGCCCGAACGGCCATATTCACCTTGCTTCCGCGGATGAGCCGAATTAATGATTTGCCACGTTCCAAAATTGATATTCCGGTTGACTGGAATCTACTCTCAAAACTGTCGCGGCTTTCAGTTTTCTCTTACACCTGTCTCCTCGGTTTCTCAATTCCCGACTTAGTTGCTCCAAGCCCGATAGTCCTGCTCAATGCATTTGCCCAAGCCGCTTGGTGGTTTGCTGTGCTCATTTTGGTGACTAACACCGTTACTCGATCTAATACCATTTTTGCTAACTGACTGGCAGAGCGCCGCACGACATCCAGCCACCGCCACCAACATCGAAACGGTCGCTACGAGCTTAGATCTGCAAATCAGCAGCGATCAACAGCTGAGTGTTTTTTTGGCGTCTATATCTGCCATTGGTGCGCTCTGGCACACGGTGACAAGCATTACCCTGAACCACAAATATCGAAATTGGTTGTACCTGCTGATCTTGGTTCCGTTGTTCAGCAAAGTCAACCTTGGCGGATTTCAGCAGGAGAAGAGCTCCCCCGAAGAGGGTTCAACGGGACTGCATCCGATTGAGAGCATCGCTCAGCAGGCTCGTACCGAATTCCTAATCTTGCAAGACAAGCAGTCAAAGAATTTGGACCAGGCAACCAAAGAATATGCCCGGCGGTATGGAAGATTACCGCCTCCTAATTTTGACAAATGGTTCGAGCTCGCAATGCAACATGAATTTCCTTTGGTGGACGAATTCGATGCCGTGATGAAGTCACTTGAACCTTTCTGGGGAGTTCCCCCCTTGACGTTGCAAACACTCAGCCAAAACGCCATAGCACGAATTCCGGATGATCTGGCTAAGTACGAGATTCAAAACCACAAGGTAACGGTGACTCGGGGAGATGGGGCCACTTGGGTTCGAGAATCTATGGCCGGGCTGCTTCCTAAGGAGTGGGCTGCCTTACTCCCGAACATGACCATTGGAATCAACGTCAACGATGAGCCAAAGGTTTCCGTCCCTCGGGACATGCTGGACGAGGCCATGGGTCTGACTCGATCACACGGCTCTCATCAGCGACTCGCCCAAGATGCCGACCGACAAGTTCCTTGGCGATCTCCGAGATTTCTAGACATCGGACAACAGGACGCATGGGAGTCGATGATCGTATCATGTCCAGCAGATTCTCCCGCAAGAAACCAATTCTGCCCGTCAAACCCCACCGCAGAATCCCTTTTCTTCATTCGCAATCACACGCAGAGCATGGATGTATGTGAACACTGTGAACTTCAAAATTTGGAAGGATTTCTCTTCTCGCCAGAGACTCTTCGACTCACCCATTCCCTCGTCCCGATTTGGTCACAAGCCAAAATCTCTTCGTTCAACGACATCATCTTCCCTAGCTCATATTATAAATTGAGACGGGCCGACTATGTCGAAAGAGATGACCCGGACTGGAAACGCAAAGACAATAAGCTTTACTGGGTGGGCGCGTCGACCGGGGGACACCAAACGGAAACCAACTGGAAACAAATGCAACGTCAGCGTCTGGCTCTCCTGACGCACAATAAGTCCACGGAACCAATTCAGCTTCTCCGTGAAGAAGAATCGGGGATCTGGAAACCATATAAATCAACCATGTCAGAGATCTCTTCACTGTTTTCGACTCGTGTTGTGGAACTGGCACCGCAATGCGACAAAGCGGCCTGCGAGGCTCAGAAGGCCGCCTTTGAGATCGGAGAGAAACCTTTCAGAGACCCAGCCGCGGCAGCGTACGCACACAAATTCCTCCTAGACGTGGATGGAAACGGGTTCAGCGGTCGATTCTACAAGCTTCTGCACTCCAAGTCGGTGGTCCTTAAACAGACTCTGTTTACAGAGTGGCACGATGACCGACTTCTTCCCTGGGTCCATTATATTCCTGTCAGCACGAGCTTTGAAGAATTACCGGAGCTCATGAGATTCTTGGCCACGACCGAGAAGGGTGAGGAGATCGCATCTCGCATAGCCCGAGAAAGTCGCGAATGGGCAGCCAAGGCATTGAGAGATATCGATTTGTCTCTGGTCTGGCTACGGATGCTCCTGGAGTATGGCCGACTCACCGATCCGTCACGAGATTTTTCGTGAAGGTGATTCTTGAAGTCTTCAATGGCAGACACTTTGTGTTTGATCGAAAGGTGCTCCAGGAAGAGATGTTTTACTACAGCAGGGGGGAGGGAAATGACCGGTCGCCCGGCGTTTCCATATTCGACACGAACTATCAAGCATCATGACAATGGCTTAGGGGGAATAGATTAGAATACCCTGAGAAGGAAAGGAAGTAAACTAGGTAGATGCGTTCTTTGGTGAACTAGAATGAAGGAACCATATCAAATATGTATCCCTACATAGAGGAAGGAAGCTTCAGGTGTACCAGTCAATCCCCATCCTAGGTGTTAGTAAGGCTATTTGTCGGTCTGATATTCACCTACTGCAGCTCAATCCCAGCGCTTGTGCTCGTGCTTGTTTGCTCTACGACACCCTTGATTGCATCTACAATTCATACCTCGACTGTGCTACGGCGGGCTTCGCCTACAAAAGCTCAGACCACATGAACCACTTTCATCAATAACTGCGGCTACACCAGTGGAGACTGCTGCTCGAGCCAATATCACCACTTCATCTCGGTGACACGGGCCTGTGTGCGAAGTAGGCGCCTGGTTCAATCTCACAGCATGCTTTCGATACATTCATCCAATTCTCCCCTGATCATCATATCTCTCTGGCCACGACAGATGTTCCGGCCGGAATGATCTTGAACTTGCCCATAGCACAAACGGTAGCAATAGCGAGAGATTTTGTTTCTGTTTCATGGCCTCCCCTTCTGAATAGGACCACGAAATGTTGTGACCGAAAATTCCGGCGGATCCTTATTATTTACCGGCAGTACTCAAGCAGAGTATATGTTCGCGATGCGCAGTTATCTCCGACACGTCCCCCGTCTACTCTCGCGCCCGAGGAATGTGCTCAGATCTCGTCAACATTCAATCCAGTTGATGTTTCGATGGCAACACTGATCACCCTCCCCTCGTTTTGCTTTCAATCCACTTCGACCAAATACATATCCCACCCAAAAAAATCCATCTTGCTGAGCCGAACTCGAGCAGCCGATCTCAAGTGCGCTAAACCATCCATGTACCAAACGAACATTCCTTCGCTACAAAACAAAACATGGACGAATCAAACACGATGAATACGTACCACGACACAAAGAACCCCTCCCTTCTCAACTTATCGGATCCAAACGCCTCAATAGCTGGTGTCGGCCGTGGTGTGACGCCGTTGGAACAAGAGGTCCTAGATGAATATGAGCGACTGGCGAGGAATATGAAAGAGGTGAGTTCCGAGATCGACTCCTCTCTCTTTATTTCCTTTTTCCCTTGTTTATTGCGTCTTTTTTTTTGGGTGGGGGTCCTTCGCTGCATTTGGTCGCTGGAGAGAAATCGGCATCGGCATCAGAGGCAGTATCAAATGAAATGCGATGGAAAGGCAGGGGCAAGTCGTTGTCATCATTATTGTCATTGTCAAATCAAAATTGGGGCCAGAACCAAACAAGGCGGTGTCATTCATTCATTCATTCATTCCCCCCCAACCCTACCGACTACCAACATCTGCGACTATTTCAAATTTCGCCTTCAAAAAGAGCGCTGCGCCATACGGCTCTTGCTCAACGCAAGCATGACTAATTTCTCCAAACATTCAGCTCTCCAACATTCTCGCCTCCTTATCCAGCGGCCCTATCACGCTCGAAATCGCCGAAGGGCTCCGGCTACTCGAACGAAAAGCATCGAGTGTCTACACGTTAATGAAAGCAAGCGTGTACAGCATCGTGTTGCAGCAAGGGCAATTAGATGGGGTAGAAGGAGAGGCGGGGAGTATTACGGATGGTAGAGAACAGGATGAAGATGGTGGGCGATGAGCACCCATGAAGGAGCGAGGGCTTTTCTAGTAGTGTGCATGATACGTGTGATGAGTTACGATGGCCACGAGAATCTATTAGCGAGGACGGAAAGGCGAGAGAGGGACATAAAAGGTATGAGTGTCTCACGGCCGACCACGATTGAGGCAGAGAGGGATACATATCCAAAAGAAAGGAATGCAAATGGACAAAGCCACCAGCGTCGAGAGTCAAGTGAGCTTCGGCGCCGCGCCAGATCGACTCCGCGCTCTTCTGTGGTTCTGACGACGTATGTGATGGACATATGATACAGGATGGAGGGAATGTGCGGTATTCAGGGAACCACCACACTTTGCTTGCTTTTTTTGGTCAAGCCTGCCGGCGAGTATTAAGTCATCCCAGCATAGTACACTTTTCTGACATCGACCAACTTCTTCCCACGGGCTCTAGCAATATCTTCTGGATGTTTCTGGCTTAATAAAGCCTGCACAGCGGCTTTGACAGTGTTCATGGGATTTCTTGACCGAGTCACTTTGGCGGCGAGGTCATGAATGCCTGCACACTTGCATATTTCCCAGATATACTGCTGACAGCGGAGGCCAAACCCTGGATACTTCTGTTAGTCTCTACTGTAATGGCCAATTGAGTTCATAGGGGCGGGGAGAGTAAAGATTTCTGCTCACTGACCAGGAGGTCGCGCATAAAGTTCCAATTCTGTCGCGCTGACTTTGCCATTGACATCGCCAAAGATGGTTCGATCTTCATATCGCAAGATCGGCGTCATGTTTCGAATGGCTCGATACTGACTTTGAAGTATACTGTCTCCTCCTTCGGCTGCTTTTCCTTCTCCAATCCCGATCAGTCCATTGCCATTTCCAGCAACGCTCAGACAATATATTTTTTGAATCTTTCCCAGTCTCGTCTGATTCACTACTCTGTGCATTAGAATAGTTTTGACACGGAGCGCAGAGATTTGTTTTTGATTATATCCGGTCATTTGCATGAGCTGGACGAGCGCGGGCGACGGTGCTTGTTCGTCAAGTGGTTCACCATTCTTGCTGGTGCGACGTTTTTTGATCTTTTGTTGGGCAACTGTAGGTATCTTGGGCAAGTCTGGAGCTAGTGCGGTACGGGGTCGGAGCTCTGCCTCTTCCCGGCCAACTGTCAACCGTTGATTCTTGTCAAAATTATCCCACATCTCTTGTGTCAATGCGCCATCGTCGTCGGTGTCGGGTAATGATTTCATGAACCGGACCAAATCCTCTTCCAGTTCATCTTCCGTTTTCAACCGAGAATGGTCATCGATGTTGGTCCATGGTTGTTTCACTGATTTATCGACCACGGGGTCCAATTTGGTCATGTCGTCAAAGTATTTCATCCTCCAAGGGTCTGTTCGCATGCCAGTTTGCTTTTCCAATTTCTCGGGATCAATGAGCTTTTGGGCAGCCTCGATTGCGGCTCGTTGTTCGGGGGAATACTGTTGGGGAATGGCGCCATTTTCGGAGGGAAACTCTTTAGCTATCCGATTGATGTCAAGTTGGTTGGCTGTCGCTTTGACACTGGCAAATCGTGGTTTTCGTTTCTGCTGAATGGGAGAGGAATGGAATTGGCGACGAGCGATTGAGGACGGCCGAAAAGAGCGGGAAAAGAGACAAAACAGACATTCAGAGGATCGGGCGACACTCATGCTGTCTAGAGCAGCACGAAGCTGCGGGAGGAAAAGGAGGGAAGCCCGCGTTGTAGATGGATTGAGTCGGAACAAATGTTTTTTGTTCGACGGCGGAAGCTCCTTTAGGCTTGGCATTGATGAGCGCTAAGCTCTTTCGGTAATGTCTCACGTTTCCTTTGCATTCCTGTACAAACCCAAACCTCCCCAGAATTGTTGCTTCGGCCATTCTGATTTACCTGAGATACCGTTGGAACTCCTCCGTGATGGCTTTGACCACTCGAACAGATCTCCTAACGACATTTTCCTTGCTAAACTGACCGGAATGGAATCGGGCAAGGCTAGTGAATTCATCTTTGACAGACCCCCCAATCCTCATATATGCCGGAAGGACAATTTGCCAGACCTACCGCAATGGAGGAACATCCTCGTTTCATCATTGGCCATCATGATGCGAAAAGAGCCATCCCTGTCACTGTCCAGGCGGTCCAAGAAGCTCATGCTGCAAATGTGAGATTGGGATCCCTCCACGTCATCGAACAATTCTGATCTCAACATAGTATGACATGCTGACGAGTCCCATTACAACTCCTCATTTCCATTCTCGAATATTGACGCTTTTTTCCACGTATCTTTCTCATCACCCAACCAATTCGGAAGAGGACATCACCCAAACCAAGAATGCTTCCCCGATCACCATCCCACCTCTTACTCCGGCCGATACTCCTTTAACCCCTGATGAATCCATCAGCCAAATGATCGGAGTGACAAGCTCCTGGATCGACTTAAGCTCCCCGGACCCAATCATTGCGGATGTCTCCCGACAGATCTTGAAATTGGAAATCACATATGCTGCCTTTTGTGGCGTCACTTACGTTCTGATTCCAGGTCCTCGACTACGTGGTCAAGGAGCCTCCGAAAGTGGGATTGTACAATACGGGAGAGCGATCATGGACGCCCTATCGCAGGGACCTTACATGCAACTCTACCTATGGTTACCCATGATCGACCATTCTGATGACCAGTCTTACGAGATAAGTGATTTGGCTCCTTTTGCTCGACAACCATTCTTGGATCAAGATGATGTTGAAACAAAGAGGTTGGATTTGTTTGGAACTTGGGAAGCTTGGGACATGATTAGATCGATATGTAAATATCCATCTCGATTATGCGTAGGTGAGCAAAATAGATGTCATTTACCTATCGCCAACCCCTTTGTCTGATCCCTACGGTCCAATTTGACTGACGTTCTCCTAGCTCTGTCTATCCCCAAACTCCTTCCATCAGTGCGCATTCAGTCCAGATGGTACTCGGAACCCGTGCGACTACTTACGCTAGACTCGAAAATCTTCTCGAAAAACGCCAAGGGGTATCCGGTGCTCTCCCGAGCCCATCAAGCCTTTATTAATCGATTCACCCGCTTACGAACGACCCCATGGTTTCTTCTTTGCGATGTTGGACCTGTTCCGAGCCTTCCAAACACCACAGCCAACGGCATCCAAAATACAGCAGCAGCTGCATTTCCGACCCCGGCCGAAGCAGCTGAAGGCCACCACCATTCGGAAGACCCAACTCCTCACCTCTCATATATGCGCAATCTACAAACAAAGCAACCAGTTCAGACCGCTCTTGACCGCTTCGGTGCCGGATATCAAGATTACCTTCAAACTCCTCTGCAACCATTGACAGTGAACTTGGAAAGCATCACCTATGAGGTCTTTGAAAAAGACCCGATCAAATATGCCTGGTATGAACGCGCCATTGCCCGCGCATTGCATGACTGGATCGAACAAGCCAAACCGACCTCCAACCCAGATGGACGTGTTGTTGTCGCCGTGGTCGGCGCGGGAAGAGGTCCACTTGTGACACGGACGTTGAAAGCAAGTGCAGACACCGGTGTCGAGATCGACCTGTGGGCATTAGAGAAGAACCCAAATGCTTTCGTTCTGCTTCAGCGACATAACGAGACCATATGGAACAGACGAGTTAATCTGGTGAAGTCGGACATGAGAACATGGCGAGGACCTCTTCGTCCCGCGACATCAAAGCACATCAGTCGCATCTACAACACCGAGCAAGTCAATGACGACGATCAAGCCCAGGACATCAGGTGGAATCCAAATGCCAACCCTGCGAATCTCAACACCAAGGAATCAAGCACCGACTCGTCCACCATGGCATTCACGGGGCCTCCATCTCTGGACTCCACCCATCTCGCCACCACGACGCCAACAGAAACACCAACGCCGTACAAAATCGACATTTCGATCTCCGAACTCCTCGGCTCCTTCGGCGACAATGAGCTGTCTCCCGAGTGTCTGGACGGTGTTCAGCATCTCCTGAACCCGGTCCACGGATTATCCATACCAGCCTCGTACACGGCCCATTTGACACCAATCGCGGCACCTAAGCTCCACGCAGACATCACGCATGGTATGAGCAGCACAAACCCGAACGCAGCAGAGATTCCTTATGTGGTCATGTTAAACGCGATGGACTACCTGAGTACATCGACGCCGACGGGCAGCGTTTCCAAAGCATCAAATCCAAATCCTACATCTCCAGATCCAACTCAAAGCCAGGGGCTGAGTGCGACTCCAATCACTCCAACGGCCGCGGCACCATATTCAAAAGTACACACGAGTATTTCACCGACACCATCTCTTCCACTTCCTCCACCTTCGCCAATCCCTATAATCGGGACGGTATGGTCCTTCCAGCACCCGAATCCAAGTCTACCTAGCCTAAACTCCAGTTCCAACACCGATTCCCCGCTGCCGTCGTCTGCTGAACCGACCTTGTCCAACGCCCACAACGCCCGTCACAGCACCCTCACATTCCCAATCCCGTACCGCGGCACCTGCCACGGATTAGCAGGATACTTTGAAACCGTACTCTACAAGGGCGTCGAGCTCTCGACCAATCCCAATACCATGGACGCCAAATCCGAGGGCATGATTAGTTGGTTCCCCATGTATTTCCCGTTGAAGGTACGTATTCTCAATCCCGTTCCCAATATCAGTTCTCGTGCTCAGTCCTTATCCATATTTCTATCCTCATCCTCATCCCCATCCCCATCTCTTCCGTGTCCATATTCCTGTCCATACCTATACATATATTTGTTATCTTATGGGAAGGAGCGTCACATCAACACGGCTCTCCTTACTCGCATCGTCTCTCCCTCTCCTATCCTTATCCAGTCCCTTTCTGTTCTTAATATGATTCTAATGAAAACACAGAACCCCATCTCCGTCCCCGACAACTCCGAATTGACCGTGACAATGTGGCGGAAAACCGACGATCGAAGAGTCTGGTACGAGTGGCTTGTCGATGTGTTCATATATCTACCCACATCCCACATCTATACCTATACTCAGGCCTCAACTTCGAAAGGAAAGTCTCGCGATCCACCTCCTCTCACAACAATAGGAGTTGGAGTATCAGGCACAGGCACAACAGATGGGAAGTCATCAAAGGGGAAGAAAGTCCGCATCGGCGGAAGTGAGTTGCATTCGTCGGAGAAAGAAGCATGTTTGATGTAAAATGTAACAAGATACGATACTCCTCTAGAAGATATCAAACTTGGTTCGGCGCATAAGGTTTGCTGGCCTATCTTCTGTCTCTGTCCCAGGAAAACGGAGCGAAGAGGAGAAAGAAGAAGAGATGGCAAACAGGAAAAAGATTCCTCTGACCATGCATTGTAGGGCCGGACACAATGCAAACAGCAAAAGGACGAGTCAGGCAAACTTGGAGCGCTGAGATACTTGGGGCCGCAATTTCTATCAATTTCATAAGATGATATCTGAGTTGCTAAAGAACGCTTTTGGGTCTCTTATCTATCAATTATGTAGTTCTTCTATCACTGTGAGACACAAATTTCATTCTAGCCTCCGTTTCCGGCTTACCGGTTCTCGCCCCTATCCACGACGAGCATGTATGTGTTTGGTCAACTAAATACCGCTCGTCCCATCATTCCCCCTGGTCCCATTGACAATAACGCCATGGCCCTTCCTGACGACGTCTTCAGGCGATGGAGCCTTGGTCAAGACAGGAATCTCTAGACTCTCCGTACTTCCGGTCAACCTCTTCTCTAGACTTCCCGTGGGTTTGGTCCCTCCATTCGGCTTGGTATCTGATTTCGATTTGTCTTCACCAGTCAAACCGCGTCGAATGGCAAGTACATTGTCGACAATCACAGCGTCAATGCCCTGCTTGACCTGCAACTTGACCTTGTCGGATTCATTGTTCAATGTGCCATAGCTGACACAGACCAATCCGCTCTCCTTCACAACGCGAACGAGGCGAGGAGCGGCAATCAAAGGTTCCGCAGCAGTGACCACGCCGAGCAGATTCCACCGACTTGCGAATCGGATGGCCTCCTGGAGACTGGTAGCGCGGACGTCTGCGACGGGCGCCGTACCAGAGTCAGTGAGGAACAAAACGGGGATACTCGGTTGTTTGAAAGACAGCAAAAGGCACACTTCCGGATTAAAGGAGGAGAAGATGATATTTCTTCCCTTGCCCAGGTCATAAACTTTTGTGAGCACAACATCGACAAACGAATTGAGTTCGACGGCATAGGCGTCCATTTCTTCATCTTCACTCTCCGAGAGCATCGGATACTTCATTTCGATGTTGAAACCAACACTTTTGGGAAGTTTGTGGAACATTTCCTCCAAGGTGGCAAAAGGGGCTTGGATATGGTTGCCACGGCTATTGCCTTTGAAGCCTTTCTTCTTGAAGTCTCTCGTATGTTTCATACGCTCTTCCATATCAATCGAATCGACAATATCACCTCCGCCGACAGACATAGATCTTAGTCTCGATGCCCTCGACTCACTGTTCTTGAGGTTGCTCAATTTGGGGTTTTCGAATGGAACTGGAGAGGCGGGTCTTGAATGGCGAGGAGTTCGCATGTCATTGACATGCAGGAATTGTTCGAGAGTAAGAGTGTGGACTGGAGCATCGATACCTGTTTCACTGACCAAGAAGTCGTGATAGATAACAGGGACATGGTCTTTCGTCAGCTGTACATCGAACTCCACGTAAGAAGCACCCAGATTCGCAGCGGCAATGAATGACTGAATGGTGTTTTCACCCAGCTGAAGTGATCGTCTCCCGGCGGAGAAATTCTTCCCTAATCCACGATGACCAATGACCATGGTTGATGCCATACTCTTCCAGTATGTCTGATTTTCCGTGACTGACATGTTTGGATGCTTAAAGGGCGTAATGACCAGGAAGTTGAAGGTGACGGAACCGATAACTTCGAGATTGTTTGCCGCTACGATGGGCACTGTTACGTCCCCTTGTAACGGCATTCTCTTTGCGCCCAAGCTTGATTTGATACTCGAGAGTAGTGCTACTCCACGTCCAACAATTCGTTCTGTAGATCCCGAATAGGTCGGAATCAAGTCGAAGAGTAGCTTGACTTTGGACGGGTCTGGTGCATGAAAGACTATTGGCTCCGTCGAGATGTTATCTTGGACCGGGAGATCGATCACTTCGGCCTCCCCCTCTGCAAATTTGGCCGAGACAACAATTGACAATGCGGTATCCAACTGTGTTGAATGCGCATTTGCCAATGGTATGCGGTCAAGGTTGACGGCTCGAATATTTTTACGAGTGTCCATGGTTCCGAGGCTGACCAAAATCATACTCTTATCCGTCAGATACCGATGACCAAAGGTTTTGACAGGCTCGCTGACATTGAGAGCGCCCTGGGATCCTATACCATTGGAGCTTCTCTCCGTCAGAGATGAATACACCGGAGGAGATGTCGAGGCAACCGACGAATCATCATCAGCATCGAGTTCAGGCATGACGCTGGCGAGCTTTTGAGCAATGCCAACATGACCTCTGAGAGCCGCGTGTTCTTTGGCGTTCCAACCTGATGAATCAAGTTTTTCGAGGTCCGCTCCACCGTCAATGAGGAGTTCGACAATTGGAAGATGGCCATCAACACAAGCTATGAATAAAGGTGTCCATCCATAGGTCTTTTCGCACAGTTCGGTGTTCGCCTTTTGCAGATGGGAGCCTTCCAACAGCAGCTTTGCACATTCTAAGTGACCGAATCTCGCAGCCACATGTAGTGCGGTATCACCTTGCTCGTCTTGATAGTTGATATCAACGCCGGCTTTCACAAGGAGACGGACAATGTCAATGAAGTTGGCCTTGGTCGCGAGAGCCAATACGGCGGATGACTTGGGGGAATTTCGTCGGATTGTGGATTCTGAGACATCGGGAGCGACGCTTTGCTCAGCGTCGAGCAATGTTTGGGTGGTTAACGGATGACCGCCAATCACGCTGAGATGTAATGGTGCCCAGCCATCGTTATCTTGCCATTGCGGTCCATCAATCCCCTGGGAGACATCGAATAACCTCCATGCTTGAAGATGCTCAATGATAATTTCACACATTACTCGGATACCATATTCCGCCGCGAGGTGGAGAGGAGTCCGACCAGCACTGTCCCTCGCCATCAATGAAGAGCGTTGAACAAGCTGTAGGTTGTCCAAGAGGAATTGGAGAAACGATATGTTTTCATCCTCCCGGCTAAGGATTTGTCGTCGCTGGTCGTCTTGCAAGACAGAACGCTTGAATGGTACCGATGGATGCGTAGCCGGCGTGATGAAATTGTAAAGCTCGGTTTCAGCATCCAGAACTTGTTCGGTAGACGGGTCAAAGTCGGCGTTGGACTGTTTCCGACCAATGGAGACAATTAGCCGATGAATACAATTCCGACGATTGATATCATCTGGATCGTCCAAGAAGACGACTTCTCGTAAGAGACATGCGGTACAGCTCCGGCTTCGAGAAGAAATAGCGCGCTGAAGAAGACTTTTCAAAAGTTGCTGAACAGCTAGGTCAGCATCCTCGGAACCGGATTTCGTGATTCCCTTGATCCATTCCGCAAGACTAGTGGCATCGTCTTGACGGATATTCAACTCGGCTTTGGTCAATTGTTCGACGGAAAGATTGATGGAGGGCCTCGACGTTGTACGCTTCAATGAAGCGGAGGATATGGAAGTAACATCGTCGTTGTTGGCGGATGCTGCCACCTCCCCAAGAACCGAGATCCAGTCATTGATTTTATTCAATGACGCAAATAGCTGGGCGTTTGTAGCAAAGGCAGAGGGATCTACCTTGAGTTCAAGGTATTTCTTTTGCGCATGAGCTGTAGGGATTCTCTTATCGAGCTTTTTCGTAATCTTGATAAACCCTCTTCTATTCACCTCGCCATACCACTGGAGCTTTCGCAACTGGCCTCGGAGTTCTAGGAGGGCGGCCAACAGGTCTTCGCGTTCTTCAGAGTCGAGCTGGGCAGCAGCTAGTGGGGAGAGGCCGTAACAGTCTTCAAGGAGTTTCAAACGACGGGAGAAGTCCTGGAACTTTTTATTGTAGAAATGGTCAACATCTTCGAGGTTTCGGTCCAATGTGTGGAAGAATCCTAAACAAAATGAGCATGGAGACTATCCTATGCCAACCCATCCTACCAGCAAGATCGAGGTTTCCATCCTGCTTTTCACCCTCGGCAGCTGCTTTGATCAGCTTCTTAAGGGCTTTGTAGTTGATATAGGCAGACGCCCACTCAGGGACTTGGTTTCGCGAGAGGTTCCGGCCAAACTTCATGACGCTGGCTTAGGGTCTCGAGGCCTCGGCAAAAGAAGGACTAACACAGAGAGGAGGGAGAAGCCATGTACAAGACTCTGATTACTGAGAAGAGATGCCTCTGATTCGCACACGAGGGACAGGAATGAAAGGGTGGAACCGGGACAATCTGGCCATGCTTCGTGGAACAGTTGAACGTGGAGATGACAGCACGTGGGACGAGGGCAGAGTGTTCGAAGGGCAGGCCGTCTCGATCGCAGGGTGTGGTTACAGGAATGCTGGCTGAAGGAAGAGTTGAATCTGAGATTTGAAGACAAAACAATGGTGCGTGGAGCGGATTGCGAGCATTATTGGCCTTTTTTCAATCCTTTCTCTGGCCGCCCGCTGATTGGCCATCTCTGACCGCCATGTTCTTCCGTCTATTTCGGGGGTATTGTTACACGGCATCACACCGCCCCAAATCAAACACCAAGCATCGATCAGCACTCGAGATTCCGACAGATGGATAAAGCGGGGATGAATAAACCATAGAACCCCCTGCAAAATTCCACCGGGCATACAGCAAACATCGTCTGCATAATACGGCGCAGGTTGGCTCCAAATTGAATGGTGAAATACAATCCCCTAAGCCCATACAAACCTAGCAACTCCTCAGCCTGGTCCGCTGTATATCTGTACATGCGCCCCTTTTTTTTGATCCACGTTCAAACGCCAGAATATGCTGGAAGGTGCCTTGCAAAAACACACTGCTCGTTCGTGATGACCGAGAACGAAGACATGCCACTTCGTTGTCACTTCTCACCGCCCTGCCCATTTCGTCCATCAAAACGCCAAAGAAACGCCGATGCAAGAATGACACTTTGATCGTCGAGAAAGACCCAGCCCCTCTTTTCATCCTGTGTCAATTTCTCGGGTGCAAACCATGTCATCACCGTCCATTCTGTGCATGTCCGCCGTCGTGCATCATAATCATATCTTCATCATCGTGGTGGAGGGTAACACTGTTGAATTCTAAGAACGGATCGGCGATCTCCCCACCGGGAGTCGCTAATGTAGAGTCCAGAGGTACGCCCTTCAGACGAGTAGCTGTCCCGCCAATCTCAACACTGCCACTGTCCTTGACCGTCCTGAAATTCAATGTGTCGATGGCCCGGCCCTGATGGGGAATCATGGGCGGCTTCATGTGTCGGAGAAGGGCCCATGTGATAGGTCGGAAAAAGGGATGGTTTTTGACGTCCGAGGCTCCAGCGCGGGATCCTAATCGTTTAACTTCGTCTTTGATCAACAACTTCCGGATCAAAGATTTGCATAGACTAATGCGTGTGTGTGTGTCAGTAAATGCTCCCATCGAGCGTTCCCAGTGGTACTTACTTGCTGACTTGCGTCACGTGCGAGTTATCCGGAAACGGAACCTCGTCACGAAGAATGTTGGCAAATGTGGCGTTGCGGTTCTTGCCTTTGAATGGGGTGGTTCCAAATAGCATTTCGTAGATCAGGATCCCCAGAGTCCACCAATCCACCGCACTGGTGTGTCCGTTGCCTTTGATAACCTCTGGGGCAATATACTCTTCAGTGCCCACGAATGAGTTCGTCCGGAAGTCGGCAATACAGGACTTGGTGTCGACAAGAGGATATCCGGTCGGGTTGGAAGCGTTGCGGTTTCCTAAAATCATGGTAGGAGCTCCGCCGGAATCGGACTGTTTTGACAGATCAAAGTCTGAGAGCATAATGTGTCCGGACTGGTGAAGGAGGATATCTGGGACAGTCAGCAGGTATCAAGCAAAGCAGACGTGAGCCTCTCACTCTCCGGTTTCAAATCCCGATAGATGAAGCCCATCAGATGCAGGTATTCCAAGGCTGCCGTGACCTCTGCGGCGTAGAACCGAGCATCATCTTCACCAACACATTTGTTCGGCCGAGTCTGCAATGCTCTGAAAAATTCACCACCGCTGCAATATTCCATGCACAGGTATAGGTGTTCTTCGGATTGGAACGAGTGATATAGGGTGACGATAAATGGATGGTTGCTCGTGGCGAGGATTTCCTGCTCGGCCAACGCGCGCTTGATCTTGTTCCGTTTAATCATTTCCTTTTTGCTCAGAACTGCCTCGAGTTAGTCGTGGGCGCCAGGAAACCTGAATGGCACAAACCTTTCATGGCATATAGCCGGTTGGACTTCTTCTCGCGGACCAGGTATACCTTTCCGACATCGCCCTTACCAATCAACTTGATTTTATCGAAACTGCCCGGGCCCACTTCGACATTTCGCACTTTGATCGAGTTGGAACTGTAGGTTCTTCTAAAGGCAATGGATTGACGAATTTGACCCGGAAGAGGAACTTTGGTGCCTGCCTTTGGAAGACTCGGTGTGCTAGAATTCTCCTGAGCAATCATGCCCAGTTTTGGCGAGGCTCCGGAGAGAACGGACAAGGGCTCCTTGCCCAATTCAGCGGTCTGAGGTCTGTCTCCCGCGCTCCTGCCTCCGCTGAAGAGGCCTTGAGCATTCGGGGCCGAAGCCACCCTTCTCAGTTTCCGAGCCAATTCTTCCTTGCCCGCTGTGACAGCCTTCTCTTCTGGTGCTGTGCCATTCACCTGGACTTTGGGCGTGTCGGGAGGAGAAGGGGGAACGCTGCCTTCATTATGATGGCGCAGAGCGGGAGGGCCTTGGTGGACGAAGTAAGGGTTGGCCTGAGCTGTAGGAGACACTACAGCATCATCGAGAGGATGTCCTTCACTGGCCACAGTGGTAGATCTGTTTCTGTTCAGACCGGGAAGAAATCTCGACTGTTTGACAGGTTTGGTGTCGATCTTGGGAGTAGGAAGGCCGTCTGAGCCAATCGAGGTTTGACTACCGCCGCTGTTGATGCGGAAAAAGTTCTTGAGTTTAGTAGTGGTGGGTGTATGGGTGCCAGGGGCCGAATCGCCATTGAGGTGCTTCTTCGAGGAGAAGGACAGACTGGAAAAATTGCGTTTCTCGGTAGCCATGATGCCGCTCTTCCGCGGGGTGCCAACTCAATGGATCCACAGACTCGACAAACAAAGAGGATTGTTATAGCAGACGAGAAGTCGTAGAGGCAGGCAAACGGGGGGGGGGGGGAAGAGATGAAAAAGGGCTTGACGAATTGAGGTCGTGAATGGGGTCGGAATGCGGACGAGGGAGAATCTGTTATCGGCCGAGCGCCATGTCAGGATTGTTCCTGAGGTCTGAGGTTAAAAATATGCGGCTGATTGGGGAAGGGATTGGGCTGTACAGGATTGGAGTTATTTCCAATCCGCAGGGGAATTTTGGGTACAGCAAAGAAGTGAGGAGAAAGGGCAGAGGAGGCGATAAACTGTGGGATATCGAGAGAAGTGGTGGTACGAGCAGGAGGAGAGCAAGAATGGACTGGACCGGACTGGACTCCTTTGAGTCTGGTTCATGTTGAAGTTGGTTGGTGGGGAGAATTGGGGGGGCAATGTTAATAAATGACTAGTGGGAAAAGGACCAAGCAGAAGTACTGCCTGGGCCCCCTAGAAATGTGTTTGTTCGGGCCTGGCTTTGGGCTTGTTCGAGGCTCTACCAAGTGCCTATAACGCCGCCGTCCCCCTATGACTTCCAGCCATCATGTCCGTCAATCTTCGGAGTGCTCCTTTACTTCAAAAAGTTTACTTGATAAAAAGTTCTACACAATCGGGATGATTTAGGTTTAAATTTTGGTCTTGGACAGTAGCCAGTTCAAGTGCCCGATTGATTTCTCAGCAAAGAATCCCACCTCGCTACGCCACAGTAATGCCGCTCCCACTCATGTTGACTCCCTGTATCTCCACTGCCATTTATGACCACTCGTTGACAATCTGCGGGCTTCTTCCTTGCTACCGAGACTTACCAAATTCGCCCCGGTATCATCGCAACTCCTGCCACCTTTTTGTAAACTTCCTATTCGAGATACTAGCAACCAGTGCAGCCTTTCTACTTTCAGCTCTGACACTATTTGTATCCTGTGTCTTCCAACGGACCCGAGCTATTCTGCTGACACCACCTAGCCCATGTATTCATACGCCCTCTCCTTGACGTCGCCTGCACTGAATACGTCACCTCTTTCAAGGCGTTTCACACCCTCTCTCCCTTCCATCTCAAGCCCTTTGATGTCTGCATAGTGATACTGCTATCACATCTAGTTGAGCTCGATCACGTTGTTTTTGCAATGTTCCGAGACGCCATACAGCCAGTTGACCATCCAATTCAGTTACTCAACTGGTCCCGACCAATTCTTGTTCAAGCATCATACACTCCAAAACCCACCAACTTTCTGAAGCTGTGGTACATTAATTCTTCCTCGAGGACCAACTGGTTTTGGTGCTGGCTGTAGATTTCTTCCTTTGCCAACCGCCGAGAAGATTGATTCGATTGAATGTCGCTGGCTGTCCACCGCAGATGAAAAGCCTTTGTCGTTGACTGCTTCTTGAGAAAGCTCACGGCCAGTCCTAGAATGCTCGCTGGCCAAACAGCCATCTCCGCCATCTCCACGAGTCCAGATAGGTACTGAAGATGCTGTGGAATCTTTGAATGCCGAAGAGCTCGGACCGGATGGATCCGGTGCTAAATTGTACGTTTTTCGTCTGAGTTCATCAGAACGGCCTTGAGGACTGAGAATTTGTCAGTCTTCACGCATAGAATGGCAAGGAATTACTGTTCAGCAGACTCACTCTGGTCCTGCCTGCAGATGGTTGCTGTGACGTCCATCCGATAATCCAGAGCTGTTACCCCACAAGACAGCTTGAGCATTCTCCTTCGTCTGAACACGGTTGCTGATGAAACAAAGGTTAGCTCAACCAATATACTTCCCACCAGCTGCGAACTACAAACCTTTTCGTGTTGAGCTTATCGAAGTCGAGATACTCCTCAAGGCGATTCGAAGGGATCTCTTCGTCAAAGGCTCGCACTTCGACAAATTTTGCCGTCATTTCCTTGGTCAATGTCGGCTTCGATGTCCAATAACGTCTCTCGAAGTCGTCCATCTCAACTGAAGGAGGTCGTTGCAAGCCGTGGCCTCGAACTTCAGTGATGGTACCATCCGGCAGTCTGACCCTGCTGACGAATCCTTTTGGAAGACGCATGGCATCAAGTTGCAACTCGTAGCATGCTTCGATTGACGCTGGAGCACGTCCTGGCATGGTTGGCAACCACTCTTCACTATCTGACTCTTCCCTCTCTTCCTTGCCTGGAGCCGGGTCATTGAGACCGGCTGAATTAGAACTGGGGTCAGGAGTGCCAATAGCGACATTGTCAGTTGATTTATGAGGGGAATCTTGCGGCGACGGGCTGGATCCACGAATCAATGTTTCCAACATTTCGTTTTGTCGACGTGCTATCTCATCGGGCGCGTTCCCGATGCGGACACCCCATTCATCCACAGGGACCGAACCATGACTAGATACAGTCGTGACGAGCATATCATCTTTACGAGTTTCTGGCATCTCGGGAAGGGTGATGATCGGAATGATACGACGTTCTGCTTTGGATGAAGACTGCGGCTTAATGAGCTGCGGTGCATCGCCGTTTGGGTCCGCAGTACCCCTAGGCTTGGTGGATAGTGTCGCAGGAGGCGCTTTATCTTTCAGAGGAACGTGGACAGCAGCTTTCACACGGAGTGTGCTGTTTGGAGGACCTGTGGCTGGCTTCTGGAGAGTTTTCGGATGGATACCAAGCACGTCTGACCAGTAGGTAATTTGTGACTTTGCATCCGAGCGCAATTGAACAATCGCCATGCGGTGCTCTGACGGTTGAGGATCACACTCATTCATTGCACAATGTCGATCAAGGAGTTTGAGCTGCCGGTCAAGGTCTTCAAAATTACCCAAAGCGTCCATGAGCATGTGTCGGCCATACGTGACGTCTGGAGTTTCTTGTCCGCTTCCGGAGCTGGAAGTCCCCTGCACATTGAGCCGCGAAAACCGGCCCTGGTAAGGCATCAATGGCGTGGATAAAGGACCAGGTAAAGCACCGTTCAAGCCAGGCAACGGCGCCGGCGCACTCAAAGGTATTTGACCACCAGGGAATGCTGGAACATTCGGCAAAGAGCATGGATCTTTGTACATGCCCGAAAGCCATGGTGCTGATGGGAAAGGTTGCACGTATCGTGGCTGACCAGAGGTCGGATCAATGGCAAGTCCATCACTGGTGGCGATGAGATTGACGTTGATACCAGCGGTGATTGTTGTCTGATCGAGAATAGCAGTGGTGGCAGGCATCCAAGGCTGGGATTGAATGGTGCTATTGTCCTCTACGTCTGGCTTTGTCATGCCCTGGACGACTGTTCCTGGCTCTGCGGTTTGATTATTTGCCACGCCACTGTCACGCATCTGAATCTTGTGATCCGAATCGATGGTTTGTATCAGTTGCGACAAAGAAAAGGTGGGGGGACGAGACCGCTGCTCCATAGGGACGATGCTCCCACCAGCAGTGACACGCTGGTGGGCTGGAGAAGTGAGAAATCGAGCAAAGCCTTCATCCTGCTGAGCACGTTCTGTCGGTGGTGGGACCTTAGGCCGTCTTTCTGGCTTCTTGACAATACGGGTTCCGTGATTGACAATAAGCTCTTCCTGTGAGCTGCTTGATTCTTGCGGCCAGTTGCGCGGGCGGTCGCCTGAGGCTCGACGATTTGCCATGGCGTAGGCTCCTAACGGAGGCACAACTCCGGCTGCGTGAAGTCAATATGAGAATGCCCTCACTTCGTGCATCTGAGGGTTGCCGCTCACCTCAAGAGGTCGAAATTTATGGCCCTCGTTTCAGGAGCAAGCTCGAGGAGACGTAATATAGTGTACCTGCGAAGCCTGCTGGTCTGGCGATCTGAGTGGCGGTTAGTTATGTTGGCTCAATCCTGGGCCCATGGACTGGGCGGTAATAATTGGCTCAATCACTCCAAAGATGAAACAGCGCACCGCACATCAACGAGGAAGACCGGTTCAGGACTCACCAGGGACTTTGATAACTCGGGAGGCAGGAGCAGGACAGGACCCAAGAAGAAGCGCGATTGAGAAAGGCCGGTCGAGAGCCTCTGGCAGGAAGACGTTGTGGTAACGGCAGTGTAGACAGACATGAAGATTGAGGTAGAAAGAGCCCGAGATGAAGTCAAGAAAAGGAAGACGTAGTAGAGCAGTGTGGAGGGACACACACCCAAAAAAAAAAAAAAAGTTCTGACAGTATCAACGAATCATCATTTATGGTATCCAGAGGCTCCTGTGTTCAGTTAGGTCGAGGAATATCTGTAGATGTGGCAGAAAACAATCCAGACGCGGCGCCCTCCCAACATTTGTTCTCATCTCTCGCTCGTTCATATATCATTTCAAACATGGTTGCGTGTGTCTACCGGGGGGGTGTAAGGACTGATTGGTATATCGTCGTCTTCATAGCTTGGACGACGAGGTTTCATATCCCCAGCACTGAGTGCTTGTCCTTGTGCCTCTTCCGCTTTGGCTTGATCTTTGAGTTCCCAGCTCCCAACACGTTCGTGACCTCTCACAGGAACGGGGTCTCCGCTGGCGACAACCACTGCCCCTGCCCCTCCCTTGGGAATGGTGAGATCTTGATCACTGGCAAGCTTCTCGGCTCCTTTGAATCCTCCCAGTTCTGACCTTCGTTTGGTATGAACTCGATGCATTCTAAGTCCAGCGAATAACATCAGCGCGCCAAACAAAAGAGCAGCCACAGCGAGGGTGACCACTGCTCCAATGACTCCGGCAACGACCGGGGATAGTCCCTTACGGCTGGAAGAAACTCCAGGGGTAGGAGTCAAACTGCCATCCGTATCAACAAAAGCCGGGCAGAACACGCTGAAGCTGTTGCAAGTGGTGCACCAATCCTCGACATTGGACATCATGAAGCCTTCGAGGCCTGCAATAAAATCCGCCAAGGATATCATGGTCTGGCTCGGGCTGAGGCCAAAGAGAGGGTAAGCCACCAAAGAAGAATCGTCGCCGGTACCGTTCTGGTAGTAGAATCTGACAAACATCTCTGACACGTCTGGGTAGGTTTCGAGGCTTTCAGATTGCATCGCGTACAACTCGAATATAAAGCTGGACCCTGGTCCGGGGACATTATAAAATGCTGCATTTTGTGGGGAAATCAAGTCGGCCAAGGCAGCGAACGCGACCATAGGTTCAAAACTGCCAAAGAGCAGGGTCATTTTGTCCGAACTACCTTGGGTATTGATGTTCGTATAGAAAGCTTGCAGAACGCGGGTGGCTAAGGTTCTCCCGGCAACGGCTCGGATGTGATCTCCAGCAGTGGATCCAGACACCGAAGTATCGGCATTCAGGGCAAAGACCCAGTCGGCAGCAAGGATTTTGGCTTTTGTCAAATCTTCTGGAGACAACTTCTCTGCCACCGTGGTATTGTGAATGCTGGCGTATTCCAGATAGTCATAGATGAAATAAGCATCGAAATAGCCAACAGATGCATCGGCGAATATTCCATCTAGGAAGTCCGGCTGGAGACTGGCGTAGAAATCTGCGGTGTTATTTTGAATAGATTGGAAGGCCTCGGTCTCGTAATAATCGTTCGACGATGACGTGTACGCGGGACAGTCGTACATTCCGTTGATCCAGATAGAATTCAAATCGTTACTTGTCATTGTAATAATATTGGGGTATTGATAGCCTTCGAGAGGAGCGACAAGATTCGATCCATTCTGAATCGTACTCTGGCCCTCGATGTACGTGTAGTTTGACCCCTCTTCAAGGGGAGGATACAAGCCCTGGAGGAAGGCTTGGGCAGAGGCAGATACATACTGGTCATCCGTGGACATGATAGTCAACTGATCCCAGACCAGCTGATACTGAGAGATATCATAGATGGTAGTCGTCTGGTTGTCACCACTAAAGAGAGGCGCTAGATATCTTTCACGAATCTGCTCCCCTGCTGCATACAGCTGCTGGGCACCTAGGGGTGTCAAAGTGGGCGAATCTGGTAGTACAAGAGGCGTTCTGTCACCATATCGAGTGTAGATGAAGGTGCTCAGCACCTGCTGATGGAGACCGGACTGGGCGGCAACGTTGAAGAACAGGGTAAAGAGAGAGAGGGCGAAGGCGCTGAAGGATTTACTCGAATCCATTGGAGATTCAATACCTAGTTCAGTTCAGTCAACAACACTGGGAAGCGCTGATGGATCTGAGAAAGCAGGACACAAGTAGTCGAAGCTGCGGGGTTGTCGTGAGCATTTATGAGCTCGGCCAACCTGGGCATGAGGCTGCAAGGGCGAGCTCTAAGAGCTCATGACAGCATTCGTCCAAGACTCGAGCTACCAGAAGCAGCTTACTGTATCTAGAGCTGTGTCCCATGATCATGAGCACATATCCGGCAAAGTCTGGAGCAGTGTAGCAGAGATAACGGGGGGGGAAGAGCTTCGATAACTGGCAGTGATAGAGTGGGTCCAACTCGATTCGCTGAAGAGCTTCATGAGCCATAGGCCTTCCGCAGGGTGCCACCCCGCTTGCGCTGTAAGGTTTGGGGATCCATGCAAGGCCCTGGAAGAGACTTTTGACTGCTTCAGCCTTGATCAGTCGGGGAAGAGAAGGCTGATGGAGTTTGGAGGATATCTCGACCGCCAATATATGATCCCGAAAACTCTCTTTTTGTTTTTGGAGTTGTCTTTGATGCTGTTCGAAACGCAAGTCGGGGTTCAGATCCTTTGGCCGAAAGTGCTGAATTTCTCCCATTGCGGGATGCGATGACGCCATGTACCGATAACGGATGCTTGGTAATTTTCTGGCACTATGGCTAGAAAGATTCATTGATAAGTTGGGTACCATGAGGAAATGGTGGAGGCTGGGAAAAGCCTGTTTGGTGACAAAAACAGAGCCAGGATGTGGATAAGGCGCCCGAGAAGGAAGTTGAGGCGCAATGGAGGAACAAGGAACTTTGCGTCTGGGCGTGATGCCGATGTCCCGCCTAGTCGTGAGAATCGTCTGACAGCCCGAGAAGCCGCTGCCGATCCCAGTGTTCTCTTCTGTCAGACCAGACCTCTCACTATCGATTATCCAAACGCGGGATTCGTTTCACCTCACGGCACATTTTTGCAAGGTGACTGGCCCCCAAAAATAATGCCTTCGATAAAAAATGTCGCGAAATTCCCCTGCGCAACAGGCTGAAGCGGATAATGCAGAAGAGCCTCTTACCCAGAAACAGAAGGGTAACCAATATCATTACTTGCCAGACTGCATTATTCGCTGACCATTAGCAGATCCTACTTCCCTACCCACAACCTCTTCTCCTCTCTTCAAAAAGAGCGATACTGATGACAACCCCCGTAGTCCAAAGAGACGGCGCATCTCCCCAGCTGGGGATGAACATACAATTGAGGATGTGAACAAACCCACCGCCCCCCAAGTATCTTCCCCGCCACAAGAAGATGGACAGAAGGACAGCCAACCGCCACAAAGCGTCTCACTGATATCTGCTCCTGCAGAGGACAAGAAAGACAATGCCGCAACCAAAATTCCCGAGTCGCAATCCCCCAGCAGGACGCTTCTGGAAAGCCTGCCTGCCTTGGACAATTTGGCTTCTCAGATCTTGACCTTTCTTGCCAGGCTAACACCAACCGAGGCCCTGGGGATATCGAATACTCCGAACTCCCCGAGCACTCGAGAGTATGTCGGTCTGCGATCTATGTTTGACCCAAAAAGGAGACCCTTCAGTACTGGCTCGCCGTTCTTGTCGTGGACTGATCTGGGCTTGCACGAAAACAGCCACATTGATATCATACGGAGAGCAAACCAAGCCATTTTCATGTCGAGTGTTTTCACAGGCGAAATTGGCCTTCGTGACATGGACCGTAGCTTTCTCTCGGTGTTCGTGCCTGAAAATGGCAAACTGTTGAAGGCACAGGCTTCTATATATCTCGAGCTGAAGACGCAAGGTTTTATCACCGCTTGGAGAACAGGAGCCGCTCAGCCAGCCGTGGTGATGGCTGACCTCTTTGGACCAGACTTGAGCAAACATATTTTGGCAAGGAGGCCAGGAACAACAAGCCTGGCTCCCAGTGAGCAGGACTTTCTCAATCGGCTTTCCTCGCGGCGCGAAATTCTCCAAGCCCATGTCAAGGACAATACTCTTGATCAACTACCGTTGAGGTATAGATGGGAGGATTTTAGCCGCGAAGTTTCGTCCTACCTGTCCAAATACATTGAGAATGCATCAAACAGTAGTAGTACTCCGATGGAAGCGAACAGAAACGATCCCACCAAATGTCTCCAGCGCGGGCAAATGGAAGGACAGTTTTCGATTCATGCTTCGCCAATAACGGTGTCGTCGATGGAGTCTATCCCGGTGTCAACATCACAGAGCAAAGCCTTGACTGACTCAGTCCCCCTAGACGATTTTGTTGTTCAAGCCGCGCGAGCTGCAGAGATTGCTATGCAAGACACGGTTTGCCTAGGGTATTCGGAACCGTTCCCTTCCTTATCTTCACCGACTCCTTCCACAGTCCAGCGCGACACACCTACTCCACAACCGACCCTTCCGGACTACCAGCATTATGAACCCACGCTCGAGAATACGACGTCCAAGTCACCTGTCTCTGGACAATCTAGCGTCAGTGACGAAATCCCCCACGCATCTCAAACAGCTCCAACATCTGTTCTATACGAACGGGCAAGGTTGGCTGCCAGTACGAAGGCTGCTCTTACGGCGCGTAAGGGGGTCGTGCCGAGTCAGAGACGCCCTTGGACGACCGAAGAGGAGAATGCACTGATGACAGGTCTTGATCGTGTCAAGGGACCTCACTGGAGTCAAATACTGGCTATGTATGGACCAGGAGGCACTGTCAGTGAGGCCCTCAAAGACCGCAACCAGGTACAGCTTAAGGACAAAGCACGAAATCTGAAGCTGTTCTTCCTGAAGAGTGGCATAGAGGTACCTTACTACCTTAAATATGTGACAGGAGATTTGAAAACGCGTGCTCCCGGGCAAGCCTCAAAGCAAGAAGCCAGAGAGCGAGAAATGCTGCAATTGGAACGAGATGGCAGTGCTTTCGATAGCCCACAAGGTAGCACATCTCTGGGCAGCGCGGATCGTCAGGCTGATTCCAATGCTTCACAGTCCAACCATGACTCACCCATTGGCGACGATTCTGGCCATGCAAGCCCTTCAACTCAGTCAAAGACGTCATTCAATCCAAGTATGGCCGACGTCGAAACTATGATAGCCAGGGCTACCGCGCAGGCTTCTCGGTCACTAGGTCCAGATTGGCCATGACAGTCCAAAGAAGGTCGGGCACGAGAGTGTCATTACCCTCAGACCACGCATATATTTCATCATCTCGCTCTGAGTGAGGCAGAGAACGAATTATGAAACGAATGGAACCTTTCATCGCTGTTGTGTACCTAGGTAGACTATCAAATTATGGGCTTACCCCCCAACGATGGTTTTCTGTGCATGACCCGAGAGATATTGTAGACACTCCGAACTTATCCTATGCCGTAAATATTAGATCAGGTTAGTCGTCGAGCTCGTAAGATGCCTTGTGCTGGCCTGGCTGGACTCTAGACCCTGTGTTCAGGTGAACAAGGCCAAGCTTCAGGGAATTTAATCCGACCAGAAGAATCCTTATTGAGCGGTAACTACTGGGCCTCGCTTCCCAAATTCGCTTAAACCTAGAGTCGGCAGGTGATACTAAAGGACTCAACCACTCTGCAACTCTACAGCTCGTCAACTATTACACTGGGATTCTGCCCTGGGTTGCACTCTTAGACGACACAATGTCGTCCCCGCCATCGATGTCAGAACAAGGCCACCCTGCTATGAAAGACGTTGACGTTGATACCGAAATGGAAGACACTCAGGACAACACCACCACATCGGCAACTCGCAACCCAAACGAGGGAGCATCACGAACTCCAGACCATGATTTCACACAGTCTGAAACACAGCCTGCGACGGCCTCGGGCCTACCACACCACAATCGCAAGGATGTCACGTTGAGGGAGTTTTTGAGCAAGATGGACGACTATGCGCCGATTGTACGTGGACAAATTGGCCGATCTTCTTGACTGAGCTGAAAATGACAAGTCTGCTAATACCAATGTTATAGATCCCTGATGCTGTGACCGCCCATTATCTGACTCTTTCTGGTCTCCCACCTCCTTCGCCGGCTGACCCTACTGGCGCCAGCACAAATACGACCCCTCTTCCTCTCGCTCGACTACTCGCGCTGGCGACTCAGAAATTCGTCGCCGATATAGCAGCCGACGCTTATCAGTACAGCCGAATTCGATCTTCAAACTCGGCCTCCGCCAGCAACCCTCTCGGAAGTACGGCGATGGGCATGGGTGGCGGTCCCAGTGGCGCTGCGGGAGCAGGTGCAGGAGTCGGCGGTGGGACTGGTAAGTCTCAGCAGTCGACTCAGTTGGGCGTTCAAAGGAGCGGTTATGGTGGCGGTGGACAAGGGGGGAGCGGTCAAGGAAGGACGGTTTTGACAATGGAGGATTTGGGCATGGCAGTACAGGAGTATGGCGTCAATATCAAGAGGGGCGAGTTCTACCGGTAGCGGAGCCGCCAGATATGGGACGGCCGACTTGAAAATCTCTACGATTGCATAGCGAACTGGCGTTAAAGGACGGGGAAGTGCAATATCAATGATGATGAATCGAAAGGGTGAATTTGGACACATTGGGAGAACATGACGAAACGTCCTATCTCGGGCAACGAAATTCTGAAGACTCGCGCAAAAACAGTGCTCCGTCATGGGGTAGAGAAAAGAACCTCACATTGATGGTCAGACGTCTTGACATTCAATCGAGTTACATTCATCGCAAAGATTGACCTGAGTATTGCTTGGACCATACGCCTCTCGGCTCGAAACAAAGCGAAAGCCCTCCTTTTGCACGCATCATTGCAAAGGATGATTTGGATAAGGTCTCGATTGGCCCAAGTCCGATGTCGACCATCATGCAAGGTGCGGTACAATCGGCCCTTTTCTGCCTCTATTTGTTCTTGGTCATCTTGTATGAGAATCGCTTCCTTGTACTTAAACATATCATCAAGTCAGCTGCTGGTTACATTCTTGTAGCCCCTCGCCGGCAGACACTTACGGGACGAATTCGCCCAGTTTCCTTCCTACCATTTCCTCTGTAATGTAGATATCTTGGTATGTCTTTCCGTTGTGGACTGAGAACTTGAGTCCCACAAAACTGGGGAGAATCGAGGCAGCTCGAGCTTGGGTCTTGATGGCCGGAGGTGTTTTCCCTGAGCTAGCAGGCTTGAGGTCGGGGAATGGGACGATGTTCGGACCTGTACAGAGCATGAGAATTGGCGATGCAACGAAAAGCTGGTCTCTCAGGGGGTGGACGAGTGTGGGCGAATGGAACGCTTCGTCATACCTTTCCAAACGGCTCGCTTCAACAGCGGAAGTGTTGAGCGCATCGTTATCGCAATATCATGGCCTGATTTTGGGGTTATCAACTTGAACGTTGCGAAAACGAAAGATCGAATTCTTCTTGAATGCGGGTCCCAAATCACAGGCCAATGGCAATTCGGGAATAGGCAGACTCAAGTTTGAGTGGGTAAAATGGACATGAGACTGCGGCAGCGGCCTGAGGCCTATTGTGGGCGAGAATCTTCAACATGGTCCCATCAAAGCCAGCCACACACTCCACACCCGCATCCCAACCTGGCATCCCAGCGATTTCGTGCCTTGTCCCTGAACGTTCAGCAAGAGTATTCCTCACATTCAGGGTGCCTGATCCCCTTTCCATCTATAAGATTGTTATGAACTTACGGTAGCACTTCTTTACATTACGTCCACAATCGAGCTCCACGTTTTAGTCCCTTGCCCTCCCCTTGGTGTACCACAACTTTTTCTCTTGTACAATAATCAACCATGGCGCAAAGTGCGGTAGGGTCCTATTCGAACCCTTTGAAAAAATTCAAGTTTGTCTATCCAACCATGGAACCTATGTACTCACTGACGGGGGGGTGTGTCAATTAGGCTCGTCTTTCTGGGCGAACAGAGTGGTAAGGCCCCAATTCACCTCGACAAAAGACCCTTGACCCTTATGTGGTGCATAGTCGGCAAAACATCTCTGATAACCAGATTTATGTACGACTCTTTTGACACTACATACCAAGCTACGATTGGCATCGACTTCCTCTCCAAAACCATGTACTTGGAAGACCGAACAGTCCGACTGCAGCTTTGGGATACGGCCGGTCAAGAGAGATTCCGCTCCTTAATCCCCTCATATATCCGCGATTCTTCCGTGGCCGTGGTGGTCTACGATATCTCATCCAAGAAGACGTTTGAGCAAACGAGGAAATGGATCGACGACGTTCGAGGCGAGCGGGGGAACGATGTGATTGTCGTCCTGGTAGGAAACAAGACCGATTTGGGAGACAGTAAACGAGAGGTCACGACCCAACAGGGAGAAGAGGAGGCCAAGAGAGCAGGCGCAATTTTCATGGAGACGAGCGCAAAACTCGGCCATAATGTAAAGGCGTTGTTTAGGAGGATAGCCCAGGCTTTACCGGGGATGGAGGCTGAAGGCGAGTCCCAACCAAACCCACAAGGTAGGGCACGTTTACAATCGGCCGTGTCTCCAACCATCGGGCTGATTTGCTTATGCAGTGATCGACGTTTCCATGAACAACCAAAAACCGGCGGACGACGGTTGCGCGTGTTAGAAATGCATCACATCCACCTCTCATGGTTAGCTCCAAAATAATGCTAATGACGCCGTGGGATTACTTCTGTATATCGGCCAACACCTGTGCCTTCAATCATCGCCGTCTGAGAGCCTTTTTGGGAGACGCTCCCCCTTGGGAGATTCACCTAGACTCTGAAATACTTTGAGTGCTCTTCTTCGAATGTCCTGTACCTGTGGGCTCATCTTCGAGGTGATTCTTGTCGAGAGAGGGAACTATGGAGATTGACGGGGTGCGGTTAATTACTATCAGGGCAAAGGGCAAGTTGAGATTTACCATAGCAAGGCGTTTTTGGGGAGGGCAGCTGGAAGGAAAGGCATAAGAACACGGTTGATTGATCGAGTGGTTGATTGGTCGACCTGCGCATACCGGCGCAGCATCAATGGGATGCATTATTCCAACCCCTTTAATTGTCATTGCTTCATTTATTATCATCCATTGAAACATATATACCGCGTACAGCCGGAGAGCGATTCACTGTTTCAACCATGCCGCAATCTCCTTATACAGAGCATCAAGACCCTTCTGCCTCTCAACCTCTGCATCGCCGCTCTGCTCGACATGGGTCCACCCGTGCGTAACATCTGGGACCATTTTCCATTTAATCCCATTTTCCTCCCAACCTGGACCAGTGTCCTCTTTCTCCTCGACACCCGCGAGTTTCTTCGCCATGATCTCAGCCTCATGGCACAAGAAATCGCACTCAGCGCCAATGAAGAAGATGCGCTGTGGAAGCTGTTCTCTATTTGCGCAGATAGGGCTGAGCAGCGGATCTGACAGATCCTGATCCGCAGGGATATACGCCCAGTCCAGGACCGGGGCTAGGTTTTTCAACATATCGGGCTTGCCGTCCTTGGTCGTGCGGAAGGGGCCCTTGTATTTCCCCGTGAAGTCGACGACCGGATAGAGTGGCACGATCGCGTGCACATTCTCCTTGATTCCCGGAAGCTGTGCGATGGCGAGCGCAAGGTTTCCGCCCGCAGAGAATCCTCCGATCGCGACTTTGCTGTAGTCGACGGGCAGAGTCATATCGGCCAGGACAGCGCGTGCGATCTCGGCAGTGTCATGCACGCAGGCCGGGAATGGATTTATCGGGGCTTTGCGATAGTTGAGACTCACTACGACAAAGTTATACTCGTTGGCGAAGCGTCTATTGAATGCATCGTCCATCTGGGGATCTGCAAATGCGAAACCACCGCCGTGGATGACCATCAACAGCGGAAATTTGGCCCCAGGCGGTGCATTCGATGGGAGGAACACGCGATTCTCCAGCCTAGGACGCTCTGGGTAGTACTTTGTGTAGGTCGGGAGAAGCTTTCTCAGTTTCGCGGCCCTGATCAGGCGCATCAAGCGGAAGAAAAATCCAACACGTAATTTTATGTACCATATCTTGAAGAAGAATCGAAGACGGGTCAATATTGTCAACCGATGTGCGAAGATGGGTTCATGGGCGGCAAGGCCAGCGGCCTCCGAAGCGCCCATGGCAGCGTCCGGAACTGTTGTTGCCATTATTGCCAACGCATAAAGTCGTGTGAGTAGAAATGGAGGATCGATGGATTGAGGAAGGGAGAGGAGGTCAAGCCAAGTCAGTCTCGCATGTTTTCTCAAATGTCTGAGTTCTGTCAGTAAAAAGGTCATCTGCCGAAACGTGCAAGGTCGGCTAGTAGAGCAACTCTTCACATGCGGAGAGGTTACATCCCCCCCTCTCTAGAGGAAATCGGAGTCCTATACAAAGTATGATATTGTTCTCTCTTCTGCTCTCCCTACCTGGAGGGGTCCTTATAAGGCTGAGATCATTCAATATACTTGGTCACACGAGTCTTTGCGAGGAGAGACGGCTTGGTTACTACTTAGACACGACGGAAAGTGGATCCGTGAAAGACTTGCACACGTGGGCGCCTCGAAAATCAGGCATCGGAGGCATGACTCTATCCAGGGCCCCGAGATGGACCGGGAACAAGAACTTCCAGGCTCCGAGACGGTCCAACACAACCGGGATGGGGGGAGAGAACACCTATCGTGCCAGGGATCTTGGGGCTAAGAGCTGGTACCAATCATGACAATGGTGGGTTATTTATCTCACGCTCTAGAAGTTGTTCTTGGTTGATGCCAGTAATATTGAGAGTTTGATACCCTTTGAACATCCTCATTATATACGTTTCCCACGGGAGGATATGTCGTGTGGTTGCGCTGTCGCCATTTCGGTAACCTTTTTTCGCTCTGGATCGTTGGGTAGCCCGCTGTTATTATTGGCACCACGCCTAAGGCTTGTCCTGGATAAAGATCCGCTCGGGGAGCATCATCATGCCTAGCGTCATCCCCGAAGCTCGAGCCAGAGCTCTAACGATAAGCCCAATTATGGCACTCTAATCTGCCTTGGCTCCATTCCAGGACGGGAATTAACTTGGTCCGGCTAGCTTTGAGCGATGCTAACGGTACTCTCGAAAAAAGACAGGAAGCGAGCAGAAGGAAATCCCTCATCATCCCGACGTGGGTGCGCATCTCATTCCAGCCGGCTGCGGTGGAACTTTGTTTTCCTCCACCTCATTCCCTATGTTCTGGCCCTTGGTTGGTGGGCTACGAATTCCTAACTAACTGAATGTGTCTACCATCCACCTGACTTGCTCACGGCCAGCCTCGCTATTCGTCACCACTAGACTGACGTTCCAATTTCCTCCGCTCCGTATAGGCACGACTTTTTTTACGAGTACGACTTCACGACAATAATATTATTATTTCCAGCCAGACTCGGTACCATTCTCTCCCTGTCCATCGACACCATCGACACCACGACCAACATCAGACACTCCACTCCGAGTGTCTTGAGAGCTTCATTCACTATTCCACCCATCTCTGCCTGCGCGTTCATTGACGGCTTTCGAGTCGTCAAATGAACCTGCCCTCCACGTCTTCTTTTTCCCAACTCTACTCTTCGACCGGAAGAGAACAGTGATTTCCTAAATGCCTTTCAAGCCCTTCGCACATCTCGCTCGAGTTAGTCTTGCCAAGGGAATCGCTCATACTTATGCTCCTTCTGTTGTCGCTGCTGGTCAGTCACTAGGTCAATTTCAGAATTACCCGGTCGCCAAATTCACAAAGACCACCCAACTTCAAAATACCTTCTCGAGTCCTTCGGGCTCCGGTGCCGGTGCGAAGGCTGGCTACAATTCGCAGTCCAGCGGCGGTGATGCTGGTCTCGCCCAATACTACGCTGCGTGGCAGCATGCGCAACAAACAGGTGATGACTCGGATTGGAAACAACATCAGGTCGCAAGAAGAATAGGATGGAAACACCAAGAGAAGGTCATCCCGTCGAAGCACCAGCGACTTGATTCCTCTCGTCCCGTCGATATCCTCCGTCCTTCCGCTCGACTGTCTGTCTCTCGTGTGAACAGCGAGCGCGCCACTCCACAGATTCAAGAGCCGGAAGAGGTTCTTGCAGAAGCTGAAGCACTTGCCAAGGTCGATGAGGCGATTGCAAACGAGATTAAAGATGTGAAGGCATCACCACGGATTGAAGAGATTGCTGCGGATGATGAAGTAGGCAGTCCCGTTGCCAGCACCAGAGCAGGAACGCCGGTGCTGGAGACCAGTACCACCGACCCGGAGTCTTCGTCCTCACAGGAGCACACGACACCACCCACAGATGCCACCTCCCTTGCCTCCGAGGAGTCGGTTCTCTCCGATCAGATCGTTCAACTTGGTCAGCAGCATCGATATAATGAGATTCCAGCTCTCTTTGAGGCGATAATCAAGGATGGCCATGTGCCCAGCGTTGATGCCTACAACCACATTCTGGTGTCTGCGATCAATTTGAGCAGTGGCTATCAGCCATGGCCCAGAGCACTCGAGGTGTATGGCGACATGACCAAGCGTGCTGTCGAGCTCAATGCCACGTCATACATGATCCTTCTTCGATTCTTAGCCGCAAGAAGTCTCGAGGCCTATCGAGTGCAGAAGAATCTGGGTGAACGCGCCGCTCGATACGGAAGCGAGGGCGCTTTGGTCTTCCCCTCTGCTACCAGACAGCAACAACTCTATGCGGCTGACACATCTCTTGCATTTGCCACCAAGCTCTACAACATTGCTCGGGCGACTCTTGACGACTTCCACCTCTCCGCGGCTGTCTCCAACGCTCTTGTCAAGGCTTGTGCCCAAGCGGGCTTGGTTGATCCCATGAACAGCCTCCTAGCTGACATGAAGGCCCGGAACATTCCTCTGGAACCCCGCCTCTACACCATCGTCATTGACGCCCAGGGCTCGAAGCAAGATATTCATGCCGCCCAAGACCTGTATGAGGAATACCGCGACTTAGCCATCAGTCGAGCTGCCAATGACCCCCTCGACATGCAAGTCTACGCGTCCTTGATCAAAGCATACTATGCGTGTGGACTTGCCGAAGCCGGTCTCCATTTCTATGAGAAGATCTTGCAATCGTTCAAGAATTCAGCCAACGAGAAGATCCTTTCAGACCAATTGACCACTTCTTTCGTCCTCGACGGCCTAGTCCAACATTACATTGACAACAAGGCCTTTTCCGAGGCGATCTCGAGTATCGACGGATTCGCTTTGCAGCCTGTTGCTCGAGACCAAGCGTTGTCCAGGATCTCCGTCGCTGCCGCCGACGCTGGTCATGCCGAGGATGCTGTCGCCAGTTTTGATGCGATCAATGTCACCAATTTGGAAGCAGAACCCGTCATGGCACTGGTGGCCATGCATATTCGAGCTGGCGATATCACTCAAGCCCAATCGGCCTGGAACAAGGCTCGTTCATTACCGATCGTCCCCAGCACCGATTTTGCAACCATGTACGCATTGGCCTTGATCGCCAACGGGTCGATCGAAGAAGGTGTCGCTGAAGCTCGGTCGATGTTCCAGCGGATTCGTGCTTCAGCCACCAACGAAGCCAGTCGTCAGCTCGCGGTTGCAGAGATCGATGAAGCCATCGTTCTTTTCGGCGAATCCTTTACGCAACAACACGCCGTCGTCTCTGCCCCCACCAGTGTCTCATTGTTGCGAGCCATGATCGAAAACGGGGGTCTCGTCTCTCCGGTTGCTCAGCAGGCTATCGCCAGTCTGGGACCCGACTGCGTCGATCAGCTCAACGCCCAGGACATTGCGTTGGCTCTTCACGTGCAGGCCCAGATGCTCATGTCTCACGAGTCTGTTGATATGGCACACCCACTTCGATTCTCCCACCTTCTCGAGACGGTCTTGAACCGTGGCATTCTTATGGATCCATCCACGGTGCATATTGTGAGCGAGAGCTTGCCCAAGGTTGCCGCCACTCGGCCCGACCTCTTGCAACGCTGGCAAGAACTTCTCCATCCTGCCCCTCCCGCTCCGGTCCATATGCAACCGTCGTCGCCTCTGTCACCTCATCCAGCACTTCTGGACCCCGTCTCAGCGGCAGATTCTTACGATCCGTATGCTCACACGACGGATTATCGTGCCTCCAAGGCTATCTCGGAGTTGGTGGAAAGCACTACCGGACGCATCGAAAATCATCTTAACGATGGTCTTGCCCGTTTGAGGAATGTTCGTCGTGCTGGGAGGAATCTGCATTACTCTGCATATGCGAAGTTGATCGCTGCTGCTGGCAAAGCCAAGCAACCCAACTTGACTCATGAGATCCTTAGCATGGCACACGCCGATGTTCCGATGACGCTGCAGATTCCCTCTGTCCGCACCGGATGGATCTCTATCCTGGACTCGATGATTGCAGCTTGCTTGACTGTGGGTGATCGCCAACGGGCTAGTCAGTATCACCAAGACCTCCTGGACATGGGGGCGGCTCCATCGGCCAACACGTTCGGCATTTATATCACCACTCTTGAAGGCACTTTCGACGAGGCCACGGAGGCGGTCAAGATCTTCCAGCGCGCCCTTTCGGAGGGTGTTGCTCCTAGTGTCTTCCTCTATAACGCGGTCATTGGCAAGCTGGGTAAAGCTCGGCGTATCGATGACTGCCTTCGATATTTCGGCGATATGGAAGGTCGGGGGATTCGACCGTCATCCGTCACTTATGGTACGCTGGTCAATGCTCTCTGCAGAACAAGCGAAGAGCGCTTTGCCGTGGACATGTTTGATGAAATGGAAGCCGCACCAAACTATCGACCTCGACCGGCTCCTTACAATTCTATCATTCAATACTTCCTCAACACCAAGCGTGACCGAAGCAAGGTTCTTCAGTACTATGAGCGCATGAAGTCCAAGAACATCAAGCCGACTTCTCACACCTACAAACTGCTTATTGAGTCATATGCGTCGCTGGAACCGGTCAGCCTCGCTGCGGCTGAGGCCATCCTCTCCGAAATGAAACAGTCGGGTGTTCAGCCCGAGGCCGTGCACTATGGATCGTTGATTCATGCCAAGGGGTGCGTCATGCACGACATGCCCGCCGCCAAGGCAGTCTTCGATTCTGTTTTGAAAGAGGGAAGCATTCGCCCCACTGATACTCTGTACCAGAATCTCCTGGAGGCGATGGTTGCCAATCACGAAGTCGCCAACACCCCGGAGGTACTGGCCGATATGACTCGACGTGGTGTTGCCATGACTCCATACATTGCCAATACGCTCATCCATGGATGGGCTAGTGAAGGCGGTATTGCGAAGGCCAAGGCTATCTATGATAACCTGGGCACGGATAAACGTGAACCAAGCACGTATGAAGCAATGACCCGGGCATTCTTGTCTGCAGAGGACCGCGCCAGCGCCAATGTAGTTGTCCAAGAAATGTTGAGAAAGGGGTACCCAGCGGCCGTCACGGACAAGGTACTTGTCCTGGTGGGAGGAATTACTGCCTGATTTGGCGGTGGAAAATATAAATGCGCCGATCGAGAGTGGCGAAGATCGCTCGCCTCGACATATTTCTTATGTTCATTGATGATGATACCCAGAAACACGAGCCATGAAAAAGGATGGCTCTACGACCGCGGGCTTTTGGAAGCCTAAGGCTGTTCGCGTTTAGCGACAGTCTTGTATCTGGAGGAGGGGGCCCTGGCGTATTGGGAAACTCTGTATCCTATGGGCTCGGGTTGACATCTGGCGAGGCGCTGGATGGAGCTTTTGAGCCATCTTGAGAAATTCAAAAGGGAGAGAACATGTACAACAGAACACAAAAAGAAAACTCTACTCAATTTTTTATAGATGATCTAGATGGTAGTTTGTCTAGATCTCAGGTAGGTCGTCGACGGGGAATTACTAGTTACTGGCGAGGGCTGGTAAGTCGAGGCCAGGATGAAGAATTCAACTTCAATATGTTGATTATTTTTCCTCCCCCCCCCCCCTCCTTGGGGGCCATATTTAAGTTCCCTCACGGACTCAGTCTCCCAATTTCCCAGCCAGCATCACCTTCAAGCCTCGTATACAAAAACCGGTCGTGTAATCGACTTTCCCGGCCTTGCCAGAATTCGATGTTATCGGGTATGATGCGAAGTCCACCCCAAAACGGAGGCACAGGGATTTCATCTTGGCCTTCAAAACGTGCATGAACTTCTTTGACACGGGCTTCGAGATCGGCGCGGCCGTCATCCTCCTCTATTGCGTTTGCTAGCTCGTCGTTCGGGACCTGATTTTGGTTATGCATCTTTGACCGAGGCTGCAATACACTTGTCTGTGGACTGGCCCAGGCTCCAATCCGACTCCCCCGCGCCCTCGTGTTGAAATACACCTGACTCTCCTCACTGCTCAATCGCTCTACTTTGCCCTCGACCCTGACCTGGCGCTCGAGTGGCTTCCACCAGAAACACAGGCTGGCGTAGAGATTTGTCGCGATATCCGCGGCCTTGCGACTCGTGCCAAAGTTGGAGTAGATGACGAAACCGCGCGAGTCGAGTTCCTTGAGATACACGATCCGTGACGACACGCGACCTGATGGCAGCGATGCCGTCGACAGCGTCACCGTCTCCGGTGCATGGCCCTTCAGCTCCGGCGACGTGAACCAGCGGTGGAACTGGGTGAACGGGTCCTCGGACAGGTCCGACCGACGAAGGCGTGAGAGGGAGAATTGCGCCGCGCGGGCCGGGGCACGCGTAGTGCTTCCATCAACTTGGTCCTGGGGTGTTTCGCCTGGTGCAACTGGGCCCATTATGAGTCGTGAATGTCAGATGGGGAGTCCTCATTGGAGACGGAGTCACTTGGGGGCGGTGTTTCAAAAGTAAACTCTCACACAGCATTTGATTTTCCGGGGGGGTTCAGGAGGAAACATAGGAAAGAGACTTACATATCAGCTTGTCCTTTGGAGGTGTGGGGACTGTGGACATGGTTTGAGAGAGAAGTCGTGGTCGAAGGGCCCGAATCAGCATATGATGAGGTAGGCACTGAAGTAGTAAAACAAGTGAGGGATTATCTGCTGCTTTTTTCGGTGGTATCTCTCCTCAAATTCAATGAAATATTTGACTTTTCTTTTTTGCCGTTTCCTTTTCTTTCTTCCCTCTTTTCCAGTTTATCCTACCGAGCAATATCTCATGACGATGGTGGTGATGGCCAGGATGAGAATGACTTCCCACAGGTCATTGCTGTCATTTGAAATATATATTCCCTCATCGTGCCAAGAGCCATATTCACGTGAAAGGAAGTAGTCACGTGCCACCCTGCCTGCGCCCAAAAGGATCTCCTCCACTGCCCTTGATTGCTCTCTTCTGTCGCTGGCTTCGTCGCTTGTTCTTGTGCTCGTGCTCTGATTTGCGCCGTCCTCCCTTCTCCGTAATTTTCAACTTGGAGACAAAAGATCTGACCCCCACCATGGCAAAAATAACGTACATCTCACGTCAATTTACGTTTCACCCTCAGCCCCGACCGGCTATTCGTCCTATCCCCTACAGGCACACCCTCGTCACATCTCGCTCTTGGACGAGTCCTCCCTCTTCCTCACCCTTGGCCAGCTGGACACACCGCAGGCCCATTTGAGATTTGGCCCTTTTTCCACGCAATCCCTTCACATTCAGGCACACTTCAATTTGCCCGGGGGTCTCTTCCGATTTTGCGTTTGCATATTCTACGCCTACCCAAAATTACCTCGACACCTTTTACTTTGCAATCCCTTCTAAATCCCAACCAAGGCCCCGCAGTCACAACTTCTCTCTATTCCTTATGCCGCCTTCTCTCGAGAAGATTGATACTAGTGCCGTCTCCCACAGAAACCCTACCGCAATGGTATGTCTTCGTCTTCTTGCTGAGTCACATCTGTCAGGCTCCTTCCCCTCGCCTTCCAAATCTATCTCGGGCTTTGTCTACACGCAAGCTAACGTTGGCGCGCCTCACTCAATCTAGACTTTCCCAACCCCCAAATTGACCGAGGAGGAAACTCAGGCTTACAAAGATGTCTTTGCACTATTCGTGAGTACGTCGGTCGATTAGTCAATGACATCATCCTGACTCTTTCTTCGATAGGACAAAGATGGAAGTGGTCGGTCAAACCCCCTCAGCCTTGTGGACGACTTGCGATTCACCCTGCTCCAAACCGCCAAATCATTCCATCTCAATTCCATTATTCAACGCACCTTCGAATGAATGACCATGCTAATCTATCATAAACAGGCACGATCACAGCGCACGAGCTCGGTGAGATCATGCGCTCTCTTGGCCAGAACCCATCAGATTCCGAATTGCAAGACATGGTAAGTCTTGATGCTGGCTTTTCGCCATTCCAAGGGACTCTTGAGAAGTCATGTGACTATATCTAACTACCCGCATTCGTGAATCCTAGATCAATGAAGTCGATGTTGATCATTCTGGTAGCATCGACTTCGAAGGTAAGGCTCACCAATCTCAGCCCGGCCCTGCCCCCATCTCCCTCTCATCTCGGGGCTCTAACCCGCTCCACAGAATTCCTCAAGATGATGTCCACGACAGTCAAAGCTCAGGACTTTGCCCACGAGACACGCGCAGCATTTAACGTCTTTGACAAGGACGGCAGCGGCACCATTTCTGCCGAAGAGCTGCGACAAGTCATGAAATCCCTCGGCGAGAATCTCACAGACGAGGAAATCGATGAAATGATCCGTGAGGCTGACAAGGACAAGAGTGGCACGATAGATTGTACGTCCCATCTCCCCTTTTCTCATAGTTCTTTTTGGTAGTCCTATGACGTATGGACTGCAGAATTGTTTAGCATCGTCGCGTCAATGTTCCAGGGAAAGATGCTAAAAACGTTCCTCCTCCAGACGAGGAATTTGTCCAGCTTCTCTCCCCCAAGCCATAAGCTGTGACACCGGATTCAAATGATCTTCCAACCATCATGTTGCGAGAAATGAGCCAAGACAACGAACGATACCATAGTCTTCCCAACGACAGACAACTTTCTCTCATGGATCCCCCTTGTTCCTCACCGTTTCAGTTCGAGTCCATCATGCTCGGGATTTCTTCAATAGTGATCCAGGTCAATAATAGCAACAACCGATTTGATCGATTCCATATATTTCAGAAGTTTCTTATTGCCGATACCATCTTTCTCTATTTTGATTTTCTTGTTTCTTTTGCATCTCCTCAAAGATCGGTCCTCACTATAGGCTGCCTATCTCTGGTTAGCGGTCAATTTTCTCTTCCCTTCCCCCCCTTCTTTCTCAAACCAGAACAATAACAAAACCAAAAAAAAAAAAAAAAGGCTTATAATATCCTGGCTTCACTCGGGAAGGGAAAAAGAAGCTAGGCTAAGCTGGACCAGGTTGAATGAATTAACTGAATTGATTCTGATTTGAATCGATCTACTGTAGGTAGGTTTCGGTGTGATTTGTGATTCTGAAGGATTGATTCGGATTCGGATTAACGGCAAAACCCCCATTCATACACACACAGAGACACGCACTCTTTCTAACAGAACGGGTGACGCTGATTGCGTAGCCAGGATTGACTTGATGCGATTAAAGGAAATATTCCCAGCCCGGCCCACAAATCGAGCTCGAATTTCAAAGTCAGCAAACAGGCAAAGTTTGCTCAGGACCTGTATTCTTTGTACGATTATTCGAGTCACCAGCATCAACATCCCTTGCCTTGCCTGCCAACGAGCTGGTTTTAACGGAACTCTCTTTTCTTTCTTATCGTCAGAAGCCACCGAGAATAAAACCACGAAGAAAGAGACATTTGTTGTTGGAGGGTGACTGTGCTGTGACCCATCGACGTGCCATTTTGCCGTGGCCTTATTTCCTGCAGCCTCGGCAGTATCAAAGGAGATCTCAAAAATACAGTAAGAAAAATGATTTTGGGCCTTCACCATTCAGCGTGAGGTGCACTACCGTAGCTGCAAAACGTGAAAGTAAGAATTCCTGGCCTCTTGGTGATTCTCACCACAGTGAAATCTTCAGCTCTAACCATTGGAAAAGAGAGGATGTGGAAATGAAGTTTCAATGGGCCTTGGACGCCTGTCGCGATCGTGGTCCGGCCCTATTTCTTGGATTCTTTCCGGCATATGATCCGGATGAGCTTGACGGACCGCTACCAAATCGTTGTTTTCCTCCATTGCTCAATGTTGGTCCTTTCACCGGCAGATCCCGCTTGATGGGCTTGTTAGTTCCGGGGAACCGAACGAGTGCGTACTGAGGTTTGGAAGGGCCATGTCGTTCATTGAAATTGCTGACCATGAATGGATAAGCTGATGTAGCTTCGACGGGCTGAGGTGCCATTCTAGACCCAAACATCGGAGCCCAAGGGATGATTGGAGCCTCTAGAGGAAAACTGACGGCTGGCAGCGACCCCAGCTCTCTGTCTTCAAAAAGGTCATCTTCGCTCTCGACATCTTTGGTGGTGACCGACTCATCGCCAACAAGGAAACCCACCTCTCCTTCGAGAGGAAGAGACACCGAGGCAGCGGGAATGACCACGTGTGGGACTTCAAGGGGCTCCCGTGTAGATGATGTAACGGCAAGGACCGCATGAACAGGCTGAGCCACTTCCCGTGTGGGAGAAGATTTCTTGCCCAGCAATCCATTAAATCGTTCCTGCCACGACGCATTCTGCGCAATTGGAGTCGAAATTGCTCGAAGTGATGGCGCTGAGGTAGAGGGTGGCATAGATACTCTTGCTGCCCAAGTCATGGGTGTATCTGCAGCAGGGGCGGCTTGGGCCTGCACCGGGCTTGGAGGTGTTGGTGGCATCGCCGGTGGTAATTTGACAACCGCTTTTTCTCGTGGAAAATGTACAACGGGTCTTGCAGTATCCCCGTCAAAGGCAGGATGAAAACTTGCATAGTCTTCTGCGGGGGGTGGCGACGGTGTTCGGGGGGGTTCAGGGTGACTGTAGGTAAATGCACGTCGATCTTGTGGGGGAGGAACCCCCAGCGGCTGTGGGAAGAATCTGGATCCGCGACTCGAAGGGCCATTCATGATCCTGGGACCAAGGTCGGTGCCTGGTAACGAACCCACCGCACCGAAAACGTTCGAGGCAGGAACAGTCGACTGAGAAATATTCGTGACTTGTCGTTGTCCCGCTTGATCGCCAACATGTGCTTGTTTCCACGTTTCGTTGAATGTGTACTGCGGTCCTTGTCGAACCCCCGTTCGTAACTCTTCCTCACGTCTGGCCATCAATTCGCGATGGAATCTTTCATTTTCGGCGCGTTCCTGTTGAGAAGCGGCTTGATGGAAGTGGGTCCACGCGTCCACGCCATTTGATCGGGAACCGTTCTGGAAACCATTAGTTGTAGGGTGAACTGGCTGAGACTGAGGCGGAGCAATGGGTGCGTGTTTGGTCGTCGGGAACAATGAATCAGCCTCGCTATCAGCGGCTAGCGGACCCTGATCCGGTGAGGTGATGGATTGGTAAGAATAGGATCTGGTATCTGGAAGAGAGTGATTCACATATTGTGTTTGCGGAGAGCGACCTGCGTGAGGTGTTCGGCCGTTCATCCAACCTTGCGCAGTGGAAGACGTCCGCGACAGATCCTGTGGAGCATATCCTGCCAGACCCGAGTCGAAAGTACCATTCCCAAGGGCTTTGTTGTGTGGTAGACCCCAAAGATTGGCTGTCTGAGGGGACCGGTGATCGTGACGAATATCGGCCCACCCGCTTCTCGCGTCGTTTCCCACTGAACTCGGCTTCGGAAGTTTCGGGCTCGGTTCGGGGCCAACCGTGGGTTCCTGGCCACTGGTTCGTCTCAGGTCCGGAACGGCTCGAACACCGTTGATGATGGGAGAAGGTACCGGGGTCGCTTCTGGTTGAGCTTCTTCCGAGGAAGGTTGATCAATTTTGACACGCACAGGAACTCTCTGAGAGTCCATCGACCGAGATGTTGAAGCCCCCGATTTCTTGACGGTGTCCACAGGAAAGACTTTCATCATTCCATATTGCTGAGGCTCCCCAGATGGAAGTGGCTGAGGAGGTTTGGGGGGCGACTGAGTGGTTGTGCCCGTAACTGGAGCGGAAGAAGTCGAAGGCTGCTCGGCATCCTTTGTTTCCCTTTCCTGAGTGGCATCACCTGCTTTCTTTTTCGCAGGATTAGGGTCCGGCCCGAGGGACGCTAGCTTAAGTCGTATACGCTCCTGTTTCTCAGCTTCCATCCGCTGTTCCTCTTCTATCTTGCGTCTTCTTGCTCGTTCGATATTTTCTTTCATCAACGCCCTCTGTTGAGCCCGCTGCGCCTCTATATCAGCATCAGTCGCAGAGGAAGCGCCAGCAGAAATGTAATCATTCATGCCACGAGCTTGGTAAGTTGGCGTTTGGGTTTGTGACGCCGGGCCATCTCTTGAAGAGGGACGGATAGCGGCGTCGACATCGTGTCTGTGTGATTCAAAAACCGGTGTTGGCGTTTCATTCGACTTGATCGACATTCGTCGACCAAACTGCCCGCTTCCCCCGGAAATTGTAGACGATGCTCTGCGTCGCGCATGATCGGTACTGGTCCGGTGCGTTTGGAAAGCTGCTGACGGTTCCGCCGGAGCGTGCATGTCAGTCTGATTCGGTCTTTGTAGAACCGCCGGTGCCCGGAAATTTGGCTCATGCTTAGACATGCGTCTTCGACCTTCGGCAACTGCTTCATACCGTCCGGAGTTTGGCATATAGAGCTCTCGAGGTTGACTGGGGAGAGAGTCGCGCCAGGAACGATTGAAATCATCTGCCGATATCTCCTTGGCGGGAGATGGTGCTGTCAAAGTCGATGGGCTTTGTCCATACACATTGTTCGGAGGGAATCGACTGGGTGGTGGCATCGACGTTGGTGGATTGATGGCAACGGGCGAGACTTTATCAACAGGGGGTAAGGTTGCCCATGGAGATTTGGCCGGTGCCGGAGCTGGTGTTGTCTTCGAGGACGTCAAAGACGGCTTCTCTGCAGGACTTTTGGAATGAAGGTTGGCGACCTTCTGTGCCTGCTGTCTTTCAGCACTGGCACCCAGTTTGAGGACGGTGGCATTGGGGCCAACTGAACTCGTAAACGGCGGGGTCAAAATTTTTGAGGGTGCCGGAGGCTTCGCCTTTTCTGTTGTTTCTGAAGGTGTCGCTGATTTCTGCGTGCTTTGATGGGCCGCATCGGCAGGCGGTAAGATACTCTTCGTGCCATCGTTCCATTCAATAGTTTCCGGAGCCCAGTCGTCTTCGTCATCATCAATATCTGCCCACTTCGCCTCTTTCCCCTCACCGTCTGCCTGGATTCGCGACGTCAAATGAATCCCATACTGCTGCTTAAGCTCTTCGTCGGTCAAATGTTTCGTCGAGGGTTGGGGCGTGACTGCCAAAAATCGTCAGATGGCTCGATTTCACGGGTCCGACGCCGTCGCTTACCTCGATTCTTATTCCAGACTTGCATCGGATCTGGTGTGGCACTCGTGTTAGGCTTGGACTTGGATTGAAGAGAGCCCGTAGTCTTGGCCACTAGTCGCGGGCGACCAGCCTGTGCAAGTGACGAGGTGGAGGAATTCGGAGTGGTAACTAAAGCTCAAAAGTCAGTCACCATCGGCATGGAGGCAGTTGCGCATGTACCTTTCTCGGTGCCTTTGGCGGCATTTGTTGTGGCATTGGGCTTGGGCACCGCATATTTGGCAAAGCTGACAGGTTTGGCTGCCAATTTCTTAAGTGGCTTCGGTTCCGCGGACTTGTCGCCAGCAATACTTCCCTCAGCACGGCTGGTATCCGTGTCTGAGCGAGTGGACCCGTCGTCGATTTCTTCCATCTTAGGATTTGAGGGGATATGGATTCCATTCTCTTTCGGCGCCGCCTCCACAACACCACCGTCGTCCCCAGAAGCTTTGATATCAGGTGTGGATGTGGCCGCAGGTGCGTCGGAAGGCGAGAGGTCGCCGACCGACTGAGTTTGGTTTACCACATCTTGTGCTCTCTGCTCTGCCATAACAAACTCGGGATCTATGCGACAACGATCAGATTCAATGTGAAGTCGAGAGTGTCGCGCCACCAATCCGGGGAGGTACCTGTTAAAGAGCGTAGTCTGCCACGGTTTCCAGCCTGTCGGTCGAAGTCCGATAACGTACAGAAGCGTTTGAGGACCGGGATCGCGCGTCACTGAGTATTCAGAGGGAAGGGGGTAAAGGGAAATACTACAACGCCTCGGGAAGAAGGAAAACAAAGGTGAAAGAGAAGTGGTTGTGGTTTGAGATAGGAGGCTGCGCAGGTGAAGCCTGGATTTGCGGCATCCTCCTGGGCTTGGCGGTGGAGAGTCTGAGGCGTGCAGGCACCGGAACAAATTCAGTGACCATACTGGTCGTGACATAACAACGACGGACAACCTCGGGAGTCATACCACTGCCACAACAACTTTGGTGTCAATGAGCCGCCCATAGCCCAGTACACATGGACCAGCTACATATTGAAGCCTAACTGAGAATACGAAGTATTCTAGAAGGACACTCTCAAGCAGGGGGATCCGCGCTTCACGCTAGGACTACTGAACACTATTGATATACCTCGCTATAAGCCACCCTTTATCGTCTATAGCTAGGTGCGCTTTCGTCACACATGCTCTCAATATGCTCAAATCAGTGATGTGCAGCCCATGTCCTGAATGATTCACCCCCAAGTGCCAAGGGTTGCTGCACGAAGCAAGCTGGACATATTCTGTCAGCGAATGCTTGGACACAAAGCGCGGCCCTTCAAGGAAAGGCTGGCAGATATCGAGACGAAGGAGACAATGAGGAGGAATATTGGAGTCGGAATGCGTAGCGGATTTCAAAGTAATGGCGTTCTTGAACATTCAACCAGTTTATTTCATTTATCTACACAGCTGCTCTGACAGTCTTCTTGAACGCATAATGGGATCAGTGGGCGTTGTTCTTGTGATGTCCTGAACAGAAAGTCAGTCGAAAGCCGTCGATTGTCTTGACATGGCACGTACTAAGATGGAAATAGTACTCCATGCTGTAACCCATCGCCATAATTCCGAAAATTACATGCCAAATTGCTGCCACCGGTAAGCGTTTGTAGTTTTCTCACCGGAAAACCGTAGACATACGAGCTGGTGAAGGGTTCTTTCCAAAATATTTGGCTTGATACCATCCCAAAGGTCCGCTAGGTGCTCTCTGAGGTGCCGGACCCTTCGGTAACTTTTCGTAGAACTTGGCTATTCTCGCCATTCGCACGGCATTTTTAGCAGCTCCAAGACCCTGATTATTGTCAGATGTTTCTACGGTCGTCTCTTTTCGTTTGCAATTGGAATGGAGAGACAAGTCATATCGTGCGGAAACTGCGCATTCCGGTGGATCGAGGAAAGGACGAGGGCAGGCCAACGAAGCCCAACAAACAAGGCTGGAGGCCAGAGAATTGAGCTTACCTCTGGATTGGCGACCTATTCAGCGGAAGTTAGCTAACGAGTAATGGTATCAAAGCAGGATTGAGATTACCTTGGGAGGAACAAGGGTCGACACAGCTCGGCGGATAACGTACGACATTTTGAGCTGGTGACACCGTCAGTGAATTTCCTATGACCTTGAAGTCTCTCGAACAACATACCGGAGACTCAAAATTGTCCGGAGGAGTTTAGGATGAGTGCTGAAGCAGGCGAAGGATGGAGATCAAAGTTCGACAGGAGAGCTTCTAGATTCGGGTTGTTGCCGCCAAGGACCTGATTACTCCTCCGTTTTGCTTCCCCCCATTAATGAATGACCGTAATGGAAGCACCAAGAACGCACGCCCGTTACTAACTCCTGACGGCTCGTCATAAACTTGTTGATCAAGGACTCGTGTGTTGATATGCTACGGTTCAGGTTCATCAACCTGCCTTACCCGGAGAAGCTGCATACATGTTTTTCATCTCATCTGAAAGGATCTCCCAAAGTCCGTTGCACCCCCCCAATTCACTCCTACTCCAAAGCCCCCAAAGTATTGGAAGGTCCAATCCCAATCCCCTTAGCTCCCAAGTATATTGCTTTCACAACGTCAGTGCCCTGGCGTATATCGCCGTCTACTCCCATACCTCGATTTTATCAAGGGCCTCTGGGCAGATCTCCAGAGTATGCACTGGTGGTGGTGCGGTATCGGGAGAACGCCCACCGTGGTTAGAGAAGATGATTGTCTTTACTTGGGACACATATTGAGTGGCAAAATATGCATCCTCATGTATCTCAATCCCTTTCAAACCAATAGGAAGCTGGGGTTATTGAACCTAACAGGGAAAAGCCTCTTTCCCGCGATGGACCTGTACCATCGGCTATCTAGGTGAGAACACCTCCGCCGCCTCTTAACACTATAATATGATCTGGAAGATGTCCGCGCATAGTATGGTCTTGTCCTTCAGAACATGATCTGGAGATAGTCTTGCACCTCTGGTCGTCCTCCCTCTTCCCGGATACGGGTGCGTCAACCGTCGGCGCCATAATTTTGACCGCGTTGAGCCCCATTCCAACATCCTCTCACACTTCGATCCACTTGCACACAGAGCTTCCGCCCAAAAGCTTAGTGCGGCGCGTGGTAGCAGCACCTGCTTTCCCACAGGATGAGACAGGCGGAATATGGCAGTTGGAGATACGTAGTTTAGCGTCTTGACCTTATGCTATAAAAGCGATGCGCACTTCCTATAGTCAACAAGAATCCATGGCTGTAGTAAGATATGGCGATAGACTTCGCTATTTAAACGTTCCGTGATAAGATCATCTGTGGCGGAATAGTAGCACCCCATGCCGTCGGCTAATCTCCTTGGTCGCAGCAGCTTCAATCTCATCAAGATTGAGCATCGTTGTATAGCCTGGAAACGCTCCATTTCCTTCCAATCATCCTCTCCTTTCTGTGGTGGATGCTTTCCCATAGTTCTCGCTTGATGCTCTCCCCTGTGCGACGATCGTAGCAAAAAGTCCCAGTTCGAGGCCAGTCGCGGCGGAGAATATACGAAACAGCTGAATCGAGCCTGACCGGCCCCGCTACAGTATCATTGCCGGTAAGCGGCTAGGAGAGCAAGCTATTATCTTGCTACTCACACCCTCATCCATTGATCGCTCTGAAAGCGATCAAGTCGATACCTAAGAAAAGTTTCCACCGAGGATTTTCAACTGTGTTGTATTGTCTCCAATCCGTCGTTAGCCAGGTAGTCCCTATGCTACGAGGAAGCTCATTTAAATGATGAGAAAATAATATTGCCGGCAAAACAACTCTACATGCAGTACGTCTTCCATTATTGCCAGACAATGATGATTTGAGAAATGGCTGTAGTGCTTGCAATGGTGGAAGTGTACGCCCAAGCCCCATTTGGCTAGGCTTCCCCTTCCAAAGTGTAGACTCTCCCCTTCTCGAACAAGGGAGAACACAACTAGAGCTTCTTTAGGGATTTCCTTGTGGATCGATTGTGTATTCCACGAGCTTGGTAGCTTGCTCTTACTCCAGATTATCCGCGTGGGCGTCGAAAAGCGCGGCTAGGGAGTGTAAATCTCCAAAGGCAGCAGACCGTTCATATGAGTCTGTTTCGAAGCGATTGAGAAGACTTGGGGTCAAAACGAGTAGTCGACGAATGCATCGCCTATTTCCCTCGCTTTGCGAGTTTAGCTCCGTGCCCCCGGGGGGAATTGTTCGGTTTAATCCCTGTCTTTCCTCTGCTTAAACCGGCAGCAGCTTTCACCACACAAACACTCCTTGTCCAAATGATTCCAATATTCATTAGAATAATCGACCGTAATTTCCTCGCCCGCGGGGATTCCTCTAGACACGAGCACGATTCGCTGAACGCCGAGCCACAGAAAGCGCTCGTACTGTGAGTTCGGCTGGCAAGAGTGGTTGATGAAGCGCGTATAGTTACCCTGACGGCCCTGCCAGATCTGGTATATACCAGCTGGCCCGGAGCATTGCATAACATCCAAATCCCGAATACCGTTGGTGATGACGCCGACGAATTCGCCGATGGCTGCGCCGCGCTCGAATGGCTATCAATGGTGGTGTCAGTGGCCATGGTTCTCGTCGATCGGGATAGAAGGGGACAGTTACACAACAAGCAAGTAGACCATTGTTCTTTCCGTTCTCTGTTCGAAAAACTTGCACCGGAAAGGGTTTGCGTGGACCACTTCCAAATAAAGCCGGAAAACAACGACATTCATTGACGCCGAGATCGTTCGACTGCAGTGATCCGCACTTTTCGCATGAGAAATGTCGCGGTAGCATATCTTGATCGTTGCTGACTTCTGCTCGAGGATCTATTGAGTCCCACACCTGCTCATCTATGATGCTCACCTCTAAATGCTCGAACTGAAAATCTGACGTCCATTGAGAATAGGTGTCGGCCAAGGGAATGGGCGGGTCATTTCTGCTGACGACCCAATCACATGGATGTCCGGAATATACGTGCTGTGTCTGCTCCCCGATTATGGAGAGAAGCTGACGCCACTCTGGATGGATGGTGTCGGCGGCGACCTCGAATCGTAAACGAAGCCTCTTTAGTGCTGTCATGTTTTGCGGGGAGAATCCTAGTCGGTATTTGCAGAAGCGATAAAGGCCCATGCCTGCGAAGATCAGCGACACCCAGCCTCCAGCTTCCCGAACCGAGTCGTAGCCGCGCCAGATCGCCCTTTGAATACATAGGTCAGCATGGCATAGAGACAGGAGAGGGGAGAGAGACGGGGAAGTAAGTATAGGAAGATTGAGTTACCGACCGCTGCCAACCTCCGAGGCATGAACGGCTTCGGTATCTCCATTATGCTAGCTCACATTTTATTCCGAAGCTCCTTTGAAGACCATCCAAAATCTTTGCATGCCTCCGCAAGTGCGATCATGCGACACTTACTAGGTGACAGGTCTGGCTCTTCTGCCACGATCTTTTTAACACGGTCATCATAGCATTGTACCCATCGAGTTTGAACAATAACTTCGAGTGATCTGTAGCAGCGGCTTGCTTGGGTGACCTGTCGACAGCAGAGATTCATCTTCCGAAAAATATCACCTCCAGAAACGGTGGATGAGAGGGTACGCCCGTGACTGTGTGCACTACTCAGAGGAGATGTAGTGGGTCTTGATTGTTGTATTTGACGCCATTGATCGGCCTACGGTGGGAAAGATGGTTAGTGGACGGTCAGGAAAGCTGACTGAAGAGACCTGATGAAAGCGAATCTGCATCCTAATGAGGGATAGTAGGTCTCTCGAGTAAATATCCGTCGATTAGACGCGGAAGGAGCACGATGAGACCACTATTAAATGCAACCCACTCACCAAATCGGAAGGGTGCAATTCAAGGGTGCCATGAATCTGCTCCCAGATACCGATGATGAGACGCTGAAAAGGAGAGAATTCCGGCTTGCGAGTGCTTCTACTTTGAGCGTTTCGTTGAGGAAACTGGCGAATGTTGCTCGTCAAACGTCGTGATGTACCTCTTTGTGGTGAGGCATCTCGAGTACAAGGCGCAGACCGGGCTAATCTCAGGCCACCGACAACTTTGCGGCGTTTCGGTGCTGAAGAATCATCTCGAATCTGGCTTTCATCCGATGTTTGCTTTGTTGATGGGATGTCCTCTTCGCCGTGGTCGTATTGCTGGTTTGAACCATCTAGTTCTCGTTCCGCACTACTCATCTCTCCTCTGAACGAGGAAAGGTCAATCGTAGCCTATGATGCTCTGTCAGCCATGGATGGAGAACTCGGTCTACAGTGGCCCTGCCCATGGGAGCATAGCCTACAGAAGAGCGTCTGACTTACCAACGTGATCCTGCCGGCATCCTCTTGCACATCTTGCTGAGCATCAATACCTTCATGCTCAAGGCATACCTCTAGGCGTAGGAGTGGCGTTCCACTGTTGTGGCAGGAGTAAGATATAGCCTTGTCGACCGCATTTTCGAGCGGCGTCCGGAGTGCCTGTAAGATCGATTCATAGAGTTGTGCCTTTGAAGTCATACCGATCCCCCATGATGAGGCAAAATATTGTCAAGAGAGGAGGAAAGAGGTGTTGGACGAATCAATTGGACGCGAAGTGGCATTGCGGTGGGTTGCCACGCCAAGATTTGGAAGATTCAATTCTGCCCGGGCAGTGAATGCAAAGTCTTGGCACAGCTGTAGGTCGACGTCATACCCCGGTACCGGCGTCAACACCCCCGGTTGGGTGCCCAGACCCTGTCGAGTTTAATGGGTTCTCGGTGAACTTTGACCGTCGTCTCAATCCCTCTCAACTCGTAACGGGCTACCTGTGCTGAAGACTGATGTGGTGGTTCCGTGATTGTGCGGTGTCAGGTTAATTCATCCCGTTTAAGAAGTGTTGCTACAGGGACACAATTCGTGAACATTGAAGTTGTTGGCCGTTCAGAAAACAAAAAGTGGAGAGGGTTGGTCTAATCCAAGAGCGGCCTAGCACATCATGAGGCTACCGCATTGGGAAATCCTCTCTCGGTGAGGGATGGACATAAATAAACCATGTATTCCCCTGGGCGCCCTATATCACACTGTGACATAGCAATCGGGCACGACATTATATATTACTCTGATACTTTCTGTCTTGTACTACGCTATGGCCTGGTCTGAACGAAATCAGCCGACCGAGGTCCAGGCCGATGCGTACCGATGGCGAGACCATCAAGGCCTGGGCAGCCGTCTCATGCGCCCTGGCCGTGGCATGTACCACGATGTCCGCCGCAGACTCCCATATTATTGGAGTGACCTCAAAGATGGGTTCACCTACCGTGTCTTTGCCGGAACCATTCGTATCTTTTTTGTCAACTTGTTGCCTGCCCTCGCCTTCCAACTGGACATGCAGTACAATACGGACGGATTCTTTGGTGTCAACGAAGCCCTTCTCTCTTCAGCTCTTGCTGCCATTGTCTTTAGCCTCCTTTCTTGTCAACCGTTGACTGTCGTCGGGGTGACGGGGCTCATCTCTTTGTTCAACTATACGATCTATGATATCGTTAAAATCTACAATGCCACACTTTACCCTCACTTTCTGGTCTGGGTCGGCATCTGGGCTGCAATTTTCCATTGGGCTACCGCAATCTTCAATCTTTGCGACTATATGCGCACCATCACCGATTTTTCATCTCAGACGTTTGGCCTCTATGTGGGCACTGTGTACGTCATCAAGGGCTGTGAAGAGCTCAGCATTGGGTTTGAAAACGAGAACATCTCGAACGGCGTTGCCTCGGCGTTGGTGGCAATTCTATACTTCCTCACGGTCTATCTGCTGGAGCAAGTGGGCCAAACAACCTATACACGCGGGTGGCTGCGCACAATCCTTTCTGACTATGCCTATCCCTTGGCTACGATCTGGTGGACTGGTTTCACCCACTTTCCAGGGAATCTAGCCAATGTGCACTTCGAATACCTCCCCACTACACGTACTTTCTCTCCGACGATCGATAGACCGTGGGTGGTGGATTTCTGGACGTTGTCGGTGGACTGGGTCTTTATTGCTGCCCCATTCGGCTTCCTGATGACACTCCTGTTCTACTATGACCATAATGTCTCCTCCTTGACGGCTCAGGCTCGCAACTTCCCCTTGCAGAAGCCGGCAGGGTTTCACTGGGACTTCTTCCTTTTGGGGTGTACCTGTTTTGTCGGTGGCATACTTAACATACCACTCCCCAACGGTCTTGTCCCACAGGCACCCGTGCACACCGATTCCCTCACGTATTACAAGGACGAGCCTTATGTCATCGAGACAAAAGACGAGACGGAGCCGACCATCGTCCGGAAGGAAACTGTGGCTGATCGTGTGGCGGAGCAGCGTATCTCGCACTTTCTTATGGGCTTGGCCCTCTTTGGAGCAATGAGTGGCCCTCTATTGACAGTTCTCTCCCTGATCCCACGTGCCATCATTAGCGGCGTGTTTTTCACCGTTGGTATGGGGAGTATCTTGACGAACCCCATATTGACACATAAGCTGGCCTTCCTTCTCCGAGATCCACAGTTCCAACGTCCTTCAGATCCGCTGAATTCGGTACCGCGCCGCCAGATTGGGCATTATCTCTTTTGGCAACTCCTCGGGTTCGCTTCCACAGTCGCCATTAGCCAAACAATTGCAGCCATCGGATTCCCTGTCTTGATTGTGGCCTTGATTCCACTTCGCTGGAAGGTTCTCCCTCATCTCTTCACTCGCCATGAACTGGAAGTTATGGACTGCCTCACTGCCACTGGAGACGTGGTATTGGCTTCACTGGGAGGGAAGCCGGAGATGCCAGAGGCAAAGATGGGGAGAACGAAACACCAGCGTCCTGACGACGATATCGAACCCGGATTCGCAGGACTTGGGGGTGGAATGATTAGGGACGAGGATGGCGACTTGGGAAGACGCGAGCGCGAAAAGAATGCTCGACTCCTTCACGGCCTCGGTTACGATGGCGGGGCCATCACGAGAAGGAGATCCAGCGTAGTGTCAGCAGAAGATGCAGAAAGCCGTTCTCAGCGATCAAGCGATTATAATTTGGTTCGAAGAGGGGGACGTCGTGGTGGTCACAGTCGGACACGTACTGCCGAGCCCACCTTGCCGGGCAGGTCATATTCACTTCCAGGCCGCGTGTCGGGAGACAGCCATGCTCGCAGAAGGACTGGGTCCAATACAAGTGCGAGGGTGAGTGTGAACAGGGACGAAGGATTTGTTGAGCTGAAAGAACTCAAAAGGACTCGGCTTTCTCACTCTCCTTCGGAAAACGCTGTCATCGGAAATGGCGATGAGACTAAATGCGAGTAGAACATCAAGACGCTTTGGAGAGAAGGGAGAGAGAAACCAAAAAAAAAATCTTCTGATTCTCTGACTCTTTGAGTCAATAAATTAGACAAGAGGTAATAATGACGTTGAATGCTCATAAAGTTCGTCCCTATATTCACGAAACAACAATTTTGGTTGCAGGGCCCCTCTTCCCCCTCCGCTGATGTACAAATTTAAGTCATCATTTCCAGAGTGTTGTGTTCCGGGACATTTGTTTCATCATCATACACAATTTGCACAGGGACCACCAATTCGAACTTTGCGGACCCGATCCCAGAGAGTGAAATCTGGAGTCGAATGCTGTACCTGCGCGATACCAAAGGAGCCCAGAACGTTGGCGCTAACATCGGGCTATGCGAGAGTCGTAACAGTACATCCTCTTGAGAGTGCCACGTAGTATCGACATCTTTTTGTGCACCTCCTGGGTTGTGAGCTTTGGTTTCCTTCCATTTCGTGAAAACCATCTTTATGCAACGAGATGGAGACAATGTCGACATCCGAGCTGCGCTCGCGGAATTGGCCACGTCTTCCATGGTCAGTGGTCCGTTGTGCTCTTCCATAGCAAGAAATGTCGAGATTTGTAAACTCCAAGTGATTGAGACATCCAGGCTGGATGCGGCGAGCCAACTTGTTGTCGACTCGGGCGTCAGATAAATGTTAAGAGGGACCCTGGAAAACGCATCGTAGATCCCACGGCAAAATTGAAAGGCTGTAGGTTCAGTAGCCTCCATGGACACACTGCCGACCCGCTGAAGTAGCCTGTTTCGCAAAGATCTGCGCTGGCGACACTTGAACTCGTCGGGAAAATCTGTGATACAGGTCGGAGGCGCTGGATCTTGGGGAAAGCAAACATTCAACCGCTGAATGGCCTGTTTTGCAGCATTCCCTCCATAAAGGATCCGTGCAACGATGATATACTCGATCTGAATGCCCGATATGGCTCTGGACCTAGATGAATCATGGGCCTTGTGCTGAAGCGATGGCGGCAAGTAACATAACCTGTTTCCAGTCGCATAGGGGACATCCCGTCGAAGCCCTTCTGGAAAGTCGTGATCTGATATTAGTGGCAAACGGAAGGCGAAATCATATCTCCCATGCTGGCCATGGGCTAATATATTGCTCAAGCATTGATGCCGCTTTGAAAGATGAAGGAACTCGTCGGGTCAGTATTAACGATCAGGGTAGAAGCTGCTCACGTACCCTTGTACTAAGTTCGACCTCATGCGGATGTGGGGAGCCACTGTCTACAAGGATGGAAGAAGTAGCATGTCCTGAATTTTTCAGACCGACTCAATCATAAGTTCGGTGTTGAATACCTTGCAAATGTATTTCAAGAGAGGCGTCATTCCAACAACTGATTTCAGGGCCACCACCCTGGATCAGCAAAAACCCAATGACACAATCACCGCATATGAATGTCGGATCTGCACCTTCTCTAGAGGCGTGCGGTCGAGAAGGAAGGAAAGCCCCATCAGACAAGACAATTTTCAATTCCATGATATTCATTTTCTCTGCTGTCGCAAAGCAAGGCTCTCCGGATTTGTTATAGCGTGCTCAACTAATAACGGCTGGACAGTCTCCACATCGACCTTATTTTATCGTTCAACGCAGGAAATTTCCCGCCGAATTCGGCGCTTGGTGCCGCCGCTTTTGGAGGCGTTTTTCCTTCGATGCCAAAAAACACTAACCTGGTCATTCCCCATCCCACCCTCTCACGTGTCATCACCGGGACCAGAAACAGCCAGGGAACCGTCAACTCCTTGAAAGAACAGATACCTTCGACCGCACCGCCCCGAACATGGCGCCTCGAGGACGTGGAGAGAAAAAGGGCGCAGCTGGGGGCTGAAACCATCGAGAAAGTCGAGTGTTTAATGCACTGGAAACGGAGTGGTATTACAGATGAGCACCTCAAGATAGTTAACTAAATCTCCTATTGACCTGTAAGGGTTAAGAGTTGCTGTCAAACGGATCTACAGTAATTGAGTTATCGCACCCCCTGAGGTTGTCTGTAGACTGGATCCGATGGGGGTGTTAAGCGGATCTAGTTAAATTCTCTGGTTAATGGACTGGACCCGATCAGAGACAGGTCACGTGACTCATTACGTGCCCACCTTATCGTTAGGATTGTCGATAATCGATCGAGTCGTTATCGGCTTATCGAAAACCACGCTGCTACGAATGAGAGCATCATGGCAGTCGCCGTTGCCGATATCTTCTTCATGAACGAGGGAAATTTGTTGGCCTTTGGTTGTGAATCTCTCCCCTCTGCACTTCCTACCTTAGTGTGCCTCCGCGCTAACTCTGCTCTTTAGGTGGTGCGACTTTGTTAGCCTCTTTATAGATCATATCTGGCCAACTCGCTTCCAAGGTATCTTGGAGATGGGTTTTCTGGACTTGTACGATTGCTCAAGGCCTTAACACACTCTCTTTGCTCCTTCTTTTTCATGAAACCCGTCGAAGTGAGAACTTCGTGGGATCTACCTAAACAATCGATATATCGGCGGAATCAGGAAAAATAGACCCAAAATCAGGAAACTTTCTAATCGAACCTACAACGCCCTTGACAAACTTCTCCGATGCCAATATTCCTATCGACCAGGGCAAGCCATCACGCAGTCAGTCCCATATCCTCCAACAACCAGCAAAGGAGGCCGTGAAGATGTGGTTCCGGCGTACGTTGACTCCAATCCAGGCCCATCTTCAATTGGGTAGGCTTGGTCCACCGGATCTGCTGCTAACGCTCTGTTGGCTGTTAACCTGATGCAATCTCAAGTTCCGGCAGCCGAACCTTACAACTGGTCACCCGCAACGTTGGATTTGCCAGTTTCGCTCTGGTAGTTGGTGGTGTCCTTGGTCTAATTGCCGCTGGCCGCTAAGCGACTGGGTGGCAATGCGTTTCACTAAAATGAACAAGGGAATACGAGAAGCTGAGATGAGATTGACTGCAATTTACTCATTCATCGGAACTGCCTTGATTGGAGTGGTGGTGAGCCATTTTTCGTCCGTATCCCCGAAACCTACCTATCATTTACAGGTCGTGGGTGTCGGCTATGAGAAACAATGGGAATGGCAAGCTATCAATCTCCTCGGCTTCACTCTCGCCGGTGTTCAGGTGGTGGCGATCCCTTACAATCAGTGTTGCGGTAGGCCTTCTCTAGAGATAACACGGCTTCCTGTCACGATTTTCACCGTATCCAACCTGTGGAGAGTATGCCGTTGACTTCTACAAGCCTGTTACCGGACAAATTATGGTCATCGTGCCTGTAGTCAAGAACAGCTTCGGCGTAAGTAGTTACAGCAAAATTTTGAAAACAGCCCCATGCTGACTTTTCCGTTCAATAATTCGGCATGGCCGGTTTCATGAAAGCGGTTGGAACAATGAACAGTTCTCTACTGATCCATCTTTGCGGGTATCATGAACGACCCGAAGAACCCGTCCATTTCATCCACGTCTTCCAGTTCGCCAATCCAACTCACATATTGATCGGGGCGGACGATGACGACGCACCCGGTCCGAGGATTGATACCATAGTTCTCGTACGCTTGCCCATGGCCCTCATGATACGAAATGTCGTCCACATACACCTTCCAATAGTCCCAGCCAATATCTTCGTTGAAAGGATGGAAGACGTCGGGAAGTGAGAGCAGTTCCACACTATTCCGTGGTGCCGCGTGGATGGTCACAACCTCGAAGATCGAGTTGAACTTTCCTCCCTGGCCACCGTATCGGTGGATAAAGGAGTCTGGAGAATCCAGTGCCTTGCCCAGACCTTCGTAGCGCGATCGTTGATCTGGCTTCGAGATATCTCCTGCGAAGACGAGGATCCTCCACGTTCCGTTGCTTGGTAGGAGTTCTTGAAGGTGCCACGGTCGAGCGTCGGCCTGGTTCAACACCTTGTAGCTGGGGATTCGCATTCCAATGGGGATTTTGGAGGCGAGGGTCTGTTTCCCTACCACGCTTTGTGGGTGTTGGTCAGTCCCATGAGTCCCATTGGTCTCATTATGCTCGCTGGCTAGAGCTGGTTGTTTCCTGACAATCAGACTTGGGGCGTAATTCACGGCGCAGCCACTGGTGAAAAGATTTCCCTGGTCGAAAACCCTCTTGAAAGTCTCTAAGTCGACCCCCTCTTGGTCTAGAATGTCCTTCGAAGGCCTACCGGAGAACAGGCGGGAAAATTTGCGATCGAAGTCAATGAGTTCCTGAGCGATTTGCCGTCTCTCCGTGTTGTAGGTCTCCAGGATGGAGCGGTTAGCTCGGCCCTTGATCACAGATGCGAGTTTCCACCCTAGGTTGTAGGCTGGTTTTACGTTAGCATAATTGGCCTGCAGGAGTGGAGTCAGAAACCTTACTGTCGTGCATGCTGATATTCATCCCTTGGCCTGCTTTGGGACTGTGAGTGTGCACAGCATCACCGGCTAGGAAGACTCGATTGTGAACAGAGAACTTTGACCCGACTCTCTGGCCGATTCTATATGCTGTCCACCATTGGCAGTGTTTGTAGCTCAACTTATAGGGCGCAAGAATCTTCCTCGCTGCGTCCAATAAGTTTTCAGGAGTGACCTTGAAACGATCAACCTGTGGTTATGTCAACATCATTAATTCCAGTAGACTTCGTTTTTTTGTTCATACCGCTTCTCCGTCCGCGTTCATTGCCGTGACTTGGATGTACAGTCTAACATATTTATCCTCTCTCGGGATGACCATCATACTGCCCGCTTCAGAGTGGATGGCGCAACGATATCGGATATCAGCTGTCAGAATGGTTAGCAGACTCGCTGCCACAAAGGGGAGAGACACAGACGAAAATCAGTTATAGGGATGATATCCAGGACACCCCTGGACAACCCGTTAGCGTTAAGGTGCTCTCAAAGGTGGCCGCGGGGGTAAAGTTACCAGATGAAATCGGTCTGTTCGCCTTCCATCACGCTTCCAATTTGTCGGCGAGTCCATGAATGAGCACCATCACAGCCAACAACGTACTTTGCCAAAACCGTCTCCGTACGAGTGTCTTGATTTGACTGGGCATCTTGGAGTACGGCATCGGTTGTATCAGCGGTAAGATTGCTTCTATAGAGACCATTGGGAACGTTGGATTCGTTGGTGCCATTTTGCTTGTCCAGTTCCGATTCGTTCCTGGGAAGGTGTCTGAGCGTTACGGTAACTGGATGTTCATTATCCGCTTCAACCTTCCCAGTGTCGATGCTCAGGTGCTCAGGCATTAGCCCGTACTCTACCTCGATATCGCTGTGTTTTTGAATATATCCAAGGAGACCGTCTTCGATATGTGCTAAATAGTAAGAGGATTGCATCAGTTGAAGCAATTGTCATGATGGTTCACAGTTGCAATACCTTGATGCAGTGTAGCTTGTTGAAATCGACTAAGGCCGGGCAGCGTGTCCACGATGGTATCAGACCTTTGGAGTTCGTTATGCTCGTTGGGATTCTAGGCCATCAGCAAAGTGTTCTCAAAAGTCGGACTATTCTGAAGCTCACCCAGAACCGGATTTCAATCATGCGGCTTGCCTTGGACCATATGGTCTGACCAATGCCGAGGGAATCAAGGATCTGGAAATCGATTAGCTGAGGACAATGAATTGGCAAAAATGCCAAACCTCGAATGTTCTGCTTTGAAGTCCATCTGCTTGTCTGTATTTCGTAAGCTGAACTGATCCTCAAAAAGGTCGAGCTTGAGCGGGAAACATACCCATAGTGGACCTTATTGAGGCGCTTGTCGATAATTCTTGTCTGAATGCCCAGCCGAGCCAGCCATGTCGACAACATTAGCCTATAACGAACATTGTTAGCCCAAGTGTTCAAAGTCACCCACCAAATTACTGTCGCATATACGACTTGCGAAATAATTTCAACTTCAGCAGAACGGCATACTCACCCTGACGGGCCAGCCCCGATAACGAGGACGTCGACGCGTGAAACGTCTTCAGAAGACATATTGCATAAACCTGTTCGAGACACCACCACAGAAAGCCAACCAAGACTGAGGTTTCTGCTGCTTGAATGGAAAATGATCTAGTATCAATCTCACAATGGGAACTGAAGGAATGATATATCAAAGGGCCCTCGGCAAGGTCAACTGGGTGGCGAGACCCAATCTCCTTCGAAACAACGTCCTGGAGACCAAACCAGTCCAGCCACTTATACATTCGGTGGCCAGAAATTGATGCTGATTGGTTCGCGGGATTTCCGGGGTCCACTTCTTTCGACCGAGCCTGGAGTTCGTGGACTGCTCGTGGCTAGAATTACGAAAGCATTCTGTTAATACTGTTCTTCGCATAATACCCCTGAGAAGATTGTCTAAGACTGAGAATTAGTTCCGCGATGCAGGTCCATAGCGGAAGTTTTGAGATCTTGTGTTTGGGAAATTCTGTCATGTTCTTGTGGTATGCTGTTCATATCCGACTTGTCTCAATGGTACATCAGCTTGCGGAATTTAGTTACTCGAACATAGAAATATAGCTACATTTTGATCACCACTTCTCGTGTCACCACTAGGTCCAAGAGCCTCGCTTCCCAGCAAAGTGTCTATGGCTACATATAACGAAGCTGAACTAGATATCCACGCTGGACACCGTGAGATGGCGCGAATCTGTCGTTCAATGGGATCGAATACCTTCAATGGCCCTGCGACATTTCCTCTGACATCATTTTCATGGCCGCTACCGTACAAAGCGCCAAGGAAAAAGCGTCACAACTTGTTGTATATTGTGTAGTTTTGGGCGCGATGAACGAAATACGGAATTGTGCTGACCAAAATGCCAGGGAAGGCGTTCGAAAAAAAGGTCGTTGACCATGGACAACCCGGTGTCCTCGATAGTTGTCAGGCCTCGGATGAGTTTCAATTTCCTACCTCGCGAGAGTCGCAGAATACCAAGTACTTGATTTGATCTGATTGTTTCCACACCATTGCAGGTTGGTGAGCCTATGGAGAACAGCCACTGCTTTGTGATGAGAAGTGGCTACAATTGAAAGTTTTTCACGGTCTCGAAGGCTTGAACGGCTGACAGAAATTTGCTTACCACCACTTGCCGCTACAGGGGAGAATTGCAATTTTATTAGCAGTGTTGCTTGTCAGTATGACAGACAATGTCAAGGGTAACCAATTCATGAAGTCACTACCCAAAAAGAGAATATTAGTAGAACCAGCCACTCTCGTCCGTTTCCAAGTCTTGCTCAACTTGAAGCAAGCATCCCGTCGGCGCCTTCGTCCCGATGGTGAACTCAGCCGTTGGGTCATTCGAAAAGAGGTCAAGCTCGCTGTCCCCGTTGTAGATATTTCCATACGTCGCGCAGTAAAGCTCGAGCTCTGCCTGTAGCCCACCAAGGGATTGTGTCGATGGCGTGGTACTGGCGTAATTGTCCCCTTCTGCGACGTTCATTCCATTTTCGGAGGGAGGATTCAAAGATCCTCGTCGATCCGCATCATTTGAACTAGCGGCGACTCCAGAAGACCATGATTGAAACACGTCGAAGTGAGGTTGTCCAACCGAGTTCGCCTTTTCTAGTTGCGGAACATGAGTGTCAGGATCTGCCATCTGCGAACAATTGGTACTGTGTTCTGAACGAAGGGCCTGCTGCTTATTCAAAATGGGTCGAACCCGTTGCTTATATTTCCTTTGCCGATCCTCCCATCTGTTCAAAAACTTCCGTACAACTTGCACACAACGATTGGCTGCTTTCAGTTCGATCTGCTCGAATATACCGATGCTGAGATGACAGAAGCTCTTGAGATCTCGTCGGCTTTCGGATTGATTCCGTAATTCTAAATCTTGAATAGGTGGCGAGGACCGTCTTTGGTTTTCACGGCACTCGTTGTCATCTTCGGTCAGCTTCGTCAGCAGCACCAAGGTGGCCTGTAAGCAGTAAAAGCAATAATAACTCCAACGCCTCAGGCTCGGTGCGAGGGTGAAGAGTTCGTGAATGTGACTGATCATGTCACAAGCCGCGTCGAGACATAGAGATTTGTACAAAGCCTCTCGCTGTTGGCCGGACTGGTGAGAGCCGTGACTGCTAGGATCAGATGGTGGCTTGCTAAGGAAGCTCCGGAAGAGGATTATCATGGCGAGATTATAATCTAAAAGGTGGTAAGAATTTGTCGGGCTCCAGAGCGATGGAAGGAGGGAAAACGGAGACAAAGGGGAAGGGAGAATTGGCCACACTCACGGATCCGCAAGCTGCTATGCTGTCTCGCCTTCCAACTGCAAGGCGCATCTTTGGTTGTGGAATCCAAGCCTCGGATCTCGTAATAGAATCGAAGGTGGACGGGCAAAGATGCATGCCACTGCTGCAGCTCTTCTCGGAGAGCCTCCACAGACGACAATCCCGCAAAGACTGGGGGAATTTCAGGCTCTCTCGAAAGGTTCACCTTGAGTGTGGGTCAGAGAAGGCTTGCGTGATATTCAAGAAGGTTTCACTATCGATCCCACTTACAAGCTTCAAGATCCGCCGAATGACTTTCGCGATTTCGGCAAGAGGTTGGATGAAATCTACGGGAGATGCTTCCACATTCACGCCGTCATCAACAATCCGCTGCAATTATTAGTTTGAGAGCTCGAGAAAGCGCTTCATGTGCGTACCTGACGTGTGGGATATCCAATGTCCATCTCAGACATGCAGATCGACATTGGTCGACCTGAGTCCAAGCTCAATTCGACTTCTTGGACATATATTAACCACCAAGTACGTCTTGCCTCCTCTGCGTCAAACGCAGCCGAGCCATATGTTGACTCGATATTCAATCCGATGGAAAATGCCAGTCGGGTGGCGATGCCAGTCAGGTTGTATGCCACTAGGATGGGTTTCAGGTCAGCCTGTGTCACATAGAACCAGAGGCGACTCACGACTCGGCTTGATGGCATGTTGCGCATATGCTCCCTACGGGTGAACACGTCAGCACATAGTGGAAACGGACTCGAAGAAGGTTGAGCGGCTGACCATGAGCATGGCAGCCTGAATCAATTCAAGATTCACTGCATCCAGCAGACGGCCCAGGATTTCTTGAGCTTCTGCAAAATACCATGACGCCCACGACGAGTTATCGTCCCTTTCGTCTTCGTACAAAGCCCCAAGGGCTAGGACTGCGTAGAGCAGACACAAAAACTGTGGTCTGTTGTGGTTACCTTGGCTTAAAACAAACAATCGATTGTCCCCAAAAAGATTCCTGAGTGCGTTGTATTTTGCTCTGAACTTGCTGACGTCAAAGATTGGTAAGAATATGTGGATAGTACTGAAAAAACTCTCGATGTGTCGATCCGCCACGTCGCTCCGTAAGCAACGATGTTGACGAAGAGTGGCATTGGATGGCATCACATAGTCACAAAATCCGGTCAGGTCATTCAAGCCCAGACTTTCCATATCGTGGCCGTGGTCGGTAACAGGTATATGACCAATACGCATTCGTTTCTGCGGCGGTGGAGGGTCGATGCCTTCTTCGAGTTGCCTTATTCGTTTTCCGAGAGAGGAGGCGATGACGAAAGTCGAGGTGCGTCCTTCTCAGAATGAGACTGTGTATGAGCTCTCCGGAGTCCTTATCTTACCGTAATACTCGAAACATCCAGTCTGCGGGTTCAGATGAGCAAGCCAGCTGGGCTGTGCCTCAGGAATGGAACCTCTGCCTTTCACTGAGAAGAAGCACATTCAACATGGCATTCCAAAGAGTGCGATTGAATCCAACGAACCTTGATTAAACTTTGAAGGTCCATACAGGCTTTGTCGCTCCATGGTTTGTTCCAATCGGTCGATCCGAGACAGCACAAGGTCTAGCTTCCTGAGACGGTATGTGAACAAGGGAATAGAGAATAAGGGATTATGAGGGACATACTCTGCCAGCGCATCGCTTCCAACCGAAGGCGGACAAGTAAAGACGCAAATTTGGCCTTTTTTTGAGCATTGGTCGCACGGTTGTACTCCATCGCACTGTCACACTGAGGCTTAGAAGGCCATCACAATACCTTAGCTTAAGGACGAAGCAGGCGTAGGCACCTTGATTCTCTTCTCTCGACACCGCTCACAAGCGCCGGGCGTCTTCTTTCGGACTAATTTTGAGATGTTTGGATCTGAAGGACCTAGGTACGACATTGGTAGCGGCTGATCTGCTGAAATAACACGTTCAGGGCAACTAGAACTGCTCATCGGCGAATCTCTGCCTCTCACGGTACTATGTGACATCTAGATATGCGATCGATATTGATAGACCGGAGAGAACAACAAGGAGTGAGAAGTTGGGTCGACGGTCATCCGGGGAAATAAAATGGGTTGCTTGGCGCTTGGTTCTTAGTGTTGGATAATATCTCCCACTACAGAAGGGCGTTGGATCGTGGCACAGTCTAAGCTAGTGTAAATGAATCTAGCAGGTTGAAGTTAAAGCCTTGACCTCCCCCACAAGCATCCCCGCGGTGCGGTCATGGATTGACTACTGGGCATCCCCATGGGCTCGGCGCATCAGTGTGTCCAGCCGATCAACCCCGCCTCGCCTACCAACCCCCATAGCTACAAGTAGATGATATCGCTTCGCGGAAATTCCGTAAAAGGACAACCCGCGTTCAGGTTCAGTGGTATGGACGTGAAGATGTAAAATCAGATACATTTGTAGAGGTCCCTGTTGGTCTGGAAAGAACATATTCATCTGCAACTCCTTGTCTCAAGGAGCCGTCCTTTCACACCTTACCAACTGCGGTCAACGTGGCTAGCTTAAAACTATCTGCAGCCTCCCGATTGCTTCCATCATTGCAGCTGGTCTCTTTCGATGTGGCTCTGCTTCATGAAGTTCATCATCTCTTTCCTCCTACATTCCCAACCGTTGTGTTCCTAGGTAATATCCTGTGAGCTGAGAGTTCTTTGCAGCAGGACCTAATTCTCATCGCAGGCAACCTGCACCAAGCTCCGACCACGAAAGCACATCTCGAGGTTGTGTCGCGGTCTCCCACTCATGCCTTCTAAATGCTGCTTTGACGACAGTGGCGCTTAGGTTCAAAACGATTGCGAACATACAGTCCCATCGTTTCTCTGAAACTGTGATCCGGAGAATTCATCGTTCTCAGTGAGTAAGGGAGTGAGCATTGGCCGTAAGACGGTTCTTTCATCCTGCATGGTAATACTAGAATGTCCAGTCTCGTCGACAAACGAGTTACTACTAACTCTGGCAGACCTCCAAGTTACATCGGCGCCAAACGCATCACCCAAGATAATACACATTTCCTTCGAATGCTCTATCAGGCTGAGTGGCAAAGACGGAAAAAGACATTCCCGACGATCGTCTGCATTACCGCTATGACATCTTATCAACCTCTCCTAGCAACTGAGGCTGTTCTCCTTCTCAAGCGACTCTTACATATACGCCGGAAGGGGCGGTGAGTATATTCGCCGTTGCTCCATTGTTGTTATTCTCTTATCTGTGTTTGGTGCTCCGAGTCCGGCACTTTGATATCCGATAAATCAATGGCTTTACCATATATAAGGTCAGTTCACAGCCATTCTAGAGACAGGAACCATGTCTCTCGTGAATATCTTCCCGTCTTCAAGCATCTCTCCACGTTGATGGGCCATAGCGATCTCTGCTAAGCACTGCAACTATTACTTGAATTACCTCAGAATTTGAAGGAATAGACGAAACGAAGAATACACCAGACGTACGTCATGAATGAATTGTTGAAGGATCCTCAGAAGACTACAGATTGTCTGGATGATGAACATGTTGTCTACATTGGGGATGCGCCTATGGAAGAAGGCTCCCACCTAACCACTTCTGCTCCTCTCATTCTTGATGGCTATGGTCAAGTATACTCATATTTTTAGAAGGCTCAGGAGGCTGTGGACAGAGTTTGTAGCACTGCAAAATCCCCTAACTTTGGGAGATCTCGAGAATTTGTTCTGCATAAAACACTGGGTTAATGAGCAGAGTATAGTATCGAAGCCAACTTCAAGGTGCTAAGATGCCTCTGTTTCTGCAATGACGAATGGTTGCTGCAGCTGGCATTTCTCACGCTCTTGTTAATGGTAGGTTGCCCTCCGATCCTTGGTTGTGAAACTAGGGTCATACAACATTATCCTGAGTCTTATGAACGTCATGAGGAATTCCTCCAGAAGTATTTCGTGCTCGACGAGTATAGCTTTGAAGAAGGAAGTAGCCGACATTTCGAATGGAATGCGTACAACTAATGCCGTTGGTGCTGGAAGATAGGGATGCCCAGGTCAACAACTTGCAGAAAATTTATTTTTGAATCTTGATGATTGACGCCGCTACCAACGCTAATCAAGTGCGTTTTAGTTGATCAATACCAGCCAGCTTTTCTGGTAATTCAATATCGCAACTGGAGGGAACTGTGCTGCAAGGAACAATTGTCCAACCGCGATCTTCAGGACTTGGCCGGTACTGAATGAGCAAATGGTTTACTTGTCACGCCAACGTTGCTCGTCACGTCGAAGGTGTGGTCTGTTTCATCATCAATCGACAACTGATCGCGAGATCAGGAAGAGTGATGAAGTTTTCTGTGACTACGAGGAATGACTGTAGGCTGCAAATGACTTTATGAAATGCATCCGATGGGTAGTCATTGATGCTTTCTGCAAGCGAAAGGAACTTGGCCGCGACTGATAACGCTTCCCTAGTCTATGAACAAATCATTGGCTGTTTTGTAGGCGCAGAATCGTAGCCAAGCACGTGATAGCAGGCCCTGTGGTGTTCTCTATCGCTACGTTAGCACCTAATTTCAAACAGTCCCTGGCATCTTAGCCAAAATCACACTTCGTTCAGGACTACTTTAAGTCCTTGGCGTTTAGACATTTGCTGGCCAAGGATGCGTGGGAGCCTCCCACTCCGTACTGCATACGGTCTACAAGCCTCATCGGGCCGCGAATATCTCAATCAACATCCTCCGAGTTTTTTTTCCCGACACCGGCGGCTCGTATCCCTCCTATCACGAGGCTTGCAGCGTTGTAATTTGCTGGTCGACAACTCTCCAACGAAAACAATGGAGCGGCGTCTGATCACGATCGCCATGGTGGACACCGGAAATCCCGCGAACCAATCAAACGACTGTGACTTTCAACTTCGAGGTAGTAGGGCTCCCCTTTCCGAAAACCTTAGCATATACTCCCTAGAACTAAGCATAGGGGTCGTGGGTTGGACAATCACGTGGCAGCTCTAGTTCCTGTCAAACTAAGAGGATAATTGAATGCTGTCAAAGGGGGAATGCCCAAAGAATATGAACTGAATGCTCTGTTTATCCAGCAACTGGTCCTGCCAGGTTGCTGGTATTTATATACGTTTGTTTGACCCTTCTTCTCTTATTCCTACCCTTTATCCTACATAAGAGTTATAACCTTTTTCCAGTAAGGGGGCACAGGCTACTGTTCAACCGTTCATGTCGAAGGGGTTATTATACACAGGCTCCACCACCGAAATACTGGTAGAAGGTTTCCATAGACAACAGCATTCCTGATGGTTGATCTGCACCAGGCTTGCAAATAGATAAGTCGTATCCAGATAAATCCAAATCAAATCAAATCACGATGCTGGATTTATTTGGATAAAAATTCTGTCCAATCGCGCTCGCAAGCATTAAGCAATGTTTGCCCAATTAAGCTGAAAATCGCCTATATCATAATCCCTCCCAATTCACAGATCCAGTGGTCTTCTAGATCTGTGAAATAGGGTTATGGCTCGCGCGATCATCCATCTATCGCTATACCAGCGATATAGGACTTAAGGCGGAAACACCAAAAAGAAAGGCCCCCTCCTATAGTCCACCTCTGACGAACTTATAGATGGGGCGCCGCAGCCAGTGAAAGCTTCAGCCATACGGGTTCAACTGCAGAAGGGTTTAAAATCAATGACCCTCCCAACGGATGAACAAGACGACATCATCAACAATCACTGGCTGGAGCATTACGTTACCCATCTAGGGCACCTAGAAACTCAATGGAGCTAGGCCGGACAACCCTCTTACCTTACCTATGATCGAACACTAGTAAGGCCCCTCAATTCTATCGGTTCGACTGCAAGCCGACTGTTTTACCACTCGGTTACGTCCTTGATAGGTCAACCACGATTTGGTGTCAATTTTGAAGCAGTTTTTAACATTATAAAATATAAACTTGATTTTTTATTTTTTAATTTTGGAATCGCCTGGTTAGGGCTTGGCGCTGTGCGGCGACGCCAAGAGCGACGAGCCGGCCAATCACGTAAGCATATGACTTGGCGTTTATCACGTAACTATTTCCGGGATCACGTGCTAAGCCCCCGGGAGCGCCCGCCCATCGGATCCAGTCTATGGACCACTCAACCCCCAACGGATTAACCATTTTCCGGAATTACGTGCTCACCCTCGGGGGGCCGCCCTCCCAACTCCACGGATTGAAATCCCCGCCCATCGGATCCAGTCTATGAGCCACCCGACCTACAACGGATTAACCATTTTCCGGGATCACGTGCTCCCCCAGGGCCCATGTGGCCGGGGGCACCCTACTCGATAGATATCGATGTCCGAGATATCGAGATAATCCACGCATCGGATCCAGTCTGTGGACCACCTCAGACAAGCTCTACTAGTCCCACTGAGATGGTTCGCAGCCGAGCGTTAACGGACGAGCCTCGATGTCGACGTGGTCCATGGATTGGATCCGATGGGTCGTGGTATTGCATCGGATCCAATCTGTGGACCACCTAAGACGAGCTCTTACTGATCACACTCGAAATGGCACGTAACGGGGCGTTAACGGACGAGCCTCGATATCGAGATGATCCATGGATTGGATCCGATGAAAGACCACCGCCATCAGATCCAATCCGAGGACCATATGCCCCCCAGGGGGGAGGGCATCCTACTCGATAGGGGTCGACATCGTGAAGATCCACGCATCGGATCCAGTCTGTGGACCACCAAAAGAAGTTCTATTGATCACACTCGAGATG